ATTCAGTTCAAAGTAAACATCACGTTTACCATTATTGTTAAGAGGACCTACGGCTAATAACTTGATAATCAAGGTCTTGCCTTCTTCAATCTCTACATGGAATTCTTCACCAATTTCAGGTTTTGATAAAAAGTAACGTGTGGGGACAACTGAGAGATCACCATATTGGCTCACTGTATCACGGTAATCAGCAAAGACTTGAGGATAGAGAGCAGCAGAGATGACATCATAATCTCGAATGGAGGATCCATATTTCTTTGTCAGTTCTTCTTTTAGTTTTCCTAAATCAAGAGGTTCAAGGGAGGCACCAGGACGTCCATCTAGACGAGGTAAACCCTTGATGATATTGGAACGTAAGGGCTCGGGGAAACCACCATAGGGTTGACCTAAATAACCTTGGAAGAATTCAACAACAGAGGTAGGGAAGGATAAGGTGGCAGCACGTTCTTCAACGTCTTGACCGCTTAATCCATTAGATACCATAAATTGAGCTAAATCACCTACGACCTTGGAGGAAGGTGTGACCTTGACGAGATCACCACATAATTTATTGGCTTCAGCGTATGCCTTCTTGATTTGAACCCATTGAGAACCTAAGCCTAGTTGTTGTGATTGGAACATGAGATTCGTATATTGACCACCTGGCATTTCGTGATCATAGACACCAGAGTCAGCTGATTTGACATTCGCCTCAAAGCAAGAGTAAAGAAGACGCGCTTGCTCCCAATAGGTATTAAGGGCATGTATATGAGTAAGGTCAATACCCGTATGTAAATCAGATTGTTCAAGGGCAGCTACAATCGCACCCATAGCAGGTTGTGAGGTCATACCGGACATGGAATCAATTGCAGCGTCTACGATATCTGCACCAGCAAGGCTTGCAGCTATCATAGAGGCAACACCCGTACCAGCGGTATCATGTGTATGAACATGAATGGGCAAATCAGGGAATCTCTCACGTAGAGCCTCTATCAACATCTTGGCTGCCTTGGGTTTCAAAAGACCAGCCATATCCTTAATACCCAAGATATGAATTCCTTCATTCACTAATTGTTGAGCCAAGTCCAAATAATAGTCAAGTGTGTACTTTCTCTTGTTAGGGTTAGAGACATCACCGGTATAACAAAGGGTAGCCTCTACGACACCACCTGCTTTCTTAACTGCATCAATACCTAATTTCATATTTCGACATAGTTGAGTGAATCAAAGACTCTAAAGATATCCATACCGGCTTTCACCGCCTTATCACAGAATTCATAAATGACATTGTCTGGATAAGAGGTATAGCCGACCGCATTCGCACCTCTCAAGAGCATTTGGAAAGGGATATTAGGTACAGCTTTACGTAATTTCATTAAACGATCCCAGGGGTCCTCATGTAAGAATCGCATCGAGACATCAAAGGTAGCACCACCCCAACATTCAAGAGCGAATGCATTAGCAAGGGCATGTGCTGTAGTAGGAGCGACACGTAATAAATCCAGAGTACGAACACGAGTGGCCAAGAGACTTTGATGAGCATCACGCCAGGTGGTATCCATGATTAAAGTACCAGGATGTTCTCGAATTGCCTTTGCAAAGCCTTCAGGACCCTTTTCTAATAAAACTTGACGCCAACCGTTAGAGGGGAGGGTACGGGATACGTCTATTTTATTGCCCATGTCATCCAACAGGCCGGGTACTTCAATTTCTTGCTTATAGGTGGGTTCACCTACTTGACCCTTAATCTGTGAACCATTCACGACCACGTCACCCAAATAACCCAACATACGTTGAGCACGATTTTGATATTGAACCAATTCAAAGAGATCAGGTGTATCATCAATGAAGGTAGTCCAACAGGTACCTGTGATAAAGGTTGGATAAGTGACTAAACGTTGTAGGAAAGGAATATTGGTCTTGACACCACGAATACGGAATTCAACAAGTGCTCTAACGATCTTTCGACGAGCTACTTCAAATGTAGAACCAGTACAGGTTACCTTCACTAAAAGTGAATCATAATGAGGAGTGATGACAGCACCTGCAAAGCCAGCACCGCCATCGAGACGAACACCATTACCACCCGATGAACGATAGACTTCAATTTTACCGGTATCCGGTTGGAAGCCCTTTTCAGGATCTTCAGTAGTCACACGACATTGAATCGCGTATCCACGTTGACGGATACGTTGTTGAGTGAGACCTAATTGAGGGAGAAGAGCACCTGCAGCAATTTGAATCTGAGCAGCGACAATATCGATACCCGTAATCTCTTCAGTGATCGTATGCTCAACTTGAATACGAGGATTAATTTCAATAAAATAGTGTCGATTCTGGTTATCAACCAAGAATTCAGCAGTACCCGCATTCTTATACTTGACGGCCTTAGCGATCTTGATGGCATCATTCAAGATCGCTTCACGAACCTTGGGATCCAAATTTTTAGCAGGAGCGATCTCTACTACCTTTTGATGACGACGTTGAACAGAGCAATCACGTTCAAAGAGATGAACGACATTACCAGCACGATCAGCTAATAATTGAACTTCGATATGACGTGGTTTATCCAAGAAGCGTTCGATAAAGACAGTACCATCGCCAAAAGCAGAGAGTGCTTCTGATTTAGCACGATTGAAGGCTTCCTCAAAGGTAGAAGGGTCACGAACAACACGCATACCACGACCACCACCACCCATAGCGGCTTTAATAATAATAGGAAAACCATAATCATCAATAAATTGTTTCGCTTCTTCATAGGTACTGACAGGACCGGGTGTACCAGGTACGACGGGAACACCACATTCGATAGCTTAAAAATAAAATGAAATGAAATAAAATAGACAATTTATAAGTTGCTATTCACATATACATGTTTGTGTGTATATGCATGTATTTAAATATGTATGTATATACATATATATTTATATATATATATTACCTATAGTTCTAGCTTTTGTCTTATCACCCAAGCTATCAATGACATCAGGAGAAGGACCAATAAAAGTAATACCAGCAGCCTCGACTTTACGAGCAAATTCAGCATTTTCAGACAAAAAGCCATAACCTGGATGAATCATGGATACACCACGTTCTTTTGCAATACGAACAATTTCATCTTGAGCCAAATAAGCTCCTACAGGAGAATATTGACCTACTTGACCAATTTGATATGATTCATCGGCCTAACAAAAAAAAAAAAAAAAAAAAAAAAATTAATTTCTTTCTCCTCTCTAGGGTGTATGATTATTTCTGAGTCATTTTTATATATACATACTTTATAGCGATGCATAGATAATCTATCTTCATAAAAAGATGGCTACTGTTCTCATAGATAATTCATGGGCTGTTCTAAAACAACGAATAGCGATTTCCTAATACCAAACTTATAACTTTACTTTAGTTTTGTTATTGTATTTACTTTTATAATTCCTTCTTTTTTTTTTTTTGTGAATATTTACACCGCGATTGGCAACCATTAGTTTACGAAGGTTTCCCATAACTTCACTATTTCTGCGAATTGTTTCAACAGAATGTTCACGTGCAGGCACCTGCAAGCTCAATGATTGTGACATTTGAATGACTATAAAATGAACATTTTTTTTCCCAATGTTAAATGAATGAAATTTATACTTTTAATGTTTAAATATTTTACCTTTTCTTTTTTTTTATATATTTATAAAAAAAAATAAAATAAAATAGATAAATAAATAAATAAATGAAAATAAAATTAGAAATAAAAGAAAAAAAAAAAGTTGAGTTAATAGTACGTAACTTTTAAGGTTTTGATTTTAATTTGTCAAAAATAAAAGTTAAAATACAGACAAAAAAAAAAAAAAAAAAAAAAAAAAAAGGGTTTTAACGTTACACATACGATTGATTGTATAATCACATTAATTGTAACACATTTGCTTAATTGAATTCAACTCATTGTTACGACATGAGTATAATTAACCATCCAATGTCATTTAATGTAGACAAAAAAAAAAAAAAAAAAGGGGGAGGCTATTATTGTAAACTATATTCTTATTTTATTTGATAGTTTATTGTACCATAAACACTTTTTATATAATACACACGTACACGTACACTTACACGTACACGTACACATGCATATACACTTATATTAGCTCGTTAATAAAAAGTTTATTGAGGAGGTGGTGGCATGTAGGGTCCTTGCTGAGGTGGTAAAGTAGAATAGTTTTGAGATTGGATATAAATGGGTTGATTTCTTCTAGTTGAAGGACGTGTTAACATGAGATAGAAAGCATGAATATGACCTAAGTAGAATAATGATGAATAATACTATAAATAAAGATGATAGTAAAAGCCAATTACATACCAGGAATATAACCAAGACAGGTTAACAACTATTACATAATGAGATGCATATACAACACATGTCTATTTTTGTTATAATGTAAACTTACATGTTAATACACAAGTCTGCGCCACATCCATACATTAAAAAGACACCAATTGGTGAAATAAAATAGTTAAAATATATAAACAATCTGCAAACATGATAAAGAATGAGAAAGAGAAGAAAGAGGAAAAGGTGGCAGTAAATATTTATTTATTTTATTTTATTTTAAACTCATCATTCTTCATAACCAAAAGGTAATAAAGCTTAAAGAAGATATGTAATATAAACAAAGTAAAAGGGACATAAAGCTTAAAGAAGATGTGTAATATAGACAAAGTAAAAAAGATAAAATAAGCTTTAAATCAATTATTTCCTTATTAATGTTATTATCGGTTGTATTTACATATCTTTATTATCTATCAAAAAAAAAAAAAAAAAAAATGAAAGTGACTTCTTCATCTATTTTCCTTTTAATATGTCTAGTTGTTTTATAGTTGTTTCATTTTTACATGTTATTACATAATAACACTATTATTACTACTACTATTATTACTGCTACTACCACTACCACCACTACTACTGCTACTACTGCTACTTTTTTTGTGTCACTTCATATGCATTTTTTTTTCTTTTTTTTTTTTTTTTTTTTTTTTTTTTTTCTTTCTTTTTTTTTCACTCTTATCAATTTATATACTAACTACTACTCACATATATGATCTAAATGACAATGAAACGAATATACCAACAGCAAGAACTATCGGATAATAATACAAGTAGTAGTTCTTCTGTTTCTTTAACAATATCAGAATCTACACCTTTATTAATACAAACTAATACAAACAATAAGCAACGTCATTTAACAACAAGAAAAGAATTTAAATGGCTTTTTCTTAATAGCTTACCTATTGTCGGAACTTATTTATTACAAAATTCATTTCAATTAACAAGTATTTTTACTCTTGGACATCTTGTAACGTTTATATTTATTATTTTTTTTTTGTAAAGTCTTTATTATTAAACTGATATTGTATATGCGTTTGATGATGATTAGGGTCCCGTTGAATTAGGTGCTGCAGCTTTGGCTTCTATGTTTGTGAATGTATCAGCTTGGAGTGTAGCGTATGGTATAACAACTGCACTGGATACTTTATGTAGTCAAGCATGGGACAGCTTCTCCAGATAAAACCATGATTGGCATTTATTTACAAAGAGCCTATTTAATTTTGAGTCTCGTTTATATTCCCATTGCCTGTGTTTGGTGGAGAGCAGCCTCTATCATGTTATACTTTCAACAAGACCCACAATTAGCACATTATGCAGGTGAATGATAACACCATATTCAAAATATGTATATACAGATAGATTGTATTTATCATTATTCCAATTTACAATTAGGCTTGTTTTTACGTTATTTATTACCAGGGGCACCTGCTTATATGGCATTTGAGGCTACAAAACGATATCTTCAAGCACAAGGCATTATGCATGCTTCTACTTTTGCCATGATGATTGCTGCACCTCTTAATTTTATCCTCAATATCTGGTTTGTCTCTCTATGGGGGTTTTTAGGTGCTCCATTAGCGACCTCCTTTAGTTATTGGCTCATGTTTATCTTCCTTTTGATCTATATTCAATATGTTCAAGGAAGTGAAGGTTGGGGTGGTTGGACTCGAGCTTGTCTTTCTGGCTGGCTCCCATTTCTGAAACTTGCCCTTCATGGTATCATCATCATTTGTGCAGAATGGACTGCGTTTGAGATTTCATCATTAGCCGCGAGTTATTTGGGTTCGATTGATTTAGCTGCTCAGAGTGTTTTATTAACCATTAGCTCCACCACGTATGCAGTCTCTATGGGTATCTCAGTTGCAACCACAAATCGGGTAGGGAACCAGTTGGGAGCTCAGAGAGGGGATAATGCGAGTCGTTCCTCTTTCACAGCTCTTATAGTAGCTGCTCTATCTGGGATCATCCATTCAATCTTCTATTTAGGTTCTAGACGATGGTTAGGCCGACTCTTTAGTTCAAATACAGATGTTGTAGACAAGGTAGCAGCTGTCTTGCCACTTGTAGCATTCTTCCAAGTAGCCGATGGGATTGCATCCGTTGGAGGAGGTATCATACGAGGCCTTGGACGGACCCATGTGGCAGCTTGGATTAATTTGGTTGCTTATTATGGTGTTGCATTACCCTTTGGTTTCCTTGCAACCTTTAAATGGGGTTGGCAATTGATCGGTCTTTGGATAGGCTTATCTATTGCTCTCTTCTTGGTCGCTCTATCTGAAATAGTGTATTTATATTCTGTTGATTGGAAAATTGAAGTAAAACGAGCGCAGGAACGCTGTAAGCAAGGTTAAGATAATTGATATGAAATGTATGTGCGTAGATGATGTCCTTCCAAGAAAGAAAGAAAGAAAAAAGGGAGGGGAGAATTTTATCAAGTTTCTTTGATAACTTGTTAATATATATATGCATACATGTATAATATATCGATTCTTTTTATTAATAAACTATTGTTATGTACACTACTTTTAATCTTTAGACTTTCTTAAAGATATTCATAGCCAAACCAAGATTTTGTATACAGAGTCAAATTTTAGAGTAATAATAAATTTTGGAAATAATAATAATCATTACATCATTTTTTTTTTTTTTTTTTTTTTTTTTTTTTTTTTGGCTTTCTTCTTTATCATGTTTACTACAGCCACAATTCGTAAAAGTAATCGACTTTTAAACAAACCTCCTATTCAATATAAAGAAAAGAAAATAGTAACACTTAAAAAGATGTAAGTGTTGAATAGTGGATATTAATCATAATTATTCTCCTCCTCCCATTTTTTATTTATTTATTTATTTGCGTAGTAATAAAAAATCTTCTACTGTCAGCAGAAAGGTATACTAAACAAGACTTTAACATGTCTTTTTTTTTTTTTTTTTCTATTCATTCATTATAAATGTATATGTAATAGAATCAAAAAAAAGTAAATATAAAAACATCAAGTCATCAAATTATAACAACAAAGGTAATCAGTAATCAACCTTCTCAAATATTTGATCTTGCTGAAGAAATTCATTTAAGAAATGCAGTAGACCATTTTAAGCAACATGATGCTAAATTAGGATCTTATTTAACAGAAGAAGCCATTGAAGCCTTTAGAACAAGGCTAAGTAAGCAAAATGGCAATTTGAATCCATTCAAGTAATATTATAGAATATGTATATATTTATATGCATATATATGTGTATGTTAACCTTAGTATATACGTATATAAAATAGATGTTTAACAAAAGCTATCATTTATCAACAAATTCATGGGAAGGCAGCTTCATCTATTTATACTCGGTTTATTCATTTATTTGATAAAGAGAACAATAAAGAGGATGATTTTCCTACACCTCAAGACGTCTTGGAGAAAGCTTTTGATGAATTGAAATCTGCTGGACTGTCAAGTAGAAAGGTAACAGTCACTTACTATCTATCTATCATAGTCTTGAACTTATTTGATTTCTCACAAATGATAGGTTGAATATATCAAAAATCTAGCAGAAAAGTTTCAAGACAAGACAATTACACCTGAAAATTTTCATAAAATGACAGATCAAGAAATATCGAACCAACTATGCTCTGTAAAAGGCATAGGACAGGTACATAAGAATAATATAGACATATACACACACCATCTATTGCAATATAATAAGTGTATTTACTCATAGTGGACAGTAGACATGTTTTTAATGCTTGATTTACGACATCCAGATATATTACCCCTGGGTGATTTAGTAGTTAGAAAGGGAATTGCTGCTCATTTTGGTATTTCTGATGATGATAATGAAAAGAAAAAAACAAAATTATTACTCAATGAAAAACGCATGATTGAATTGACAGAAGTGTGGAGACCTTATCGATCTTTAGGCGCATGGCTTATGTGGAGAACAGCAAATACGAAAATAGTATAATGAAGCCTCTTTGTTATATGTATTCCATTTTTTTTTTTGGATTTTATCTCATTGTTTCATACAATGAAACATTCAATAAATAAAGGCATTCGTTCAAATATTATCATTATTATCTTCTTCTTCTTCTTTATTACAACTCTTTTTTCTCATATGGAAGAATTTATACAAATATCAGCACTTTTAGCAGAATATTTATTTGATAAATATCTATTTCCTTCGTCACCATCCAAAAATGATTTATTTAGTAAAGAACAAGAGACAAGGACAGTTCAGACATCTGTTTGGCATTACGCTTCTACAAGTCAAAGTCTACTATTTGACTTTTCTTATTGTCCTCTCTTCAGTCATCTAATAAAGCCAAAGCAGCTTATAACTGCTTGTATTCAATCTTCCTTACCCGCTCATGCTACTGTCTCTATTCAATTCTTGACTCCATTTTTAGTTGAACTCATGATCCCACCAAATCAACTCACACAGTTACATCAACAAACGTTTTCTATTCTTCAGCATAAGGGAATTCAAGTGAATGATATCTGTATCAAACCTACCTTGACATTGATGATACCATCCAATAAACGAGTAAGACATTGGCAATTGACCCTATTTGATATACCATTTGATTACTTGAAGGGCTTGAATACAAGTCAAGAAAAGGACAGAGTAAGAGATCAAGTAGCGAATGAAATAAGTTTAGCCTTCAAATTAACCAAAGGATCTGCTGCCTTCCTTATCCAACATGTCTATTTCAGTACAGAGACGAGATTAGATGACGTTCATGGATCTATCACCGTGCTTGCTGAAGAATGGGTGAATAGTAAATCCGCTTTTTCTAAGCATCCACCAAGGACACTGATTTATTTATCTTTTCTCAAAAGATATTTTCCAATCACCATTACTTTGATAGAAGAAAACAAAGTAAAACAAAGTAAAATAAAGTAAAATAAAATAAGATAAAAAAAAGATACATTTTTATCATTATACTCGCTTTCTTTCGGAATTTAAATTCATAAAGATAAAGATGACAGTTTAACTCTTTTTTTTTTTTTTTTTTTTTTTTTTTTTTTTTTTTTCTATTTCTCCCTCTTTTTTTTTTCTTTAACATTACATTGCTTTATACAGATAGACATCTATTTTTTTTTCCTTGTCTCTAGCAATGTCTAACATAATAGAATTAAAATCAAAAGTTGAAACACTTAAAGATCGACTTGATGTTCTTGTGGATGATAATAAAAATTTAGATGACGAAATTCAAATGGCACAATGTAAACTTGACAACTTGACCATGCCAAATATAAAAACACTGTTAGAGCAAGAGAAGCAAAAGCAAAAGACTTTAGAAGAAATGACGAAAAAATTAGAGCACTATTTAGAAATGACAGAGGAATTAGAGGCTAATGGAGTGTTGGATGATGATAAAACAGAAGACTTACTACGAAAAGAATTAGAAGAAAAGGAAATCATGATCAAGTCCATTCGTGAAGATCTAAACAACCGATTAAAAGAATTAGAGAGATTAAAACATTAAAAAAAAAAAAATAAGTGTAACTATTTTATGTCTAGATTTGGAAAATAGAAATAATAACATTTACATAACCAGTAATTATGATTGTTTTTTTTTTTTCCATTTTATTTTATCTTTACTTCAATTTACTTTATTTTATATCATGGTTTCAAGGTCAAAAATTGAACATATTCTATGTTTATTATTAAATGGAATAAACATCATATTTTATTTGCTTGTCATTATTGCCATTATTTTTAAATGTATTGGAGGTAATTTTGCAGATATCATTGTGGGTATATATGGCATGTAAAGTGAAGTCTATTTTATTCCTTTTTTTGGTAGACTGTTAACTCTTATTTATTATATAGTGGTATAGCTGCATTGTTAATCATTAATGAACTACAAGTCATTGAGTTTTCATACACCTATTTTTATTTTTTATCAACATACAGAGGAAGAGGATTAATAATGATATTGTAAATAGTAATTATATCAACAGAATTAATAATAGAGGTTAACTTGTTGTTTATTCTATATTGAACAAAACAATCAAAAAAAGCTTTGGCTGTTTAGTCTTAGATATAGGCATTGTTAATATTGTAGTAGGTACATTGGTATTAGCGATGGGATTACTATACATCATTATTTCCTTTTTAATCTTTCCTCCACCTAACCCAATCACTGTCAATTGGAGAAATTGGAATGATTTCAGTGCTGAAGGACTTGATTTACCTCACACAAGAAAAAGTCAACATATTGTACAACATCAAATCATAGTCAATAATAATCAAGTAGAGTGTTAAATTCTATTTAAAAAACTAAAACTAAATCTAAATTATAATACATAATAACATTATAGAGTGAAATGCATGAACGCTTAAAATCACCTCCTCCTCTTTTACACCAACACCATTTTATAGCCAGCCAATAGACCACTTATTAACCCTGACCATGCTTGAAGCTGTCCATGACAAGAGGGATGAAATATATCACAGCCTATGTAACAACACACATTTTTTTTTAAATAGATATAAATAAATAACAGCTCATCACACAGATACAAAAAAATAATCATTTTACCGCAAAATACTAAATCAGCTATTGATTTCAATACAGTTACTTTATTCATTCGATCTCGACTCCATTCTCTCATTTGTCTTTTTAGGTTAACTAGAATACTCATAAACCAACAATAGGCTGCTATTAAGGCAGCATAATGTTGTAGCCTTTTATTCCGAGGCTGGATAATACGACAAAGACAATAGATATCGTCTGCAATTGCATTCACGATACGGTTAAGGATGAATAAGTTTGTAGGTTGTCTTTGAAGAGAATGGAAATCATCTATGGCTGTCCCTAAAGATAATAATTGTCGAGTAAGAGAAAGCTGATTGGTCAAGTTGTGAATAAAGGGTCGAGGTCGATATAAAAGAATGACTTTTAAAAAATATTGAATGATCTTCATTGACTTTTCTCGTCCATCCAAGTGTTTAAGAAACTTGTCAATTAAAAGCTTTACATCATTATGTTTATTAACAGTGGGTGACTTATGAGGTTCAATCATAGTTATAAACAATTAAAAAGAGGAGGAAAAAAAAGAGAAATAGGGAAAAAAGGGGGGGGAAAAATATGTATATGAATTTATAGATTATCTAATCATCTTCTTGAAAAGCAAACGATTATCTTATTTGCTAAAAATAGTAATCTCTGTCACAATATGTAAAACCTAATCAATCTATCATATCCCATACACCACAACAAAATGAGTATAAAGTGAATAAATCTAGATATAACTGAAACACGCACACACACACACACACACACACACACAAAAAGAATAGATATCTTACCTTCACAGTCGAATAAATTCGTCTAATCATTAAATATGTACTTATAAAGCCTATCGTTCCAGTACATACACCTATCATCCCACATATCATAATTAGACGTAATACATATATAGTCATACTCATCAAGCCAGTTATATCAGATTTTAGTAATAAATAAAATAGCCCATAACCAAATAAATAAATAATAGGTGAAGCCCCAATCATAAAACAAGACCACCACCATTGATGATCCTAAAATACAAATTAGTAAAAAAATTAGCTTTGTCTTGTCTTTACTTTTTTTTTTCTTCTGGCTTTACCTCTGAACATAACTGTAAAAAGATAAATATAACTGTTATCTCTGATACAGCAATTATCATTAAGATAGAATTCCATATAGTATCTTCTATTGACATTGCAAATTCTCCTCTTGTTATGGATACAAGGAAATTATGCCAATTTAGAAATATAATAGAGAATGGGATAATACCACCTAATATCGCTCTAATTATATTTAATTGATACCAATTCTTACTAGGTATAAGGCGTGGTATCTGTGTAATTCGTGAGGGTTGTTCAATACGATCCGCTTTTTCACCAAAATAGGCTCCTAAATAGGTTAAGGGCAATAGACAAAAAAACCAAACTGAAAGCAGAGATAGCCAACCTGATAATGAAATAGCTAAAGAAGATTTATGTGTCCATGCTATCATACTGTATATAAATAAAATGAAAACTAAACAACTTGGAACTATGCATGCTGTCTATATGAAAAAAAAAAGATGTAAATACATTCATATAAATATTATAAATTGCATAATGCCTACTACTTTACAAGAATACTATTTAATACCCAAGATTTACCACGAAATACTTTATACATTCTAGCACTCCAATAACTACCAGGCACACTATATAAATTCCAAGTATAAATAAGAAGAGAAAAAAAAGAGGGAGGGGAAATAGATATATACATGTATATATATTGATTGCAATGCTCTGTGTATATACCTTCCCAGTAAAAATAATAATGTAAACCAACGAGTCAATGAACCTGGCTGAACAGGATTGCACCAATTCATCTTCAATGCGCCTATTTCATAACACCATAAGTTTGATTATATGTTATAATAATTGCATCTACTTTACATATTAAACCACTAAATACAAATATCAATTGAATACCAGTTCCCATGAATGGAGTTAATAATCCACCATAAACAGGGCGTCTAAATACATCTCTATGGATCAATTTCCATCCTGTAAAATCTTCTGTATTATCATCATAAATCTATTTTTAGTAGAGAGTCAATATTCGTGTTTAGGTGTATTTTTTTTTTTGTATTCTATTTCATATATAAACCTTAATATCTTCACTATTGCTATTGTTATTAGGCATTGTCTTGAATAAGATGAATCCAATGATGATACATAATACACTATCAACAGTCAGTCCATTCCAGAAACTATATCCGACAGGATGTGGTATAATATAATTCTGCCAACGTTTAGCATTCTTTACTTGCTTCCATTTTACAGAATAAGTAAATATGACTTGTCCTCTTCTACCTGTTACTTCTTGATGTTCATAATCTACTGAATTTTTCATACAGTCTCCTTCTGCAATTCTATATTATAAACAATTTAATTAAAATAATTGAAGGAGAGGAAAAAAAAAAGGATAACTTACGAGTCAGGATAAACTTCGAAGCCTGTAATATCGCCTTTCTCGGTATAAAGTACTTGAAAAATGACATGATTATTGATATATGTGTTCTCTCCCTACATACTCATATAAAAAAAAAAAAAATTAAGGAACAGCCATAATGTGACACTTTTTTTTTCTATTACCTTTTTAAAACCCAATGGAAATCCAATTCGATAATTATGTTCAGGGGCTTCATTTGTATAAGAAACAGTTGAACCAATTAAACCATCTAATATCCTAAATGAATTAACATGAGCAAATAATGCCTCTCTTTTTTTTTAAAAAAAAATATTGATATACCATTCTACTTGATAATTATTTGAAATTAAATCGCTTACTTGAATAGCATCTTCAACACTCCAAGCTTTTTTACAAAGTAATTTACATTCTTGATCTTTTAAAAAGTTAATCTACACATGGAAAAAAAAAATTAACTACTCGAAACTTTAACAACTTGCAATATTTACTTTATAATCGCTTGGAATGAGTCGATCGCCTCGAATATCCTCATCAAAGATCAATAAGCTTTTTTTTCGTGATGTGTGTGAAGGTGGACATATAAAAGAAAGTGACGCATAATCATAGGTTAATTGACTCTTTATAGAAAACAGTTTATTGTAATAAAGAGTTATTTGATCGCCTGATTTATAACATTGAGCTTTTTGAAATAATAATAAAAACAAAAGGAATAGGAATTTCCTTGTCATTTTTTTTTTTTAAAAAAAAGAAAATAAAATAAAAAAATACAAAAAAAAGTAATAATAGAAATAGGCTTTTCACTTTGAATTTAGATAGTGTCAGTTTTTTTTTTTGGTACGAAAAAAAAAAAAAAATCAAATTCGGATTTTATGCTTACCTTTTCTGGAAGAAACGAGAATAGAATTCAGATTAGTTTTGGACAAATTAAAAGTTATATTAGATTTTTTACTTGTAATAATCTGAATCCCCAGAAGAGAAACCATATTTGTTATAGCGATACTTTATATCTGTTTAGTTTCTACCGAAAATGGGAAGCCTACCATTACCTTTCCAAGCCGACAAACTTATCTTCATTCTATTTCTTGCTGTGTTTACGTCGCGCTGCCAAAGTAGATGACTCATTTTACAAAGAAGTGCAACATAGCCTTTAACGTGAGCAACTTTCTCCAAACTATCTGTTCCGCTTCTACTGTAAATACGAGGAATTCATCATCTCGTCCACAGGAATTACCAGCATCTTCTCGTCTCTTCAAGTATCTCCACATTATGCCAACTATTTCTCGACAAAGGCCTTTTCAGCTTTACCGAGTTTTTTTTTTATGATAGAGATAAGAAAAAAAAAACCCACTTAATATGCCTCATTATTTAAATTAGTCTAAAAGTATTATACAAATATGTCGCATAAATAGTGTTCAATGTTTTATACTTGTTGCCTTATTGAAAAAAAGAAAGAAAAAAAAAAGCTCACGACAGCGCATAGTAACTTGGAATCATTCTTTATATAAACTTAGTTCCCTTTTAGATCAAACTAAACAAGTAATACATGAATATATTATATTCAAGTATTTTATGTGTGAATCAAACATCACTAGGGAAAAGAGAAACAATGTTGTTTTGTTTATTTCATTACTTTGTCTGAAAATTTTTTTATTTTTTTTTTTTTTTTTTTTTTTTCGTCTTTTTCTCTCCTTTTTTTTTTTTTTTTCTTGCCAACATATCATAATTGTATTAAAATATGACTAGAAGAAAAATCACCAAGATCCCAACATTTTAGAGAAATCAACTATGGAAAAAGAAGTTGCACTTGCATCTATGAAGCAGATCATAACAGAGATATTTATAGATGCCCAAAAATCCGATACTATGCTACGTAGTCTGTCGATCCGTTTACGAGATGTTCAATTAGGTTGTTGCTTAAATTCACCAAAAATGATGGGTCAGCCTGAAGACATTAACTTTGAAGGTGAAGCCGACTTCATCAAATATATCTTTAAAATGGTTAATGTTGTCATCAAAGCAAAAAGAAAAGATCCTATAGCTGATCGCGTACAAAGATTTATTGCTGGATTTATACATTATATTCAAACTAAAGGTATTATACTAGCCGATTAATAATATACAAGAAAGAAATTGTAAATATTGACACTATTATATTCATATGCATATATATCTAAATTTTAAGATGAGGAGGCTAAAACAAAAGCAAAGGCAAAAAGAAAATCAGAACAAGAACAGATGGATAAAATGGATCATGATCATCCAGAAGAGAACAATAACAGCGAGCAATCAGTTAATAATGACAATGAAGATGATGACGAAGATGAAGAATATGAAACAATCTCTTCTAGATTTGTTGAAAGTTTAATTCGACATTTGTTTCGCGGATTTTCAGATTCAAAAACATCGATTCGAATTAGATGTTATCAAATTATTGCTCTTTGTATTAGTTCAATGGGTGAACTTGATGAAGATTTGTATCAAGATTTAAAGAAGCATTTATTTGAAGGATATGTTGATAAAGAAGCAAGTGTCAGAGCTCAAGCTGCAACAGCATTATGCCGTTTACAAACAGACACAGAAGTTAATCGTTCAGATGGACAAACGATTCGTGATAAACTTTTATGGAGCATGAGTCACGATTCTAACTTGTAAGTTGTTGTTATTGTTTCTAGTTTCTACTACATTATGTCTATATGTATTATTCATTCAATATGCATACATATCTATTTTTTTTTGTATTATAGTGAAGTAAGACGTATTATTTATATAATATCGATGTGACGCAACAAACACTGCCTTATATTATTGAGAGTATACGCGATCCAGATGATATTAACCGAAGAGTTGTATATATTTAAAGCCTTTATCAGAAATTAATGATTTTAGAATATTAAGCTTTGATCAGCGCAATAAAATATTAAAATGGGGATTAAATGATAGAAATGAACAAGTTCGAAATTCAGCTCTAAAGATGTTTGCAGAAAAGTGGCTTGAACAAGCTGGAAACAATCTTATTGAATTTCTAGAAAGATTACAAGCTACAAAGCAACCAGCAACAGTATTAGTAGATAAATTACTAAAGGCCTTTTTTAAGCAAAGAATCGAAGTATTTAATGATATTGTTTTGATGGTATGATACATAAAGATTTGAATATTCTCCTTCTGTCTTTATAGACACAAAATAATAATAATAATTATTATTATTTCTTACTTTAGAGGAATTCTGGAATAATCTTTCACCGGAAAGCGCCTTGTTTGGCAAAAATAGCTATAGAATTTTTACAGACTAATAATCTTGACGAACAATTGGAAGCTACCTTGCCTGAAGTTACACGCCATGTCTTTAATTTGGAAAATTATTTTAATCTTTATCGTATCTCAATTGAACAAGGAGATTCAGTGGCAACTTATGAATTTATTTTAATACAGTTACTTGATATAGCATTATGCTTGGATTATGCTGATGAAGTAGGAAGAAGGAATATGCACGAACTTTTAAGAAATATTTTAAAAATGCATGAATTAATTGATGACCATCTTGAAAGGGTATTGAAGGTTTTCAGGATGATTTCGATTGATGAACGTGACTTTACAAGGTAATCTACATTGACACATTTGTTGTAGTCGAAAGAAACTGTTAAAATTAAAGCATTTATTCCCTTTTTTTTAAGATCTATCATTGAAGTTATTTCAGATATTCAAGAGGAGGCCCTAGACCCATTTTTAGATTTAGATGAGGATGAAAACAATAAACCAAAAAGAATCAAAAAACAGTGAAAACTTGGTAGCAGTTAAGCGATCTTCACAACAAGATACTGACCAAAATACATCTGTAGATGAAGAAACAGGTGGCGATCTTGATAATTTAGTGATGCAGTTCCGTTGTTTAAATATTTGTAAAAGAATGTTAGAGAATAGTTATGAAGTAAGGCTATTTATAAGGGGGGGAGGGAGGGTCTATTATATTCTATACTAAATTGTCTAAACTTTGTAGCCATTAGCAGATATTCTAATCTTTATGGTTTATTAAATGACCTTATTGTACCAGCAGTTCAGAGTTCTGATCCTTTGTTACGTCAAGAAGGTTTACATTGTCTTGGTTTATGTTGTATGCTTGATAAAAGGCTTGCACAGCATAACATTGATTTATTTGTTACATGTATTAAACTTGGTCATGAAGATCTAGTTAAAATTGCAATTAGAGTAAGAGATAATTAGCAATATAAAAACGAGGAAACAAAGAAAATCAACCTTTATTTCTATATAGATCTTAGGTGATATTCTCTTAATGTATGGAGCAGACTATATTTCAGATCGTTTAACTAGTGTAAATATCTATTTAAAAGGAATACTGTACATGAATTCTAATATTTATATACACTATGCATTATTAGCCGGATGATGTTAGACAAGTTTTCGAGTTTGGTTTAGACCACGATAACACAGAGATTCAATCACTGACTACACAAGCCTTATGCAAATTAATGTTGTTTAATAGATATGGTGATGATGAGGTACATACATATAAAAATACCATTCTACGTATACTCATCTTTATATACATGTATATACATATATATTAGTTGCTTAGGCTCATGGTTCTTTTATACTTTTTCCCTAAAACTGTGATAAATGATTTTAACAATACAATTCATCAATGTTTAGCCTATTTTTTCCCTGCTTCTGCTACTCTTCTGTAAAACATCAAAAGTCTTATCTACTATAGCTATCCCAGCATTAGAAGAGCTTTGCAATATTTATGGTGATTTAGAAAAAGATGAAACAATGACTAACCCCAAACAAATTTCAGAAATGCTAGCTGATTTAAGTGATCCACGTAAATTAGTCAAAAAGTACGTACAAATGAATACTGAAAAGAAAAAAGAAAAATAAGTTAAATATCATTCCTTTTTTTTATTTTTATTTTTTACCTTCAGGACAAACCCAAAACAGCCTTCATTTATGGATGATGAAGAAAAAGAAGCTGGATTTGATACCCCTGGCGAACTTGCCATTCAAGCACTTCAAATAATTTTAGGAGAAAATGAAGGGTTAAAGAGAAGAACAATGTGTCATTTTGTACTAAAATTATACTTGGATAAAGCTGAAAAGGAACAATTAATAGAGATTCAGGATTTGATAAAGCAGATTAATGAGGTAAGAAAAATACATTTATAGTATCAACCTGAATCAGAAATTGATAATATTTGTATTCATGTGTATATATTTTAGAAAAATCCTATCAAGTTACTTCCTACTCGAAAAGCGATTATGAAGATATCTGAAAATATAAGCAATATTCTTAATACAAGTAATGAACAAGAAAAAGATTCTTTAATAATGGAAACTGAACCAACAACAGACATTGATGAAATACAACAGCATAGTGCTACTCAGAATGCCCAAACAGGGGAAGTAAATTCTAGTAGTCATGCATCTCCTATAGCTACAAATAACAGTAACGAAGGAAATCAGATCACAAGTACTCTCAATAGCTAACGCGGAAGAAGCAAACAATCAAGGCAACACACAGAAGAACAGCCAACAGAAACAACGTTAGTTGAAGACGACATAAATGAAATGAACGAAGAAATATAATAGTGATTTAAAAGATATCGAAAGACAAAATAGTATTATGACCGAAGAAGAAGAAAATAATGATGACAGCAGCAGTAATGATAGTGAAAAGCGTAATAATGACAGTTCTACTAAAACTGATAATGAGGAAGAAAGTAGTGAGGAAGACGATGATGATGACTATAATGAAGAACAGCTCTAATTCTGACAATTAACGTTATCTTTAATAATTATTTATACATATTGTAAAATAGCATCAAATATTATTGCTTATAAACATGTTTATCTTAACTATGAATATTTGTATGTAAATAAAGTCATTAATATTATAATAATCAATCAATGGGCACCTAGTTTTTTTTTTAAAAAAAAAAGAAATAAAATAAATAAAAATATTAAATTGCTTCAGTCAGTTCAATACGTTTATATTCTTGTAATAATAGGCTGTCATAAAGCCTTAGCCCATGAAAGCTATGAGATGTTGTGGCGACGTGCTTATAATGCTACTAAAGTTATTCACCAATCTCTTACGAAATATTGGCAGGTTAACGTCAACTTCAAGCATCCACTTGTAAAAAAAAAAAAAACCCAAAGGTATAGTCATTAAGGACTAATCGTTTTTTCTCAACGGAAAGTTTCAGTTTTTTAAATATGAATGTAGCTTTTACTTTGTTCAAGTTTACTATCTTGATTTTATTCGGAAATATTGCTTCATCAGTTTCAACTTTTATTGTTGTTGACGATATAGCCAGGACAGTTCTAATATCTTATTCTAAATAATAACTTCAATCAGATACATCTTTACAATTTATACATGATTTAGGTGGCGCTGAAATTGTGACTTGAAAACTTTTTTATTTTTTTTTTCTTTGTAAATAAAATGAATTTCGATATTTTTATTTTAATACTGTATCTTTTTTTCGCAAATGGCCCCCATCGGTGTAAGTTCTAATGACCATATTTTATTATTATTATTGTTTATGCATCATGAAATGACTCACTTTTTTTTTGCTATCTCTATTTAGACTATCAAGTCTTATCCTGAAAACCCTCGCGTTGCTAGAGCTCAAATTACTGTAAGTAGATTATTACAAATAATATAGCGATTTATATGAAATCTAATTTATCTTAAATTAAAGGCTGAATACAGTGGTGTTGAATTCAATGTTGGCTTTTGACCTTAAAAAGGATGTTTCTCCTGAATTCTTAGCCAAATTCCCTATGGGTAAGGTTCCTGCTATGGAATCCGCTGAAGTTAACCTCTTTGAATCTTCTGCCATTGCCTACTATGGTAATATAAGATAGTTAAATTACGAAGAAGGAAAATACCATTTACTAACATTTTTTTTTTCAATAGCTGCTGCTCAAAAAGAAAACAACCCTCTTCTCGGTAGCAACGCCATTGAAAAAGCCGAAGTCCTTCAATGGGTCCTCTTTGCTGATAATGAGATCAACAACAACGTTGGTGCTTGGATCTATCCTCTCTTGGGTTACTTCCCCTATATTAAGCCCAATGTTGATGCTGCTACTGAAAGAGTTAAGAGAGCCTTAGCTGCCCTTAACAAGACTCTTCAAACCAAGACATACCTTGTTGGTGAAGCTGTTACTTTCGCTGATATCACTCTTGTTACTTCTTTGGTCTTGGCCTTCAAGACTGTCCTTGACAAGTCTCTCCGTAACGAATATAAGAACGTCACTCGTTACTTCACTACTGTTGCTTCTAAGGATATCTTCAAGAAGTACCTTGGTGAACTTCAACTTTGTGAAACTCCTTTGAAGTACACTCCTCCTAAGAAGGAGAAGAAGCCTGCTGCTCCTAAGGAAGCTGCTCCCAAGAAGGAAGCTGCTGCCCCTAAGGAAGATGCTGAAGAGGCTAAGCCTGCTCCTAAGCCCAAGTCCAAGTTGGACTTGTTGCCTCCCTCTCCTTTCATCTTGGATGCTTGGAAGCGTGAATACTCCAACAATGATACTAAGGATGCCATCAAGTGGTTCTGGGAACACTTTGATCCGAGGGTTATTCCATCTGGAAGGTCGACTACAAGTACAACGACGAATTGACCTTGACTTTCATGTCCAACAACTTGATTGGTGGTTTCTATGCTCGTCTTGAACGTGCTCACAAGTACGCTTTTGCCTCTATGATTGTTCGTGGTGAAAATAACAAGAATACTATCTCTGGTTACTTCGTCATTCGTGGCCAAGAAGTTCCTTTCGAAATCTATGATGCTGCTGATTATGAATCTTACAACTTCCAAAAGATTGAACCTTCTCAATATGAAGAAAAGAAGGAAGAAATCTACAAGTACTTTGCTTGGGACTTTGAAGACTGTGTTGACGGTAAGGTCTTCAAATAAACACGATGCATTTTTTGAAAATAAAATAAAAATTTAATAATAAAAACAACCAATAATTCAAGCTGTAATTTTATGATGATAAGAGTTTTTTTTCCACATTTATAAAAAGTTGTCACTGAGCTTGATTTTGCTGCATTTCTTTCTTGTTTATAATTTTCCTCTTTGTTGTTATTTCACACGAATGACAAAGTAGCGTTTATTCATTGATTTGGTTTGTCATAAGTGTAAAAGTCATCAATTCACACAAAGATAAAGTTTACACTGTCATTACATCAAATCAAACTAGAATATTACCCTTCCTCCATCACCAAAAGGCAGACCATATTATTCTTTTCCCTCCTTCTTTGAAACAATTAGGGATATTAAAAATGTAGACTATCAGGTACTCTTGTCCATCTGTAATGATTTGTTGGAAGACTTGGATCAACTTGGACAACATCTTGAAGCTACCCATTTGAAGGAAATGTGTGGTAGCTTATTAAAGAAACGTAAGCTTGGTTTACGTGTTTTGCGTTATTTTGTGAGACTAACTCCCTTTTTTTTTTTTTTTTTTTTTTTTTTTTTGTAACGGTAATAAAGCAATAATGAAGAAAACAAAGCTTATTCCACAGACGAAGGTCTACAAGATAATGATACTGATTTGGTCAAGAGAAAGGTAACCGTTACTGAAGACTTGGATAATGACGATTTTACATCTGAGGATTGTATCTCAGAATGCAGTGAATCATTACCCATTATTAAACCTGCTATGAAGTTGGAGATACCCTCAGCAGCACGTATTATTGACAGACCTATGAAGAAGCTCTGAACGTATGAAGAGGCGATCACCCACGCTTGTCAGCGAAAAGGCAGTGAACAAGACAAGAACAAAACAATGTTCATCCTTGACAATTTGTCACTATATCTGGCTATTCATACTTTTCTTGGTGGCTATAGATGATATTTATAGGTGCTATTTCATTGGTATTGTGTTTAATATTAACCTCTTTATGATATTACCAACAGTCATGATACAGATCATGGTCTAGTATTATACTTGCCAGATCTCTAATTCAATAAGAATTTCATTTGGAGGTTTTACATTTATTAATTACATAATTTATGTTTGACATAATGATATTGTTTATATAGCATTATTTATATAATGTTTATATTTTATTATATATTTATGTTATGTATGAATACAACAGAAGATGTCACACATAGCAATACTTTGTGTGTCAGTTGTTCTTCACAAAGTGATGTCGGTTTAAAAAATTTATTTGCTGCCTCCCCTTATTCTGCACTATTGACACAATGTGAGTATGTTCCTCTCACGGATGAAATATGCAAATTGCTGAACAAAGACTGGCATTTTTATCCGCAAGTTAAATTTTTTTCTGCGACCTCTTCGCTGGATCAATATTCCTGAACACCAACAACAATCAAGGCAGTTATGGTTAATACTTTAATATACGGTAGAACAAAAACTGTTGATTGGCATCGTGAACCCTTCGGGAAGCTTAAGAATAGTGTGCGCACAACCTCTCTTCCCCCACCAGTAAAGATCGCGCATCCAAATGTTTAGCCTGTTTCGTTGAACAACGCGATGGGAAAACACTGATAATCGGCACCCAGGTTTCTAATGCTTTAGTAACATCAAGCATACGCTTGGATGAAGAAATCTTGTGCTGTTGGAGGTATGTCTTCTAATTTTCAACTCTGTACGTTCAAGGACTCTCTAACATGCAAGATTTTTATTGATCTTAACTCATTAAAATCCGCAAAGGCATTGATTGAAGACCCATCAGCAACATGTGTATCAGATATCGGCATCATATCTCATGAATTACGACAGGTGCGTACGCAATTTCACTCACCATCAACATACACATCTTGCCGTGCTCATGGTCCAATAACCATGATTCATACTTGTCACCCGTTCTCGCTCTTCACTTTAGCTGAATTTGACCGTGGCCGTAGTCCTTGTGCTTCTATTTTTCGTACCATTGTCCGATGAAGTTTTAACACATCGCAACAAAGCTGAACTTGACAAGGAAAACGTCGTTAAATGGATCAAAGAAGCAACTGGTAAGGGAAAAGAAATTCTTACGAAAGTCCTTGGCTTGTATGAAGAGAATAACGACAGCCTTCCAATTTTATTCAATGTCCCGCTCAAACAAAGAATTGGAAAAGTTTGTCATTCTTTTAAAGCCCACAATTGTTTCAGCAAATACTTCGGTTGAAAGCCAAGTGAAGGAGGTCTTTATGATCTTTAGTTGATATTGATTTGTTTTTTTTCTGTTGTTTTTTAATAAAGCTGTTGTATAGTTTAAAAAAAAAGGACAAAACCATGAGACACAAGCATAAATGAATTTTTTTTATTTTTATTTTTATTTATTTTTTTTAGAGAGAATTTCATGTATAGAAAAACAATTTATCTTTTTGCATAAACTATCTAAATAATCCAGGAATTCTAAAGGCGCGTTCTAAAGGCTCCCAATTCTAAAGGCACTCAAATTCTAAAGGCACTCAAATTCTAAAAATTATTATTATTAGTATTATTATTTTTTTGACCAAATGAGCACATAGCATTTATATATGCTGTTTTACCCTTGTCAGATCGCTATGGAAAAAAAGGAAAGAAAAACCCTTTTGAGATAAAAGGGAAAATGTTAAAGTATATGTATAAGTGATGATAATTTACTATCAGAAAATCGTTATTGTATTGAAAGAAGATGATGGTCAGAGGGTTCAGGGATTTGGGAGTGAAGCTAGATAGTTCATCTCAAGCAGAATTGCACATATAGAAGGCCAGTGTATGAGCCAGGCATCAATTAATTTTTTCACTTTCTTAGTATGGAATGTTGATGGTGATAGATTCAAGAGATAAGAGAGTGGATCTTCAATAGATTTGGGGTATCTGAAGGCGGTTATGCATATGTAAACAAGAAAAACTATGTGAGCGTGTGAAGAGTTCATTTGAATGGAAAGGGCAGGCTTGGGGTTTACCAAGAGGTAACCAACCAAGTCGCCATCGCACGCAACGAAAACGTTCACTTCTTGTCATTGGTACCGTAAGAATAGGGTCGATAATTAGATTATTACGGCAATGGGATAAAAGTTTCGAATATTTTTCTTGTAGTTTTGAGTGGTAGCTGTCAAGTGGGAATTGTCTTCGTTTTCTACTAAAATCCTTATGAGATGTAGTGTTAAGAACTTGCTCTAGTACAGTATTTCTGTATCAAATTATTGCGAATTGAAATGTCACTTGTCGCATTTTTATATTCTTAACGATTTTGATAAAACAATGAGCACAGAAGCACAATTCATTTTGGAAGATGGTCAAGGTGGAGAAAGAGATGATACTAGAGCTAAACTGATGGAAGTTGATCAGTATGATCCTCAGATCAAGACCTTGACAACGCTTGGTCAGTATCTGCAATACCAAGTTGATCACCAGCAAGCCTTTGATGAGATTAACGAGGAATCCAATACTCAGAGAAGGGGAAAAAATAAAAATGAAGCTGAAAAGAAGAAAAAAACTTATACAGTATATTCACATATTGATAAGTTCAACTTCATTCACCATATGATTGTGAAGTGTCTCGAAACAATTGCTCCAGTTGCCAGGTTATATAATATTAATCCTCGAACAGGTCAGCGCTGGTGGGATAAGTATAAGGAAAACCCAGACACTTTTTTCGAAATTAAACCAAGAGGATATATCAAAAAGCTCTATATCGAGCACAAGGACTTTCTGGTGGAGCTATTCGATAAAGATCCAGCTGCAACCATCGAGGACGCTATTGAGGAGTTATCGGCTAATTTTGAAGAAATTAAAATGGATTCGACCGCAGTTTATGATTTCTTGAAAGTTGATATGAATTTCATTTTTAAAAGAGCTGCATTTCATGCTGAGAAGAGGAATAATGAGGAAAACGTGGAGGAGAGATACAAGTAGGCTACTCAGATTGCCAATTCAGATGTCAATTTCCTTAGAAATTGCATCTTTATCGATGAATCCGGTTTCCACGTTATTTGAAGCGTACTGGTGCTAGGGGACCTAAAAGAAAAACACCTATAATAGAAGTTGAGAATTCCTAAGCTGTGTCTCATACCATTTTAGGGGTTATTTCTGTCTATGGTGTGATTCATACTAGCGTAAGAATACCTAGTCTTCTCACCTCTCAGCTTGTGCCTGTCTCAGTAGGCAAAAAAAAAAAGAAAGACTGATACCGGAGTAGCAAAAAACAGCAAAAACCAAAGGGTATTAATGCTGACCATTTTGATGTTTTTATAAAAGAAACTCTAGATGTCATGGATCAATTTCAATATTTAAAAAGAGGTATATTTAATTATGGACAACGCTTCTTTCATAAAAGACTTGACATAACTGATCTGATCACAAAAAGGAGCTATAATTATATTTTCTTACCCCCATACTCGCCAGAGCTCAACCCGATCGAACAATTTTGGTCTGTAATAAAAAGTAAGATCAGAAGAGTTAAAATGTTTAATGGAGAAACCTTGCAAGATCGGATTACAGAAGCTTGCAACCAAGTTTCTCAAAGTCATCTTTATAATATTATCAAACATTCTGATAATCGCTTATACAACTGTTTAAATAAAAAGCATATTTAATCTTTTTCCCTTCTATATAATCCTTTTTATTAGTATTGTTGCAGAGTTTAGTAAAAATGCGACAAGTGAAAAAAAAATGCGCCAAGTGAAATTATCAAACGTGCCAAGCTAAATATTCAGATGGGACAAGTGAATTTCCCAATCACGAGGCTTTAACAAAGAAATATGAATATTCTAAGATTTTCAGGCGCATTTTTATTTTCCGAGTGTTAACCTTTCTTAGTTGCTCTGACGACATTTAAAATCTGTTTATTCTACAACACATGTAAAGTTAGATAGGCAATATGAGGTTACTTATTCCTTGTACTGTCTAGCAGGCAATTCAGTCTACTTGTCTTTAATGGTTTAAGAGGTAAAATAAAATGTATTTACTTTCATTTGGTGTTTTAAAGCTTTAGATCCCTTTATTCAGATGAGTGCTTTTAAGTAAATGGATCCTTTTTAACTAAATGAGTGTCTTTAAATAAATGGGTGCCTTTAAGTAATTGGGTGACTTAAAGTAATTGGATCCTTTTTAATGAATGGGTGCGTTTAATTAAATGCATCCTTTTAAATAAACGGATGTCTTTAAATGTTTGGGTACTTTTAAACAGTTGGATGTCTTTAAATGTACTCTTTTGAATAAATAGACTCTTTTAAGTAAATGGGTGCCTTTTAAGTAAACGGGTGCCTTTGAGTAAATGGATTCTTTTAAGTAATTGTGTTGTATTAACCAAATGGGTGCCTTCGACCAAATGAGTGCCTTTACACACAGAATATTTTGATATTGGGCACTTTGAAATTGGATCACCTATTCGGTAGTTCGAGTTGTTTGGTCAGCCATTGAGTCTTACTTACATTCAACTTTTTGTTTTTATTTTATTTTCACACTTGTTACCTGGATAATAGCTGTATAAATCAATACACTAGGTAGATATACATAATAGCATATATTTGGCTCTTGCCACATTTCACCTGTGATAGTTTGAACATGTATAAATCAGATACTTGATGCAAAAATCATATAAGAAGAACAAAGCTTTCTACTTCAGAAATTCATTACGCATTGTACTCGTTCCAATATTGGCATTATTCGCGTTAAGACACTCTAATTAATGACTCTAACACATAACTGTTAGATAGGATATGGCTTAACTTTCGTTTTTTACAACCAAACTTAGTAAGCTTTTTAAAACAGCTGTAACATACCTAAAACGGTCTTATTGTTATCCTTTCTTTAGCTAATACACTACAACAAATACACCGTAACTAGTACACCACGGCTAATGTACCACAGTACTCGCATTTTAAATAAACTACTTTATTGAAAAGAAAGAAAAAAAATAGGAAAAAAAATAAACAAATTTAAACAAGTTACAAGCAACCGAAGACTTCAAAGACCTGTTTCACTTGGGCTTCAACGGATTTGTTTGCCTCTACAATGGTGGGTATTAATAAGATAGCAAGTGCTTCTAGTTCTTTGTTGAGTGGAGCATTATATAAAATTGGAAGCCTGTCCTTATCATTTTCATACAAAGCAAGGATGTTGGAGAGGATTGCTTTTCTTTTGCCTTTTGATTCATTGATCCATCTACTAACATTTTCTTTGGCGAGTTTGGCGTCGCTATTATTTAATAAAACCTCATTAGCAATTGTACGAAATATAGATGCAGATGGACTGCGACCACGGTCAAATTCACTTAAAGTGAAGAGTGAGAATGGATGGCAAGTATGATTTATGGTGATTGGACCAGAAGCACGGCATAAAGAGTATGTCGACGGTAGATGAAACTTTGTTCGTACTTGCCGCAATTGGTGAAATATAATACCAATATCCGAAACGTGTGTAGTTGATGGATCTTCAATCAATGTCTTTGCAGATTTTAATGAGTTAATATCAATAAAAATCTTAGATGCCAAGGAGTCCTTGATTGTATCGAGCATGAAATGAGATGAAGTGGCACCAATCGATACAAAACCTTTTTCATCTAAACGAATACTGGAAGTTACTAATGCGTTTGAAACTTGAGTTCCAATTACAAGCTTCTTTCCATCCCGTACATCTAATGAAGTAGGCCATACATTTTGGTGGAATACTTTTATTGGTGGGGGCAACGAGTTTGTTATGACGCTGTTTTTTAACTTTCCAAATGATTCACGATGATAGTCAGCGGTTTTCGTCCTGCCATACATTTCAACCGTATTTATCATGATTGCTTGGTTGATATTAGTATTCAAGATTATTGACCCAGCGAAAACAGTTGCAGAAAATATTTGACTTGAGGGTAAAATTGCCAGTCTTTGTTCAGTAATGTGCATAAGTCACCTGTTAAAGGAGTATACTCCCATTGTTTCAATAATGAGGAATAAGGCGAGGTATCAAACAAGCTGCTGAGTTCAGCATGAACTTGTGATGCACAGTTTATACATAATGAATTAGTAGCACTGTCATCTTCATATGGTCTTTTCATGATTGGAATAGATTTGATAGAATCATATTTTGCTACAAGATTATTTACAATAGTATCATGAGCGAGTGCATTTTCCTCATTTCCATGATTGTCCAATATTGTAAAAGGTTTTAGTGACAAAGTATCTACAATGAACATTGTTTTGTTGTTGCTATTTTCTGTACCTTTTTGCTGGCATGCGTGGGTGATTGCTTCGTTATATGTTCGGAGTTTCTTAGTAGGTTTATCGATACTTCGTGTTGTGGAAGGCATATCCAACTTTAAATTGGGTCTTATGATAGGTAATACTTCCTTTCGTTCCGAGATAAAATCTTCAGGTGTTAAATCCTCATTATCCATATCTGTAGCGAGGGTTTCTAAATCAATGTTATCATTCTAGATCTTCATCCATGGCGTAAGCGTTAAGTTCTTGATTAATGCTTTCCTCTCTTTTCAAAAAAAAAAAAAAAAATAAAAATAAAAAGACGAGCGTAGTAATCAAGTAAACATAAGAGCAGCTTTTGCTAACAAAATCATTCTTTTGATTTAGCGTTTGAGTTTTAGTTAAACGAGAGATTAAAAAGAAAGGAAAAGAGCATATTTACTTATTTAAAAAAAAATGATAGGCGTCGCTTTTTCTCTCTGCTGGCCTTTTTTTTTTTTTTTTTTTTTTTTTTTTTTTTTTTGACAACTTGTTCGAATAACAAGCCTGAACCAGGTAATCCACACCCAATTTCGTTCAAAACCGCCTACATCTCGAAGATCATTTTTTTCAGCAAAAGCTGTAACTTCAGCAAGAAACGCGGTCCTATGCTGTCTAGAAAGAGAGGTCCAAGCAACAAAAGTACCAATTTCATCAATTGTCGCGTTGACAAGATTGTTTGTTTCCCTCCTTAAATCTTCGTAAATTTTATTTGCGTCAGATCTTTCTTCTACAACTTCAGCAACGGCATTCATAATTACAGCTTTCCCTATATCTTTTGGTTTTACGATCAAGTTATTGTGGGCTGCAACAAAAGTAGCGGGAACAACAGTAGCATTATTGGTGATAGGGGGAGTAGCCAAAAAGAAATGGAAATACGATTTATTATATCATGATTAGCTGCAATATCAGTACTAATCTCTTCGAATCTATTACTAATAGGTTCAATATTTTGGATCTGGGTTAGTGTATCGACTATACCACCAATTCTCTTCACTTCGTTTATGAGCTCTATGGCCCATTTTGGTGGTGCTTGCAGTGCCATATGTCTGAAAAAGTTGAAAAAAAGAACAAAAGTATATAGAACTAATTTAAAATACACTAACTTTATAAATATTTGCTTACGCAATAAATCATCCTTTGTGACTACTGATACTATTATTATATATAGGTGTAACAATGAAATTAACCTCTCTTTTCTCTTCTAAACTTATTATATTTAGAATAAAATGAATTGCACAATATGCTTTGAATCTACGGGGAAAAGAAAGCTTGTAGCCAGACGAGAATTTACACGACACTTGGCTGCGCATCGACGTGAAGAGTTTAAGAGAAAGCTGAGGCAGATACCAGAAATCCCAGAGAATAATGCTGTGGAGGGCATATCTTCAAGTGGTAAGAAAAAAGCACTTCAAATAGATATTCTAGCTACTATGACTAATTATGTATTTAAACAGCAGTTATAGCTTCCAGAACTATCCAGAATCCAGCTTTTCGACAAGGACCGTTGGCAGACATGGTTATTGACGATGATATTGAGATGGAATATTTTCAAGTAGAAGTAGGTAGGGATAGTGGCCAAGAAGAAAGATAGTTCTGGTAGAAGAAGAAGGAAAGGAAGTGTGATATTTCTTTTAAAATATCAAATAAAAAATATCAGAAAATAAAAAATATATTAAGACAAAAAGAGTCAACGAGACCGAACAATAGTCTAAAGTCAATTATTTTATCTATGAATTAATTGTTGGGTATTTATAAGAATTGTTAAAGAGGTCTGAGGATAAGATGGAATCAGAAAAATGTTAGTTACGACCGAATAAGATATGTTATAGATAATGAAGTGTTAGTAGTTTTAATATTATTAGATGAAGCGCATCAAGAGAGATTCTGGAGATTCTAGATAGAATTTGCTTAAATAAATTTATGATCCGCATGTTTAATCATGAAACATGACATTATAAGTCAGCTCATGACAGGAAGAAAAAGAAGGCTTTTTCGAAGCAGAGGACGATGAGGAAGAGATAGCTGAGGCGCTTGTTGATGATATCGGATATCTTACCAATGTTGAATATGAAGAGGATACATATATAGATGATGATGAAACCACAGCTACTATTGAAGCTGAAGAGCCTTTTGATGAAGCTGAAAGCTGGGCTAAGCAAGATTTGTTACGAATTGGTACATCAGAAATGACTGGTGAACCTATTCATTTATACATTGAAGATTCTGGTAGGGCTTCAGAACATACTGAGAGTGAGAAACGAAGCAAAGAATTATGTTTTGATGCAAAACCACCAAGTGAAAAAGTCAGCCAAAGACGCAATCATTAAATGGATCAACAAAAACATATCATCCTAATCAGTCAAAGATGAATCACTAAAGTCTGTTTGGCTTTCTGAAAAGCTTCTTAGTGAATCAACCGCTTTGAATGAAAGGCGCTATGACATGTGCGCGAACGGATGCATGATGTTCTTAAGAGATGAAGAGCTACGATGTTTTTTTTGTCTTGGGCAAGATATGAACAATCTGAAGATGGATCTAGCAAGCCTCGAAACACGCTCTCCCAACTAAGTATAGCCGATTTCGTTTCATCGTACTTTGTGAATGCTAATAGTAGGGATAAAATTTTATACCGAGCAAGAAAAGATGCAACCGCTGAAACAGAAAAGTTTAAAGATTACTACGACGGTCAGCATACAAATATGCGAAAACAAAAAACATGTTTTCAAATGAGTATGATATTGCTTTATCTTTATATGTTGACGGTTTTCATAGGGCCAGAGAGGAAAAGAAAGTATGACAATCGTCAAAGCAGTGAATATGAATTTAGCGCCAACTGAAAGAATGAAGAAGGACAATCAATTCGTTGTATGCGTTATAAAAGGCCCTAAAAAGCCTAAAGACCTTTACAGCTTTTTGCATCCTCTAATCAAAGACCTGTTAAATATGCAGAATCGAGGAGTAAAGCTTCAAGCCGACGGTTTAACTTTTGCGTTTAAGGTTTATATTTTTTATTTTTAGGAGATATTATGGCCTGTGCAGATGTTTTATTCATGCTGGACATATGTCTACATGGTTGCCGAGTTTGTACAGTAAAATGCGCTTCATATGATTCACGAAATGTTTATTTCGCTCCAGATGGGGTGGACGGCCTGAAGTTCGTAGCAAAGAGAGCTTTCAGCAAGTAAACATCCAGTTGCCAGCTAACAGTGAAACAACAAAGGAATAAAAAAAAGGTTACACCATTGATTTGTTTCAAAATGTTTAGTGCCTCCTTTTGTGGACTTGATAATTGCATTTGACAGGCCACAACTTACCGAAACAGTTTTGGGTTTTATGCAAAATCCAAACAAGAAATACGGTATAGCTAATCCATTTGAAGTATCACCAGCTATAATCAAGAACTTGGTGAAAGGCTCGCTGAAGTACAAAGCCATGTTTCGTTAAATTCTTTTGAAGGTATATTCATGAATCTTTCTTTAAGAGGAAGGGCATGCTCGTGCGGTTGACTGGCAAATATTACTAGTTTATCTTCTTCCAAATCTTGTTTGCGAGGGTATTCTGAAGATGGCAAATGTTCATCTAGCAGAAACACAAGAGTTATGGCCTCTACAGTAGATGATAGGCTTATTGAAAAAAGTTAAAAGACAAGTTGTAGCAGTCTGCTGTTTGTCAAGTGCTTGTACATTGGCATTACAATATGAGATAACTGTGGAAATCTAAAGAAATTCAACATAAGATCCAAGTATGGACTTCTTTTATTAAAGAAAACATGCCTCCTAATGTCGTACAGTAACGCAGCACCACATACAATATTTGTTTATATAATCAAACAACTTGGACCTATGAGGATGTTCAGCTGTAGACCTTTAGAGCGAATGATAGGCATGATTAAGCAACAATTGGTTCAAAATCTAAACCAGCCAAAATGCGTTTAACATTGCCAAAAAGTTTGCAGAACAAGGCTTTATTTCACGCAAAGATAACACTACAGATAATGCAGTACACAAGAAAAGGTTGTATCCAAGAAAGGTAGAACATCTGGGTTTGTTAATTAAATGAATTTTTGTATTTGGGAGCTGAATTCATACAAAAATGTACCACATTCCACCAAAACAATGACAACTTGCAAGTAAGAAAAATTTATTCAGTAATCTGTACTTTGAAGGAAATTCATCAGTAAAACTGAATACAAAATCTGGAAAACGCAATGGTGTATTGCAAAACTGCCTTATCAGATTTTAATGGTACAGAGGAAATTTCTATGTTGTATCTATTGAAGTAATGTATGAAGTAGAAGGAGAGTCATCGTTGTTTGCATAGGATAGAATCTGTGACAATATAAAGTTGAAGGATATGAAGATAGGGTACTGTTTTTTTTTTGTCGATTCCGATACTCTTTACAAAGAATGGAAGGGAGCAAACATTTGTAATTTTGGATATGGAATCAATCCAAAGCCCTGTTAGCACAATCAAGTCTATAATAATGATAGAAAACATTATTTGATATGGCGAAAAATATGCTTAAGCTCAGTGTCATTTTGAAGAACCCTCCTTTTTCATTTTCATTAACATAATTAGCGTTAACTTCTTAACTTTTGTAGGAACTATTAAAAAAATATCACACAGTCTAAATAACTTAAATAACCTTTTTTACACTTTTAATATTTTCAATACTTTAAAGCTTTTTAAAAAATTTACTAAACTTGATTTGACACTTTAAAACACTTTCTTGTTAGGTGACTACAAATAACATCTAAAAGTACCTTATTATCACTTTTTCCGCCGGTGGTTGCAAAAATCACCCGAAAAAACACTTTTAGAACACCTTAAACCACTAAAAGCACTTAATTTTTCCCGTAGTGATAAATCAGAAAAGTGTTAGTTACAAAAGCATAAGAAATGTTATAGATAATGAAGCGTTAAAAGTTTTATAAAGTTGACCAAGAGAGTTTTAGCAGAATATTGATAAAATTCCTCGAACGATCTTATGATCTACATGTTTAATCAAGAAACATAACATTAAAAATCATCTTGTGACAGGAGCCTTTAATTTGGGAGCCTTTAAAATTGTGAGCCTTTAATCTGAAAGTCTTTAAAGTTTCAAGTGCCTTTAGAGTTTCAAGTACCTTTAAATTTCTAGCCTTTAATGTTTCAAGTGCCTTTAGTTTGTGTGCTTGTAAAGTTTGTGTATCTTACTCTAACCACTTTTTGTTTTGCTGCTTTTCAAGTCCTTTTACATTTTCTATAAATAAGCACTTGGCCTGATTTTGATGCATTTTTTCTTGTTTGTAATTTTCTTTTTGCTTTTATCTCACAAAATGATAAAACAGTGTTTATTCATTGCATTTGTCTGCCACATGTGTAAGAATCATCAATTTACACAAAGAAAAAGTTTACACCGTCATTACCTCAAAATGAGGATATTACCCTTCCTCACCACAAAAGGCAAGCCATATTATACTCTTTCCTCTGGCTTTGAAATCACCAAGGATATTAAAAATGCAACTATTACCAAGTACTCTTGTCCTTCTTGCAATGACTTGTTGGAAGACTTGGATCAACTTGGACAACATCTTGAAGCTACACATTTGAAGGAAATATGTGGTAGCTTTATTAAAGAAACGTAAGCTTGATTTACGCATTTTGCGTTATTTTGTGAGACTAACTCCTTCATTTTTTTTTGTAACGGTAATAAAGCAATAATGAAGAAAACAAAGCTTATTCCACAGACGAAGGTCTACAAGATATGATATTGATTTGGTCAAGCGAAAGGAGACAGTTACTGAAGACTTGGATAATGACGATTTTACATCTGAGGATTGTATCTCAGAATGCAGTGAATCATTACCCATTATTAAACCTGCTTTGATGTTGGAGATGCCCTCGGCAGAACATATTATTGACAGACCTATGAAGAAGCTCCGAACGTATGAAGAGGCGATCACCCACGCTTGTCAGCAAAAAGGTAGTGAACAAGACAAGAACAAAACTATCTTCATCCTTGACAATTTGTCAGTTCGCCCTTTTGCAATTCTAGACGACCAAGGCAATGAGGAAAATGCGCTTGTACATAGCACTATCATTAATAAACTTGTATTAAAACACGATTCCATTAAACCTATTGTCCCTACAAGGAGACCATATGAACATGCCACTCATGGTAATACTTTGTGTGTCAGTTGTTCTTCACAAATTGATGTCGGTTTAAAAATTTATTTGCTACCTCTCCTTATTCTGCACTATTGACACAATGTGAGTATGTTCCTCTCACGGATGAAATATGTAAATTGCTGAACAAAGACTGGCAATTTCATCCGCAAGTTAAATTTTTTTCTGCGACCATCTTCGCTGGATCAATACTTCTCAATACAACAACAATCAGGCAGTTATGGTTAATACTGTTATATATACGGTAGAACAAAAACTGTTGATTGGCATCGTGAACCCTTCGGGAAGCTTAAGAATGGTGTGCGCACAACCTTCTTCCCCCACCAGTAAAGATCGCGCATCCAAATGTTTAGCCTGTTTCGTTGGAACAACGCGATGGGAAAACACTGATAATCGGCACCCAGGTTTCTAATGCTTTAGTAACATCAAGCATACGCTTGGATGGAAGAAATCTTGTGTCTGTTGGAGGTATGTCTTCTAATTTTCAACTCTGTACGTTCAAGGACTCTCTAACATGCAAGATTTTTATTGATCTTAACTCATTAAAATCCGCAAAGGTATTGATTGAAGACCCATCAGCAACATGTGTATCAGATATCGGCATCATATCTCATGGAATTACGACAGGTGCGTACGCAATTTCACTCACCATCAACATACACATCTTGCCGTGCTCATGGTCCAATAACCATGATCATACTTGTCACCCGTTCTCGCTCTTCACTTTAGCTGAATTTGACCGTGGCCGTAGTCCTTGTGCTTCTATTTTTCGTACCATTGTCGATGAAGTTTTAACACGTCGCAACAAAGCTAAACTTGACAAGGAAAACGTCGTTAAATGGATCAAAGAAGCAACTGGTAAGGGAAAAGAAATTCTTACAAAAGTCCTTGGCTTGTATGAAGAGAATAACGACAGCCTTTCAATTTTATTCAATATCCCACTAAACAAAGAATTGGAAGAGCTAGCCGTCCTTTTAATGCCCACGATTGTTTCAGCAAATACTTCCATTGAAAGCCAAGTGAACGAGGTCTTTGAGATTTTTAGTTGATTTTAGTTTGTTTTTTTCCTATTTTTTTTTAATAAAGCTGTTGTATGGTTTAAAAAAAATTATAAAGTCAAATAAATCGTGAAAGACATGCACAAATGAAAATAATTATTATTATAAAAAATTATAATCTTTTAAAAAACTATCTATTCTTCTTGTACATATTAACTGGCTAATCCAGAAACTCTAATGGCACTCAAAACTTAAAAGGCACCTGGAGTTTATAAAGGCAAGTTCTTAACCCTTCATACCAGTTATTATAACTTTCAGGCCGATTATTTGTCTCTCAATTCGGTCATTTTTAACTCTTCCATTTTTTCACTTGCTTCGTCTCTCTCTCTTTTTTTTTTTTTTGTTTAAAAAAATAAAATAAAATTATAAAATTCTTTAGTTTAATGGTTATTGTGCAATTGTTAAAAATAAGCAATTCTGTACATAAATTTAGGCTGTAGAAGCCTCACGGAGTGAGCAAATATTACATAATAAAATTTTATCTGGCGAACATTCTGCTACATCAGATAAGCCAGGTAATCTACGGAAACATGTATGACATGTAGCTATTTCTTCATTTCCTTCCTAAGAAAAAAAAACAAAAAAAAAATGAAAGAATAAAAAAAAAATAAATGAGTTTACATACATCGAAAAATAAACTCTATTTTTATGGATTCCACCTTCTCATTTTTTTGAAGCAAGCTGCTTAATTCCTCTCGTAGCTTATTATTGCTAATCCTTAATTGATGCAGTTCATATTGCCAGCTTGCATCTCTATAAACCTCTAACTCTTCGATCTCTCTACTTGAGCGTTGATCTTCTCTGTCATCCGCTTTCCCTTTCTTTTTTATATCAGGATCCAAAGATATAAAGACAGGTTTATCATCCATCAAAGCTGTTTCATAATCTATAGCTTTGGTCTGCATTAAAACAAAAGTGGGTTGTGCAGCAGAATTTATACTAGTAAACCCATCTGGATAAAATGTGGTAGCTACCATAACTTCCATGCCTTCATTATTCAACAGCGCGTGTTTCAAATAGACAATCTTACCCTCCTTCACCTCTGCCAAGGCTCTTGTTAAATCTGTGTACGATTACTTCGCATCAACTGATAAAGTGACATTCCAATTGTCTCCTGAGGTGGTGATCCAAAATATTTGCACTTGTCCAACTAATATACAATAATAGGCCATCTAAACTTAATTTACCCCAAAACTCATGATCTTCAGTGCCATCATGCGCACCTTGCTGCTGATTGTGTGTTTTATTACCTAATGCTAGAGCAGCACGTGATAATCGATAAACAGGTCTTTCACGACCTGAAATCACAACATATTTACGTCCTTTACCGTCTTCATTACACAGCTTTCCATAGCATTCGAACCAAATATAACCTGAATGTTTGCGTCGGATACGATAAATAAGATTAACAATGGGAGTAGACGGCTGTGATGTTGAGGCTTGTTTAAGTTCTCGCATGACAGTTGTGATATCGGATGGATGACAGACAGATTTAAGGGATTTCCCAACAAGTTCTGAAGGGTCATATTCAAGAAGAGCCTTTGTGGATTCAGAACAAAATAAAAAGACACCCTTTATAGTTAAGACATGTACAAAGTCAGGGGCTTCTTCTAAGAGTAATTCATGCCAATATTTTCGATATTTGCCCTCACCTGTACTTGCTTCTTTGATAAGTGTCTCAATATCTATTATAGGAGACTCTATTAAATCTTTACTAGGGGTTATAACATGTGATTGATTATTTTGAGTATTGAAAGATGGTATATCACTGTTTACCATATTGCTTGATATTGTATTTTGCTGAGTGGTATTGCAAAGAAGTTGGGGTGTTAAACGATTTTGATCGGTGTTTGGCCGATACCATTCTTCAATTTCAATATTATCAGTATTATTTTTATCAGGACAATCTATTTTTTTTTTTTTTAAAAAAAAAAAAAAACAAAAAAAAAAATAGTTCAGTAATTTTTTTTTCTCTCTTATTTTTAATGATTATTATTTACAGTTAAAAATACTTGGTGGAATAGTTGAATTTCTGTAATTGACGATGTATGTGCCGTCTAATTAAAATAATGATTATTATACATGTAAAATATAATTTTTTCACAAATTGACCTTTCATGCTTTGAAATATAGCATTTGGTTGTTCTACTAAATCAACTTGTAGTCCCACAAAATAATCAATCTCATCCGAAGAATCAAAAGCAGTGATTGGTATTACTGTTAGTAAGTTGACAAATGGCTACATGTATAAAAACAAATTATACATGAAAAATTTTCCTCTTTTTTTTTGATGTGTATGTGTGGTCTGCAGTTATTCTTACCTGTCCTGTCTTTCTATAATTAATAATACTACATTGTGACTCTTTTCCCTGTATCATATGTGTTTTGATATGATAAATTGTGGTATTATCTGTATATTTCCTTCTTGATCCAATAGCTACTTGTCCATCTGGTGCCTGAAGAAATCGACAGTTTTGACCAATTACTTCATGACTTGCATACCCTGTCAATCGTTCAAACATTGGAGAAGAGTAAACTAGGGGAAAATCATACTGTTTTGCATCAACTACTACAAAGGAACATGATAGGTCAATAGGCCCTAAATAAATTTGAGGATTTGATCTAAAATAAAAAAAAATGAATAAGAACAGCACATATTATAAAAAAAAACATTATATACACATACATATACGTATACACATGTATATATATTAATCTACCTATTAACCACTCGGGATAAGATGGATAACATGTCAAACCCTGTATTTGTATAAATGCCCGCATATCTGCCATTATTATTATCCATATTGTTCGACATGGTATCCATTATATTACTGCTACTAAATAACGATTGAAACTGTGATGACTGTGGTAATGTGAATGGATGCTGAATCTGAGAAGATACTAAGGGATGATGAGGTGGAAAGTGATTTTGCTGCGAAGAGGAAGATTGCTGGACATTGTTAGTCATTAAGCCCGCTTGAAAGCCGCTGAATGAGAATAGTTTATCTGTAGACGGAGGAACATTGCTGCTTTCATAAATTTGTGGATTGAATTGGCTAGAAAATGTTTGTAATCGATCCATAAAATAAAATTTACATAAAATACATGTATAATATAAACATAAAAATATTATAGTTTTTTTTTTATATTTATACAAAAAAAAAAAAAATTGTTCCTTAATTTATCACTTCTTAGTGGGGTAGTAAAAAAAAAAAAAAAAGTTTCATTTTCCGTGGTTTAATAACTAATTGGGAAATACGCATAAATAAGTCTTTTTATTTTTTTCGCTTTAATAATAATGAAACATTCTTGGGAGCAAATTAGAAATCAAGTTAGACAGTTTCGAAATAATTTACAAAGCCTTTACCCTATACAAGTATTAGCCACTGTAAAGGACTTTGTTATACATAATAACACATTATATTTTCTATCAAATACCTGTTATCCAACCATTGATTTATGCCCCACTCGAAATTTATTTTTATATGAAATTAATCTTGACCAAAGTATATAAATAACTCACAAGTCAAATGAAGTTCTCACTTTAATTCTTATTTTATTTTTTTCTAGTTGATCAGTTAACAATTGATGAGTCAACCTTAAATTCAATTTTCTCTAATAAAAACAATAATACAAAAGAATACCTAAAGTTAGTAAATAAACTTCCTTTATTAGACAGATCTTTAATATTCAAAGAATATACTTCGCTTTTCAAGAAAGAAAATGATGACACATCTTATTTTTATCAACTATTGCAAATACAAGGGATGACTCAATTCGAAATTAAGGAAGATGTCATCTTGTTTACTTTTCGTGATGACATATTTGTTGCCAAAATAGGAAAGGTAATGAAGTGAAATCTGCATGCGTTATAACATAATATCCATTTCTTTTTTTAATTAGTTACCAAAATTAATACCACAAAATATATCCGTGTATAATAAAAATAAAAGTCTTAATAAGTCTCAATTGTCTCAATCACATGGTAATTCTACACAACAACATCATGTTGAAGAAAACTCGACATCAACACGCCTAGATCCAAAATTAGGAGGTTGTTGTAATAACCTGATTGCTTTCATAAAGGAAGGAGATATATGGGTTATGGATTTTGATGGCCATGAAATACAACTTACATTTAGTACAGACAATGCTATAGACCCTACACTAAAATGTGGTGTAACAGAATACATGATGCAGGTTTAGGAAATAATTTTTTTTTGTTTTAGAATAACATGCAAACTGACTCTCATATATTTATATAAATACATGTATATTCTGTTAGGAAGAGTTTCATCGATTATCAGGCTATCAATGGGCTCCTTCACGTAATGATCATCAAGGACAAGAAAGGATTCTGTATTTAGAAACTTCGGAATTAGATGTAGAAGAGATCTGGATACCGCATAATAATAATAGTCATAGCGGAACAAGTTCAATGATTCGATACCCTCGTGCTGGTAAAGACAACGCAAAAGTAATATAAAAGTTGTTGAATTTGAGTTAGATGATTGTGTCGTAAATCAATATGGTGATCTTGCTATCAAGAATAAGGTGATTAAACAATTATGGGGTGCAAATCATATTAAAGCTAAATTTGCTTGGATGGAGTACATTGTTCGATTTGATTGGTTGCCAGATGGACAAAGGTAAAAGAAGTATAGAAGCTCTATTTTGTGTATACTTAATTATCCTTTCAAGTGTTTGGTTACAGTTACTTTCAAGAGATCAAACACATACTGCAGTCATTAAAATACCATTAGCATTATTTACAGTCACTAACATTGATGCTAAGGTAACGGATGAAATAGAAATATTATGGGAAGAAGCAAATCCTTATTGGGTTAATATAAGCGATGCATACTACTTTATGAAACAGTCGACAGTAGAACAGGTTTGTTTTATTTGGAGTTCAGAGAAAGACAATGGCTATCGACACTTGTATCTTGTGGAGAAATCAAGGCAAGACCAAAAATCGAAAATAACTCAATTAACTAGCGGAGAATGGTGTTGTTTAGATCGACCTCTATTTGTAGATGAATCTAGGGCTTTAGTTTACTTTCAAGCCAAAATGCATACACCACTTGAATCTCACTTTTATAAATTATCTTATGATAGTAAAGTCAAAGGTCAACCTATTCTATTAACTCAGTTAGGTTTTAGTCATACAGTAACAATGAATTCTCCAGATTATTTTGTAGATTGCTTCTCAACAATACATGATCCACAAGTTATTATAGTTCATCAATTACATCACGAGCAACAAGTAGAAAAGAGGTATGCTGCTTTATTAATGCCTGCTGCAATAAGTAGCAAATGTGAGACTCCACCTTCACCTCCACCTTCCATGTCACAAGGGACTAACATGGCTAATGAATACCAACAAGTAGAATCGGATTATAAAAGTGTAGAGCCTAATGGAGAAATATTTTCATTTACAACCTCAGATGGTATATATTTATATAAAATAAATAATAATACAAAACTTGAAAGGTCAGAACTATATAAATTTTCGTTGTTTGTATGTAGGAGTAAAATTATTTGGGTGTCTATATAAACCAAAATGTTATCAGCCAGGACAAAGTTATCCAACTTTATTACATATATATGGTGGGCCGAAAACTCAACTAGTGGTGAATGAATTTCGTTTTCCACGTATGATACGCTATCTATTATCTGTCTATTTTGATTTTGCAGTTGTCATTATTGATAGTCGAGGATCGAGTGATCGTGGTTTGGAGTTTGAAGCCCATATTCGTCACCGTTTAGGTATAGTTGAACTAAAGGATCAACTAGAAGGGTTACATTTCTTGCATAACACTCAATTTGGTGCTATTCCAGGTGAAAAAAAAGACCAGTCATTGACTTGAATCGATTAGCTGTGACTGGATGGTCTTATGGTGGCTATTTGAGTTTGATGGCAATAGCACAATACTCGGATATTTTTAAAATGGCTATTGCAGGTGCTCCAGTGACGGATTGGGAGCTCTACGATGCAGCGTACACGGAACGTTATATGGGGTTTCCAGAAGAGAATAAATTTGCTTATGAAAAGAGTAATATTATGAATTATGTTGAAAAATTTCCCAACAGGTATATTAGTGTACAATATATAAAGAGATTTCTTCTTTTTTCTAATTTTATTTTATTTACCTTTAGTGAACATAGATTGCTGATTGTCCACGGACTAATTGATGAAAACGTTCATTTTAAAAATACAAAGGTTTTGGTAGAAGCATTAGTGAAGCTTCAAAAGCCACATTATTTGCAAGTGTATCCGTCAGAAAAGCATGGGCTTCGACATGCAAATGTTAATGAGCATTTTGAGACTTTAATGTTCTATTGGCTCAAGAATTACCTATAGAATATGCATATAATTTTGTAAATAATTTGTGTATGCAGCCTTACCTACTACAGTATCATAATACAGCCTTTTGTTTAATAAAATATCCCTTTTTTTTGGATTTATGTATAGTACACACTATTTAACTGCTGTTGATAGGCTTTATTTGTTGCTTCTCTCCCTTATCTTTGTTTTCATTAACCTAATAAACTTATTCTTGACGAAAAGTCTTATAACATTACAAGCTAGTAAACAAAGCCATTATACTTGATGATTCAAGATCATGTTTTCTACTTCCTACAAAGCTAGCCCATAATTTAAGCTATCTCTATACAAGTATATTTCTTTCCTTTTTTTTTTCATTTCATCTTTTGTTATAATCAATCATGAACCTCCCAGACTGCTATTTTATGTCTATTAGCAGTATTATCTAAATATGACTATTATCCTTAAAAGTTCTACATTCAACTATTGCCATTAAAAGTAATGTTACTTGTGCATCTTATTACATTCAAATGTATACAAGTATCTTGAGTAATTTTTTATTTAATGAACTGGTAACTTTAACTTTTTTATCTTAATTTGGAATACATGAATTTGACGATAATGGCTCTATTTATTCAAATGGGTAACCTCCCCTCTCGTTAGACCCAACATTGTTGATAAACAAGGAGAATATAACAAATAAATTCTACTTATCAAAAGCATACGACCTTCTGAATTTAATATTACAGAATGCTGAAACTTGATTAGTAGAAATAATAATAATAATAATAAAGCCTAAACAAAGTTTTTCTAAAGTAATGATAACGCTGAAATTAGATTTTATGTAAATGTATTATGTACAAATAAAAGGAAGTAGATCAAAATAAAGATAAAAATAAAGCGTATTATTATTTTGATTAGAGATTAACAATATAGAATGCAATTTTTGTTTTTTTTTATGAACATTAAAGATTACAAATTTACTTTGAATTATGCTTGATATACATGTATAAATGCGAAAATAAAAAATTGTTTTTATGCTGAGGAAGAAGGTAGTTGTATCTTTTTTGCGTATTCTTCAATAGAAGAATAAATCCTTTGAGTAATATTGGCTCCAGAACCAGACACAATTTGCAATATATCCAACTAAAAAAAATATAAGCACACTAAATATATAATATACTATGGCTAATATACTTTACTGTCATTTCCCAATTTCCTAATATATCAACATGATTACCAGACTTATATCCTCCACGAACATCAAGTTTACTAGGACTTATTTTATTGTCATATTCACGAAGAACAACTGGACTACGGCCTGGGTTATAAAGGTTTGCATGTTTTGTCCAACCTCCAGAAGGAGCGCACATGTAGCCCAATGATAACAAAGGAACAGTACCATCGCTATAATAATATACGATGCTTGTTTTAATTATATTGAATACATATTTTTTTTCTGTATACTTTACCCATCAGAAAAACGAATACCAGTTTCGATTCGCTGAACAGGATCACTTACACTAGCATCAATGTACTATAGATTAAAATACACACATGTATATTAGTATATACGTCTTTATATTTGGTAAATATTATATACCAATCTAGGTGTTTTCAACTCTGTGGGTACAGCTTTTATAGGAAGTGAATCATCCGCCCTATTTTCAAAAGCATTTGTTATATTATGTTCAAATTTTTCTTCATGAGAGCATCCATTTACAGTCGAGTTGTGATGCAAACAATCTTCTTCAACTGATTCATCCGCTACTGCATAATAATAGCTACGTTCAGTAGGTATACCAACACCGTATAAACAAAAATTTTCATGTTAGGTGCTATCGGCAATCTTGTCTCTAATGGATTTGACCATTTTCTCGGATCCTCATCATTTTCCAACAGCTGTGCTTCATCCGTTGTAATACCAAATGAATAGTTAGCATATAATTGCTTTTTAAAGTTGGCATCTGTATTCTTCAGTAGTAAGTTAATTGAACCGTCTACAGTATAATTTCGTAATAAAGGATGCTCTCGTCATCGTCACTGTCAGGAGTATCAGTCGTGTTTTCGTTTATGCCTTCTGGACGTGGAACGAAGGAGATCATGTTACCAAATGATTCGTATTTTTCATCAATTTGATCATCGGGTGCAGAAGTAGAGTTCCCCCATATAGTCGTTCCACCTTTAGGCAACATAGATGAACCTCCATCCAAGAACGCATCAGTTTTGCTCTTTCCCGTCGAGAAAAGAATTTCTCGAGGATATAGGCTCCAAAGCTACCTAATGCCATTGTATCATGAGTCTCACCTGATAGAAGAGAAGTAACCGCTTTAGGAACACCCATCAGGGGGCCTGCGATATTAACAAAGGACTCAATATGGTCATTCACCCAATTTGGACCCCCTTTTCCACCTTGATCGCTTTCAACCCATTTTAAAAAATAAGGAAACATACTCCCACCTATAACAAAAAAAAAAGAGTAAATAAATCGGTAATAAACCTATATACATATATAACTATTGTATTTTTTTTTACCCATAGAATGTGTGATAATGACAGATCCGAGCCCTGTAAATTGTTTTGATAATTCGATTTTAGCTTTGAGTTGTGAAAAGTAATAATCACGGACCTCAAGATTACCAAAGGCTAGACGCCAGTCGTAAGATGCAAAATGCATAGTGTTAGTATCATAGCCAATAGTAGCCAGGTTTTCAATAATTTTGGCCCAAACCCAATAGCCTGTAATAAAATAATCGGCAGCTTCAACACCTTGAACTGCACGAATTTTTCGATGAGGTGGATCAAGACCAGTAACTGGATCTAGCATTATATTATTCGTCCAATCTTCTTTATCTAATAATACAGATCTTACCATTGCTAAAAATAAGACACACATACACAAAAAAAAAGTTGATTATTAATACAAGTAATTATTATCCATTACCATGGAGACTTACACATAGAACCCCACATTCTTTTTCGGAAATATTTCCTTGATACTTTATCAGTTGACCAGCTTTCTAAACCAGTGGAAATAATACCAGGTATCATGACAACTGGAAAATGTGGTTTTAAGTTAAGTTCATCCCTATAACAAAACGAGATAAAAAATTTAATATATTCACACATACATATTCATATGAATATAAATATTTATATGCATAAAAATCTATTGCTTTTTATACATATAGAACTTTATTTCGTTATAACTTACTTATATTCAAGGGCTGGCATAAATGAAATTTCTGTAGCTGGAATTGGTTTAATTATCTGAGTAAAGTTACTTAAAAATTCGTCCACTAACTCTGATTGTGGCAGTAAATTAGCTAAATCTATGTCAGCCAATTGAAGCATCAGATAGTCTTGAACACTAGTCAAGAGATTCTGTGTTTGTTCCACGGCAGGAGTTGTAGTAGCAGCAAACATAGCTAATAATAGCCCTAACGAAAGACCGATGATAAAGTTAAAGCGTTTTCGACGATAAAATTTTGTTTCTGAAGGAGGTATGAAGATAGTATTAGCAGCATCGGCCATAATGTCCTCTGGAAGTTCTCGGCCACGATTACGATTTATGAATGTTTCGGATGAGGTCTTTTTAAACTTTCTTTTTCTAACAGTCGGCATTTGGAGAAAGCTAATCTATTTGACAATAACAACAACAAAAATAAATAAATAAATAAATAAATAAACTTACCATTTTGTTTTATAAAAAGGATAATCTATTTCCGAGCGGAATATCTAAAAAAAAAAAAAAAAAAAAAAAAAAAAAATGCAACAGATCGTCATCTAAAAAATAGGAATAAAAATTTATTAATCACTGCTCTTTTATTTTATTTTATTTTATTTTTCCATATTCTGTAAATGCACAATGACGATGAAAGCAGGAAAGACGAATACTCAAGATTTAGAACAAGTCAAAAAAACCAGCAGCAACCAGGCTTTAGCAATAAAGCAATATACCCATAACTCTTCTAATGGTGAAACGTTATCTTTTAAAGCAAACGACTTTAGCAGTAATACCCGAGGTTGGTTAGAATCATCTAACGTCCAGGTGAATCCAGCACATGCTTCAAATAAACCAACAATGTCTAAATCTAATATACTATTATCTTCTGAGATGTCTCAAAAAGGTAATTCAAAACATTCAAACAATACAATTTTATTTAACATGTGAAGAAAATATTAGATGTTTTGGGCACTGTCTCAGATGAGGATATTCTTAAACTTACAGAAATGACAGTAAGATTACCTGAATTGACAAACCCAGCTTCCAAGTCAACATCAAAATCCAAAACTAAACGTCATCAACGTCATAATCTTCATTCTCTTCAGACCAAAAAACCAAAAGATACAAGTAAATACAAAATTATACATAATCTTACAGATACAAAACTAAACGGTTATTTTTTATTTTTTTACTTATTTTTTTTAGAAAACGTTGATAATATGATAACATCAAATCATGCGGCTTCTAATATTTGTAAATCAAATGATCAAACTAATCCAATAGAACATGATAAAAGACGTTCTCGGCTACCTGTAGCTGTTAACGAAATCGAAGAGAATAACAAAAAGTCCGAAGCTGCATTAATAGCAGATGAATTTTATCAAAAGAATCCTCGTACAGACCATTCTGAACTATTTTTATTTAATCATCATTCATCATCATCGACAGGCCTTTTACGTATTCATTCAGTTAACATTACTCCCTCATCTGATATTTTGCTAAAGAAAAAGAATATATCACTTGTAGGACAAGTTAAAGATAAAGATGAGTCAAACAGAGAAGACATTCATTTGGTAGTGTTCAACAGCCATTAATTGAAGGAGAAGAATTAAAATCAACTTGGAAACCACAAACTGATATGAATGAGTTGAAAGAGGAAAGGCAAGAACCGAACTATTTATCAGAAGAAGAAGAAGAAGTGTTTATGTTCGACTTTTTTTCATTACCTTCAGAGTTAAAAAATTTAGTTGATATATACGACAAAAAGGGGAAAATGGAAAGGAAGAGAATGAAGGTCAACTTTAAAGAGCAGACAAATTATGATAATGAAGAAGGCGTTATTCCACCAATTGAAACAGTAGATTATCAAGATTTCATTGGAGGAGACGAGGAAATTGATTTTGAATCCAATCCTATTCGAGATATAGGTAAATTAGTATATAAAACTTGATATTTACGGTATTCCTTACAGAAAAAAAAACGAAAAAGCTATTATTAGAACTACAAGATCAGATAATGTAGAATTTACAAAGTTAATTCAACTTACAAGCAATGATCTATTAGATAACGGACCTTTACTTGATTTGCGTGTATCATTGTTTGGGAATATCACAAAATCTAGTCAAAATAATAAAATCGACACTCATGTTATTAATGAGGACACTATTATAACTGAAGCAAACGAGTTTGATATGTAATAGACAGAGTGTGAAATACAAAAGAGGGATTTTATTTATTAATACACTTTATAGTGATGAACAAGAAGAATTTAATGAAGTCCTGAGGAATGTTGAAAATAGATTAGATCACTTGGAAATATTTAAAAAGGATTCAACTGTAAAGTACTTTATCCTTTCAAAAAAAAAAAAAAACTTATGCTCCTTTTTTTTTTTTTTTTTTTTTTTTTTTTACTGTAGCAATTCTTACAAGATCATATAAATAGCTTAGAATCATTAAAATTATTTGATCGACTCCATTTAAAAAACACTACAACTAATGAGAATGATAGCTTGTTACGTCCTACATTACCCCGAATTTCTTCTCATCCTTCATTTGGGCTTAATTCTATTATACACCCCATTGTACCTGAGTATCATGACGATTCTGATTCATTATTATCATCATCGTCTTCTATATCTAGTCATCAATCATCATCATCATCAGGTATCATTCTTCGTCCTAACGAGAATACACTTCGACATAAGGAATCCAGTAACCGATACAGCAGCGATCACCACCGTCATTCTATGTATATAAATCCAACTGATATTATTATCAAGACATGCGATCCTTTTGATGATAGATTGGATGAAATACGACAAGTTATTCGATCACTTGAAGGTGATTTAGATGAATTCAAAGTATCTCTAAAAAACACAGAAGACTTGGTAAATGATGTTCAGTTAGAAATGGATGATTTTAAGAATCGAATGGAGTTTTATATAAAGGATATTCCTGAATCCCATTACTCTGCAGTAAAGAAAAAAAATATTGAACTTTTATATATTTATATTGTTGTTTAGAACAAAGCAGTAACATTTATATACATATATTTTCTTAAAGCTTAAGAAATTAGAAGTGGATATCGAATCCATATTATCCAAGAGAGCCAAGAACCCATGGTTGGAAACTGGATATGCATTACTATCCTACTTGCTTACATGTAAAAGACTACTACTAACATATGCATTTTATATTTTAACTTTATTTTTCATTTAGGCTTTGCATTGTTAATTTGGATCATAATTTATGTTTTAAAACGAGTGAAAAGAGTGATTTTATTTCCTAAAAAGTTATGGAAGACTTATTCAGATTACTTGGTTGAACGTAATAAGGCAGTGAAAGAAGCTAGTTTAAGGTCAGTGATGGGTAGCGATATGCAACGACACGATTTTAAAGAAGAAGAAATATCAATGACCGCAACGACTCCAATTCCAACTTCATCGTCCTTACTGAAAAGGTCAGCAGCAGCAGTAGTAGCAGATAAACCATAAATTACCGTATAACTTTAATCGTCTTTACGTTATTAAAATAACTGTCAATCTAGTATAATATCTTTTGTGATATGCGTGTATATAATTTTCGATATTACTATTCACTATTTGTATAAAATAATAAATTTTTTGTATTTTTAACTATCCTTATTAAATACGAGTAATTTATATGCATATCAATATGTGTATATTATTACAATATGTTTCATGTTTAGTTCCTTAAGATGATGAAATGTATCCCTTTTTTTTTATTCAAATTTCTTCTAAAGAAGGTTTATAAATTGTTACAAGTAAATGAAGCAAATGCAAGTCATCTAGATATAAAGTTGAGTTCTCTATGTAAATTCATTATATTCATAAGCTTTTATTTTAAATCGTGTGTATAAAGGCTGATGATATAACAATCTAAATAAATGTAACGTTATGCATATTTAATGTATTCCATACAACTAAAATAAATAAATTAGAAACAAATTCCTATGTTACAGGTAAAACTACAACTACTTACAGTTATATAACCGTCATTTCCACTGGCAGCCATGAGCATTAAATTAGGATGGAAGGCTAAAGTACGAGTAAAAGAAGACTTTTGTCCTAGGAATCTGGAGGATGGATGTAGTGTTGATAAACGATTTCCATTCATATTCCATAGCTTGACAACTTGATCATCACCAGCACTGCCATAATAATAATTAAATTTCAATACATCGGGGTTTTTTTTATATATTATCATATACCATTACCTTGCAACAATGTTAGCATGATCATGAACTGCCAATGCTGTCATCTCATGATGTGTATGCGCTTCAAAGGTTTTTATTGACCGTGATTCACGAATATCCCATATCTTAATTTCTCCTTCAAATCCACCGGAAACTAGTTCCCGATTACCTTCTCTTTGTAAATGTATACCTGTCACCCAAGCTTTGTGTTCATTCCATTTCTTTACAAGTCTAATCATTTATCTAACGTTAAATACCAAAACATCGTATAGATGGTTATCTATCTATTCATCTATCAATTACTTACGCTTGATCTGAGCTTAGACGTCGATCATAAACACCAATAGATCCATCTCCAAAACCTGCAATGATAATATTACTATTCACTTGATCGCCTGTAATACTTGTCACACACCCTTCCGATTGTGTAAAGATATCCTACATGAAAATAATACATAACATATACATATACATATACATATATATATATGTGTGTGTGTGAATATGAATATGAATATGAATATATAAATATTTGTATAGCATCTTTATATACCATGACCGGTAATTCTTGATGTACATCCCAGACTTTAATTTTACGTGCCATCTCCGCCCGTAAATAATAAACCTCTTGATTGATGCCAGTCTGTCACTAGTCCACTTTGTCTTGCACTGCTCTTTTCCATATCTTTCAGAGGACGCCAGGAGCTTACTAAGATAGCTTGCTCTTGTTTCTCCACTACCATCATAATTCTTATAGATACGAATAACACCATCATCAGATCCTACCATCATATAGCCTCATCCTCTTCATTAATAAACTTTAGATCTGTAATGCGACTTTGAGATGGATTATGGTTATCAATCACACTCAGTGGCGTTCCTTGTTTCCAATCCCAAACTACTAAACAATTTAGGTGATCAGCAGCTACTAAATGGGGTTCAAATTGATGTAATAACAGTAGACTGGCCTCTGTATCATTATACATCGTATTCACCTGTTCCTCCCAGCAACGTCCTGATAGGTTCTTTGTCATCATGCTTGATTCTTGTAAAATTTTTTCATTCCGGCTTCGTCGCCATTTACGTTGGGTATAGATAACACTTCCTGGTTCATCAGCTTCTGCTACTCTCATCTGTGGTTCCGTGAAGTATTCACAGCTCCAATCATAGAAAGTAGATGTAAGAGGTAATGTATGGCTTGTTTCTTCTACATGATTCACTTCATGTTTCGAAGTTAGATGACTATTTTTCGCTGATTGTTCTGTTAGGCTCGTCGGTGATTCATGTTGATTGCTTCCAAAATTGTAAAAAGTTCGTAATGTCGAAGCAAATGAAACAGATCGTGTTAATTTAGGAGGACGTTTATGATTGCCTTTGTCATGCTCACCTAAATGAAGTGAATAAGATCGATCCAAACCATTTATAGCATTTTCCTGTTGATGTTGTTGCTGCTGCTGCTGTTGTTGTTGTTGTTGTTGTTGCTGTTGTTGCTGCTGATGAGCCGCCATCATAGCTTCACGTGCAAGGTTTGAAGCATATTCACCAATCATAGGCGTATTCAGCAAAGCCATATTTATGTGATCCACTACAATCGAAGCCGCTTTAGCAACGTCAGGGTGAGGATCGACAGATAAATTCAACAAAGCTTTCCAAAGCACTGAATAAACAGAATCATAACTACTAGACGAACTATTACCAAAGAAGTGATTACCATCAAATGCGCCAGGCACTTGACGTCCTCCTCTTAACATGCTCTTGGTGCGTGCATGATCTTCATTTACAAACAAACGTTGTTCTTCTTCAATTGTTTGACTTGCTGCTGTCAAAAACTTGGATGTGCCTGCTTGATCTACAATATGACTAAGAGCAATTACAAATTCCTTTCTAACCATAGGAGATCCATCCGACATGACAGTTAATGCTGAAACTGCAATATGGTGTTCAATATTAAGGATTTGCTCTGTTTTATTAGGATCTGCCAAAATGTACCTAGCGCATACATAGCTGAGGCACGTACCTCGGGCACATGATCGTTCAAAAGTGTGCATAATTTTTCATGACCATTTTCAGAAATTGCAGCAGTCTTGGCCTCTATGTTATTCTTCCAGACTTGAGCGAGACAAAGACAGATCCATTGACGAAGGAGTGGATCTGAATCGTTCACATGAGCTAGACATGCACTGATTACGTTACCTCTTAGACATGCCTGTTGACCCATTTTAAAATTAGTACAAATACCGATAAAATAAAGGCACTCATGGCACGATGCTCAGAGACGTGAGGAATACTGAGCATGGCGTTGTTAGGTGTTAAGATATTGATAAAATAGGCATAGCCATGATCTTTAAGGAGATCGTTTTGACATGATCGATCGACAGCCAAGATACGTGCCCAAATAAAGACTAACACTGGTTTGAGTTCTGCAGCAGGGCTTTGAAGGAGTTTAAGCACATAGGGGAAGATACCCACTGATAAAGCAGCATTTACAGCCATGGACCCAAGTCCAAGAAACGACTCAAGAGGATTAAAGCACGTAATCTATGCACTGACTTAACAAGACTTGTAGAACAATGGGCAGTTGTTCAGGGATTTTGGGATTTACAGCACCCTCTGATAGCCAGACTTCAAAGGCAGTTAGTTGTTCTGAAAAAAAGGTACTGGATTGATATTCGTAACTAGGACCACCTGCTTCAGCTGCCTTCAAAGCGGGTAATTGAAAAAGACACATGTCAACTGCTAAATCCCAAGCTTGCCACATGGATGATGATCATGTGTTTCAGGTAATTTAGGTGTCGACATTGGTGTACATTGGTAAGATCGCATAATTCGTTCTGCTAATAAATAATTTCTAAACATAGAAGCTACAGTTAAATCTTGTCGAAAGAGTCGTTTAAAAAGCTCTGGCTGGTCTTGTAGGACACACCAAGCAATGGTATCTGTGACAGCGGTGAATATCCAATTAAGTTCACCTAATGGTGTACGTTCTCTCTGTTGATCGTCCTGGTAATTGTAGTACCATATCCATTGTAATATTTGAAGTTAATAAAGGATTCCTCATGACAACCCATCTTAATGACATTTCAATAGGTGTTGTTAAACATGCTGTAAATACATCAGCAGGTAGGTCAGGGTTCATAGGTAATGTCTCATTAGGACCACAAGCTGCAAGCTGAATACTATCTTTCCAATATACCTGCTGCACCGGTAATGGTGTAGGCGCTGCTGATACTATTCCATGATTATTTGAGTGCTGTTGTTGCTGTGTTGCTGTTGTTGTTGCTGCTGCTGCTGTGTTGTTGTTGTTGTTGTTGTGTTGCGCTAACCTTAAAGTCTCAATATCTCTTTGTTCTGCAAAGCGATTAAAGGCGTTAATGATATTACCAGCAGCGGAACAATCCCAGACATAAATGACAGGTGAACCTAACCATGATTGCAAATCAAATAATGATACTGGAATAATACTGTGTATAGTTTCTATTAAATACCCAAATTTCGCCACTGGTGGTAGGCTTTGGACGCCATGACCATTATAATGAAATAAGATACGTTCCTCTTTGGCATTTCGTCGCATTTGACAACATACTTTCTTTGTTTCTTCTACTGAGGGGTCGAGTGATAATTTAAATCGTGTACGTCCATTGATTGTTTCATATTGATTATGTAAACTCTTTCCAATAGCTTCCAGTGATTTTTGGGGAATAAGTAGAAAAGGATCTATCCAACATTCTAATTTTGCACAAGGATTTGTTTTGACGACATCTGGTGGATCAGTACCGATATTAAGGCAAACAACTAAAAGGCCTATATATAGATATTAATGAAACTGTTATACATGACCAAATGAAGGAAAAAAAAATGCATCTATTTATATATAACCTGATACAGTTTTTATTCTCTCTTTCAGTCTCTAATGAATAAAATGATACATAATAGTTAATTCTGTTCAAGTAAGCCTCAACATGTTCAAAAAAATTTAAAATTACCCAGTCTTTTAAAGCATTTTGAACAAGTTGATCAGGATTAGCATTTGTGTCATGTCTTTTTTCTGAAAAATATATAAAAGCGAATAATATCTTCTTCATAAGTTTCTTTGGTCAAAACCATGTCTAATTTGATTTGTATTATTTCTTTCGTCTTCATTTCTATTTTCTCCACTGACTAAAGTTGAAGTTGTGCTTCGAGTATCTTCAAAATGATTATTTTGGTCCAACTGCATAGCAGTAACCATGATAATATCAAAAGACGAAAAGATTATTAAAAAAAAAAGAAAGAAAAAAAAAAAATACTAAAACATATTACATTGTATAAGTGACGTGAAAAAAATAATACAAAAAAAATAAAAAAATAAAAATAAAATAAAAGCCAAGCATAATCAAGCTTTTTGTTTTGCTTTGTTTTGTTTTGTGTATAAATTCAATTATATAAATGAGTGACGACGACGATTTCATGCTTGAGGATGAAGAGGAGGTAGCTATAAAATATAGCTTAATTAAACTAAATCTAAAAACATAAATGTCTTTAATTATAGGACTATGATTTTGATTATGATGATGAGGAGGAAGAACCCGATGTCGACTTGGAAAATAAATATTATAATGCTAAAGGTAGATTGTATAGTTGTTATGAACAGGTGATATATTAAACCATGCCTTTTATTTATTGATTTTTTTTTTTGTAGCAAAGAAAGAGGATGATTTAAAAGAAGCCTTAGAAGAGTTTCAAAGTGTAGTTGATACAGAAGAACAAAAAGGCGATTGGTAAATAAATATGTTTAAATCATATTTATAGCATTACATATAAAATACTTAAATACATGCTTGCTATCTATTAGGGGCTTTAAAGCTCTAAATGAAGATATCTTTTCAGCTGAATAATTTTGACGATGTAAGAGAAATTTTTTTAAAAAAAAAACTTGATAATGCATAATGATTTTTTTTTTTCTTTCTTTTGTAAGACTTTGAAATATTACCGTGAATTATTAACCTATGTTAAATCAGCAGTAACAAGAAATTATAGCGAAAAGAGTATTAACAATATTCTTGATTATGTTTCATCTACTGACAATATGAGTTTTATGGAAAGCTTTTATGAGACAACTTTAGAATCACTCAAAGAAAATAAAAATGAGAATTATGGGTTAAGACAAAGAAAAGCTAGAATAGAATATTACGACTGAATAAATATTCTTGAAGAACTGCATTCTTCTTGTCAAAGAGATGATGGTACAGATGATCAACGTAAGGGAACACATTTATTAGAGATACTGGCGTTAGAGATTCAAATGTATACAGAGACAAAAAACAATAAGAAGTTAAAGGATTTATATCAACAATGTCTTTCAGTTAAGTCTGCCATCCCTCATCCTCGTATTATGGGCGTTATTCGAGAATGTGGTGGTAAAATGCACATGAGTGAAAGTAAGCAAATAAATATTGTTCATAGCATGTAAATTGTATATGAATATTATTATTATTTAGAACAATGGGATAATGCACAAACAGATTTTTTTGAATCATTTAAAAACTATGATGAAGCAGGCAGTCCACAACGTATTCAAGTATTAAAGTAAGTTATATAGAAAGAAGCCTATACTTATTTACTTATTTATTTGGGTTTCTATCTCAAAGATATTATGTTTTAGCTAATATGTTAACGGAATCACAGATTAATCCATTTGATTCACAAGAAACTAAGCCTTATAAAAACGATAAAGAAATTGAGGCAATGACTAATTTAGTGAGTGCCTATCAAAAAAGAGACATAAATGAATTTGAACATATTCTAAAAGGTAAGCTGTATAAAAGCTTAATAAGTATTTAACATTTTTATTTATTTATACATGTATTTATTTATTTTGATAAAAAAGTGAATCAAAAGGCAATCATGGGTGACCCTTTTATATATATTGATGATGTATTAAAGAATATTCGTACTCAAGTATTAATCAAGTTAATTAAGCCTTACACAAGTATAGAAATTGCTTCTACCATAGCCAAAGTAAGTGAAGGGATTGTTTTATCTGTAGACTATGTATATTGAATATTTCCTTTTTTTTTAAGCAATTGAATATATCTGTCGACGATGTAGAAGAACTTTTAGTGGACTTATTTTGGATGAAAGGATTTTGGGACAAATCGATCAAATAAATAATATACTAGTGTTAGACGAAGGTAAATCAAAAATAGATACATATTCATATAAATATATACATGCAAGGAATTATTAATAGTCTTTTGTAAAGATCTACTGATGCAATGAAGTATGAAGCATTAGATGCATGGTCAAGCAACGTATCCAAATTATGTAAAACAGTCATTGGGAAAGCAACTTAAAGAACTTACTGTGTTTGTTTGTTTGTTTATTAATAACCAAAATTATTTTCTTGATTAAAACCAATTTGATTTAATGCCTGTAATAACTGTGTACGGGCAGTTTGGATATCATCATAATCTAAGGCGCTAATAGCCCATTTAGCATTCTTTTGTGCTGCAGCAATATTAAGATTAGTTGTTGCAGTAGGAGGAAGTTGTGGTTGAGCAACGAGTATGGGTGCTGGGGGATGTACTGAGGCTGATGTTGATGATGGTTGAAATGGTTCATGATTAGAGATAGAAGAGAAGGAAGGGGTGCTGTAAAGTTAGAAGGTGGGCTAGGAAAATCAGAAATTGATGGTGGCTCACTATTGTCGGCTCTTCATCATCTTTTTCATCTAACCCACCAGGAGGGCCTGGTGTAGGTACTCGACACTTCACGTAATGCTTTCATAATATCCGTTGCTTTCCATTTTGCATATTTAATTTTAGCATCAACCTATTTTAAATCATGTTTCATGTTTATTAAACAGCTTCACATTTTAAATATCTATCCTACCTCAGGATCAATATCACCGAATGTCTTTAAGATCTCTAAAAATACGGAAGCGGCTACAAATGTCTTTGCCGTATTTCTATATTCATATAAACATATTATTATTATTTACAATGAATAATTTGATATAATCAACTTACTTGGTTGCCTTACCAGCACGATCTTCATTATCAGCTTTAAGGAATATTTTTAATGCAAATTTTCTACATGAGCATATCCAACCACGTCATCAGTAATTGCTTCATTGTTACCAATTGTAGCTTTTTGCTTTTAAACAGTCATTAGTATACATGTATTGAATAATGTCATCATGCTAAAAAAAAGAAAAAGAAAATAAAGCTTACTGTTTCTAATGAAAAGAGAGATAAAAAAAGATTAGTTTCTTTTGTCCTAGGGCCACGAGCAATGGCTAATTTAGCAGCATAATATTGAGCTATACATTATAATGAAATAGTTAAGTTTGAAAATCTAGGAAGAAAAAAAAGAAAAAAAGCTCGCCCATTTCTCTAATACCATAATATGACACAATAGGATCCACAGTAGTTAATTCTTGGCTTCTTTGAATGTAGGGTGCTATGTATTTTAACTCGGTTGGGATGTTCATTTATGTGAGTTTAATCTTATGAGTCGAAAAAAAAAAAATAAAAATAAAAAATAAAAAAATACACATATTTACAACTAAAGTAAGGCGATAATAATGTCCGCATAATTTGTCGTGCGGTAATTCAAATCTCATAGAAACGTTATTTCAATTTAACAATATGAAGTATTATTGTAGAAAGAGCTTCTTAATAATAATAAAAAAAAGAGTGACAGTGTATTCTCGAATCTCTTTTTATTTGTATAATAGAATAGCCTTTTTTCTTTCTTTCTTTTCTCGTAATGTTATTGAGACATGTTTCAGCAATTTAGTTCGATCAAGTGTATAGTATTACAAAAAAAAAAAGTATTTATTTAATGATATTACAGTTGTATACATGATTACCATTTAATTTTACTGAATATTGTAGGTGGGTATTTGTATCAGGCTCATATTCACGTGCCTTTACCTTAATGCCTTCCATAATATCCTTTAATGCAGCTCGATCCAAGTCATCACGCTTACTCAAGATGGTTTCAATAAAGGCAATAGGTACATCAGGATAGGCTTGACGTAAGGTATAATAATCAACAAAATCATACGACGATTACTCTTCAATAATGTATGTACTTTTTCAATTACATCAAAGCGTTCTTCCATTTCCTTCACAGAAGTGTATTTAACAAAGAAATTAAATGATAATTTAATATCATCCTCAATCAGTTTTAGACACGTCTTGGTTTGGAATTTGGCTTGTTTATGTCGCATTGCCTCTAGGTAAAGGATTAAGAAGCGATCTAACATGTCATGAATTAACTTATCAAAGATGTATTTGTTTAGACTACTGAAATCGTCGCAATAATCTTTAAGAGTTTCAATAACGGCTGTCATCAGTGGATGTTCGTACCATTGTGTCGTGAATAGTTCTGTGAAAACAAATTTGATATCTGCAAAGGTGATCTCTAACAAGGCCTCACGTGCATTAGCTGCAATCTGAAGATAACCATCAATAGCTGTAGATAATTTATCTTCTACTTGAGTCTTGTAGTTGGCATCTACAATAGGTGGTACACGGAGCTAAAATATCATTAGCAAAGTCAGAGCATTTAATTTGATCATTTGCTAAGGCCATCACATATTCTACAAGACCTAGAGGGACGTCCTTCGGTTGCTCTAATTGCTTTTGTAATTCTGACATCAAAAGTCTTTTCCAAAACGCTTGAGAATCTTTCATCACCTTATGACATTCATTCACAACTAAATAAAGTAGTTTACCCTGATTCGCCTCAGCAGCTACATCGATTTGTTGATTAATAATTTGGAATAAATCAACTGCTCCTGAAAGACCAAATTGACCGTCAGGAGATATCTCGGGTGGATCCTCTCTGGTAACAAACTTATTAGCCTCAGATTGCATTAAATTCGAAGTCCATTCTACAAGCTTTCTACGAACCAACTTGAGATATTCATCCACAAGTGACTGTTCCTGACCATCTAATAATTGAGGTTCTAGTAATTCTTCTGTTACACCTAATCTAGTGCTCATTGTTGCATAATAATCTCTTACAAATCGTAATAACCTCAAGATGGTCCCTGCATCAAGATCTTGCTGCACAATATCATTCAAAAGATCATAAGTATGACGATGATACTCTAAAACAAAATAAGGGAAATCTTATATTTTTTAGGGAATCGAGGTACAATTTGATCAAACACTAATTCCAGCTCATCAAAAAATAAAATCAGCTGAATCTAAAGCCCCATGGTAATCTTTGTTCTCCTTGTAAGGTGCAAATACATCTTCAAAGCGTTCTCTAAGTGATTGATGAAGTTGTTCAAAAAATTCAACTCGATACGATTTAATTGTACGTGGATTTCCCTCTGCTAGCCTCCATTTTCGATGTGCTCCACTTTCTTGAAGTCCCTGATGATTCGATTGAGCCTGTTTTGCAGCAAGTGCCTTTTCATCAGCTGCTTCTTCACATTCAATAATTTTAATAAGTTTAACTATAGTTGAACTACAACCGTTCTCTACTAAAGGGATCAAGTTTCGTGCCAATAGCCAAAGATGATGTGTAAAGTCATCAGAGAGAACATCAACCCGTCTGAAATAGGTTCTTAGAGTAATGTTCACATCTTGGGGTGAATCACGAGCCTGATGCATTGTCTTGTCACGGAATTCTTCAAGTTTAAAAAGATGATAATGGAGATGAAGTAAAGCATCATGAGGATGAAAAATATCATTTTGCATAGGTGCAAATGTTTCTTCTAAGCTATCTAATTGTTGATACAATTCTTGAAATGCTTGAACTTTTGCTTGCGTTGCTACAAAATTTTGATGGACTTGGGATATCTAATAGAGTTTGATTGAAGGTTTAGCGTAGGGAAAAATAAAAAAAAAGGAAGCTTAGACTCTATAGTATACCATGTTAATTTTAGGAAAGTCTTTAATCATAGATTGAGCAGCATAACATAGCTTATCAATGTTTCGCATGTTTTCTTTAACACGATTTATATTACGATCTGAAATTGATAATGTTTCTAATCCTTCTTGAACATGATCCAGTTGGGATTGAACACCTGTATTTAATTGAGCATCAATAGAGGCTTTCTCTTTTGTTAATTTTCGTATTAAAGGACCCAATTTTGAATTCAAGTCGTCTGGATGTTTAATAATACAGAAAGTTTGCTGATTGCAATTTCTCTTGTATCTTCCATGCTAATAATTAATAAATAATAATAAAGTAGTTGTATCTTATTGTAATGCCGTATTTAATACTGAATAGGTTATATTGAATAAATAAAGAAAGAGAAAAGAGAATTTTAAAGAAAATAGTTTAGATTTTATAAATATTAATATATAAAATACATTTGATAGCTTTTCACAACTCTTATTTAAATAGTTTAAAAGTGATTGGCGGTGGGTTATCGAACTAAAGAAGTTCTGTTAGCTGCTAAATTGTCAAATAGCCAAAAAAAAAAAAAAAAAAAAAGGAAATAGGAAAAAAAAAAGGTAAAAGAACCTATATGATATGCTTCTTGTTTCTATCCTTTATAACGTCTATGTAGATATTCTTCAATAGTCAAAGGTATAGGATTATGAATATTCTTATTCAAATTATATAATTATTCTTTGATAGTAAATAATAAGGTCTTTTGTATGTATCACTATTTGTTATATGCCTAAGACGAATGATAAAACTTTTAAATATTTACAAGCATATCCTGCTGCCTAACACCAAATATAATAAAGCTCAATCAATTTCATTAAGTAGTGATATAAATATACATATTTATATGGATTACAGTGTATTTTAAAGATGAATTGTAGGTTGAGTAGTAGGCTTGTTATATTCTTGGATTTAAATTCGTTTAACTGGCGTATACGGATAGCGATTGATATAATCGATAGTGAAAGCAAAGTCGAACTCTTCGGTCTTGTTATATGCTAATGCTACCTAAACTAATTATATTTAACGAGTTAATATAGCTCTTTTCACTACATTCAGTAACGACACAAAGCAAACTAGAATTTTTGAATTTAAATCATCCTAAAACTATAGCATTGGAGACATTCTACATGAAGGATTTACAACTTTCCAAGTTCTCATTTAGTGTATTATCTTTTAATAGATGCTATAAGAGGCAAGGATAAATTGAGTACTTGAATTCTAATGAAAAGGAAGCACAAATTCAATTAAATACAATTATACAGTATATGAATAAATAAGCAACAATATTCACTACTATGTCGATCAAAAGAGTTAAATAAATAGACATTTTTTTATTTCGAGTTATTATCCACAGCAATTATAATAACTATCTCTTCTTCATTATGTACAAGCACAAGGATTAATTGTGTTATTGAAAGGAAGTTTAATGAAGAAGAAGTATAATCAGTGTATCTAACTTAACTTATACGATGAATAATAGTTTAACTTTGGGATAAAAACTTACATAGCCTATAATCTAGTTTAGTCTAATAAAATAGACATACAACTATTAGCCTTTACTATACTTGTCTGCAGGTCTATTTATACAATCAATAGCAATATCTATGTTAAAAATGCCTCTATTTTCTCACTAATAATCATATAAAATCCTTGCTTATAAGAATCAAAATATAATTTTTTTTTTTAATTGTAGATAGATATAGTTTATTTGTTAGTTCATTCTATACATATTGTAAATTGAACGGTTACTTTTGTTTAACGATATACATACTTCGAACTCTATGTTTATATTGCTCATTTTAAGTAACTTTCCTCTATAAATTCGTACATACATTTTTATCTCTTTTATAGTCTTCTAAACAAACAAGTTTATTTCTCTTCATTGCTTAAATTGAAAACAACAAAAACTGTCAGTGTAATTATTCAATTTCCGCAAAAATAAATAAATATACACTCATCTCGACCGGACAAACGTGTACAACAGAAGAACTTCCACCACTTAAAAGTAACCAGTAACTTTTCATCAAAATCACTAAATTTATACCCTTTCTTTCTTTCTTTCTCTCTTTCTTTCATAATAACAAAAAAAGAGATCCCAATGTTTTTATTATAAAAATATATTCATATAATGTCATCACCCACTTCACCAGCTATTGGCATTGTATCGGCCAACATCAAATTGTTCAATAGTAAATCTGACAATGAATCCTCAACATTAAATAAACCTACTCCTATAACAAGAAATAAAAATAACACAGATTGTCAAAATGTACCACCACCACTTCCACCAAAACCAAATAAAAAACCTACTCTACCAGTTAGCAATAGGCTGGATATTTCACCTTCTAATTCATCGACTCATTTTTCAATACCTAATTATAACTCCAATAATTTGCTACCACCTCCTTTACCGCCTACTGCTCCACCGCGACCTCTAAGTAGACATGCCACTTTTAGTCACGCTAAAACTCAATTTAATAACAGTAATAATACAAATACTAATCATAAAAAGCCATTAAGTGCTTCACATACTGGGTCATCCTCTTCTTCAATAACAACTTCTATTTCACCTATTGCAGCTCAAAAAGTGGGTCAACATTAAAAGTTATGCTTGGGAAAGTAGTTGGTAGTGTTAGCGGTAGAGTCTTCTTATTTATTAACAAAAAAAAAAAAAAAGTGAATAAATACTAATATCACCTTTTTATGTAGATTTATGGACTGCTCCAGGCATTAATAATAATCCTTCAAGTACTTTATCTAGCTCTAGTTTAAATGGCACAAATAATAGTAGTAGTAGTAGTAGTAGTAGTAGATTACAACATGCTGGGAATGGAAAAGCTAAAATATCTTCACCTTATAATATGGTTCATGTTACTCATGTGGGTTTTAATCCAGACACAGGAGAATTTACAGGAATGCCAAGGGAATGGCAACTTTTACTTCAACAAAGTGGGATTACCAAAAAAGAACAGCAACAGAATCCTCAGGTAAAAAGGTGAAGTCATAATACACCACATAAACCATACCAAATCATCTATTCTTTTTTTTTATATAGACTGTATTGGATATATTAGGATTTTATAAAGATTCTAAAGAACAATCATTGGATATGGTTTGGGAAAAATTTGATAATGTTCATCCAAAAACTTATAAACTACCTATTCGGTCTACACCTCCGCCATTACCGCAAAGAACCAAACCGCAGTTAGTAGTCATGAATTCTGATAATGAAAATAAGTCTATTTTACCACCAACAACTATTGTACGCTATTACATTATATTATTGAAATGTTTCTTTTTTTATTATTACTGAACAACTCTCCCCCCCCCTTTTTTTTTTTTTTGTTTAATAGTCAAAGAGCAGTAATGTCAACACTTCTTCAATACCATCTATCACCACAGCACCACCTATACCAGCACGTCCAGATATATCATTAAATAAAGTGCCTCCACCGAAACCTCCGTTATCAACAAAGCCTTCTATATCATTGAGAACTAAACCAGCCCATAATACAACATTAATCACTTCTGTCCCAACTACTACACCTACACCACCTCCTAGAACTAAACCATTGACACCACCTATTATTTCAAATGGAATTACACCAATTCGAGCCACTTCTTCAGTTTATATTGCATCTTCTGCAGCTCCACTAGATCCAGCCTTAGATAATACTTTACAGGATAAAGCACGTCAACTTCGAAGAGAACAAAGACAACAGAAGGAAGCACTTAAAGATGCACAAATTTTGCTGATCTTCGTTCTGTTTGTACAGATGCGGATCCTACAAAATTATATAGAAATATGGTTAAAATTGGTCAAGGGTAATGAAATGATTCTATCTGTGATATAGTTAGCTATGTATTGATTCGTTATATATATAGTGCAACAGGTGGAGTGTATACAGCTCAATCAGTGAACACAAATATGTCAGTGGCTATTAAACAAATGAATTTAGCTCAACAACTTCGAAAGGAAGTGATTATTAACGAAATTTTAGTCATGCGAGAGGCGCAACATAAAAATATTGTCAACTTTATTGATTCATTCCTTTTGGATAATAATGAGTTATGGGTTGTGATGGAATACATGGAAGGAGGAAGTTTAACAGATGTAGTTACGACAAGTATGATGACAGAAAGTCAAATTGCTACTGTTTGTCGAGAGACGTTAGAAGGAATTTATCATTTACATTCATTGGGTATAATTCATCGAGATATCAAGTCAGATAATGTTTTATTAGGTTTAAATGGGCATGTTAAATTAAGTAAGGGATAAAAAAAGAACCTAGTTACTATTATACAAGTACAAGTCTAATTGAAGACCTTTTTATTGATTTATCTTTCTATTTAGCTGATTTTGGTTTCTGTGCAAGATTAAATGACTCTGAAACAAGAACGACTATGGTTGGGACTCCTTACTGGGTAACTAAGAAAACAAATAGACATGTATATAAATATATATATACTCATTCTGTTCTATTTTATCTCCTTCTTCTTCCTTTAGATGGCTCCTGAAGTAGTGACTCGTAAGGAATATGGACCGAAGATTGATATTTGGTCCTTGGGTATTATGGTTATTGAAATGATTGAAGGAGAACCTCCTTATTTACATGAAAATCCATTAAGAGCGCTTTATTTGATTGCTACGAATGGAACACCCTCTCTTCAGCATCCTGATGAATTATCTGATTTATTGAAAGACTTTTTAAAGCAATCTTTAACAGTGGATAGTCAGGAAAGGCCTGATGCAGGCAGTTTATTAGAGCATCCATTCTTAAAAAGAGGAGAGAATATCAAGTCATTAATACCTTTGATTAAAGCAAGTCGAGATATTCGAAAGAAGACGCATGACATTTAATATACATATAGATAGAGAAATATAACAATTTTTTTTGTTTGTTTGTAACATGTAAAGTATATATTATTTTGTGTAGATTTATAAACTAGTATTCTTTTTTTTTTATTATTTATTTATTTATTATTTTGTCCATGGTAGTAAAAATAGTATTATGTTGACTCTCTCTTTATATCCTTATTGGAAATATGTACTATAACAAAAGTTATACACTATTTATATATGATCAGTAATATATATGTTATTTACACATCATATTATATTATTTATATTAATCTATATAGATAAAAAAAAAAAAGAGAAAATAAAAAATAAAATAAAAAAAAATTATTCTTCTTTTTTGTAGTATCCTCTTCGTCACTATCACTGTTTAGACTACCTCTTTCGTCACATCTAAATCATAAAAATGCATATAATGAATTTATATCGATCTCGTACAACTCTCCCTATCTCTTACCTTTGATTATTTATAAATTGTGGGTCAGTTACAGCTCCCGGGAACGTATATAATCCATCTCTCACATACTTCCAAACTTTATTTCCATCTTTATCTACACTAGACTCTCGACTTTCTACACTCAGAGCACTTCCACCTGGTAATTTAGAATGTCGAAGATCCCAATTTAACATGCGACACAATTCAGGTACAATGACATCACAATCTCCTAATAATTGAACATCAAAGTCATGTGTGTAATGGGTGTGCGGTGATCAAGATTTGAGGCACATTATGAGGTTTTGAGACATAATTTCAGATACTGGTGATACTTTGAGCGATGAACCCAATCACAATTAGTAAATCAACTTGTTCTGTATCAATCGCAAGCAAATTATCAAATTCAGCTGGAAGACGTTCACCGAAAAATGTAATATCCTAAAAATAGTAAAAAGTCAAAAGAAAAATATCTTTTTTTTTTAAAGAAAAATACATACTGGCTTGATAATAGAAACCCCCTTTTGATGATGGTAAGGCTGGTCATCATTATCATCATCTTCTTCTTCTTCTTTAGACTTATTATTTCCTTTCGTTGATTTTGTACCTTCTTTTTCTAATTTCTTGCTTGAACATTTTGGACAAGGAGGTATTTGTTGAGCCATAATATAGGATTCAATCTCTGTACCATCTACTTTGTATCCACAAGTTACACAGGTTGCAGTAGCAAAGCTACCATGACAGTTTACAACACGTTTAATATTTGCCTTGTGTTCCAATGTATCAATATTTTGAGTATAATTTCTAAGCAATTTGCCCTTGTCCTCTATCAGCTTAACAAAGAGATGACTAGGGCTAGGTTGATAATTGGCGGGATAAAGTTCTTTGGCAAAAGAATAAAAAATTTCTGGTGATTCTCGAAAATAGTCAATATCAAACATTTGTTGTGGATCATCAAGCTCATATTCTTGTAGTCTTGAATAGATGCCTGTTTCTGACCGAAAGTCTGGGATACCACAGGAAACGGAGACACCAGCCCCTGTTACGATCATAATGTTATGAGCTTCTTTAAAAAGCTTAGCTACATCTTCTAATGTATTAATGTGTTCTAGTCTTCGTCTTTTACGTAAGAAACGTGTAATCACACTCTTTAAGATAGGGAGTAGTTCTATATCAGAAGCTAACGCAGCTGCTTTTGGATGCTATAATATAATAATAATAATAATAATAATTAAAAAAAAATAAGTAAATGCTGCATAAAAATGGCATAGAATCATTACCATATAAATATTAAATACTTCAAGCATTTTTGGTACAGGAACTGATTGTTGAATTAAATATTTTTCAATAAACTTCATTAATCCCTTTTCTCTTGCTTCTTCTTGTAGTTGTTCTTTTTCTTCATCCGTATATGGCTCCCAAGCTAATAATAAATAATTAGATGTATACACACACACACATATATATATGTATATTATTTACCAAGTTGAAATTGACTTTCTTCATCGGTTCCATCGACATCCACATCAGCCAAGCTATCATCGTCTACATGAAATGCAGGGTGTGACAAAATACCTTGATCAATCAAACTAGCCTCACTGTCACTTTCATCATTACTTAAACCAGCTGAGGCCCAATCTTGATCCGATTCTTCATTATAATCATCGAATAACTGATCATTAATAGTTAAAGATCCTGTTGGTGCTGGATCGTCTTCAGTCGTGACTTGCTCTACCATTTATACATTAGGTTATGGACACATTATCACTTTTTATACCATTACATTATTATTTTTAATTATTATTATTGTTTTTTTTTTGTTTACCTTCTAATTTAACTTTTTTTGTCATGTAATCTTTTGTTTCATTTTCTGCCTCTGTATCTGTATCTTGTTTGTCAGCAGAACGTTTTGCAGAAGGTGTTGAACTTTCTATTGATTGATTATCTTTAGTGTTCATACTTGATATTATTTTCTTTAAAAAAAAAAATCGGACTTTATGGTTTTCTTATGTTTAAAAAAAAACATCATATTTAAAAAAAAGAAAAAGGAAAAAAAGGGTTGTGACTGTTTAGATTTATAATCCTTCTTTCTTTTTTCTCCACAAAACGTCTTTTTTCTTTTTTTCAGTAGACACATTTAGTAACGTAAAGATTAATCCACGTCTCATCATGATGCTAAAATATTCAATATAAATAAATCTAACCTTTTTATTATTAAACTATGCGTATTACTTTCTGATAAAATAACGTCTATGGGACTTTACATATTTTTTGTGTTTTGGTACAATACTTTATTCAAAGTTCTGTAGATAAACATGATTGTCTGTATCCTTTACATTATTTATACATTAAATTGACTGTATAAAGTTGATACATGTGTTGTATTTTGATGACATGAGATTGAATGTTAAAGACAAAGTCTTTTATGAAATATAAAAATAAAAATTATTTCAATTCATCTGTTCGTAAATAACAATAACGGATCTTATTTAGTCAAATGCAATTGAATTTATTGATATTCGAAACAATCATTTTTTATCACAGCTACTATTAAAATAATAATGGACAGCTAGCCTTTTTTCTTTTCCCTTTCTTCTTGGGGGGGGGAGGGGGAATAGTGAACAACTAGAATTTAATGCTTTTGGTAGTAGTTTATTACAAAGGGAATATCTCACCTTCTTTTGTCTCTTTCTAGATTGAAACTATTTTAACACTAGAACTCTGTACAGCTTTTAATTTGTGGTATTCTTGAGCTTATCATAAATCACAGGACGCCTCAGTCGCTTTCCTATCTTTATTAATAAAATTAGTATTTGATAAGTCTCAAGATGCTTGTTTACATTTGTAAAAAGTATGGAAATAATGAACTACAAGACTTTTATTATCAATGTCTCGCTTCCTACTGTGATCAAAGATAAGACTGTAATGAATAACGAGTCCTTCGTCATGTTTGAATCATCTTTTTTTTTATTGTACATCCTTGTTACATTATATAAAATAGAGACTCATTGAAATATTCATATTAAGTAGTAGTAGTAGTAGCAGTAGTGTTACTATTACTATTATTTTTTTTTTAAAAAGAAATAAAGAACACAATCAGGATGAAAACGCCAGCCATTGTTAACTGTCTGTGCACAATAGCCTTCGATAGGTAAAGAGCATCCATGACATAATGACTTGTTTAGCTTATGATAATCTAACTGACAATAAGGTGCATTATTATAAACATAAAACTGATACTGCTTTTGTTGCTGTTGCTGCTGCTGTTGCTGCTGCTGTTTATTTTCGCTTGATAAAAGAGGTATACCACACATCTAATAATAACAAAGGGATAAGAAAGTTTACTATAAACTATCATTATGACTACTTTACTTGACATTTAAAACAATACGTATGCCAACTTCCTTTTAATTTCCCATCTGTGGATACAACGGCTTCCTTTTGTACAGCATGATGACAATATTCACAGCTAGGTAAAAATAATTGATTATAGTCTGTTTGACAATAGATTTTACCCTTTCTTTCTTGAACCCCGGTTGTGATTGGATCTACAGCTTTATGACAGTAATAACAGCGAATATGTTCTGGATGAAAATAAAGGTTATTAAAAGCTATTGTAGGCCTTGTAGATGCATTTATTGGTTTTTTACTTGTAGAAGGAATCAATAAAAAAAAAAAAAAGATAAGAAATGGATAGTAGGAATGGTCCTATTCTATTTACCAGGTTGCACAAATGGGTCGATTGATAGCTACTTCATAATGCTGAGTGCAATACACTTGTCCTTCAGATAGTTTGATTTCATTTCTTTTCGACGGTAATGAAAAGGGAAGTCGGCAATAGAAACAACTTAAACAGTATGAATGATATAGTTTCTAGTAAAATTCAGACAGAACACTAGATTCACTAGTTATGTATGAGTTACTTACTGTTGCTATAGAAATTGTAGCATTTCCATGATAGCATCGACAACAACGATTAAAATTAGGTTGATAACGACTATTATTTCTTCGAATATTTAATATATCTTGTAAACTAAGGCGCTCATTGGTTATTTCATTATAGTGTGATACTTGTGAAATTCGATTCTGTATAAAAAAAAAAAAAATAGGAGAAGTTTATTAAAAGGAAAGAAGGAGAAAACAAATATAACTTTATGTGTATTTATTTAGTTTTTTTTTTTATTTTTTATGTTATATTTTTTTTCTTTTTTTACAGATTCAAGCGATAGACAAACATGAGACGATAATTGATTAATTCGTACAGATGATTGACAATTATAACATTTCACAAAAGGAAAGTTAACGGTTTTATTATAGGATACAGCCATATACACAATAGTAGAAATTAATAAAAGAGGAGCAACTTGAAAAAAAAAAAGAAAAATAACCTTTAAAATAAATAAATAGTAGAGTTAGTGTAGTACCATTTTTTTTTTTTTTTTTTTTTGACAGTGACTATAACAGATTGATGAAATATTTATAAATTTATTTTATTTTATTTTTTTTTTTTTTTGGTGGTCCCCTCTCCCTATTTTCACACAGACCCCACATTTGAATACATAACGAACAAGATAATATACACTTTTCTTTTTCTTACTCCCTTTTTTTTTGTGCTTTATTTACCCTTTTTTGCTTTTAATCCTTTACATATACACATACAAAAAAAAAAAAAAAATCAACTTTTAATAATCAAACTTGTTTTTTTTTTCAATCATCATCATCATCATCAACAACATCATCATCATCTCTTCATTATTAAATTCTTTAATTCCCCCGGAAATAAAATAAAGCTGAATTTTCTTTTATTGTTTCATGTCATTATCGACACTATCAAAACCTTATAGAGTCGATTCTTGGTTTCATATGCAGCAGCAGCATCATCATCATGATATTTATGAAAAGCAACAACAACAACAACAAGTAGCAGTGAGTCAATATGCGAGGTCTACTGCTAGTAGTCGTTCTCGACAGAATAACGAGACAAGTACAAATAAAAAACCATTAGATGATAGACAAAGAAGAAAGAGTACGACAACCCTCCTTGATACTAACAAAAGAAAGGTAACCCCACACAACACAACTGAAGCATCATCTTCTTTAGTTCAGGGACATCGTCGACAAACATTATCAGGTCTTACTCATAACCCTCCACCAAGAGCAACGACAATGGGTGTCAATACAGGCTTAATTAAACTAGCTGATACCTTACGTGATACTCTGGCTATGGAAAGAAGATTAGTTCAACAAGAGTTGGGTTTATTGGAATACAAAGAAAAAATCAATCACTGAACAACAGCAAGTGGATGAGATACCAGACAAGTTACGTAATCATTCAGAGGATCAACCGTTTTACTTAAGGAGACGTACATACTCAAATGGATCTGCTCTCTCTCCTTTACAATCACAAAATTTAGTAGTATCCAAAAAGGCAACAACTGAAGTGAGTTATATGAAGCCAACTTTGGCTGATCAGCAACGAAGAAGAAATACAGCTAGTACACTAAGAAATTCGCCTATCACGACAGTCGAAGAAATAGTAATCTAAGAAGGAAGAGTGCTAGTACTGTATCTTTAGCTTCTAAAAATGGAAGGGATTTTTCATCTTCAATAACAACCAGTGAAGAGGAATCGAATAAGTTAAAACGAAGATCTATCTTAGCTGCTGCTACTGCAAAGGCTCGTCATCAGCAACAACAATGTCCGGATTTGGTAACCACTGCGGATGAGGCAACGACGAGCGGAGATGAGACTAGAAAGAAATCATTCATTCGTCGAAGGATGTCACGTACTGAGAATTTAAAGGACGGTATACCTACATCGGCTGCTTCACCTTTAGTGACAAGAAGGAAAAGCATTGTTCAACAACAGCAACAACAAAAATCACCTATAAGAAACAGTCCTATTACAAATACTACCACCAAAAAGGCACTCCACTTAAACCTCGAAAGCGTGGTAAGGTAAATAGTGAGGCAGTAGAGTTACTCTTTTTTTTTTTTTTAATGAATACAAACTTTTGGAAACATAAAGAGAATGTAATATATATATACCTTTTTCTTTATATACATATGTTTAGACACTACCAGGTAATTTAGCAAAACCACCTACTGTTCAATCCTTACAATTACCCCCTATGAAAATTGAGCCGATCAAATTGAGTATTCCAACAACTAAAATCACAAATAAACAAACTTCGTTGACAAATAGACGACGTATGAGTACAGCCAGTGCGAAAACACAACATAGACAATTCATATCATCAGATACATCTTCACCCTCTTCGCCTGCTTCAACAACAACACCTTCTTCTTCGTCTTCGTCATCTTCTATTTCTATTTCTATGTCTACCTCTATTTCCTCTAAAAAGTCAAACTTACGTCAAACAAAAGCACAAAGTTATCTAGACGTTACAGATACAAAACGCCGTACCTCCTTTCAAAAGATAAATTCAATAGCGTCACCTAAAAGACTATCTCCAGTCAAAGCGAATGGACGTCGTCCTAGTTTATTAAGCGATGCTTCCGTTAGAACAATGACTACTGCTACTAAAAAATTATCTATCTCTACTGCTAACAGTAGAAAGAATTCAATTATTGCAACAGAGGACAAAAGTACTTGTATATACATATATGAATATACTATTGAACCTGTTTTAATCATTTTTTTTTTAAAAAAAAAAAATTGATAATATAGGCCGTCATCGAGCTATCAGTCAAAGAAAAATTGGAAGCGATGGTAGCGGAATATAGTATGGATACAGCAAGTGAGATTGATTATGATAACTCTATAAGGAAGAAGAGTCCGACCTCTCATCATTCAACTAGTCTTATCTGGGATAAAGAGATGACATCTGTTCCAAAATCACCTACAACTATTATCAAATACTATGGTCATCATTTAAGTCCCTATGAACAAACAGAGATTCAAAAATTTCCAGAGGTTTACTTTGTAGGTCATCTCTGTTCACACAAGCATCAGGCCATGCCTGATCATAAAGTGAATAATTATGGCTACGATGATGAAAGTGGTGACTATCGATCGATACGTCATGATCATATAGGATATCGATATGAGATTTTAAGTGAACTTGGCAGAGGATCATTTGGACAGGTAGTTAAATGCTATGATCATAAGACAGGTCAACAAGTAGCTGTCAAATTAATTCGCAATAAGAAGCGATTTTATGCGCAAGCGAAGACTGAAGTGAAGATTTTAAGTGATTTAGTAAAATGGTAATAAGAATATAATACTCTATTCTATAATAAAATAAATCTATTTACCTATTTATTTATTTATATTTTAGGATCCTGAAGATAAATATCATAATATTCGAATGATAGACAGTTTTTATTTTAGAAATCATTTATGTATTGCTTGTGAATGTCTAAGTATGAATCTTTATGAATTTATTAAAGTCAATAATTTCCAAGGTTTCCATACTACGTTGATTAAAAGGTAAGGAAAAACACACACACACTGTGTTTTATATTTTGTGGTTATCGCCCTTCTACAAATATTAGCTGTAGAGACTTATACTCTCTTTCCTTTTAATATAAATACTATAAGATTTGTTATCCAAATACTTCGATCCTTAACACTTTTATCGAAATACGGGGTCATTCATTGTGATTTGAAACCAGAGGCAAGTATTGCGATTTATTCACAAGTAGAGTATATAATTAAAGTTTATAGATATTTAGAATATTCTGCTGAAACATCCTACAAAGAGTACAATCAAAGTTATTGATTTTGGTAGTAGTTGTTTGGAAAGTCAAAGAGGTATATACAAACATATACAATGCATATATCTACTAAATACCTTTGCACTCATTATTTTTTTTTACAGTCTACACTTATATTCAAAGTAGATTTTATAGATCTCCTGAAATCATTTTAGGTTTAGATTATACCACAGCCATTGATATGTGGAGTTTAGGATGTATTATGGCTGAGTTGTATACGGGTATTCCTATCTTTCCTGGCGAAAATGAACAGGAACAATTACTATGTATTATGGAAGTCCTGGGTTTACCAGATGAAGAATTGATTGAATTAAGTGATCGAAAACATTTATTCTTTGGTACAAAAAAAATGTTTATATGTTTTTTGAATGCATTATTTAAAAATTTTTTTTTTTTTTAGATTGTCGTGGACAGCCTCGTGTTGTTTGTAATTCAAAAGGCAAAAGACGTAAAGCAGGAGCCAAGAGTCTTTCGCAAGTTTTGAAATGTAGTGATAGTTTGTTTTTGGACTTTATTCAACAATGTTTACAATGGAATCCTGCGAAACGATTGACTCCAGAAAAGGCCTTCCAACATGAATGGATATTGCAACAGAATAATTCTAATAAAAGGCCTAATGAAACTTCTTCTCCAACGTCTGCTACTACAGAAGCATGTTAATTCGTTTATACCATCAACAATTATATTAAAAGAAAAAGAAAAAACGTGCAATTTATATGTATTACTTTCTCTATCTTTTAATGGTCTAAAAATAATAAATAGTGTCACTTATATATATATACCTATCCTAATTGTACAGCTTGTACTTACCTTCCTGCACTGTCACATAATTTAATAGTGTGCGTAAATTATATTGATTTAAATTTAACATACTTCTTTATAGTATGCATCATTCAAGTTTATTCATTTCTATCATGACTTACATGTATGATATAAATCATCTTTACACGTTGTAATTCAACTCATTGAATCATAAAAAGAAGGAGAAATAAAAAAAAATACACTATTAAAGGGCCTTGTAGTTAACCTTAAGTTATGATCTACTATAGAAACAAACAAAATATCCAATTACATTTCTTTCATAAACACCAAGAGCCTTTTATTCTTATAATTAATTCTATGAATTTAGATTATTATTATTTTTTTAGTGTCAAATATACTTTAATCAGGTAAATGTTGTATTTCTTTTTAGTCAATAGTGTTATCTATAAAATGTTATACAATTATTTTTTCTCCTTTTTTTTATTTATTTATTTTCCTTTTTTCTTTTAAAATAAAATAAAATAAAAATGACAACGACAAGATCTTCTTCTTCTTTTTCACAAAATAACAAGGATAAAGTTCAGCAAGAACAAGAAATTGAAGAATCAACAAATACCAAAGAAATCTGTTTGAATCAAGAAGAGAATGAAGCTTCTGATTTTTTAATTACTACTTTAGAAGTAAGATATGTCATACATGATTAAAAAAAAAAATACAGACATGCATATTTATCTTATTCAAATTAGAGTCACGGTGTTCAAATGTCAGATATTAAAAGACTTCAAAGTGAGGGCTTCTATACAATTGATTCTGTCGCTTATACACCAAGAAAGGCATTAATTGCTATTAAAGGTTTATCAGAAGCAAAAGTAGATAAAATTATTAAAGAAGGTAAATTTTAGTCCTTTTTTTTTTTTTTTTTTGTTGTCATATTCATTGAATTGAATTCTTCTTTCTCTTCTTCTTCTTGTTTACAAGTTCATTCAATTATTAATATTGGATTTACTACTGCACTTGATATACAAGCAAGAAGAAATGAACTCATTTTTATTACAACAGGTTCAAATGATCTTGATAAATTATTAGGAGGTGGTATTGAAACTGGATCTATTACTGAGTTATTTGGTGAATTTCGATGTGGTAAAACACAACTGTGTCATACGTTAGCTGTTACATGTCAGGTAATGTGGCCTACATCACTTTATATACACACATATAAATATATTAATACATACACATGTATATATAAGCTTTCTGCTGAAAGAGGAGGTGCAGAAGGAAAATGTCTTTATATTGATACAGAAGGGACTTTTAGACCTAATCGAATTTTATCTATTGCAGCAAGGTTGGAAAGTTTTTTAAATATATACACATATATAAATGTATTTATAAAACTAAGTGTGATATAGATATGATTTAGATACTGAGACTTGTTTAAATAATATTGCTTATGCTAGAGCTTATAATACAGATCATCAAACATCTCTTTTAGTGCAAGCAGCTGCTATGATGTCAGAAACAAGGTGAATATATACATACATACATACATGCAAGACGATGACTAAACAAAACAAAATGGTGTTAGATTTGCTATAGTAATTATCGATAGTGCTATATCATTATATCGTACCGACTTTATTGGCCGTGGTGAGTTATCTGCTAGACAAATGCATTTAGCAAGATTCTTGCGTAACTTACAAAGATTGGCGGATGAGTTTGGTGTTGCTGTTGTATTGACCAATCAAATGATGGCTACCGTAGATGGCGCCGCTTCCATGTTTAATGCGGATCCTAAAAAGCCTACAGGAGGAAATATCATGGCTCATGCTTGTTGTACTCGTTTACAATTAAAAAAGGGAAGAGGCGAAAATCGTATATGCAAAATTTATGATTCTCCTTCTTTACCAGAAAGCGAAGTTACTTTTCTATTGGAGAAGAAGGAATTAAAGATGCAGAAGATTAAAGCCCTTTTATTTTTTTTTTAAAACAATTTGCTCCAAATAATTAATACAATAAGAACAATTAAAATCAAAATAATAGCTGCAGTAATTAATTTGTTTGTCGCCATTCTATCATAAATAAATAAATAAATAAATAGTCTTTCTTTCTTTCTTCTTTTGCTTGACTTATCTTACTTACCGACGTGCCATTCCCTTGAGCGTTTTAGATGCTTTATCAATGTGAGAATCTGCTTCTGCAAGCTATACAACAAACAGTCATCATTGTAAGTATTTTTTTTTTACATTTGACTTTTTTTAATACTAATAGAATAAACTTACTGTATCTCTTGCTCGAACCATTGTTTCACGTTGACCTTTAAGAGTACTTAAAATATTAATACCAATACCTTCTGTCTCTAAAGCTAATCGATGACTATCTTCTAAACGTCGGCTTGATTGTCCAAGTCGCTCAGTACCGCTTAATAATCTTTGTCGTTGATCCATAGTAGAGGCATCATAATCTGTTAATCCTTCATCATTATTATCACTGTTAAAACCACCTAACAGTTGTTCTCTATCTGAATTCTTTGGCAAAATGGCTGTTGTTCTCCTCTGAAGAGAAAAAGAAAATCAAGTCAATTTTCAATCATGAATAGCTAATAAATATGTATATTTATTACCAAATCTCTTTTAAGCTTTTCTGCTTCTGATTTATAAAGTCTTAATTTGGCTTGTAAACGTGTTCGTGAAGGTGTTGGAATATTTAAGATCTCCATTTCCATTTGACCAAGCTATTTGAAAAAAAAAAATTAATAACCTCTCTTTTTCTTTTGCTTTAGTTCATTTTCATTACAATCTCATTAGCTTCGTCAATTTCTCTTTCAACAGCACGAATAGTAGCCTTTCTTTCCTCTATGATAATAAAAAGAGATGAACTTGTTATCTATGCAAATAAATAGGTGGGGAGGAATTTTTTTTTCTTTTCCTTTTTTTTTTTTTACCTCCTTTTTGATTAGGAATGTGCTGTTCAATTTTTGATTTTATAGATTCTGTAAGTATAGTAAAGTCCTGCTCATAACTAGAAAATAATTCAGAGCCTCCAGCTGATGAAGTCATTATATGTATATATGTATATATATAAAAAAAAGAAGTATATATTTATAAATGTATATAAAAGAGTTGTTCAAGCTTTTCTTATTTTCTTTTTTTCTCAAAAAAAAAAAAAAAAAAAAAAAGCCTGTTGTTACTTCAATTGGGTATCCGCTAATCACGTGCTATATTCTAACAATAGGTGCTATGGTAAATAATTTATGTGTTTGTTTCTTCGACATAGCTAATACAAACTGGTTGTTTAACAAAATTTAATTTTTATATTTATTTATTTATTTATTAATTTTTTATTATTATTATTATTATTATTTCAATAAATTCCATTTTTGTTTCATGACAATTTATAAAGAAGATGAAGCATCAGATGTAGATGCAATTCAGGTAATTCTTTGAAACTATTTTGAAATAAAAATAAAAATAAAATAAAAAAATAAAACCTTCAGGAACCAAAAAAACACAAAAACAAAAAACAAAAAAAAAAAATAAAAAAAAACAAAAAAAAAAAAATTTTAGGTCTGGAGTGCAAAGGAATTAGAAAGTGAATTTACAACGTTTTTAAAAGCATATGAAGATAAAGAAACAGAATTCAATTGGGAAGCTAGAGACAAAGCAATCGCACGTTTAAGAGGAATGCTTCGAGGCAATGCAACAAAACCTCCCTATCTTGAAGTCTTCATTGCATGTATGAAACAGATGGTCGACGGCATTATAAAAGCAGTTAGTTTTTTTTTTTTTTTTTTTTTTTTGTCTACCCCCTCATAAATAAAAAAAAATAACACCAATATATATATATACACATATTTATATATATATATAATGTGTAGGTAGAGAGTTTACGTACTCAGTTATCAGTAAAAGCGCTTTTGTTGATCGGCGATATAGGTATATTTATGGGCAAACATTTAGACAACTATATGACAGATCAAATTCTATTATGCTTATTTCGTTGTGCAAGTTTAACAAAGAAACTTGTTGCGAATGCATCTTTGGAAGCAACTAAAATCTTTTTAAAGCATACTCCGTTTTATCCTAAAATTATGAACATGCTTCTATTGTTGATGAATGAAAAAAATAGTCAGGTTCGACTTTATACCATTACTTATACCAAAACTTTATTGCAAGCACATGCACATCGTGATCATACTCGTTTAGTCATGGATCGTACAAATGCAACTGATCATTTTGAAACGCTTTTGACAAAAGGTTTAAATGATGCGACTCCTACTGTTAAAGAAATGTGTCGACAAGCATTTTGGATATTTTGGGAACATTGGAGATCAAGAGGTGACCAGTAAGTTTTACATTATTGCTATAATTATAACTCATTTATTTATTTATTCATTTTTTTTTTAAAAAAAAAAAAGGATCTTAAAGCAGCTGCCTACGATAGCTCAAAAGCAATTAGAAAAATCAAAAAATAATATTGAATAAATCTGCTTCTTCAGGAACAGTGATGCAACAACATAGTCCAAGTGCATCACCAAAGATATCAAATTCATTAAACCGTCAAGACTCAATGCCTATTTCTCCTTCTAATTCAAATAGCTCATTCACCATGACACAGCGCTCGATGTCTCTCGAGCTATGTCTCCACATCTTAGATCCTATGGTTCACCTCCAACATTATCTTCTTCCCTTTCTTCTCATTTACAAAGACCTCATTCCTCTGCTTCAACTACAACTGCTACCAACATGACCCATTCTCATGCTTCACCTCCTTTACATCCCTCACGCACAAATATGCCACGTGTGCTCACACGAAAGAAATCAATGGGACTCATCAGACGAAAACCATTGAACATTCTCTCTCTCCTTCAAAGTGATGATTCAACACAGCGATCTGAGGGTCTTGCTCAACTTGCAAAACGACTTCGTCAACAGCTTCCTTATCATCCCTCTCGCATCGTCTTACCCCACATTCATCTCTCTGATACTCTTATCGTCGAAGGGGAAACACTCAAGGCTATCCTTTCCCAGATATGGGACCAGCACCCTGAGGCCTTTACTCATTGGGAAATAGCAACGTGTATCATTTTACCTCTATTTGGTATGGAAGAAGCTCTGTTGAAATGGATTGCGAATGAGGAAGCTCTATTGTATACAAAATTATTTTTGCAGCTTGAACATCCACAATGGCCTAGTACGATAATACAGTCCTTAAGTCAATTACAAAAGGGTCTCCTCGCTGGCGTTCGCTTGACACCCGTCAATCGACGCAAGTTGGTTAAACAATTATTGGAATGGATGAACGAACTTGTGATGATTAATTTAGGGAAAGCAGAAGAGATGATGCGTTATGAAGGAGTACCATCCGAGTATTGGAATGGGACGACTGCAAGTACATGGTTTGACTCTGATGAAAATGTGCATCAATCACTTATTGTCTTATTACCCATGGCCTTTACATCGGGTAACCTGTGGCATGCATCGCTTATTGCATTACTTAAACATCTTCGGTTATTAAATCAGGGACTCTTTGATAAAGTAATCATAGCATTATATGATGATGAGAATACGGTGAATAAACTCTGTCGTATTTTAGGGATTCATATTCGATTAGAATCAAAACCTAAAGTACTAACAGAAGAGGAAGAAGGTTATTTGCTTAAAGTACCTGAAAGAGAAGAAGAGAATGAGAACGAGAGCGAGAACGAGAACGAGAACGAAAACGAGAACAAAAACGAAAACGAGAACAAAAACGAAAACGAGAACAAAACGAAAACGAGAACGAGAATGAAAACGAGAACGAAAACGAAAACGAAAACGAGAACAGTTTATCAAAAGAAACTGAAAAAAGAGAACAGAATTGTTTATCTGAAAATAAAAGCAACTTATCAAAGGTTATCGCCACATCACCACCTCCTATTTTGCAAAATGATGAAATCTTGTTTCAAGAAGATAACTTGGTGGTTCCCAACGAACAACAACCGCTTATAGAACAATTAGATGCTGTCCTTTCAGATAAACCAATGATGTCATCAGACTATTTTAAAGAAGAACCTAATGTGTTACCAACTGACTTGTTTAATAACACAACAATAACAACAACAACAACAACAACAACAACAACAGAGCTTCCGGTAAGACCAAATTATTATTTCATTTAATTTACGTATACCTATACATATACACATCTATTTTTATTTTATGAATAGTCTACAAATGATGTATCAATCGAAAATACTACAACATTATTGACTACAAGCGTTCCAGATCTTGAAAAATTCCCAGAACCTCAATTTGTTCCCTTTTTTGCCCCGAAACAAGTCAACTTTAGTAACCCTATCTTTAAAGAAAATGTTCGTAGTGTAGGAAAGGATAAGACAGGATTACTTTATAATTTGATTGATAAACTTGAACAAGATCCAATCAATACATTTCGAAAGATGAATCGAATTTTTAGAGAGGTACCGATACGAAGACGATGGGATCAAGGAGGAGCAGAGGAGATAGGTGGTGAGACTTGGGCAGGAGACTCTAGAAAGGATGCGGGCAATTTTGTTGAAACTGTACAAGTTATCTTGCCTTATATAGTAAACAATAATAATGGTGATGATGATGATGATGATGATGAGGGGCAAGAAAGGGTGACAGTCTTGGCTCTTGAATGTATACGTCAATTAGCCGTTACTCAAGCAGGTCTCTTTCGATTTTATGAACGACAAGTGAATGAGGATGGTGCAAGTTTAGAGTCAAGATTGTTAGAGAAATTATTAAAAGTTCGAATTAGTTCTAATTCAACTGTAAAGTAGTGATAAAAGTGTATACATCTATTTTTTTTTTTAACAATTTTTTTTTTTTTTTTTTAGATACGTATGGCTGCAGAAGATGCATTAGATGCAGTTTTAGGTACATTAAGTCCTTCTACGACATTCGAAATGTTAATGGCATTCATTGTATATCGTCTTGTGATTACACCCTTCGATTCCATCAAATTGGATAATCCATATCATCCAATTGGATTAGCCTTTATATACCTTTCAAAATGCGTTAAAGAAATCAATGATAAATTTTATATTGATGAATGGTTAAGCAAAGGCTGTGTGAATGCATTTTTTAAGGTTTATAATATTAAACTTGGGATAGACAAAATTTCTCATTAAATATGTATATATTTGTAGGGTATCAATCATCCTTTCATTCACATAAGAAAATCTTGCGTAGAAGCTATTGTTGCATTTCATGAAGTCATTGGAGAAAATATATATGTCTATTTAACTGATTTAAGAGAAGACCAATTACAATTGATAAGACATTATGCAGCCAAATCATTAAAAAGAAAGAAGCAACAACAGCAGCAGCAACAACAGCAACAACAGCAACAACAACTATTATTTGGAATTTAAACGAAAGATATATATATATATATATTAAAAAGGAAAAGATATACGCATACACACACACACACATACACACATACATACATATTATTTAGATACTTGACTATTAAATGATATTCGTCTTTATAAATCGTTGTATGCATGTTATTCATAAATAAACAAGTAAAATTACATTTCTTTTATAAATAATAAAATCAGTTTGAAACAATAGATAGTTTGTCAAAAAATATAAAAGAAATACTACTTGTAGCTTGTTTCTGTTAAAAAAAGCCAAGATTTCTTACAAGTGGTTCCTGAAAAAAAAAAAAAAAAAAAAAAAAAAAAAAAAAAGAGAGAGAGAGAGAGTTTTAACTGTTGACGGTTCATATTTATTCAGAAAATTGCTTAATAGGATCACTTTTATTCGAAAATTAATCTACAACTACTTGAGGGTAATTGATACACAAGAACAAGAAATAATCATTCATGAACAAAAGGTTAATATCATTTACATTATAAAATAGAACGAAATAGAAATTACTGAGATCAAAGAAGGAGAAACAATCAAGTTTATAATGGATCTAAGCAATGCTTTGTGTAGTAGATATATAGAACACTTAATAAGGAAATATATGAATAGATCGCCAGTTATAAAAATCAAATTGAAAAAAGATTAAAGAGAGAGAGAGAGAGAGATGGCGATGAAGATTGACTGTATAAATGTAAGCTTATTTATTTGTATATTCAATTGAATGACATAAATAATGATGTTTCAGTTTATTTGTTAAAATGCCTAATACAAAATATTTTCTTTTTATTATTATCCATGTTTAAATGAAAAAAGAAAAAAAAATAAAAAAAAAGGGGGGGAAGGACAGAAACAAGCAATATGACGCTTCATAAATTAAATATTTTTTATCGTGATTCTTCATCCTGCATAAAAAGTATATCAATTTGACATGAAGAATCAAAACGTTAATCTTTTTATTTTAGAAATTATTTGTCAACCATAAAAAATCTTGACCTTCTCGTTCAGTATAGTAATTTCCCTTATTATTACTATCTTCTAGGACATAGTATGTACTTTCGTTTTACAATACAATTATGTTCGTAAGAGAAAAGAAGGAAGGAAAAAAAAAGTTATATCATTTATTCTGATTATATAAACAAAAGAAAAAAAAACAACAACAACATAAGTTTGGTCTTATGAGTTTCATGAACAAAAAGATTTAATAATTCAATAAAATCGTTATATAAGTAAGAGTTTATATATGTGGATGCATTTATTTATTTATTTTTTGTTCTTTTATTTTCTACAAGATAATCCACTCTTTGCACCTTTTATTACCCCCTCTTTCTCTTTCTCTCCCCTCTTCTTTACCTTTACATCCCTGCTTCTCCCCTTTGCCTCCTCTCCATTTTTTTAATATTAAATTACTATATAGACTTATTTAATCAAAAAAAAAAAAAGCTTTGAGCTATTTGTAATAACTTATAGTACTCGATTCTCTCTCTCTCTCTTTCTTTTGTTTTTTCTTTTCTTCATTTCTTTCATACTTTATAATATCCATAACTTACAAAGAATACATATACATATATTATATCAAATAATTAAATACCATGTTAGCTTATTCGCAAGATTCATTCATTCATCATCATAACAATAATAATTCAAATTCTATGAACCAACATCAATTAATACATGAACAACAAACAATACTTAATTCAATGTGTCGACATAATAACGAACAACATCGAAAAGATTCAATTATATCTATCGATAATAATAATAGTGAAATAGATGCCATTATGAGTAAAGATCCCAATAATAAAAACTTCTTTTTTATTTTTTTAAAAAAAAAATATCAAATGTTAATGATCATTTTTTAATCTAAAAAAAGATAAAGAAGAGCAGGTATGGCCTCCAGATGTAGAAGCTGCTTTTATTGAAGGTATATTGAATATACAATAGTATGTATAAAAGTGATAATAAAATTTATTTTGCTTTAGCCCTTGAATCAATTCCTAAATTAGGCAGAAGAAAAATTCTTGTCAATGGAAAACCCTGTGGTAAGTACGATCTATCAATATTACGTGATTTAAATTTAATAATTATTATCCTTCTTTTCCCTCCTTTTCCCTACCTTCTTCCCTCCCCCCTTTTTTTTAATTCCCTCGTATTTTTGATCTATTGTATTTAACTTTCCCCCCTTTTTTTTCATATATACACATGCTCACAAAATAAAAAAAAAAAAGGCCGAAACGAACTTATTTCAGAATATATATTTCGCAAAACGTCTAAAATTCGTACGAGAAAGCAAGTTTCGTCACATATCCAAGTATTAAAGAATACTCGTAAAGGAGATGCTTACTGTAAGAATTACAATTATTATTGAGTCTTTTTTTTTTTCTTTTTTTTAAAAAAAAAATTAAAAAAAAAGAATAAATAGGTTACTAACTTGTTTGATAAAGTTATGCGTCTTTTGACAGATTATGTAGATTTAGATAATAATGGTAACCATCGTAACCATAACTTGATTCATATGCAACCCTTATCACCTATTGAATTTCATCATCAACAATTTTACTGTCAGCATCCAGTAGTACCTAATGCTGTTAAAATGAATACATTTTGTTCTATTGACTCATTTTCTTCTGATGAATCATCCATTCAATCATCGCCATCATCCAATGAATACCTTTTTGATTTTATGTATCACGATCCGTCTCATCAGCCACAAGCCTTTTCTATGTTCCAATTCAATCCACTTTTATCAAATATAATAGATCCAGTAACAATGAAACCCAATAATCCATACCAGATCCTTTCTTTTTTGGCGATATAAATCTTGGAAACACACTAATCCATTCCTCAAATGACATGTTTACAGCTCTATTAGAGAACGAACCTCTTATGCCCTCATTCGATGAAACCTTTAGTATACCAACCGAAACGAATTCCACAAAGGCTCAACCAAATAAATCAAACAATAACAATAATGATAATAATAATAATAATAGTTTGCCATGTGGATTATGGCCTAATTATTTTTGTCTCTATCTTGATTATAGTATGCCTTGTGATCCATGCCAGCCCTTTTCACACAACTTGTCTCAATTACCTCATTGCTTTTGATTGCTTACCGAACGTATCGGCAGACGTTATTTCAAAAGATAAGTGTCCTATTTTAGATACCCTTCTAATGCGTCAATCCTCTTCTAAAGAACATACTCTACTACTGGCAAAAGTATATATATAAAAAAAATGAATACACATAAATAGTATAAACAAAACAGATAGAAATTTTGAAAGCTTATATCCATATATGTATATTTTTAGATAAATCTTGATTTGAATCTCGATATTTCGGGGTTTGCATTTAATAATACATCTTTCTTTGAATCACAGACGCGTCGTACAATTGAATGCACAACCACAATTTACTCTTTCGGAAATGTTGTATTGGAATCAAAAGAAGTTCAACAAGCACTTTGGATTAATGAAGGAAAATACATGTATAGTTTTGCATTTGTGAATCAATTTTTTGATGCATTTATGAAAGGCATAAGAACGCTTCAATCATGGGAAGAGGTAGATATTGCTATTAATAACTTGTGTATTATTCAGGTAAATAATAATGAGAATTTGTTTCTTTATAATAATGGCTAACCTTCCTCTTTTTTTTTTTTTTTTTTTTTTTGTCTTCAAAAAAAAAAATTAGACATTTGAAGATATTGAATATAAATACCCTTTAACAAAAATCAGTAATAATTCTTCATTTTTATTAACATTAATTTATGAATTTAAAAGAGGCACTGGTCCAATTGAAGTCTCACTTGTTGAACAAAAAGAATTTGATAAAGGCACATCCAATTAAATCTTGCTTTGTGCTTCCTTTCTTTATACATTTAATCTTTTTTTTTTTCTTTAAAAAAAAATATGTCCTACTTGTAAGAAAAAATTATGTTATATGTTCTAGAAAAAAAAAGTTATGTAGTACAGTGAGCGTGGTAGCAAATTGCGCTGGCTGAAATTCATATTACAGATATTGAATTCTTAATAATATGCTAACAATAAATTTCAATTTGCATTTTGACTTATCCCCCAACTTGCGCTTATAATTTTTCTTATCTAGCGTTAGACTTTCTTTACAATCTGCGTTATTAATTGATGAACAAGTACTTTATTTTATTTTTTTTGAAAGAACAATGTGGTCAAAGCACCCATTTTAATAGCTTACTATACATCAGTTTTATTTTTCTTTACTTTCTCTCTCTCTCTTTTTTTTTAATATCCAAGAAAATGTATAAATCCATAATTCTTAACACGATTGAAGCAGTAAAAGAAAGCAGAGCGTTAGGTATAGAGTATGAGATATTTTAAAGCTGCTTTGTTTCTCATAAGCACTATATCTACTTGGGAGAGAAATCACAGCCAACATGCAAGGATTGTAAACAAACCGGGCATTATAATAAAAACTATTATAAATGTAGACTTTATAAAGAAGACTAAGCAGATAACGATGAGTAAACACAAACGGATAAGTTTTATACATTCTAACTCTTTTTGATAGTCGGTACAAGCCAGAAATAACAAAGTTCAGAAACCAAGAATATCAAGAGACAAGCAAAGCGGCAGCGGGTAGAAATGGACTCAAACAAAAAAAAAATATAGATCTTGTGGTAGCAGCAGTCATAAATCAAAACGTTCTCCTGATTGCCCTCAACTTATACTTGGTAAACTAGAAGTTCTTACCGAAAACTTGGGGACAGGGTTTCAAACGTTCACCAGGAAACTTCCACTTGATACCTGTGTAAATGATTGGTACAGAAGTGTACTTAAAAATAGGATCCTCCCTGCAAGCGAAGATGTTCGAAAGTTACTTTTTTTAGAGCTCAAATATTTGTAAATCATTACATCATTATCCATTCAAATGAAAATACTCCAGCTTCTATTTTTCAACAGTCATTCTGGTATTCTATGTGTCAGTTAGTCAGGGACAAACGTGTTACAAACAGCGCTGGCGATCCCATCTGGATTACTTGATGATTGAACAACTTCCAAAAAAAAAATACTATTACTATTAATAGAGTAAAGCTGGCTAGTGGTAGCACTCAATGTCTAACAGAAGCGTGCGTTGAAGTATCTGCTGCATACCTGATTGCGGTTGTAGAAACGTTTGAAAAGAGAGTGTTGTACTACTTGTGTTTCTTGATTCAAAATATGTGCCCAGTAAGTCATTAATAATATAACTTTATTCCATTAAATTTCACACTATTTATTCGTAGTCCATGAAATCTGATGATGCCAGACTTATTGTCAAAAAAAAAAAATATTGCTATCAATATGCCTCTAAAGGTGAACCAGAATGACCAGCTAGTCTTATTTTGTCGAATTTATTTGAAGCTGGAAATCAGAGAACAATGCGATCTCTTGCGCAGACTCCATTAATGAACCAGTATCTTTTGAAAAACCTTTCAAAATCGCTAGGAAACTATATTCTGTTTTTGAAAAGGAACATTAAGATCGAAAAGAGTTTCCATTTCATGTGAGGCGGCTCCCATTACCCACGTTGCTCAGTCTCTCACGAAAACCATCGTTTCAGTGTAGATTTGTTAACATTACCGTAAATTCGTTATCTTGTTTTGTCAAGGAGAGGCTACCACAGAATTATGAACATAAACTAAAATTTTTCTATTGTGTTTTTTGATTTTAGTAAATTGCGCTTCAGAGAGTAAGTTTTGTTAAAAAAAAGATTTTTTTTTTAAAGAAAAACAAACTAATAGTAAATTGTTGATAAACTATAGTATCACAATTAATGCCAAACGAAGAGAATACAATCTTGTTCAACAATTATGTAAGGTCAGACAGGTTTGTAATCGACTTTGTGTTCAACAGATGACGCAAAGATAATATCATTGGATCACATAACTTGATGCTCCAAGATTTTACTTATAATGAAGTTGAGAGTGCTTTTAGGCCTGCCTCTGTCGACCCTGGTAGGAAGTCTGTATTTACTGCGGCTGTTGGGTTGGGGACGTCCAACAAATAAGAGGATGTAATACGAAAGAATATTACACTATGACTGGATCCACAAACTATCAGAAAAGACAGAAAAGCTGAAAAATGAGGGAGGTATCACGTCTATTGAATCAGAAATGCCTACGGCCAAGACAAATCAATAGAATTACACAACAAGTATGTAGAGTATATGCTACGCCACAGACAAGTCTTGTTCAATTTCTATGGCTTTCAAAGAGCAAAAGATTGGTTTTATTTACATTAACAAAGACAAAAAGCGGCTCACATCATGGTCAATATGACAATAAACGGTGGCAAGAAGTATGACAGAAAGCAAAGGAAAAAAAAAAAAGAGAAGAAAGGAAAAAAATAGCTCATGTGTTCCCGGAATGACTGTGGCCAAGTAAACCATCAGACTTTTTTTTTCATGTTAATTGATGTATTTCATAATATAGAATAAAACGGAGGTCCGCAAAGTTTAGTCAAGATGCCGCCAAGGTCCCGCTAATAGTTTTTGGAGCAGGAATGTTTGGAAAAGATGGCGTAAATCTTAAAGGAAACAAATGCGGTGCTACTGGTGTTCTGTTGAGAGCGATTAAGAGGAGGGAGAAAGAAGGTGATCTTTAGGCGATAACTATTGATGAGTTCAAGACATCAAAAATATGCCACAAATACTACAATAATTCGCTCAAAAAAGTAGAAATATGAAAGGTTCCAGTGTTCTTGCTTGCAAAAATTGTCGACCACTGTGGCAAAGGGATCATAATGCTGCTAAGAACATGTAGCTCATTTTGTCATACATCTGGAATGGCTACGATCATCCTTCCATGTTCCTCCCCACTAGATCAGCTTGATCATTTTTTTTTTATTTTCATCAATCGCCGTAGTGTTGTGGTTTAGGTAGGTTTAAGAATTAAAATAAAAATAAAAGAAATAAAAAATAAGACAGACAGAAGAAGTACGTTAAGACTTGTCAATAAGATTATTAAGATAAAAGTGAATTAATTCAATTCTAATTCAACTACAAGTATACAAAATAAGAGTTAATAGTATAAGAGTATTTATATATTTTGTGGATAAGGATGATGAGTAATAAGAAGATAAAACATAATAAATTGTATGTGATAATATAATTATAGAACGATTACTAAGAGTTATTATAGATATAGATCCGTGTCTTTTGTATATATTTATTTTTATAACTAATGTGTGTCCTCTGAGTGGAATCAATTATTACGTGTGTTTACCCCAGTTTAACTTATAAATTTATATTCAGCAGAACAATAATATTTTTAGATGTAAGACTTTTATTAGTTATTTTTCTATACAAGAGTAAATATGCATAATATGTCTGTAGACAGAATTATTGTACAAGTACACTATATTCTATTATGACTATTTATCTTATTGAATTAAGTTATAAATCTTACAACCATGACACTCCCAATCTTCAGAATTAACCTCCCAACCTCCAGAACCAAGAAGCCCACAGCCAACAATCACAACAAAGTGGAAAAGGTACGCAAAGCGCAAAGTTCAATGCATATATTTTGTTGACTTTCATATTTGTTACATTTACTTGATTGATTAGGGTCTTTGAAGAAGGTTTGCAGCTCCTTGAAGATGAATATGTTACAAAGAAGGCTCGATTGAATGAATTGGGCAGTCGAATCAAGGAAATCATGGAGGAACGTCAGGGTATTTTGGTGGAAATTGAAGACTTTGAAAAAAAGAAGAAGCTCACGAAAGAAATCATCTCTTGAATGTCCTCATGCCGATCTTCCCTCTCACTTTGAACATGAAATTTCTCACTTTATATCCATTACATCTACATTTATCTTCATGTACAACATCTTCTTTACATGTCCATTTTTATGACCATCCTCCTACTGGTACCCATGACTAGTGTCTAACCTTTTTTTTTTTTTTTTTTTTTTTTTTTTTTTTTTTTTTTTTTTACATATACACCATTATCAATACAATTCCTTATCTCTCTTCTTACCCTTGGATCTCTTATTTGTCTGAATTGCATTGATGACCATGTTTTAATAATAAAAAATTGTATTTGATTTATCGAAAATATTCTTGGATAGAAACAATAAGATTAAAACAAAATTCAAAGTTACTCTTCTATTGAATGAAATGTGTGAAGGTACTATGTGATTCAGTTAAGCACCGTAAAATTAAGTGCAATGGATTAAACCTCATATTCGTATTTGAATCTAACCGACAATTATTTTTTTTTGTAACCGCCATATCTACCAGCCTAACTGTATCAGCTATATAAATCTAATCAACTCTATATCTATCTATCTATCTATCTATCTATCTATCTGTATATATATTTATATACCATATATATATATTATAAGAATGAGATAGAGAGGGCTTCTTTATGCATCATATATTAGTATACTTTACTTACTTTATTTGGTATATACTTTTATGAATATTAGGAGTAAAAAAAGAAAGCAAGTTTATTATGAAAAAAGGAAATAAAAAACGGTCTTTTTCCTACTTTGTCATCAGACATATGTAAAGCTTTATTATGTTAATTCAAAGGGCCCTCCCCTTCTTCAAATAAGCGTTTTTAGAATTATTTTGATTTGAATTCAATTCTATTTTATCCTATACATCTCATTAAATAATAGATAAAATGGATTACATTTGTATATAAATATATGTTTTAGTATAATCAATATATGCACGAGAATGATACAGCAGAAATGATGATGTATGTGTTTGTGATCCGGTATTAAAAAGATATAATATGCAAGTAATCAGAAGACTAATAAGATGTGTATATGTGTATTCTAATAGGTAACGTATAAAAAGTCGTTTTACATACTAATGTATCAATTATAACAATAGTAAAAAAAACGAGGCATATAATGGATTCTTGTGTATACATTACGGTTTATCAGGCTACTATCTCCTGTATTTTAATACATAATTTACAAATATATAAGCGATAAATCTTCATTATAAAATAGTCATAACCAAGTGTGTATCTAGTGTTACGGAAATGGAAGGATGTAAAATGCAAAACATCGCATGACGTTCTTAAAATTGCTTTTGCTTTTTTTTTTAACTTTTTTCTTTCTATCTCCTCCTTTCTCCTTTTCTCATTCTTTTCATTTTCATTTTTTTTTCCCAGAGAAATTGTTTCTTATTATTATATAATTTTGTGTATTGATGGCAGAATTTATTTGCTTAGCAATGGCTTCTCAGTATACCGAGAATAATAGTTTGGAATCATCACAACAACAGAATAATACTACTACTTCATCTTTTAGAAGAACATTAGGCACCAGTACATTATTTGGTAGAAGGACTCCTAGATCAACTACAAATATGACAATACCTAACTCACCTTCCATATCTATAGTTGAAGAAAATCAACTTATACCTAATGTTCATATTCGGATTGTACCTAGTATTGAAAATCCAAGTAGAAGCCTTATATTTAATATAATTGAACGTGATTTGGAAATGGGTCGTGTTATTAAAATAGGAAGATTTACTGACAGATCATCTGTTCAAAATCATATATCCTTTAAAAGTAAAGTTGTATCAAGATCCATTGTGAAGTTTGGCTAAATAATGAAGGAAAGGTAAAAAAAAAAAAAAAAAAAAAAAAAAAAAAAAAAAATATTAGCTTAAAAAATTAGGAAAAAAAAAGAGAGTTATAAATAAGCTGTATTGAATAAGTTGTGGTGGCAGATGATAAAAAAATTAATAGTTGCATTATATAATATGCAACTTTTTTATTTTGTTTTTCCCTTTTCTATTTTTTTTTCTGTACACATGAGCATAGCTGCTCCTTAGCTTACACAAAAATTTAAGTTTTATAATTAACGCATCATCTGGTTTTTTTTTGTTTCCTTTTCTAAATAGATTCAACTTAAAGATACAAAGTCATCATCCGGCACATTTGTAAATCATGTACGACTTAGTCCAGCCAATACAGAAAGCCGAGCAGTTGAAATTCGAGATGGTGATTTAGTGCAGCTTGGGGTAGACTATCAAGGGGGTTATGAAGAAATCTATAGATCTGTCAGAATGAGATTTGAAGTGAATCGACCTCAACAATCTTGTCCACTTTCCTACAGCTTATCCGTCTTTAATAATCTTCGTAGTTTGACACATGTTTCAACAGCAGAAAAGAATGACAATGAAATTGAAGTAGAAGAATGCTGCATTTGTCTTTATGCTTTAGCTCCATTTCAGGCCCTTTTCGTTGCTCCGTGTTCGCATTCATATCATTTTAAATGTATTCGTCCTCTCTTTGATAGTTATCCTGGTTTTCAATGTCCTATTTGTCGAACTTATTCTGATTTAGATGCAAGTGTGGCTATTGAAACCGAAGAAGTGATTGAAAAATTGGGTCTTCAAAAAAAGAAATCATTACCAGATGATACAAGGCCATCTAACTGCATATCAGAGCCTCCTCTATCGACAACATTAGTAACTAGTAGCACTAGTTTATCTGGTCTTTCTGATATAGAAGATCAACAAGGTGAAAGATTTTTCTTTTTATTTTATTTTTTTTTTTATTTATTTATTTTTTTATTTATTTATTTTATTTTTTTTTAAAAAAAAAGAAAAAAAAAAGAAACTAAAAGTTCTAATATATCTACTATCTTTTATTAGCATCACAAGAGACTAGAAATCGTCGAGCAACGATAGTTTTAGAAGATCATCATATGAGTGATGATCAAGATGAAGCGGTAACAAGAATCCCATCCACATCAAAGCAATCACATACAACAAATCATAATTTTGTAGAAAAGATCAAGACAGTATTTTCAAGTGAAAAGCAACGTGCTCATAAATCATTTATGATAAAAAAAAATCATGCTCCTGAAGATACAAAAGTTGAAGGAACTCATCCACCTTTATTATCAGATACCTTGTCTACCCCTTCTTCATATTCTTCTTCTAGTTCACGGCCAACTGCCTTACAACCCGTTCTCTCTCGTCAATCTACTTATTATAATTCATTAAATGGAATTTTGGAAGAATGCGTCACAGCAAGAGTAACACTATCTGAACATAGCTCAAGTTAGTTTATGTACACAATATTATCTTTTCTTGTTTATTTTATATTTATTTATATATATTGCATATGTATCATATATATTATGTAATCCATCATTTTTACTTTTAATTATACATATTATTTTTCCTTTTCTTATATGTATATATGTATACATGTATGTGTATGTTTTTTTTTTAGGAAAAAATAAGGTGAGAGAACTTCATATGTATAATTCTTTATTTTATCTGATTTAAACTTTTTCAGCTCTGCTTTTCAATATAAATTAAGATGAATTAAATAATATCAATAGAAAGCATAAAAAAAAAAGCTTCGAGTTCATTTGTACAGAAAGAGTTATATTATTTTAATCTCTATTATAAATAGAGACGAAGCCTTTTTATACTTCTATTAAAAAAAAAAGCTGTAGTTATTCAATGCAAATTCAATCTCATAGTAACTATATTAACAATTTTATTTATTTGGTTTGATTTGATTTGATAAATGTTTGGATTAATAGAGGTATGTAATTTATACGGAATATAATTTAATTGAAAGTGTAATTTTATAGTTTATTAAAAGAAAATAATTGATGCGAATATAAACTAAATTTTTTCATGCTCGCCATTGGAGGACATCAAAATTCTTTTTTCTGCTAGTAAACGACGCTCAAGGCTTGCCCATTCTTTCAAAACGTTTCATGACAATACATGAACTATCAAATTCGCCTTGTCGTCGTCCATGATCATCCTTTCCTTCTCAGCTTTCGTCACTCCCTCAAGTACCCTTGTTTGACCCCATGAAAAATCATCAAATGCCAGTAGGCATAGGCCGGTAAGATAAAGTTCCAAATAGGTAATGACAGCAGATAGATACACATCCAACCAATATATACCATTTTTCGTGTTGTGAAGGCAATGAGAATAGCAGGTAAACCTAAAATAGCCGCTAAAAGCAAAAGGGGAATAATTGGAATAGGTCTTACAAAGAAAGAAATGACAATTAAATAGATGGTAAAGCAGATAGCAGCAGGTAAAACGACTGTCCCTACTAGTTCCATGAAGACCACAAATTGCATGAAAAACAAAATGTACCACAAAGGTCACGAATAAGTACAAGTTCTAAAAGATTATGCACAGTTGAATTAATCCATCTTCTTCGTTGAGATAATAATACATTGAATGTATCAGGAACGACCGTTTTACAAACCTGGAGAAAAAAAATAAAATGAAATAAAATAAAATAAAATAAAATAAATATTTGTCAGCAGAAACTTACTGCTTGAGGTACAAATATCATTTTCGTTTAGGGAAAGTGCGAAGCATAAGGGTAGTCAAATAACGATCTTCACCTAAAAGTAATAAATTCTTTTTGTGTAATGTGTCAACTATATTTTCGCAATACATTTCAATTATATCTGAAGAACAAATGATAGGAACATAACGATCTCCTTTAGGGGCAATAATACGATACATACAGAAACAGCCTGGCAAGCATGTTACACCGCCAAAGATAGATTCAAATGCTTTGCTCATATGATGTGAAAATAATATTCAAACACTATATGGATATAAATGATAAAATATATTCATCTATATATATACATATATAGTTGCAAAAAAAAAAAAAAAAAAAAAAAAAAAAAAAAAACCTTGAATTGCTGTAACCCAGCTATCACCCTTATTTGCAATCTTTGTTTCCCCACATAACCCCATTATATAAGGATCTCTTGACATACAGGCAACCATACGAGCTAAGGAATCAGGATATACTTTTGTATCAGCATCAACCATCAAACAAGTTTCAAATTTAGAAGGGTGATTTCCTGTCAACTTCACAATGGCCTTACAAAATTGATACTCTAGCTCACACATACGTTCACCATAATATACCTTTTGCATCGTGTTCATCAAGATGACTTGACTGTCGCGTTTACCTCTGTTTCCTGGTTTCTTATTATCTTTTATTTCTGATTCTGTACCGCATTTGACGATAACGATCATGGGCACTCTATTATCATCTGAATCTGTATTTATACCATCATAGTAACCAGCATAGACTTTGGCTCGATTATGTCGTTTTGCACCATCGGCGATAGCCACATAGGAACTGGGCTTTACCCTTTGTCGAGGAATTAAATCATTTTTCATCATAGAGAGTACGATATCAGGTGTTGATTGACATTACCAGACCCCGTAATAATACCATCACAAACGACAAGTAATAATTTATGTGAGACGGGATAATCAGTAGTCGCTAATGATTCGAGGGTTGTTCTTAAGCCTTCCTCTCCCTCAGAATAGCAAGTGACGACCATGAAGGTATGTAAGAGATCAAAATTGAAATTATATTGAAGCTGTTCTTGTAAAGTACGTGTAGAGAATGATTTATCGCTTTGATATGGCTGTCTCTGATGATAAGCAGAGAATGTACGAAAGAATTGAGAACTGATAGTATAAGGAATTGGAGATGACAGAGTACCTCCTAAAGAGGAAGGAGCAAAATAATGAGATCGAGAGGCACTATTGAGAATACGTGGTGAATTTGGTTGTGTAAATCGTGAGATGGTTGGAAAGAATCGTCTTCGACTACTTGAATGAAGTGCCATCATCGGTCGTTCCTCATTTGTCATGGGGATAATCTCTGTGATAGTGTTGTTACTATTTTCAGTCGCCATTCTATGACTGATAACAACATCACTTTGAACATTTTCAGGCAAAGATTGAATACTTTGTGTACGAGGGAAGTGCATATCTTCTACATTATTCATCTCCCATTCAAGCACCTTTTCTCTTCTCTTACGTCTTTCCTCATCTGTCTCCTCTCGAATACTCCCCAAATTCCATGAAATAAACCATCCAAATATAAGAGCTAACAGGAATCGAATCACAACGACACCCAAGATGACAGCTAATGAAACCCAAAGTACGATATCTGAGATGATGCACCCAGCTGATCTTGTATCGACTACACCCACTTTTAATATATCTGTCAGACATTTACCGATCTGTAACCGATCTGCAGTCGTACTAAGCCAATAGGTTGCATCACGTCCAATAAACGCATTTCCTGGTCCTACAATTTGTGCCACCTGACTTGGTAAAGGGATATTATGTGTCAAGTAACGAAGACGAGATAAATCTAATACATTACTTGTAATAAAAGAAAGATGATGAGTTTTTTTTTCTTTTTTTACTGAAAAGTTTATACATATATATATATATATAATCATTACCCATTAAAGGCTACTAAATTTGTATTGGGCTTTTGTATATCTGTCCAATTATAATAAATATCACCTACAACATTCAAACGTCTCAATGAAGTACGTGCTCTCAAATTGGTATGACAACCATGACGTTCCTCATTGTCCGTGCCCTGAATATAACCCTGATTTAGATAATCAAAGGTAACGCAAGGAAAATAATTGCCTACGTTCCCCTCATTATCATCTGCTTGAATGGGTTTCAAGATCCCCTTACAATTATAATTGACGGTTTGAAATAGAAAAGATAAATCATGACCCCCAAATTCTTGTAAATCAATACCATGTGAATCAATGGGTGACTGTTGGATACGAGGATCACGTAAAATAGTGGATGAGATAGGATGTCTAAATGTTTGAAGGTCATAGGCGCGACCAGAGATAACGATATGATGAGATTGAATACCTGTAGGTTGAATACGATTCGTTTGACGACCACAAACGGCAGCATTAAATCCAAATGTTAAGAATCCTACAAGTGTACATAAAAAGACAATAATTTGAACCAACGTTACTTTTTCACGCCATGCCTGTTGCATTGTTTTTTCTTTAATGCCTATATAAGTTTTTTTTTTTCAAGTGTTATTATTATTATTATTATTATTATTATTTGCCTTTCTTTAATTATTAATAACTATATACATATATATATATCTTATTTTACCAAAGGTCTGTAATAAGAAAGAAGGCGCCCACCATGTTAAAATCCAACTTGTAGTTGTCCAACAGGTCACAGGCTTCTTTTCTATGTTAGATTTGACTTGTGCTTTATTCACAAAAAAGCTGCCACTATTAGCTAAATAATGTGCTCTTTTAAGTCGTCGATCATCCATTTGTTGCTGTTGTGGTTGTATATTCGTGTCAACTCGTAAATCGATACCTGCTTTCATTTTTTCATAGTAAGGCTTTTTCATTTCCTTTTTTGATATCTTTGACTCTTCTTGTTCCTCTTCTGCTCGTGATGATCTATCTTTCTTTTCTAATTCTTCCATCTTGTTGAACAAAAAAAAAAAAATTAAAAATTAAAAAAAAAGAGATAATAATAATAATAAAAAGAATAAAATGTATGTCGAGTGTTTATACGTTATATTAGAGAATTCTTTACTCCAAGTTCTATTTGAAATTTTATATAAATGTCTATTCCCCACCCCCTCTCCCCACCCCTTAAAAAAAAAGTATATACAAATATCTATCTAAAAAAAAAAGAATAAAGAGAAAGAAGAGAAAACATTTATTTTATTTTTTTTTTTTCATATATACGTTTATTAAATTAAATGTTTATATTGACAATGCATTAAAGGTATGAAGAACATCTTGTACGGTTGGTAATCGCCAGGTCGCCATCGTCTTTTTATCTTCAACACCTACGACAATAGAGAAGATAGGTAAGTCTTCTTGTTTATTACCTACTTTCTTTAAAACTTTAAACATATCTTCATCCGTTTTATCATCACCACAACACATAATAAAATCAATCTCCTTATTGGCAGATAATAAACGCTTAATAATTTCACCCTTATTCGTTGCCTTGGGTCGAACTTCTAAATTCTTTTTACCCACAAGGACTTCGACTGGCATCTTGGAAAGTATCGCATTTTCTAAATGATTTTGACATTCTTTAGATTGAAAGGCGCCATATTCAGGGTCAGCCAATCGATAATGCCAGGTGACAGAGCATCGTTTATGCTCAATGAAACTCCCCGTTGTACGTTCAGCATAATAAGTAAAGATCTCAATCACATCATTTTTCCAACTCATATCAAAATGTTCCATCAGGTTAATCCATCGATGATTGAACTCTGTCGTACTAGGGTATTTCACAAAGCATCCATGTTCAGCACTAAGACCAAGTCCCTTTACCTGTCCTAACCATTTATCCAGGGTTGCTTCATCTCTTCCAGAGATAACCCAAACCTCATTTTGTGCATCATTACATAATTGTTGAAGAGCATTTAACATCTCTGGTGTAGGTGCTCGAGATCCTGGTGTTGTACGTACGTCAGATAAGGTACCGTCATAATCAAAACATAAAAGACGTTTTTTGGATGACTTGTAGTGTTTTAATAGTAAATTAGTTTCTAAAAGTGGGGTATAACTGGATTGTTCTGAAGCAGCTATTGATTCTTCAAGGACATTGACAAATGACTGTGCCCAAAAGGACGACGTATGTGTCTTGACATGACTCAACATTTGCTAATATAATAACTACTTAGTATGTTTTTTTTTTCTTAAAAAAAAGAAAAGAAAAAAAAACGTATCAGATATATTCTTACCACATGTCTTGATTGCTTTTCTTCATCGGAGATAAGAAGAGCTTCATTCATGGCTTTAGCTACTCCTGCATAATCCCATGGATTTACCATAAATGCCGAACTCAACGATCCTGCTGTACCTGTTAATTCTGACAAAATCAATGGTCCATGCTGATCTTGTTGACACACTACGTACTCTAAACTTGTTGTGTTCATCCCATCCCGATTTGCTGTCACAACAGCAACATCTGCTGTAGATAATAATGCGTAATATTCGTCTGTATGAATACGATGATGATAATGATAGACTGGAATGTATTCAAGTGATCCATAACAACCATTGATATGAGCCACCATCTCTGATACTTTATTATGCTCCACTCTTTTATTTGTCTCATTTGATACGGTAGTAGTATCATCTGTCAATTGAATCATGACCACCTTATTTCTCCATTCAGGAAAATCAATTAAAAGTTTTTCAAAGGCAGCTAGTTTCTGTAATACGCCTTTAACGAGATCAATTTTATCTCGACCTACTAAAATCTTTTTGCCAGCATACATATCTTTGATAGCTTTTGATTTAGCGCGTACAGTAGGGTCCTTGCAACGTGATTCAATTTCTTCCGGGTCAATACCTATAGGGAAAGTACCTACATGGCAAAAATGACCATCTGCGCAACGAACCCCCTCAGGGGTAGACTCGTAACCTAAAACACGTGTACAAGTGGAGATAAAATGGCGAGCATAAGCATAAGTCTACTCCAAAAAAAAAAAAAAAGAGTTAGATATATTTTTTTTTTAAATGTTTTCTAAACTAATGTACCTGAAATCCTATCAAATTTGCTCCAATCATTCCTTGTAAAATTCCTGCCTTTCTATACATACATATATGAATATACATAAAAAAAAAGGACGAGTTAATAAAATGTTGAATAGGTGACTCATTCTATTATTTTACTTGGTAAACATCTGAAAATTTCTGAGGTAGGAAAAGGTGAATGCACAAATAAGCCAATCCTTGCTTTTGGGTATCTTTGTCTAATCATTGAAGGTGTAAGTAGTAAATGATAATCATGTACCCAAACTACATTCAACATGTGTGTGTATAAAGAATAATGATTTAATTTTTTTTTTTGCCATTTCAATTACATGAGATGAACTTACTAATGTCATTATTTTCTTCAGGTCGGTATATATCACATACAAAATCCGCATATAGTTGATTAACTGCTACATAAGCTTCCCTTGTTTTCGTTCTAATCGACCATCTGTAGCATCGCTCCAAATCATGTAATGAAATAAAGGCCACAACACTATTATAATAAACTTTAGTTTCTTTACACTAAAAATGAAAATTTTCTTTTTCTTTACTTGTTTTGCAATAGCCATCATAATGTCCAGATACACTTTCACTATCTACAAATAAAGGTAAGCAATCCAATTCCTTTAATTTATGCTCTAATTCCTCCTTCTCAGTTTTTCCTAATTGATTATAATCAACATGTTCCAGTGTCATTGATGAGTTATTGTTGTTATTATGTTGTTGTATTTGCTGCTGCTGCTGCTGCTGCTGTTGTTGTTGTTGTTGTTGTTTCATAATATGGCCAGTCCAACCTATATAAAGAACTTTCCAATAGCCACTTTTTTGAAGAGAATGAATACCACCATACATAGCGCCATGACCCCTTCGAGGAATCAAATGCCAATAATCATCTTTGTTGTCAGTTAGTGTTATTTCGTAAGGAATTTGATGAGTAACGTTTATGATGCGGCTTTTTCTTTTGTCATTTTTTAATATATTGGAGAAAGTAAAAAAAAAAAAATAAAATAAAATAAAAAATGTTTTATATTATACAGAAAAAAAAAAAATGTATATAAATATATTATTCAGATACAAATTGATTTTCTTTAAATAAATTATAAATGTATAACGTCCTTTTTATTATTCATATAAACAAGATAAAGTATGAACGACCCCTATAAATACTCATGACGTCTCTCTCTTTTTTTTTCTAGTTTGTCCTTGTATATGAAGACTTTTTTTTTTTGATTTACTTTCAATATTATGCGAAATCAAATAACAATAAGAACATTGTTACATGTGATCCCTATCTGTTGAATAATAATGCAATGCTAATAATTTTTAATCCAATAGGAATCCTTTTTGAAAAGATGTTACTCATAAGTACGCCCCTGATTCTTGCGTCTTTTTCCCTTCTCCCACCCCCAGTTTCCTTTATCTATTTATTTATTATTATTCTTTTGTTTTTTTTCGTTTTTTTTTTTTATTTTTTTTTACTAAAGAATAATGTCTATACTGAACTCATCTCTTCGGTCGGCTCTCTCCCAGCGTTTAATCTCTTTCTCTAATAAAGTAACAGTCATTAGACCTTTACAGTCCATCATTAAAGCAACTGTTTTACCCAATAACTTTATTTCTCAACGTTCTTATATAACAAAGCAAGTCTCTTACACCGTTGATAAATTCCCGGGTTATATTCGTAATGAACACTTTAAAAAGGTAAAAAAAAAAAAAAATAAAATAAAATAAAAAGAGACTTGATATACATTACTTGTTTTGTTAATTTAAGGAAAAAAAAAAAATAAAATAAAATAAAATAAAAAATCAAACATTATATAAATCGAATAGCTTACAGAAGATGATGTATCCCATTTTAAATCTATTGTTGGCAGTCATAATTTAATTTATAACAATGAAGATGACTTGTTCCTTTTAATACTGATTGGATGCACAAGTTTCGTGGTCAATCTCAAATTGTACTTAAACCAAAAACAACTCAACAAGTTTCGGATATTTTAAAATATTGTAACGAACAAAAGTAAAAATTCAGGGAAAAAAATAAATAAATAAATAAAGGGAGAAAAAGAGAGAAAGAAAGAAAGGAAAGTCTATATGAAATTTTAACTTATTATTTCGTTATATAGCTTAGCTGTTGTACCACAAGGTGGAAATACAGGTTTAGTAGGTGGATCTGTTCCTGTCTTTGATGAAATTATATTAAGCTTACAAGGAATGAATAAAATACGTGGATTTGATAGCGTCTCAGGTGAGTTACGAAATAAGCAAAAAAAAAAAAAAAAAAAAAAAAAAAAAAAAAAAAAATACATTAAAATAGCCCATTCATATTCGTTTTTTATTTTATTTTATTATGATAGGTATTTTGACAGCAGATGCGGGCTGTGTACTTGAAGTTCTTGATAATTGGTTAGGTGAAAAGAATTATATGATGCCATTGGATTTAGGTGCCAAAGGAAGGTAAAGATGATTTTAATCTTTAAACTGAGAGAGATGTAGGTTAGAATTAAAATGGCATATACTCTAGTTGTCAAATAGGTGGAAATATTGCTACAAATGCAGGAGGTTTAAGATTATTACGTTATGGATCTCTTCATGGTACGGTATTAGGCTTGGAAGTAGTAAAGTATAGAACCAAAAAAAAAAAAAAAAAAAAAATAGAATGGAGAGAAGGATAAACATAGATGAAATGCCTATAAAATTGACTATTCTTAATTATGTATATGTTTTATAGGTTCTACCAGATGGTACAATCTTAGATAACATGTCAACTTTGAGAAAGGACAATACTGGTTATGATTTAAAACAATTATTTATTGGCTCTGAAGGCACAATTGGTGTCATTACTGGTGTCTCTATTTTAACTCCTCATAGATCAAAGGTAAGTGAGTCAACTCTTGTATATAAACAAATGATTGACTCGATCAAAAAAAAAAAGGCAGTTAATGTGGCTCTTTTGGGTTTAAATTCTTTTGAAGATGTTCAAAAGGCATTTAAACAGTCTCGACTTGAACTTTCTGAAATATTATCAGGTAAAAAGTATTCAAATCATGTTTAAACAAGAGACTTAACATTTATTATGGATGATTAGCCTTTGAATTTTGGGATATTAATGCACTTCAAATGTTCAAGAAGCATGCCACTCCTAAAGCAGTCATGGAAAAGGAATATCCGTTCTATGTTTTAATTGAAACAAGTGGATCAAATAAAGATCACGATGATGAAGCAAGTATTTCAAGAAAGTAATTGAATAAGAATTCGTATTAACTAACAAACATGATCTATTTTCTGTATAGAAATTAACTAATTATCTTGAGAAAATGATGATAGACGGTGTTGCAGAAGATGGTGTAGTCGCTCAAGATGAAACACAAATTAAAAGTCTTTGGAGTCTTCGAGAGGGATTTACAGAAGCTCTTGGAAAGGAGCCTGCAGTCTATAAGTATGATATCTCTATGCCTGTTCCAAAGCTTTATGATTGTGTGCAAGATATGAGACAACATCTTCGAGATGGAGGTGTCTTTGGGCAAATCGATTCCCCTGTAACCGATGTTGTAGCTTATGGTCATGTTGGTGATGGTAATCTTCATTTGAACATTGCTGCGAATCGATTAGACAGTAAGGTATCTGCTTTAATAGAGCCTTATTTGTTTGAATGGGTTGGTAAAGTAGATATATTTTAGATTGCTTTTATTTTTTTTATTTTGCTAAAGTATCTATCCGTGTATATATAGCCAATCATCAAGGATCTATCAGTGCTGAGCATGGATTAGGTGTCGCTAAGAATGAGTTCTTGGGATATTCCAAGTCACCTGTAATGATTAAGATGATGAAAACTGTAAAGAAGATGTTTGATCCAAATGGTATTATGAATCCTTATAAGGTAATTATGAAAACAATGTAAGAAGAAATAGAACAAGGATCATCAATTTAACCCTCTTTTTATCATTTAATATAGTATCTTCCTACACACTAAATTATTATTATTATTATTATTAAAGAGTCTATTTATAATGAATTGTTGTCATAAATATAATTGTTTCTTTCTTCTTTCTTTCTTCTTGTCTTTTTATTATGAATAATTTATCTCATCTTATACATCGTTTGTTAAAGCAAATGTATGTGTCCGACCCATTACAAAGTCATTACAAGATTATTTGTATTATATGTATTATCATCAACATGATCTTGACTGTATTAAACTTTATGAAGATGAAAGAAGACTCTCTGTTAAAAGTAATCCTGAAAAAATAAAATCGTATATTGAACAACTTGACAAATAACCTTTTTAATTATTATAATGGACTTTGTTAGAGAATAAAGATGATATGTATAGAGAGTGGAAATGATGATTGATATAAATGGTTATAGTAAATTATGTTTACCCTTAGATATTCTTGGAAAGTGGATAAAGTTGTAAAAGATTCTAGTGATAATACACTGAAATTTAACTGAAGAAGAAGAAACAATGACAAAACTTGTAATGGAAGGTAAAATGCTATCTTTTATAACGTGTATAATATATTTATAGTTGTATCTATAATAGGTCATGATGCTGCTTGTTTATTCATTGAAGTAGGGTAATAGACAGACAAAAAAAAAGAAAAGAAAGGCTTTGTATATTTTTATTGTTCTACTATATATGTATATTCATATATGTATAAAGGGGTGATTATCTAGCATTTAAGAAAAAGTAATGTCATGTCATTCTAGCATGTATAATACATGTACTTATTTATCTTAACACAAGACAAAATCAAAAGAAGCGAATTATAGATAGACTTGATGAATGCATTCAAAGCATGATAAATAAGCATGAAATAACTACAGTTGCAATTGAATACGTTTATTTTGGATTCACTGACACTTATAGTTATGATCTAAGAAGAGATGTCCTTTGTCAAAGTAAGTAAAACCAGAATAAAATACTTGGATTCGTCTTCATGTTTATATATTTTAAAGGTGATGACTTGATAAATAAGGGCATAGATCATTGGATGAAAAAAATTGATAGTTTACAAGATTTTGGAAATTAGTTTCAAGAGGATCCAAAATATCTAATATTTTGAAAATTAAATTAAGCTATTCATCCTCAAATGCATCATTAAATAGACAGTCAAATCTTTATTTATTTGATTTACATTTGCTGGAAAACAAGACAAAAGATGAACATTACCAAAATGGAATTTATTATTCATTTATGAACATACGTAAAGAAAGTTAAAAAAAAAAAGTATCTATTCATTAATTTGTGTGCGTGTGTGTCTTAACTGCAGTACATTAAAATAGGTTCTATTGTGGAAAGAGCTTTAACAAAGCCAGATATTGACAGATCAGAAAATAATCAAATTATGACTAATTATTATGTATTAACTCATTTATTAGCTCCATTTGCTTGTGGACATCATTATCTCATTATTGTAGCCTATATTCAAGTAAGGAAGAGCTATTATATAACAATACATTAAAATGAATAAATAGTAAATAATATATTCATATAGGAATGTCTTCATACTTTTAGAGAAGAAATCATAATGGTACTTGATTTGATTGAATTAATGAGATCTATCCCTATTATTTCACTCGTTAATCCTAGCTATGTAAATCATGAAAAAATAATGTGAATAGTCTTCAACAAAAGATAAGTGTTTGTAGGGTAAAATAGGATTCTAATATACATCTTGAATATAATAGAGGTAAATTCATTTAAAAATGTATTAATTTAATTCTTTTACTTAGACTAAATATGAACAAGCACAAAATGTACCTATTTCTCTATACGCACACACCATATGCTAAATGTAAATTACATTAGTTATTATCCCAAAATAAACAAGTTATACAACAATTACAAACAGAAAATGAACGTCTTTATCTTTATTGAAAAATAACGAGAATGAATACAAGAATATAATTTGTAAAGTCATTTTTTGTTCTATCATTTTATTCTAATTCTAAGTCCAATTCCAAATTCTTACTACTTATAATAGCTACTTATGATACACAACAAGACCAAAAATTAAATTTTATTTACAAGCAAATTCAAGAAAAGGAATTAACCATTAAACAGCATTATCACAATATGATAATAAAAATAAAAAATTAGCCTTTTTTAGAATTTCAACTCTTAAAAAGGAAAAGGTATTTGTATACTCTTGAGTCTAGAGAGATATATTAAGCACAAGCTTATATGTATAGGAGATATTAAGCCATAAATGTAACCAATTACAAGAAATAATGGTAAATTCTTATAAACACACATACATTTAATCATTCTAATGTACATATTTATCAGAATAAATCTATTGAGTCAAAGAATCAACTTCAAATAAAAGTAACAAGGCTTTCTAGATATGTCCAAGAAAAAGAAGTAATCATCATATAATAATATACAACACTCTATTGGGATACATTTAATAGACATTTATTTGTTTTCTTTAGAAAAAGTTACTAAATGAAATTAGAATGATGAGAAAAGAAAAAAACGAGATACGACAACTTTTTGACACTTTCAAGAAGCAATTAATAATAAACAAAGAAGAATAAAAATATGTCAACAAATGCATTTTTTTTTGTGACCAAGCCTTAATAAAGTTATAATTTTCTCTTTATCTTTCCATGTTTAAACAGATATTTTTGTCCGCTGTTATTAAAAAAAAAAAAAAAAAAAAAAAAAAAGATCATCCTTTTGCATTCAGAACTTTTATCTTTCGTGTATATGCAAAATAAAATACAATCTATTATTCTGTCTATTATATAAATGAAACCAGATCTAATCCATTGTGTGTATAAGAACGTATATCTGATTTTAAAATAGAAATCTTTTTTTTTTTTTTTTTTTTTTTTTTTTTTTTTTTTTTTTTTTTTTTTTTAGGTAAGCTTAATAAATAAAAATATTTAAACTTGTCTAAATATAAGACATATATGAATACAGAATAGTAGAGTTCAAATGTAATTATTACATGCATGTTCCAAAAAAAAAAATAAGTAAAAAAATAAGTAACCAGGAACAAAACAAAAGTCTTTATCATTTTGTTTCACAAATTTCTTTTTTTTTCAGGCACAAAAAAAAAAAAAAAATCTTGCATATTTGATTTCGTTCGCCTTATCTAAATCTTAGGAAAAATAAAAAAAAAATTCCCTTACTTTTTATTATTATATTATTATATTTTTGTTCTATTTGTATATATTGTCAAGAATTTAATGAAAAAATTTAAAATACCTTTATATTTTACTATATTGGATATATTGTGTAAATTTTATATTTGTTTCTCCCCCCCCCCACATTTTTTTTAAAGTTTTTAAATTGAATGCATCAAATGACGAAAAAAAAAAATATTTCTCAATAAAAAAAAGATAGGAATATTTTAGAATTCATGGAAAACCCACATGATAGACGCATCCTTAGGTTAAATATTCCAATAACATATCACAAAAATTAATAAAGGTGGTTTTTATGTAAAAAAAAAAAAAAAAAAAAAAAAAAAAAAAAAAGGATCGGCAAAAGTTGGTTTTTTTTGTTTACATATAAAAGTATACTCTAAATTATTCAAGATTGATAGTTGCATATACAAATATATTTTAATTTATTTAAGATTGAAATTTACATATGTTTATATTTTTAAACTATTGAATTTAGAAATTTACATATATACTTCCTTCCTTTCTTAAAAAAAAAGGGAATAAAAAGAAGGAGATAGATAGATAGATGAAGATAAGAAAAAAAAAAAGGAGACATATCAATTAAGGAAATATTGTCATAATATTGATTAAAAATAGAACAAGTATATATGTTAATAAATAAAACTTGTTATATTGCATCATTATAATCATAATAACAAATCCAAGTCCTATTATTTTCTCCTTTTTTCTTTTCTATCTACAACTTTAAGTAGTATTAGTGTAACAATAACATTAAAAAAAACCATCATATACTCACTTTTATAATAAAAAAAAAATAGGAGAAAACCTGTTTACTCGGAATCGGGTGTATTAATTACAAAAAAGAAGAAGAAGAAGAAGAAGAAGAAGAAAAAAAAAAAAAAAAAAAAAGACAAGAAAAAAAAAATATAAAAGTATAGGTTGAAATAAGTTTCATTTTCTTTTTCTTTTTCCTTTTTATTATCATCATCTTCTATATCTTCTCTAATTTCAAAGAATCTAAAATAACAATTGCTGCGAAAATATCTCATGCTTTTACATTTATGCTAAAGAATAATGCTATTCACATTTGTCAACATCGATAACTTTACATGATACAAGTATGCAACTGAAGCCTCTACAGGTGTATCAGACATATCGTTGATTGCTACAATATATATTCTACAAATCTCCACAAGTACTGCCTATATACATGAACAATATTATACTATTAGGAAGCCTCTAAATTGATCAGACACAAGTACTGTTTATATAATCCATATGATGACCAGACCTAATACTGCCTATTTACATGAACAATATTTGCTGCTGTAAGGAAGCCTCTAAATTGATCAGACACAAGTATTGTCTACTTAATCTACATGATGATCAGACCTAGTACTGCTTATTTACATGAACAATGTTATGCTGTTAGGAAGCCTCTAAATTGATCAGACACAAGCACTTAATCATCATCATCGTCATCATCATCATTCTCTACACATTCATTAAAAGCATGTCAAGTTTTCAAAACGATTCAAAACGATTCTAAATGATTTTAAACGAAGCCTCATCCTAAATACATAGACGTAGTGGACAAAATAAAATCCACTATGTCTCCATCAACATCGTTCTTCCACACTCACTGGATAGAAATGACTGACTACACTAAGGCAATATGATAACAAAGTATCTCCAAGAAGTCCCAAGCACCCACCGCAATAGATCACCACCCTGACAGTAAAGAAGAATACCATGTTCACTTCGTATGAAACCGCATCAGAAAGTCAAAGTCTATGTTATATGTTCTATGTTTTATGTTATAGGTTCTATGCTCTATGTTATGTGATCAAAAGTCGATTCTTTGTACTAAGCAAGGTAATATCAAAATTTTTTTTATTTTATAGTAAATATGATAACTAATTCACATTTTTTTTATTTGTTTGAGGGGAGAGGGAAAAGATATTTTTTTTAGGCACAATTCCGTTTAGGCACAGTTTTTTCAGGTATACTTATCTTAAATACAATTTTTTTTTTTTAAAAAAGTTCAATTTTTCAAGTAATTTTTTTTTTTTTTTTTTTTTTTTTAGGTACATTTTCTTTATAGGAAGGTTTTTTTCTTTTTTCTTTTTTTTAGGTACAATTTTTTCTTTGGCTTTCTGGTGTGGCTTCATACGGAGTGAACATGTATTCTTCTTTACTGTCAGGGTGATGATCTATTGCGATGGGTGCTTGGGACTTCTTGTAGGTATTTTGTTATCATATTGTCTTGGTGAATCGGTCATTTCTATACCAGTGAGTGTGGAAGAACGATGTTGATGGGACCTTTTCTGATGGCCATGGGCCTTTCTGATCCACTTAGGCCCATGGCCTCCAATGCTCCAGGCGGGTTTCCTGGTGGGAAACTGTTTCCGGGGGACTGAGCTGGGCTTGGTCCCCTCCGGTCTTGACTTCCTCCCTTTTCTCTCTTTCTTCCGACTTTCCCCCCCTCCATCTCTCTCCGCTTTTTTTTTTTTTTTCTTTTTTTTTAAAAAAATCTTTGTATTTTTGTAAAAAATAAAAATTTTTAAAATTTTGTAAAAAATAAAAAAAAAAAAAAAAAAAAATAATAAAATCTTAAAGCTTTAAATAGTTTGGAAAAAATAAATCTTTTATAATAGTTTTTGGTTTTATAATTGTTTAGATAAAAAAAAATGAAATGAACATTTTGATTTTCTTTAGACTAATTGAAATCAACAATTTTTTTTTTCAGGGGAAAAAAAATTAAATAAAAAATTGAAATAAAATAAAATAAAATAAATAAAGTATAAATTAATAAGGCACTAACAAATGATCAATATATCTTACAGAAAAAAAAAAAAAGTATTAAATAAAATCAAGCTTGAAAATAAAACAATTGTAGAGTAGCAGATAAATAAAATATATCCAACTCTGATGTAAAATAGAAATATAATATTTTAATGCTTAGTGTAAGCTAATGATAATAAGCTATATTTCTTTCTTTTTTTTTTCTTTATTAACAATCATTGTGTAAATCTCTTTGGATAAATATTATCAAAAACTAAGCCATTTGAGGTAGTAAAATTGGAAATGAGAAAAAAATAGAATAAAAATATGTCCTATAAAGGAATGTAAGGATGATACTTTCATACTATAGAAATATACTATATTATTTTAATATTCTATGAAAGCATATTAGTACATTATAAATATATTTGTGTGTAACAAAATAGTATGAAATATAGAGCTTGTTCTTTCTGTTAAGCATTAATGTATATTTGTATATGATATAGATTGTTTGTCATTTTGTACAGCGATCTCTCTTCTATTTTATCATTATGAATATACTATTTTTATGATTCTACATAGAGCTATAAAAAAAAACAATTAATTTACCTTTATTCCTGGAAACATTTATAAATACATATCCCAAGCATATATCCATACATATTTTAAAATAATTTATATCTTTATCTATATCTTATATAAATATAAATCTATACATGTATATATATCGTGTTCAAATTATCTAGTACATACTAATATATTAACTAGAAAAAAAATGTATAATAGAAAATGTAATATGTATAAATATTATATTCAATACAATATTAAATATAGAGTATTTTTTTTTTAGTTTGTTTGCTACAAGTATTGAATATGTTAAAATAACAGAGACATTTCATAATAAATAATGATGCCTATTATTACAACATCAGCAAGTGTACATGTATAATGATTGGACTCATTTATAAATACTGATACATCTTTCTTTTCTCAAAAAAAAAAAAAAATTATTAATACTCATTGTATCATTTATCTATCCCACTCCATTATTTTAAACTCAAATGCTGTAGTTCTACTCTATTTGATAAACATGAATGTTGTCAATTAATATACAAATATACACATATTTAAATAGCAAGACAAAATAAATACTACTAGCCATCCCCAAGTGAATACATTATAAATAAACATGTATTTATATTTTAATAGTAAAGGAAGGCATAAATCCTGATGCAAACTTTTATTAGATGTACAAACACACTTACAAAGGAATTATTATGTGCTTACAGGATATAGAATATATATAAAATGAAGAGCTTATGTGCATTGATATGAAAAAATAAAATAAAAATAATAAAACAATAAAAAAAAAGGAAATGGATATATGTACGTACGTATATAGTATATAAATAATAAAGCTGAAATAATAGTTTACCACCGATCCATCAAATATCGATTCTGTTGACTACTACTTCTTGTAACAGGTCCATCACTTTCATCATCCTCTTGTATATGATTGTTGGCATGACCATTATTATAACTAAAGGAACCAAATCGTCTTTGGAAAATAATGACTTCTTTTGTTAGTAAATCCATAATCTCTATTGACGTTTGTTCATTTTTATCAACTATCGTTTCCCCTCTTATTCGTTCCAAAACTTCTTCTGCAACTCCCTTTTCTGTATCATGATTGTTAGTTTGTGTGTTAAAAGTAAGCGATCATCTTCGTCCAAGGGTATTGTACTTGCACTACTAAGTGAGGAAGTAGGTGATGATAAGGTATCATTATTATTATTATGACCAGGTATTAAGATAGGTGTGGGTCGACGACCTTTGTTATTGGCTATTGCTAAATTTTTTTCTTCTTCTTCTTTATCTAACTCTAATGCAGCTTTTGTCATGGCTTCACTTATACGGGCGTCTAATAATTGTCGACGCTTTTGTTGATGACTAAATTCGTCTGCATCATCTTCTTCATTAGTATCATCATCATTATCTTGAATAAGACGATGATTACGTTTACCACTTGCCATCTCAACTTGCATAGAACAAATATATCGAGTATTTGATTAGCACGTCGGGTCATTTCTTGAATAGACATTTTATGTGAAGGGTAACGAACTTTAGCAGGAGGAGAAGAGGCACGGGCGGTTGATGAAAAATGCTCAAATAATTGATTGGCACAGCTTGTCGGTGTTTGTAACTCGACAGGTTGTGGTGTAGATGTGCGAGAACGAGACTTGATATTGTTCTGTGCGGTGTGGATCGACGTGGTGTTGAATTTGAAGAATGACTATTGGCGTGGGGCATTGTTTGAACGTTGACGGGTCTTTTTTTCTTTATGATTATTTCTAGGTGATTTCTGTTGGTCATCTGATTTCTTGGAATGTTCACTTCTTTTAGGTCGAGTTTGTTTTGTGGCTTGAAGCTGTTGTATATCTAAAAGAAAACGACGAATATTAATTTATCTTTTTCTTTTTTTCATATTATATTTATTCTTACCACGATCCAATGTTGGATTTTCTTTTGTATTATGTTTGGCTTTTGAATTAGTCGATTTAGATGTCTCATCATAACTTTTTGATTGTTCAATTGCATTTCTAAAAGCTAGCACTTCTTCCAGAGAAATAGAAGCCTCTCGACTATTCAAAGTAGTTCTTTACGAGTTAATTTTTCAGTTGTATTAGGTAAGGAGTTAGTTGTGCTAGAAGGTTTGTAGTATCTACGCGTTTTACTATAAAATCAAAATATAAGTGTTATGACATCCCCCAAAAAATAAATAAAAAAATAAATAAAAAAAAAAAAAATAGATAAAAAATTTTTTTTTTTTTTACTTTACTTATCGTAACCTTTAATTTCTACATGATCAGAAGGTCTACATTGCTCACAAAAGTATTGTTCAGGAATTTCGTCTTCGTCTAATCCCATACATTCACAATGTTGCCATACTTCACATTGATCACAACACACCATAAGGCCCATGCTATCTATAAGAAATGTTAATTTCTTTCTATTGTACACTTTGTTGTCATGTTTGTTTTACGTGATTCGCCACAAACGCATCGAGTAACAGATTCGTCTTCAACATCTTCGTCTTCTTCTTCCTCTTCTTCCTCTGACATAACAACAGGTTCAGGTATCTTTTGTTTCCTTCTGCCATTAGAAATGAACTTATTTCTTACAGGTGGGGTTGTAGTCGCTACTGTTAAACAAACAAACAAACAAAAAGACTTTAGTTACATGTATCAAAATTTAGATTCAAAAATAAAAACTTACTCATTAAAAAAAAAAAAAAAAAAAAAAAAAAGAGAGAGAGAGAAAAGAAAAATAGACAATTAAAAAAACAAATAAATAGAAATAAAAGAAAAGGAAAACGTTAGAGGAAAAGCAAAATATCTTTTTTTTTTTGTTTTCAGCATATTATTCTTTAGTGGTAGTTTTTTTTTTTTTTTTTTTTTTTTTTTTTAACTTTCTATGTTTGGTTGTTGTAGCCCTAATTCAACTCTGTAAAATCGCCAATTAATGGTTTCAAAAAAATAAAAAAAAAAAAATAAATAAATAGCGGGTTTTAAAATTATACCTTTCAAATACTGATAAAAATAATTAACCAATAAGCTTATTTTAGCTTGATTTTGCTGTAATGCCCTAATCAGTCCTAAAAAAAAAAAAAAAAAGAAATCATCAAAGTGCTTAAAATCTTTTTAAGATAAGGTTAGAGACCGCTTGAGTAATCGTCAACTTTTAGTTAAGGAAAAAAAAGAAGGGTTAATTTAATCGATAATACTTAAGGTTCTTCTATAGTAAATTCCAATTGTAGGTGACAGGTGTGTGCATAAAAAAGGTCGATAGAATGTGAACAAGTGAAATCAATGAAGGGTATACAACTGCGTTCAGGATAAAGAAATAGATCATTCATGAACAGAGAACTAGTGTTATGAAAATATTCTATTTTATTATAGTCTGGCTATAGACTTTCATTATTATTTTTTTTATTGTGTATATAAAGAAAGCAATATTGCATTTTATATCATTTAAAGAAGAAGGACATGCGCATTAGTTAAACAGGATAATGATTCTTTCAATTGACAAGTGGTATATTATGTAAAATAAATAGTATTTTTTTTCGGGCTATCTTTAAGTTCACCAACATCAACGCAAAAGGCTTTTAATTCTAGGCATTTAATATGAAACCATGTCGTTGTTTTGGGATCATTTATTTTTAAAGATTCTTCAAAGTCTTTATCATTTATACTGGTTGCTTGCGGTAATGAAAAATCACTAAAATAGTAGGCTGATTCTCTCTTATCATTTGTCATAGTTTCCAATTTCAAATAATATTTAATTCTTTCGTTGTGAGTAGTGGTGGTGGTGGCTTGATAGGGATGTGTAACGATGCCCTCTCGTTTCCAGTATTTAATATACTCAATCGTACCAACAGATGTACTGGCCAAGTTAATCAAGATAACCATCTTGGCTTTCCTACTATTGTTATTATTGTTAATAAAGCAACAATCAATAGTCAAATAACTAAGCTTGAGTAAAGATGATGATAAGATTTGAAAAAATGTACTATTGATCATACAGGAACGAATTGTCAAGTTATGAAGGTGAAGTGGCGGTAAGAGGAAATCGTCAAGATAAACTTCTGCTCCTCTTTCAATAATAAGTGTGTTCAAGTTTGGGCATTGGATTAAAGTATGTTGAAGGAGAGTTTTAAAGTCGGCATGATGCTCCCATTCGCTTATATTTTTTAATGTAAGGTGTGATAGTAAAGGACCTACACAGTCAAGTAGCTCCTTATGCGGAATTGTTTCGTTTTGATAATCATCTACAGATGAAGATTGACTATTCTCAGAACCTGTTTGAAATATATCTTCTATGGATTTCGAAGGAGGATACAGTAAACTAATCTTTTTTGTTTGATGACCATGGTTGGTGATGTCATCCTCTGGCCCGTAGGGGCTAAAGGCATTAAGGATTCGAAGACAAGGAGATTTTCGCAATTCAAATATGTCGTAACTAATTTCGAAATTCCCCATAAATAGAGGCTTATTATTAATGTAAACAGCTGCGAGTTTAAAAAATGCGTATAAAACGTCTTTTGCATCCCAAGCATGATGAAATTCATAATAATGTCTGGGAATATTCGTTACATAATGAATCCATTTAGCCTTTATATCAATACATTGAGATGTCCTTTCATTATCAGTAAAACAAAAATCTTTACGGTATAATAGTTGTAACCCAGGGAATTTGTACATAAAATACTCAAAAAATGAACATGTTGTTTGAAAAGCATTGCATATAAAAGCCTTCAAATTGGGTCGTGGTCTACATAATGCCTTATTTATGGGTGAGTTGTCTAATTTTTGTTGCTGTCTAACCTCTTCTTTTGTTGGATCTATCCACATCAAGTGATCTACATCTGATTTAAGTTCAAGGAATTCAAGACTTGGATAACGTTCAACAAAATAGTCAAAATCAAGAGGTGACATCATCTCCCATTCACTTAATCTCAATATTCTGACTAATGGAAATTGAACATCTGAACGATATGCTGCTTGAATACAATTTCTTCCTCGTCCTTCATATCTACTATTTACTCTTTTCATTCGACATCCAAGCGTATTAATTTCCCGCATCTGTTCTCTTAATTCAAGTATTGTTTGATTATAGGCTACAAATCCTTTGTGTGATTTGCAAGTTGGTATTTTACCCAACTGTGAAAAGTGACCTTGTCTTGTCTTTGCTAAGATAGCTTGTTCATAGAATGATACACTGGGTGCAGTACATTGAAGTAAAATACCCCCTCAATATTATAAACAAGTGAAATTTCTTTGACATTAACACAAAGCTTGGCAATTGAATTATAACAGTCTCGAAATTGAAATGATTTGACAAGAGTTTCATAATTGTAAAGAGTTAGTTTTTTGGCAAGAGATCCAAGGTTTTTGTGTATAGAATAACGAATGGTTTGGACGTAATCGAGAAGAGCAATTTCATCTTTTATATGGATGTCTGTGTAAAGTAGATGCTGCGCGGGGTTACTCCAATTTTTAGAGACAAGTTGGCATTGTAGCAAGTCCGCTGGTTTAGATGTATCGGTCAGTAAGAATTCAAAGGTGGTGATCAATACTTCAAAAGGCAATGCTGACATAATAAAGCAATAAGATAAGGAAAATAAGAATGATATTTATGATGGAAATCCAAATGTTATATAGTTTGCTAAAATGATATGATTGGATATTGCACATAAAATGCATTTGCATACATGTGTATATAAAGCTTTTTTTTTTTAAGTACAGCAATATAACGGAATATCATTCTAATTCATCTACAGTGAGGATAAGTATTCCAAAGAATAAGACTTTTGTAGGAAAGAGTCTATTATTATACCACTTATTCTTTTATAAGGCATAGTATTTTCATTTATTTAGTTTGATAGCTTTTCTACAATTTTAAGAATATAATACACAAGAAAAGAAGAGGCATATAATATACAAAATTTTGATAGATACTGTAGTTATTTTTCTCCTAGCTCAGATTTCCCTTTACTGGGAACGTCAAAAACAGATCTCTTACTATTTTTTGCTCATTTCTTATTACTTTATATAATAAATAGAAATAGGAACGTTTTATTGATTACTTTTGCTTACCTGATTTATTGCCTTTTTTTATATGTAAAATATGCATATTTAGAAACAATATGAGAATAGAAAGTAGGTATACGATATGACATGTCGGAAGCTTTATACATATATAAATCTGATGATGACTAAATATATATTATATAAAATGTCAGGACTGTATTCATGCGTATAAGTGAAGCTTTATTTCATGTATGTAGCAATATATACAATAAAGAGTTTTAGTATGAGGCTTATAACATTTATATATATTGTAACTTGTTAAAGAATTCAAGTTCTATTATAGACATATGTGCTTGTAATTAACAGCTTAAAGATTAGTTATTTAATAGATTTATTTCACAAACTCGTACATAGAGGCATATATTGAATAAGATTTGAATTTGACATAAAGTCTTTACATTAAAGGAACTTTATTTTTTTTTTTTTTTTTTTTTTTTTTTTTTTTTTTTTTTTTTTTTTTATTTCACGCTTACTTGTTGAAAAAAAAAAAAAAGATTTTTTTTTTTATATTAATATACACATATTTTTTATTTTTTAGGACTTTAATCCATTTGGAGACATGACATCAGAAAAGGATACCACTGTAAGCCATATTCGGCATAACTATTTTTCTCCTTCAACGTTGGAAAAAAGTAAATTGGCAACTAGTAGAAATGATAAGAATATAGATCGTGATGATCAACACAATGTCATTCAGCTTTCAAAGAATAATAATAAGGATAAAAGAAAGAACTATAACTTATTACCGACTATAACAAATATGACTCCTATCGAAAGAGAGCAAAATTCTAAAGGATTATTAAGCACTTCTCAAATTAGAGTTCCAAATAAAGAAAATAAGTCTGCATCTAATGATGAGGAGGAGGAGGATCTAATTGTCGATTCTGTAGATTACTTTGCAGAATCCAATCCAATTATTAACAATAATGGCAATAATAATAATTACAAAGAAGGTACGGATAGTACAAATGCATTGGTTATTATCGATAATGATATAAATCAATCTATCGCTGATAATAATCATTCATTTTCGTTGACACTTTTTGATAAACGGCAACAGCGATTATCATCTAATCTAGATTTATCCTCTCAAATAGTCGATTATCAAAATGATTTGGACTCTAGTAATTTTTATAAAAAAGAAAGAACAGCTTCATCTAAAGTTAGTGACTCCAGGAAGAGGTTATATAACGAAATAAGTCAAACTGGAGATCATTTATTTGTTTCAGAGAGCACAGTCAAAAGAAAAACTAATAAGGATAAACAGCAGCAACAACAAATAGTAGAGAGTGTATCATCTTCTACAGATGCATCAAATCATGAATTAATAAAGATTACCTCAGATATATTAAAGAATACTGTAGAAGTTGATAATAATAAATGGAAGTTGGAAGAATCAAGTTTAGTTGCAGACCATATTATTGAACCTGGCATTGATTTAATAACGGATGAGAAATCAATATTTGACGAAGTTTTGGGACAAGAATCTTCATTAAGAATATGGTGGTATGATGCCTATGAAAAAGACAATCAAAGCCTGCTTTATTTGTTTGGAAAGGTAGCCACTGAAAAAAAAAAAAAAAAAAAAAAAGAAAAGAAAGAAAAGAAAGTATTCAAATAGCTTTACTCATTTTTTTTTTTTTGTATAAACAATTGAAGGCTTTTGTTCCGTCTAGAAATAAATATGAAAGTTGTTGTGTTTCAATTCAAAATGTAAAGCAAGAGCTCTATTTCTTGCCTCGTCCTTTTATCTAATATGGGTAAAGAGAAATAAAACAAAGCCAAAAAAAAAAAAAAAATTCATTGAATATACATACATGTACTAATTATTTACTACTACATAGCATATGGTATTTCAAAAAATATGCCTGTAACTTTAGATGATGTTTGCATAGAAATAAAACAAATATTAACTAAAGAATTAAATATCAGTGACAGTAATGATTATCATATAGAAATATGTCGACGTAAATATGCAGGATATTTATCAGATATTCCTGAGGGAGAAACTAGTTTTATCAAGTTGACTATAAACTATAATCAAGATCGTGGATACTTTCAGAGATTGACATATGGTAAAACCTTTAGTCGTATTTTTGGTGCTGATGTTGATCTCATGCAGCTTTTCATTTTAAGATATAAAATTATGGGCCCTTGCTGGCTTGAATTTAAGAATGTTACTTTAAATCAAAAACCGAATTCTTGGTGCCGTATCAATGTGATAACAAATGATTCTATACAAAAGGACTCTTGTATCGTCATAGTCGATCAAAATATCACTCCACCTCCATTAACCATGATATTCCTTCAATTGCATACAAAGATGAATTTTATTACAAACAAATATGAAGTGGTCGCCATTAGTATGCTTACAAAAGAAAACATGGATATTGACAATAAAAAGGCCATGACTCAAGCAGCAAAGACAGGAAGTCGTATGACATTTATCAAAAAACCTTATTTCGCTAATCATGATGATTATACTGTGTTAAACCAAGCTTTAATGAAAGAAAGAAATGTAAAGAATCATGTAGTGTTAATTCAGAATACGGAAAGGGATATGATTGAAGTGTTGTTATCAATGATAGATGCGATTGATCCTGATATTATAGTAGGTCATGATTTTACTCACTTTATGCTAGATATCCTCTTGCAGCGTATGAAAAGCCTAAAGATTCAAAACTGGCATAGATTAGGTAGAATTAAATTTAGTAAATTCCCAAAACTCCAGACTAGTCCAGGAGGTACGGAGTTATCTACATATAAAGAAGCATTAGTTATGTCAGGAAGATTAGTTTGCGATATTCTTGCCTCTTCGCAAATTAGTGAAAAGCAGATCATATGATTTGACTGAACTAGCTCGTGCACTGTTAGATTTGCCTCGTAGTGATAGTTGTACCAGAATGATACGTACCGTTGATGACGTTTTGGAAGTTGTTCATCATTGCTCCTATGATGCTTATTTATCATTTGCATTAATGGTTAAACTTCAGATATTACCATTAACAAAGTGTTTAACAAATTTATCCGGCAATCTTTGGTCGCATACAATGTATGGTGCTCGATTAGAGAGAGTGGAATATTTACTTTTTCATACATTCTATGAACGAGGCTATATTTGCCCGAATAAAGTTGAATACAACGATGGGCATGCATCATATAATTTGAATGACAGCTGGGATATCTTTAATAATGATCGTGAATCTGCTGAAAACTTGTTATCTTATGAAGGTGGCCTAGTTCTAGATCCTGTAGTTGGCCTGTATGACGATTATGTATTATTATTAGATTTTAATAGTTTATATCCATCTATTATTCAAGAATATAATGTTTGTTTTACTACTATTTTACGTCAGCAAGTACACCAAAATGAACAAGATATTTCATCAGATCTCTCAATGCCTCCTGGTATTTTACCTGAATTAGTGAAGAGAGTCGTTAAAGAAAGGAAAAGTATCAAGTCTAGAATGAAAATGACGGGTATCTCTGAAGAACTCAAGTCTCAATTGAATATTCAGCAAATGGCATACAAATTGACAGCCAATAGTATGTATGGTTGTTTAGGATCTACCTATTCCCGTTTTTATGCCAAGCCCTTAGCAGCATTTATTACTCGAATGGGTCGCACCATTTTAAGATCTACAGTTGATCTTGCACGTGAATTAGGCTTGGATGTCATCTATGGAGATACAGATTCGGTTATGATAAATACAAAGACACATAATATAAGCAAAGCGAAACAACTTGGACATTTGCTTAAAGAACATGTGAATCGTCGCTACAGATCATTAGAATTAGAAATGGATGGCGTATTTCGACGAACGCTTCTGTTGAGAAAGAAAAAATATGCTGCTTTATCGATTATGTATAGCAAAAATGATGTTTTACAGGCAAAAATTGAAGTAAAAGGTCTTGAAATGGTTCGACGTGATTGGTGTCAATTATCACATCGTGTATCTAGCCAAATATTGATGTATATCCTTACCTTTGGTTTAAACACAACTACTGGGAGACATGAATTCCCCTCAATTGCGCAAGCTATTTATAACAAGTTGACAGAGGTTGCGTCTACCATCAAACAAGTCCATTTAAATGATTTAATTATTCTACAGCAATTGACAAAGAACTTGAAAGAATATGAAAATAATTTAATGCATGTTATGGTTGCTAAGGATATGCAAAAGAGTTGGATAAATGTTAAAAGGGGCGATGTGATCCCCTATGTGGTTTGTAAAGATGATAAATGTAGCTTACCGTGTATACCCTCGCATATACATAAAACAAAAGCAGAGATTGATTATGTCTGGTATCTCTGTAAACAGATATTACCTCCTGTGCTAAAAATATGTGGCCCAATTGAAAGTATTGAAGAAGAAGAATTAAAATCATGTTTAGGTATTGATCGTAAGATGTTTAAAAGATCAAATAGAAAAAGTAAAGCAAATGAAGACAGTGATGAAGAAAATCCAGAATTTGTTATTGAAGAATGGGATAACAATAATAATACAATCTACTTTAATATCAGCAGAAGATAATATAGAATGCGTTTTAGACATATATTGCTCACATTGTAGTCATAAAGGCCAATATAATGAATTTCTTTGCATCTTAAATGAAAAGAACTCTGCATATTATGGTTTTCAATGTATACAATGCAGTCATGTATTAACAGCTAATAATATCATTAATCAACTCATACTTGCTATTCGATCTCATATCAACAGGTATTATTCTTCACCTCTTCTATGTTCTGAGCAACTTTGTAGTAGATTATATCCTCCAGGTCAATCATTAAGTGTTGATGTAAAGTGCCCATTTATCGGCTGTGGTGGACGCCTTGTTCGTGAGGTACAATGTTTAAAAATAAAAAAAAAAAAGGAAAATAATATGCTTACTTTATATTATTATATCTTTTTTAGTTTAATGAATCGAAATTATATAGAAATATCTGTTACTTCTCAGACCTATTTGATTTTCAAAAAGTGAAAGAGGAATATCAAAGGAAGCATATTAATAGGATCCATTCAAATGAGCCTCATTATATACCTCTAGAAGATATAGAAATGCATCCAATGTATATTAACATCAAGAAGGAAGTCGACCAATATATATCAATGTCTGCATACAATTATACGAATTTAAAAGATTTTTCATTTTAATACTGTTTAGTATCTTTATTTATTTATTTATTTATCTATTTTCAAGTAAAAAATTAAACTGAAAAAGGTTTGTGTATAATACGGAATATTTTGAGTCATAAATTTTATTTATATTAGCAATTACATAATACCAGCAGCACAATAACAAATCAATTTGATTTCTCCAAGTCTATTAAAAGAATAAGTTTTATGAGTCATCATTTATTTTAAAATTGTTATATCTATATTCTTTACGTTGTCTTCAAAGTCAAAAGTGCATATTATTAATAATTATATTAAATGATTCTTAGTAAGAGTTTGCTTGCATATAACATGTATATTTTTAATTTAATCTTTTTTCTTAAAAAAAATATATATATTCATATTATACTCGAATTATATACAAATATATTACCCTGTGAAACTAAATTTACACCTTTTGACACTACACATAGAGATTTCATTTAATTCTTGTACCAAGAAGTGCAAATTAGCAAGTGGAAAGGTGTACCTCAAAGTTATTTAATTAGATTATAAAAATAAACAGTACAGGTTTGATCTACCCCCTAATATCTTTAATACTACGCATGTATGAATAGTCATATTAATGTGAATTAATTTAAAGTAGAGACATATAACATTCACTTTGATAATATATATATATTTATTTTATGCAAAAATGGTAATTATTCACACTTTTCATTTGTAAATAAAATATATTACACTTGAGCGTGAAATGATTGTTAATATTATATGTATATAGTCTTTAAATGGAATATGTAATAGGACCCTTATTTAGTATCCACTGAATTAAAAAAAAATTAAGGTTGCCATGGTTCGTTTCCATGATGACAACAATAGCCGTTATTGATATATTTTTCTTTTTTTTTTTTTTCGGACCCCCGCTTTTTAATTTAATAATTTATTATAAAACTATATTTTTTTTTTTTTTCATTCTCCTTTTTATTTGTCCGTTTTTAATAGTTTAATAGATTATATTTTACAAATGGACAACTTGATCGAGTTAACCAACAAACTCCAAACTGTAGTTTCCTCGATTGGTGCCGATAACACTTTAGATTTACCTTTGATTGCAGTTGTAGGTTCACAATCATCTGGTAAATCATCTGTATTAGAGACATTAGTTCAACGTGATTTCCTGCCTCGTGGAAGTGGTATAGTCACTCGTCGACCACTTGTTTTACAACTTGTTACTTTACCATCATCACAACAACAAGAGTATGGGGAGTTTTTGCATGTCAAAGAAAAAAAGTTTTTTGATTTTGATGAAATTCGTCAAGAAATTGAACGCGAAACCAATCGTTTAGCTGGAAGTAATAAAGGGATATCACGCATGCCTATTCATTTGCGCATTTATTCTCCTAAAGTACTTAATTTGACTTTGGTCGATCTTCCTGGTTTAACCAAGGTAATGTATAAAGTTTGAAAGAGAGAGGAAAAAAAAAAAGTGAAACTAACCTTGAGTAATTTGTATTTAGATCCCCATAGGTAAATAAATAAAACTTTCAAACATTATAAAATTTAATATAAATGTTATATTTATTGTAGGTGATCAACCCAATGATATTGAAAAACAAATTCGTAGTCTAGTCATGGACTTTATTTCAAATCCGAATAGGTAACATTAAAACCATTCACTTGAAAAAAATAAATAAATAAATAAACTAATGTGAATGTCTTTATAGTATTATTTTGGCAGTAACACCTGCTAATTCCGATTTGGTTAATTCAGATTAGTTTGAAAATAGCAAGACAAGTAGATCCTGAAGGCAAAAGAACAATTGGTGTATTGACAAAACTTGATTTAATGGATGCAGGCACAAATGCTTTAGATATTTTGTCAGGCCGATCTTATCCCTTAAAATTAGGATTTATAGGCGTAGTAAATCGAAGTCAACAAGATATTTTAACGAACAAGCCTATTCAGTTGCACTTGAGGCTGAAAATCAATTCTTCCAACAACACCCTGCATATCGAAGTGTAGCTTCACGTTGTGGTACTCAGTATCTTAGTAAACAATTAAATACGGTATTTTATTTATTTATTTATTTTTTTCCATCTATTCAACAAGATTCAAATATAAATTTTGTTTAATTTTTTTTTTAAAAAAAAAATAGATTTTACTTTCACATATTAAAGAGAAATTACCTGAACTAAGAACGAAACTAGGTACTTTGATCAGTCAAACACAATTAGAACTAAATCAATATGGAGAGCCATCACGAACGACAGAACCATTTCATCGAGGCTCACTTATTCTTCGACTCTTAACCAAATTTTCTAATGATTTTATCGCTGCCATTGATGGTACATCTTCAGAAATGTCCACTAAAGAATTGTGTGGTGGCGCACGTATTTATTATATCTTTAATAATGTCTTTGGACAGGCATTAGATGCGATACCCGCTTGTTCAAACTTAACCAATCATGATATTCGTACTGCTATTCGTAACTCAACAGGTCCTCGTCCTTCATTATTTGTACCTGAATTGGCTTTTGATCTGTTGGTTAGGCCTCAAATTAAATTATTGGAAACACCTAGTTTGAGATGTGTAGAATTAGTTTATGAAGAACTTATGAAAGTGTGTCATAATTCAGATACAAAGGTAAAAATTGAAATAATATATATTATTTTCAATTGACATAAAATTAACCAGCTATTTTTATTCTATTTTATTTTATTTTTTCAGGAACTATTGAGATACCCACGACTTCATCAAAGACTAATTGAAGTTGTTTCAGAATTATTAAGAGAAAGACTTGGACCCACATCGAGTTATATTGAAAGTTTAATTGCAATTGAAAGGGCTTATATTAATACAAATCATCCTGATTTTTTGGGAGCTGCTGGAGCTATGGCTAATTTAGAATCAGAATCAAAAAAGAAAAAAAAGATAGAATCGAAAAGAAAGGTAGTTGAATATAGTAATAGTAATAGTAATAGTAGTAGAAGTAGTAATAGGTATATACATATACATATATATTATTGTTATTAGAATCACTTATCAATGGATACTAAATCAGCAACGGTATTACATAATAATATGAATCATGATAATTTGTCAGTTGCAGATAGTGAGACTGATTCAGTAAGTAATAACAATAAGGAATCATTTTTAAATTATTTCTTTGGTGGAGCTAGTAAAAATGAGAGACCAGCGTTAGGATCACAAGAGATGATGGCTAAAGCACAATATGCTCCACCGCCTATGACTGTTAATACCTTGATGGAAAGTGAAATAATGAAGAAATTAGAACAGACATCCTTAAATGAGGCTCCTTCCCCTAATTCGGTTACAGATAGGGAAGAGTTAGAGATCCATTTAATTCGTATGTATTACAAGTGAGAGAAGGGAAGAGAGACAAAAACGTTGAAATTAACTCTATACTTTGTCTATTCAGGAACGCTGATTACAAGTTATTTTAATATTGTAAGAAAGAATATTCAAGATTTAGTACCAAAGGCAGTTATGCATTTACTTGTGAATTATTCAAGAGAGACAGTACAAAATAGACTTGTAGCAGCACTTTATAAAGAAGAGAACTTTGATGAATTACTACAAGAAGATGATGCAATTGCAACTGAAAGGGAAAAATGTAAAACAATGTTAAATGTCTATAAGCAGGCATTTGAAATAATTAAAAATTCCATGTAACAATTATAAACCAGAATGTTTTTTATTGTAAATGTTATGTTTATATTTAAAAGGGCCGCATGGAAAGTTTTAATTTATATAAAATGCTTCTGTACCTATGACAAAAAAAAAAAAAAAAAAAAAAAAAAAAAAAAAAAAAAAAAAATTGTCAAATAATTTTATTTGTGTAAATACTTATTGTTATATATTTCCTGTTATTTTTTTTTTTCCTTTTTTATTTTTACATTAAATTATAACAAATGGCTGAAACAATAAAAGAAAAAAAGACATATGTCATCGGTTCTCGTAAATCCCAATTAGCACTCGTACAAACCCATATTGTTCGTGATAAACTTCAAACATTATTCCCGAGTATAATTTCAGAATTGAGACAATGTCTACTACAGGGGATAAGATACTTAATCAAGCACTTAGCAAGATTGGTGAAAAGGCCCTTTTTACAAAGGAACTTGAAATTGCTCTTGAAAATAAAACTGTCGATTTTGTTGTTCATAGTCTTAAGGATTTACCAACAGTTTTACCTGAAGGTATGCATTTGGGGGCCATTATGGAACGTGAAAATCCAAATGATGCATTGGTGTTGAATGCTAAATATAAGGGCAAGACATTAAGTACTTTACCTCCCGGTTCTGTTATTGGTACAAGCTCACTTAGACGAGTAGCACAATTGAAAAGAAAGTATCCTCATTTAACATTTACAGATGTGGTAAGCTTTTATTATTTATTTATTTATTTATTTTATTTTATGAATTTATAAAATGCTTATTATTATTATTAAGAGAGGAAATTTAAATACACGATTAGCCAAACTGGATGATGAAAATGGTTCTTTCAGTGGTATTATTTTGGCTGTAGCAGGACTTGTACGTCTTGGACAAGGAGATCGTATATCTCAAGTATTGAGTGCCTCTGACTCTTTACATGCCGTCTCTCAAGGTGCTTTGGGTATTGAATGTCGTAAAGAAGATGATGAAATTCAAAAACTACTCGAGGCTTTAAACCATAATGATACACGTCTTACTTGTTTAGCAGAACGTGCATTGATGCGTACTTTAGAAGGTGGTTGTAGTGTACCTATTGGTGTTAATACTAAATTAGAAAACAATATACTTTGGTTACATGGTTTAGTAGCTAGTTTAGATGGCCAAGTTGTAGTTGAACATAAAGAAGAAATTAGTCTTGAAGGAGTAAATACGAGAGATGAAAGAGAAGTGTTGGCCGAGAAATTAGGACACCAAGTTGCTAATACATTATTGAAAAATGGAGCAGATAAAATTTTAGAAGAATTAGCTCATCGTCATCCTTAAATTAGATCTTATTGTAATTTTAAAATTAAAACTTACTGTTATTATTAATGAACAGGAATAACGCCCTATGATTGGATAGATTTTATTTTATTTTATTTTTTTTTTTTCACTTTTACAAGAAACTATTATAACCGTATATAAAAGATAAAGTACTAATCATTCTATTTCACATATTTGAAAGGTTCAGATAAATAGTAAAATAACAAAAGAGCGTTCTTTTTAAGCATATAAATAATACGTACGCTGAGATCTAATTTGATATTATTGGATGAGTAGCAGTGTTGTAGTAGCATTCGTGCTGCCGTATAAATGAATATAATAAGAACACTTTTTTTTTCACATGCAAAATAATTTCATGTATTCAGTACTTGAAATGCGGGGTAATAAAATAAAGGGAATATATTCCATTTCTTCTGTCCTTTTTTTTTTTTGTTATTTTGTTTCTTCTTTTATCAATGCTAGACCATTTAGTGGGAAAGCCCTCAAGTAATTTTAAACGTATACAAATCTTGTTGACATTTACATTTGGGTAATAGATAAGCATCGATAAATGCTTGGGAATAACTTGCTGATTTTATTTATTTTTTCTATGCAGTTGGTGTCTCGTTTTTTATGGTAAAACGAATAAGCTGCCTCTCTTTATTCAAAAACTAAATAAAAAGCAGGCAAGTTAAAACAGGGCATTAAAAAGTATGCATATATTAATAATACTTGTCTTCATTTATATTCTGGTAAATAATAGGAAAATCACCTTGGAGAGTAGCTTTAGCTTCATGGTTATTAGTTTATTTTTCACAAAATATTTTCTTACTTATTGGTCTGAATGGTAAAATACATTATTTATAATGACTAGTATAAATCTTTATTCATTCTTATTTTTTCTTTTCATATATAAAAGCGCCTGATCCACTTTCAAGATTAGTAAGTTATATATTTATTTATTTATTTATTTAATTCTTATTTTCTCTTTCTCTTTCTCCTTTTTTTTTTATTGTAGTACAAGCGCAGCTTTTATCGTGCTACTTGGATCTTGACAGCCCTTGATGCTGGATTTTTCACGGCAATGTCTTTTAAACCATTATGGGTACGTCATATCCTTTCTATTGTATTTAGTATTTACTACCTTATTTGCGCTGATGCAGCAGAAGAAAAAGTTCGTAAGACTCGCTCCACTATTTCCGTAGAACAAATGCGCATCTCTTGGGAAAAGGTGGCACATAATCCAATCCTTAACTTTATTTCAAGAATAACACGTCCCTCTTTGTCGGTGAAGGATATCATGACAGTGTCAAGGGTAATAGATCAACAAGGTCATCATTTACCTCCTATTGAGGTTCACCGCTATTATGCAGCTCCTAAGGAAACGTTAAAGGATCATGATACTATCTTGGTTCAGTTCCCAGGTGGTGGCTTTGTATCCATGCCACCACCATGTCATGAAGATGCGCTTTCTATATGGGCCAATCATACTGGATTACCTGTCTTTAGTGTGAATTATAAAAAGGCACCTGAATATCCTTATCCATGGCCCATTGATGAATGTTTTGATCTTTATGTAGCTATTGTTCAAAGTAAAGGGAAAGTGCTAGGCCTTTCTGGTAAAAATAATGTGCGTATTATTTTATTAGGGGATTCTGCGTAAAGTATATATATATATCTACTACTTATAACTTGAAATTTTATTGTATTTATATTTATATTTATACATATTATATATATATGTATATATGTATATATGTATATATGTATATAGAGGTGGAAATATTACAGCAGCTGTCACATTGAAAATTATCTCACATAATCAAACATCTCTTAGAAACACTATATCCATTAGTAGCACAATACCACGTTTACCTATTCCTTTGGGACTCATTCTTATCTATCCAGCACTAGACTTTGAAATGTCTTGTTGGATGTCTCCTCTTCATTGTCCCTTATTCGTGCTGAATCTAATACAAATCTTTTTAGATCTGGTCCTTACAATCCCTTTGGCAAACCAAGGATCATCTTAGTCATGTGAGTCCTCTTAGTGTCATTCCTGAGACAGATAAAGCTACACATTGGTGGGAATTAAAGAAAAACCTACTATCCATGATCGTGCGGTAAACGAAATCAAGTGAGCCATAAAGAGGCCTGGGCTTCCTCACGTCTTGCCATGACGAGTCGTATGAGTTTCTTTAATGATCGTATTATTACTCCAGACCTTATGCGTGCTATGGCTATCTGTAAGACATATATATATATATAAGCTGTAACATATTGAGTATTTATTTATTTATATACGTATATCAGTATACTTAGGACCTCATGCATCTCCTGATTTCGATAATGATTATTTGTTATCACCTATTAAGGCACCTGAAGAATTATTAGCTCAATTTCCAAAAACGTTTATGATGTGTGGTGAAAAGATCCTTTAGTCGATGATACTGTCATCTTTGCAGGACGTATTCGACAAGCTAAAACAAAATACATACGATGGATGATATGACGTTCGAGTTCAATTTTTGGAAGCATCAGTCATGCCTTCTTACAAATGATGGCCGTTTTACCAGAGGCACATGAGGCGGCAAGAATGATTGGAGATTGGGTAAAAGAACTTTATCAAGATGACATGCCCTTGGTAGTACAAGATTTGACAAACGAAAGGACATGCTTCATCGTAGAAAACGCAATTAGTTACAGGATTTTTTAAAAGAAGCAAAAAAAAAAAAAAAAAGAAAAAAAAACTCTTTTTTTATTATTATTATTATTATTCATTTATTATTATTTAATCTATCTCCATTTTCATGGATTTATTAGTATTTATGTCTTGTTCAGACAATCTTCTTTTCTGTTGATAATTAAATATGTATTATCGGTTAGTCTTATATAGAGTTTGATAAGAGTAGGTACATCTAAATGTGCCTGAATTTGTTGTGTTAATTGTTGAATTCAAATATACGAGAATTCCAATGTTGAGTAGGATTAGGCGAATATAACGAATTGTGGGTTTTGTAGGCTGATTAGATGGAATATCAATTGTAATAGGTACAATGATAAATGAAGACTGTTGATTATGTAACGGAGGTGATGTAATGAAATATGAAGTGAATTGGGTGCGTCAGCTGTATTGACTTCGATCTTTTGTTTGAGTATCATTGTTTTCTGTTTATTCATTAAGTCAAAAAAAAAAATAAATGGGGGGAGAGTTTAAGATGCTTACCTATAAAATGTCTTGTAATGATATACTTTGAATATTGTTTTCTTCTTTTACACAGCATGTGTTCTTATTAAAGATACTTTTAAACAAGGTATTAAATACTTGTTGTTGACGTAGACATTGAAGAATATTAAATATCTGTACAGGATGTTGAAATGGGATACGTGATACTAATTTTCCACTTGAAGGTAAAAATGACATCCATTTATATATCATTTTGTATGTCTTTTCTTTATCAACGAATGACTACCAAAATTAGTGAGCAAATCAAAATACATTCTTATCCATTTATACATTTTTTTAAAAAAAAAAGGTACCATTTTCCAACTATGATCTGTTAGTAGAGTCGTATTATTTTTGTCTTCTTCTTCATTCAAATCTGATATTAAAATCTCTTCTAACGATAATGTAGATGGAGATTTAGAAGCTGTATTTCTTGTTGCGTCCATATTCAATAGTCCAGTCATATTGAGTAGTTTTGACAAAGTTCATCAGATACGGGTAAAGGAGGGTCTAGGATCATTACAAATCGAATGGGTACAGGCTTTGCTTCAGGATGACTAGGTAAAGGTTTTAAATAATGTAGTTGAGGCATATAAATGGGTGCAGTTGTTTCTGTTACAATTGTGAATTGTTCATTATTGATAGATTCTTCTGTTTCTTCAAATCCAAGCAAGTAAGATGTTCTTGACTGAGTAGGTAAATAATACATGAGTTGGATAGAGTCTTCAAAGGTGATTAATACTCTAGACGCCAATGACAATAAAGGATGACTTTGAGATTTATCAAATAAAGATGTCTTCACTTCTTCCCAATCTATTGACTTTATTTGTTCTTTATTCATCCAATAAGCAATTGAAATCCCAGGATATCCCAAGTGAAAAGTAGGGATACCATGTCCTTCTAACAAAATAACAGATGCATCAGATTCCATTGATCTAAAGGAAAAAAAAAGTTAATGTTAAATAATATATACATATTATATTTTTTTCTTATCGTAGCCTATATTTACATTTCTTGTTGATATATAGTGACAAAGTCATTAAATAAATTCTTTGTGATCAAAAAGAAATCTGTTGGATTATATTTTACATTAAGTTGATCTAAAAGAGCTAAACTACCCAAATTACGTTTAAACAATTCGAATTGACGTTTTTGAAGGTTTTCTGCTAGCATAGCATCTACTCTATCGTCCTTATCATTTTGTAATCCTTCTGATACATAAGTCACTTTAGCTCTTAGGATTCGACCCATATTATCAATATCAATCTATAAAAAAAAAAAAGAGAGAGAGAGAGAGAGAGAGAGAGGGATGAGTAATCATCAAGTTGATTCAGAAACACATATAAATAAACGTACATCAACAACTATAACTGTTCCACCCAATGTGATTGTCGTAATAGGTACATCGGACTCAAATTTTTGTGTTGAATCGATAAAGGTGACTAAACTATACAAACAGATTAGCAGTTAATTTAAATAAAACGTAAACTAACTTTTTACCCCATCGATTGTGCAATTTTCTCTAATCGTTGGGTCTCAATCTTTAATTTTGATTCTTCCTTTTCTCTTATTGAATTATCAAAGTATTCCTTTGTTTGCTTCAAGGTTTCTTTAAAGCGTCGTACAGTACTTTCGAGCATGGCTTGTTCTTTGAGATGTGTAAAATGTTTGCGAAATGCAGGATCAGCACCTGCTCCCATCTTCATGACATCACCTAATACTTCTGTTTCAAATTGTGAGCATACATTACGAATAATGTTAATATGTTGAGCAAATTCTTCACGCGCTTTATCAAGATTAACTTTTCCTAATGCATGAAGCTCTGAAGATGTGTATATAAGTAAATTTTTTTAAAAAAAAAAGTAAATGTACACGTTCCGTATGTGTAAGTACCATTGGGCTTATTTCTTATCTCCTCAGAGGGCTTGTTTTGAAGACAGAACAATTGTTGCTTGAGGTTATGTAAGGAAGATTGAAGCCCAAACACAGCCGAACTAATTGAATTCTGTTGATGCTCTGTCATAATTTACCAAGAAAGGAGAAAAAAAAAAAAAAAAAAAAGGATAGAATAAGTCTAAATTTTTACTTTCGACATATTCGGATTTTTAAAAATATTTGCTTTAAAGAATAATGTAAGTGGTAAAATAAATATCTTCTAAGTTTATTCACTAATAGTATTCAAATATGAAATACCGAGAAAGTATTCCTTTTTTTTGGCTGTTATTGTTAAGGAAAGTCAAAAGGGGGTAATGTAGCTTAGAAATCAAACGCGTTTTATCTAGAAGTATATATCTTCATCTAAAAATTAGACAACGATCCTTGACTTTCTTCTGGAAAGATTTTATAAATGTTGATTTTTCGTAGAGAAAGTCTTTTTGTTACTTTTTAGGATCTATATCCCAAACAAACAAACATTTATAGCCATGACAAGAGATTAAAAGAGTCTTATTAACCAGTATCGAGATAGCTACTAGCGATTATTACTTTTTATCACCTAATAGAGCGAAAGTACGCTAAAAAAAAAAAAAAAAAAAAAAAAAAAAGCAACTAGTCTTTTATAGTTATCGCTACACTAAATCAAGATACAAAGTAATTTTTTTTTTGTATAGAGTGTCTCGTTTTAGATTAAAACACTGTAATGATAAACTTAGTAGAACATACAATCTGTAGCCAAAACATACTTACGGATAATTAAAAATTTATAGATGTTATGTTAAAAAGTTTCTTACCCTGTCACAGTTAAACCAATTAATTTTTAACAATGAAAAGGAGATTATTATGCCTTTATCAAACCATTCTTCTTTTTAATTGGCCACAATTATTATATGTCGCTCCAAACTATAATGAGCCCATTTTTTTTTTTTTTTTTTTTTTTTTTTTTTTTTTTTGTGTGTGGGTGTATGCTTTTTTTTTTTTTATTTTTATTTTATTTTTTTCTTTCATTTAATTCATTTATACATTTATTTTATACATGGCAAATCGTCATCGACAAACACGTAATGCTTCCAACGAGTCTATTTCTGCTTCTACTAATGTAGTAGGTACACACTATAAAGTTGGAAGAAAGATAGGTGAAGGGAGTTTTGGTATTATCATGAAGGTATATATAACGAAAGTTTAAACCAAAAAAAAAAAAAAAAAAAAAAAAAAAAAAAAAAAAAACTCAGTAGTTGAATTTATACATTTATACATTTATGGATATATAGGCCTTAATTTAACGAATAACAACAGGTAGCTATTAAGTTGAATCAAGAAAGTCAGATGCACCTCAACTTAGAGGAATAAAAACATATAAAATATTAGCAGATTCAAGTAAAAGAATTTTATTTTATTTCTTGCATTATATTCATTTGTAAACTTATAATGGTATTCCAAATGCTTATTATTTTGGACAAGGAAGGACTTTATAGTATTGTGATTGACATATTAGGACCTAGTTTAGAGGATTTATTTGATATGTCTCACGTAAATTAGTACAAACAGTAGCTATGTTAGCTAAACAAATGGTAAGTCATGATATAATAATAAAAAAATAAAGTAATTCATGACTCTAATAGATATCAGATAACTCGAGTACAATCTATTCATGAGCATAATTTGATTTATCGCGATATTAAACCAGATAATTTCTTAATTGGAAAACCAAATACAAGAATGCAAATACGATATATATGATGACTTTGGTATGGAATTATACTGATCCAAGACACAAAACAACATATTCATATCGTGAAGAAAGAGTCATCGGCACAGCGAGATATATGAGCATTAATACCCATTTAGGAAGAGCAATCAAGACGTGATGATTTAGAATCATTAGGTCATGTATTTATGTATTTCTAAGAGGTGCTTTACCATGGCAGGGCTTAAGGCAGCAACAAATAAGCAAAAAATTAAAGAATTGGTGAAAAGAAGCAAACAACACAAGTAAAAGATTTATGTGATGGATTTCCAGGTATAAGAGTATGAATAAAGTAGTCACAATGTATACTCATTATATATATTCTATTTTTTTTTTTTTTTTTTTATACAAAAGATGAATTTGGACTCTATTTACAATATACTAGGCATCTAAAATTTGAAGAAGATCCAAATTATGAATATTTAAAATGTTTATTTGATAAAGTATTAGAGTCATTAGGTGAAAAAGATGATGGTATTTATGACTGGATGTTATTAAATGATGGAAAAGGATGGGAGGTAATAAACGACAGTAAGAAAAAAAAAAGAAGAATATATAAATAACAAGCTTTATATGTATATAGTATTGTTCATCGTCAAGTCTTTATCGCTATAGACAGCAACAGCACCAGAGTAATAATGCTGCAGTTGCATTACATGACATCACTCATGTTCGACCAAAGCAACGTAGTTACAATATTAAAAGACAGCAACAGCAACAGCAACAGCAACAGCGACAGCAACAGCGACAGCAACATTATAAAGCAAGTCAGCCTATGTTAACAAATATGAATAACTATCATTCAATGGATACAACAACATTAAATAAACAACAACAAAGACAGCAACGACAACAGCAAATAGAAAATAATAGCGAACAAAAGGAAAGTCTTTTGTATAAATGCTTTAATAGTTTCTTCTGTCCATGTTTATAAAGAATATGCATCGTATACCTTTACTCTTTCTCTCTCTCTCTCTCTCTCTTTTATCCTGTTTGGTTCCTGAGCGTAATTTTAATATACTTTATATAACACGACGTCATTAATATTTATGTTCCTTTTATTGATATATATATATTTATATACATATATTACATTCTAATATAATTAAGCAATTTTTTATTATATATGTTATTAAAATGTTAATTAACTTAATTCAATACATAACTTTGTCCCAGATCACATTAAGATTTTTTTTTGGAAAAAAGGGATTCGAGATAGCAATTGTTAAATAGGCCGAATAATGTTAGTAGTAACACCAAATATACTCTAATAAAATGAACAGTACGACAAGGAAATAAGATTATATCCTGACAAAAAAAAAAGACACTAACAAGAACAATGTAGAATAAACTAAAGTAAATTAAAGATAAGGAGAAATGGCTGTGTAAGATACCAAGTCTAGCTTTCATGAATTTCAATGGTTAAAATACTTAAAAAGTGATCTGACGAGCACTCAGCATCAATACGCAGTCAGGATTCTGGTATAACAATTATCCAAGTCAATTTTATGAAACGGTCATTTGTAGTGGGAACTAAGCTTTGACATTGTATTCATATTCACTTCCACGATAGCGCAGCACAATGGACGTTTAATAAATGATAGTTGGACTTTTATTATAATAATAATAATAATAAAAGCTGATTTAGCATTGATTCGTTTTGTAGTAATATAGTTCATTAGCAAGAATAAATAGTAGATAACCATTGAATGAACTGTCTGTTATCTCTTTCAAATGATTTTGTTGTTTTCGCTGCTAAACGGCTCATTAACCAAATATGAGTTGCTTCTTGACCCTGAATGACAGTAACATTATCCCTTTTTAGCTTATTAGATATCCACTCTTCTATGCTTGGTCTTAATAACTCTTCGCTGCCATAAGCTATGAATAAAGGGCAATCAATATCATCAAAATTACCATAAATTGGAGATATCAATGGATCTTTATTGTTGACTGATGACGACGGTAAATAACATGAAGCAAACATCTCTAGTTGATGATTGCCAATAATGTCCTTTTTATTATCAACTAATGAAAATCCTGATAAATCAATCCATGGTGAAAATAAAGCAGCACCTCCTGGTAAAGGTAAGGGAGCCCTTTTGAACATGTCATTCATAAGCTCCTCTTTACGTTCCTGTCTTTCTTTCTTTAAACGCAACAACAAAGTGGCTGCTAAATTACCTCCTGCGCTATCCCCGGCTATAATAACTCTACAAGGGCTCACACTCAAGTCATGAATTAAATAGCGGTATGCTTGTATACATTCTTCACTAGCTTTCGGCCATACGTGTTCAGGGCTTAAACTATATTCTACAGATAAAATGCGTGCCTGTAATTTATAAATTTGTTGAAGTTGATTAATAATGAATTGAAATGCCTCCATGTACATTGTTGCATGTCCTTGTACAAATCCACCACCTGGAAATATATTTAAACTATTAAGAAAAGAAAAAAACAAAGAATTACTTTTAGTTGTACCAATAAAGAATGATCAAATCTTGATCAGATGCTGTATCCTCTGCATTTTGAATATTTTTTAATTGAGATGCAATCCATTTCCCCTTCCAGGAGTTTTGTTTGTTTATTTCAAGAATCCAACTAGTTTCATCTCCTATTGGACTAGTTGTCACTTTTAAAAGTTGACGTACTATAGAAAGTGGAAGTCGATAAGATTCTCTATTGATAAAACGCCGTATTGGGAAAGGAGTATTTAAAATTATACTTCGACTTATCAAATGCACTTTTAGAGAAAAAAATAAATAAATAATAATAAAAGGAATAGTTAAATAGTATCAAACAAATTTAAATCTATTTATTTTACATAATCTTCTGCCATTCTTTGTAACCAAAAACACAAAGCAGATTGCAAATCGGATACTATTCAACATGATAACGAATTTGTAAAGTCAAATTATACTTGCATTTAATTGCATCTGAATTTTTCTATGTACACCCCCTCCGCGTTTTTTTTTTTTTTTTTATGATGAACAGGTTCATGTCATGTGTAGTATAAAGCACACACACACACACACACACACAAATTTATATTTGTCTATATTCTTTTTTTTTTTTATTTTCTTCCACTTATTAACTTTAAAAACAAAAAGAAAAAAGAGGAATATGAGTTCAGTTTCTTCTATGAAGGCAGTGATAAAGACTCGTTCTTTCAAAGAAGTTTTATTGAAAGTTCAGCATCTTCGCTTCGACATGCTTACCTTCGTAAAACGGATTTACTAGATACACTAGATAGTAATAATAGTCGTTTACGCGATACTGATGCTTGGAGTGTAGCAGCTACTATTGATGATCAAGAATCTGTCATTAGTGCTCATGGGGGTCCACCATCGATTATAAGTAGTAGTCGAATGACTATTGATAGAGAAACTGATGACGACAGGTCCACCTTAGATGGAGAATCTTCCATTAGGGACCGTTTACAAGACATTCACCTTTCGTCTTCACCTCTTCAAATTCATATCAGTAACAGTAACAGTAACAATAATAATAATAATAATAGCAATAACACTATTAGCTCCAATAATACGAATAACAGCCGACTTGATGCCATGTTACATGATTTAGTTAACCCACATAATATCGGTATCAATAATCATCATCATCATCATCACCACCTTTTACGTGGAAGTCATCATAGTATCATTGCTGATGATGAAGAAGATAAAAGGTCGAGGTCTAATGCAGCTGAATTTGGTGATGATGGGACTCGGTCCGCAGCAGCTGATTTTGACCATAGTGTTGCAAGTGATGACGATAGTAGTCACCACAATGTTGTGGATGATCAGATTATGGCACCACCTCAACCCCAACCAAGTTTTGCATCTGTAACAAAATCCTATGCTGAATTAATGGAAGAAAATGAAATTCTTCAAACACAGCTTCGTGCAGCTCAACTTGCACAAAAGCATCAAGAACAAATGATTCAGCATTTAAGACACTTGACAGGATGTGATGATGAACTCTACGGGAAGGCAGTCCATCTGTCACAAAGAGGGGGAGAAGAAATGGATGGCCACAAGGAGAACTCAGGTCATGATAGTAGTAATACCTCTGATAGAGGCGATAGTAATTTAATAAAGGAGAAGGAGATGTTTTTTGATTCACCCTCATTGGAACATATTCAAGTCCCACCTATCGTGAATGCACGTACCTTGACACAAAAGTTAGCAAGACTAGCTGAAACTTTAATTCGATTTGTTAAATCAATCGTGTCAGAAGAGAATGAATGGCAACAGCTAAATTTTGAACAATCCTTATTTTTTCATATCACGCAATTGTATTTGGAAGCGCTTCCATTTGGAACAGAGAATCAACATTTGTTAAATACTGCATATCAAGATCAAATACATCGATTTCATAATACACTTGGAGCCAATTTTGCTAAATGGTATCGAAGACAAACAGTACAATCATTATCTTTAAACCCTGCTACTAAGGAATACCTGCAAAACATGAGAAATGTATTAACTGAAGAGATGTTAAGACAGTTACATACTCAAAATTGCCATGATGAGCCTGATATGAATCTTTGGGAAGATATTTTGGAATTATGTGCTGCTTTATCACTTGAAATTCATGGTGGAGATGCTGATGTAACTGCACAAACAATTGCTGTAGGAAGCAAATATGACGAAGAAATTATGGCTGCTGCCCTTGTTGGAAATGAGGTTCATAACAATAGTAATAGTAATAATAGTAGTAGTAATAATAGTAGTAATAATAATAGTGGTAGTAGTAATAGTAGTAGTAGTAATAACGCCACAAAAGATAAAGTGGTTAAAATGATGATTAGTCCATTGTTTATTGATGAAGAAGAAGTTGTCTTATTACCGGCAAGAGTCATCATTGAATAATATATATATACATTGATTACCTCATTTTCTGCTATACTCTATCTTCTTTATTATATATTATTAAATAAATAAAGATATATGGTCAATTTACAATACTATCTATTCATGAATTTTTTTTATTGAACGCGCTTATTTTGGAGTCCCCTGTTTGTATTAATGTATTTGTATGTTACCTGAGCTCTACATAGTTCTATAGTATGTATTTTATGTGTATTATGGGCTCCAAACTGAAAGCAATAATGGATGTCAACAAGAAGCTTCTTCTTCAATATAACAAGATGTGGCGACATGAATACTTTTTTTTTTCAAGATAAGCATTGGTATCCTCTATAAAGGACATTATAGTAAACTGTTTATATAATACACAAACATACTAGCTAAATTCGGATAATAATAATATTTTTTTTTATCATTTATTTTTGAATTTTTCATAAAGATTTTTGAAAAATTATACATACATTATTTATGCATGTTGAGAAAAAAAAGTCTATTTTAATAAGCGTGTGATTTCAATATTATTATTATTTTCTTCCATAATAATGTATAAAGATATTCCTTGTAATTGCTCATTTCGGAAAATAATAAATGATAATCAACAACATGAATTGATTAAAATTGTTAATGCAGAAAAGACAAGATCAGACAACAGTACAAATAATAGCTTTGTTGTTTATATAATAGAAATAAATGTATATTATGATTTATTATAGATAAGCCGTTGATAAAATGATACATTAACAGATGTATAAACACATATATATTTATATTAGAATATAGAAGAACATGTCAAAAGAAGATACAGTGAATTTGAGTCCTTTAGAAAATCACTTGTCAAATTATATCCCACAACATGTATACCACCAATACCAGAAAAGCATTCATTATGTAAAGTGTATAGTTTCACTATGAATAACATATCTATCTATTTATCTATTTATATTCATTTCATATTGAAATATTAGCAGACTATACACTAAAAGACACTGGTGCAATGATTGAAAAGAGAAAAAGAATGCTTGAAAGATTTTTGAATAGAATAGCTAGTCATCCAATATTGAATCAAGAGCACATATTTCATCGTTTTTTAAACACTGAAGATAGTTGGGTAAAGAAATCATTATGAGACTAATTTCCCTATTTAATTACAAGTTCTTTTTTTTTTCTTTTCTTTTTAGACAGATATTGCAAATACGCCACCACTTTCAACTTTACCAAAAGATCCATTATTACCAAATTATTTTACTATTAGTTCTTTAACTTCCAATCCTATACAGCAAAATAACTCTATTATCCCCGTACCTTCAAGTTCATATACACTAAAATATCCAGATAACGAATTTGACCGATTTGAATTAAAGGTAGATAAACACGCTCAACAAATCACATTTCAATTTGATAAATCACAAAAACGTATATTAAAAAGACTTCAAGGTATCATATTGCAAAAAGATATATATATGAATAGTATATAAATTCGTTGTATTTCATTATATTTTTTTCACTCAGAATTATCAAACGATTATGCTGAGTTGGGCTCTGCTTACAATGGACTAAGTTTAAATGAAGTAGACTCCATATCTATATTATTGGAAAAAATAGGTCAAGTCATTGATGGAACTAATACAACTACAAAGGAAATGATTCAAACCTTAGAAGCTGAATTTGCAGAATATGTACAAGAATATACTCAATATCTAACTATCCTAAAAATTGTTTAGAATATCGTCGTTTGAAGCAAGCCCAATATGAATTAATCGAGGTGGCTATACATACAAAGAAAATCACATCTGAGGTCTTTAGTTAAAACAGAAGAGGAATCACAAAAGTTATTACTAAAGCCCACTAATAATACTGAAGAAGAAGAAGGTATTGTGATACAACAACAACAAGAAGAAGAAGAAGAGAACGACTCTTTTATCGATACTGAATCGATTGAGGATGGATTTTCAGCCATTGTAAAGGCGTCATCCATAAGAGATACTACTACTACTACTATTGAAGAACAAGAAGATAATTATCCTATAAATGCAACTGCACCTATCATTCGTGTTTCCAAGCATCAAACTAAAAGTGGTCTTCACCAAGAAAATTATTTTCTGCTGTTACTTGTACTATCCAAGGCATGATAGATACAGATCCTGAACTAACTAGAAGAATTCAAATCAAGAAACTAAAAGTGACGTTGATGAGGTATGATATGTTATATAGATTTTCCTGTTGTACTAATATTAATATATCGGTTACTAAGCTGGAAAAAATACAAATGGAATTAATACAAGACTTGAAAGAAATATCTACGAATATGGCGAAAGATTTCGAAAGATTACAGATACAAAAGGAAAAAGAGATAAAGTCCATCTTAATAGCGTTTGCTAAAATACATATTCATTATTGTGAACAGGTAAATGCAAGGATTGATATTTAATATGTATATGCATATATATTAAAATATGATCATAGAATACTATAAAGTGGAAAGAAATGCGAGATAAAATAATGATGAAAGACTTGTAGAAAAAGAAAAATTTACAATTATATATTTTTTTATATTTATTATTGTTGATAAATAAAATTACACAAAAGAAAACTGTATATAAAACTATTTCCCTTTTTTTTTTTTTTTTTCTTTAAAAGTTTTCACGCATGAATTCAAAGAAAGCAAAATTATCAGGATGAGCGCCATACTTGTAAACAAATTGAGAAGCTAAATGAGCACCAAAGATAGCCTTTACATAACTTTCAGGTACACGTTGCAACAAGGATTCAAGACCGACTGTTTCCAAGAGTAACTTGGGAAAGCACGTTCCAAGACGGTAGTACGTAAAGTAGAGTTATCCCAGAGACCGGATTGTTGTAATTGAGATTGAAGTTGAACGATAGCGGTTGAGAGTTCATCAGAGAGGATAGAGATAGGTTGCTTAGTACGTTGATGTTCCCTCCAGAGGGCATCGAATTCAAGGGCAGCATTGTGTTCAATAAACGTTTGGACCTCCTTAACGTAGGATTGGTAAAATTCAGGAACGACGCCATCCTTCACACACATGTGTTTTTCGAATTCATCATCGCTAAAGGCAAGGGCAGCAAGGACCTCAAGGGAAGAGGAAGTGACACCGCCCTTATTAGCAGAGGCATCCTTGAAGATGACGATACCGGCCTTCTCGAGACGAAGACGAGCCTCTTGAGTAAAGAAGAGATTAGCACCTTCAACGATGTATTTGTAAAGTGGCGCGCCACTAGGATGATTCTCACCCATCAACAGGTGTACGTTATCGAGACCTACCGATTCAGGACGACCACCGCAGGGGACAAAGAGAGTGGCCTGAGCGAGAGGGTTGGTGTGGAATGTGTTACGGAATTGGAGACCATTCTCGACCAAGGTACCATCAGGTAATGTCACGTTATCTTCATCTACAAGGACACGGAAGCCCTTTGAGGACAAGTAGCTTGTATCAAAATTATTGATCATCAGACGACGGTTAGCGAGACGTTGAAGTTCCTCACGATGAATACCCTCAGAGTCATAGAGCACACCTGAGCCATCCACAACAGCAATGGTTTTGTCATTAGAGATCTTGATTTCGTTGGAACCCAAGTCACCATCAGGACCCCCTGTTTGCAATTTGAAACAATCCTCCTCTTGAAGACCAAAGGTACGGTAGATACCCAAGACGTATTGATGTACAGAGCGAGTTGTCATACCATAGACGTCATGAGGGATACCACCCAAGGACTGACTCTTGCCGGTCGTGAAGGCCTTCCAGAAGCTTGCACCACGACGACGAGCGTGTTGAGAGGCCCAATCCATGTACTCGGCAGTACCCTCATCGGGACCAAGGAACAAGATCTCGGGTTTCTCTGTCAGATCGACCAATTTCTCTTTGACTCCGATCGTCTCACCATCGATCAAGAGGTCCAAGACAGCGTCTACGTACTTTTCAAAGGCGACAAGGGGTTTATCTTGTTGATCGACATCCAAGAGGATGGTGCCCTTTGAACCACCTTCAGGGATATCCTTGTTCTTACGGTGTTGGGTATTGGCCAAGTTGTAGTTTTCATCAAAGAGAGTACGCAAGTTAATGGAATAAGCCTCTCGATTACGAGAACGAATCATACGGATACCACCACGGGCGACATCGCTGAAACGAATATGGAAACCACGGAATTCAGATCCGACGATCAAGAACATACCATAGGGGGGGAGAGGGTACTCGATCTCGGGCAAGAAACTAGGGTCAAGACGGAAGGAGAGGGCAACCTTGGTAGTTTGATAAAAGTTAGTCTTGAGAATATGTTTGTTAAAGGTGAGGAAGGATTCAAAGACGAGCTGTTCATGAGCGTTACTGGTGACGGACTTGATACGTTTACTGATATCATCAACGGAAAGGACCTCCATGTTGGTCAAACGTTGATAGGAGATGGTAGGTTGTAATGAGGCCTCACGTTGATTCACATAGTGAGTCGTGGCAAAGTTAGCATAGAGGATCTTGAGGAGTTCAGGGTAACTCATGATGATGTCGAGGATATAATCACGAGTAAAGGTATCTTGACGAAGACGTTTTTTCAATTTAGAGAGAACTTCCTCATGCATAGGATTGCTACGATTCAAGATAGAGGTCAAACTAAGATATTCTTTACCTAATCTGTTGAGGAAATGTTGAGCAAAGATCCAACCAACGTAGCTATAGACCATCTCTTGAACTGAAAGCTTATTTGTTTTGAAATAATGTTGAAGAGGTGTTTTAGGAAGACAATAGAGAAGGGAAGCTTCTTTCATGACTTGATAGATAGTATGTTCAATAGGTGCTGCCTTTGATTGAGGTACAGGATGTAAGTACAATCCAATAATAGTCACACCATTTGAAAATTGTTCTAATTTGGGGAAAAAAAATAAATTAAATTAAATTAATTCATTTTCCCAGGCTCATCAAATATAGAAACAAAAAAAAATACTTTACCGACATATTTGCGTGTAGAATATAAGTCGTAATAGTGATACAAATCAGAAATAGCAGAGAAAAACCCTTTGTACTTCTTTGACGATAGCCAATAATAAGACGACGTTCACGAGAACCCTTCCCTCATACATCTCAATGACAGGACCGGTACGTTGAAGAACAGTTTGCATGACATCTTGATAAAGGTTTAAGGTATAATCAGTTGCCTTTCGCAAAAAAGTTTTTATCAGCGACTTGTCTAATGTCAACTGTTTCAGATTGTTCATTCTTGGCTTCTGTTGCAGGTTCTACAAAATCACAACGAGTCACAAAATAACTACGAAGTTGAGAGCTAAGACCGCCTGTGCTGGCACTTACTGAACGGTAAGATTCAGACGATATGCTTGAGAGGAAGTAGAGTTATCCAAGAACTTTTCATCGATTGTTTTCTCAATTTCAGGTCCATTAAGTTGAGAGACACCAGGTTCAGAAGAATGAATGTAGACAGCAGAATCTTCACTTTCCTTTTCGAGATTAACATCCAAGACATTTTCATTCTTAGTATAAGCAAGGATCTTTGCACCACATAAAGAGACATAATATGATTAGAAATAGTTTCAACGCTTTCAAGAGCGAAATAATAATCATCGATATTCAAATTGCTAATAGAAGATATCAATTACAATATGTTTCCATATATATATTTATCCAAACTTACGTATAAAACCAGTTAACTTCATTTTTGACCAATTCTTTAGGAAGGAACCAATCTTTTCGAGGTTTCACATACCATTAACATTTGACTTTCCTTTTCAGCAAAAACATTGGTAGCGTAGCCGCTTTCATTATTGAGAACATAAGAGGTATCCTTCATTGTATAAACTATAGATATAAGAAAAAGAAAAGAAAATAAGTATATACATTAAAAAAAAGCCTATTTATATATAAGGTGCAGCAGTAGCAGTAACAGTCCCCGCATAAAAAAAAAAAAAAAAAAAAAAAAAAAAAAAAAAAGTACGCTCATCTTTAACACTAAATTAAAGCAATTAACTCAGTTTCAAATCCTATGACGACGAATAGTACAAACTATTATTGGCCAAATCGTGAGAAAATAAGTTGATTTTGTATATATACATGTATGTATGAATATATGTACACATAAAGAACATTCTTGAAAGGCAACAAAGAACACGAAATATAAATAAAGTAATAAAATAACATCTATAACTAAGCAACATTATGTATATATAATATAATATATATATATAAACATTTGTATACGTTTATAGTATAAGCAACAAAGAAACAAAAATACAAGTTAAAATGCGTTATTTATTCCTCGGAAGGTCATACCAAAGTTATTTTTAGTGAAATGAGAAGAAAAAAAAAAGATTTACCCCACACTTTTCGAAACGTGGAGAATAGAATTAGAATATTTTCCATTCATAGTAAAAATATTCATTGTTTCAAAAGAATGTATGATTATAAAATCTAGACTATTTTCTTTGAAATACTCTTTCTCTTTCCTTTTTTATTAACTCTATTTGTACTTTTTTTTTCAAGTACATGGCCACTATCACCCATCACAAATGATTATTATTAAACTATAGATATGATTGGATTAATTTATATCTCAGATAATGTGGGCATGGTTCTGCCTTTTTTTTTTGACAGACAGACAGACAGACAGATAGATAAATATGGACCCTGTTTTTTTAAAAAAAAAAAATAAAAATAAAAAAAATAAAAATAAAAAAAATAAAAATAAAAAAAAATGTTCAAGAGAATTAGTCATTGCATTATAAAACAATCAACATTGCAACATCAAAAGAGATTATTTACAACTCGTGTTCATTCTCCAACGAGTCAACGATGGATGTATATGACAGGAATGACTTTAATAGCTACTGGAGGCTGTTATTTTGGTTGGACATATTTTAATCAATATTCAAACACACTCAATAATGAAAGATATATACCACTCAAAGTGATGGAAAAGGAGCAAATTTCACCCGATAGCTATCGCTTGAGACTCTCTGTAGCGGCAACAGAGGACAAACCATTTCCGGTCCCTTCTTGTGTTTATATTAAGGATGATAGCATACAAGTTATGAGACCTTATACACCCATCAATCCAGACCCATATAAGGATGGTTTTATTGATTTAATTGTAAAACGATACCAGAATGGATCTATTTCTCGTATGTTGACTGATTTACAGCCTAATGATAAGGCTTACGTAAGAGGACCTATGGTTGAAGAATATGAATATAAGGAAAATTCATTCGATGAAGTTGGCATGGTAATAAAATAGACACACACATACACACACTCTCTCTCTATATATATACATAATTATATGCAAATATAAACTTTATTTATCATGAATGATAGATTGCAGGAGGCACTGGAATTACGCCCATGTATCAACTTATACGACACATATTAGAAAATCCAAATGATAAAGATACACAAATCTGGCTAATTTATGGTAATAAGACCTTAAACGATATTCTATTAAAATCAGAGTTAGATCAATTGCAAAAACGATATAGCGATCGGTTTAAAGTGAAATATGTATTAGAAAACCCACCATCTGATAACGATAATTATGAAGAAGGATATATTACAAAGGAAATGATTGAAGAAATGATGTTAAATAAACCACGAAAGAAAATATTTGTGTCAGGTCCAGATAAAATGTTAGCTTCTATAAGTGGAGAAAGAGCAAAAGATTATAGTCAAGGAAAACTATCTGGAATTTTATTTCAAATAAATCTTTCATCTGATAAAATATGGAAATTTCAATAAATAACGACTATTCTTTTTTTATTTGTTTACTCTCTCTCTCTCTCTTTCTCTTTCTCTTTCTCTTTTAAATATAAATAGATCGCATATAATGTTCAGTTTACGGTCTTTTTTCCTCATGTTAATGAAACTTGTATCCTTTCAATCTTTAATACCTTATCGAAATATCTTTTTATATACTTATTTTATTATTTGTTCAGTCAAAAATTTATTTATTAAGCATAGACTTATTGTCTATCCTTCTTCACCAAATCGAAATACAGAGATAGGATTATCAAATAAAACGACTACTGTCGTCTGTAATAATACTAATAATGAAAAAGAAATAGCAGGTAATAGTTATATGATGTGAATTGATAAATACATACAATGATAAACACACACACACACACATGTCTTTTATTATTATTTATTATTTATTATTTATTTACGTATTATGCAGATAAAATGTTAATAGAGCATTTAAAAGCTGAGAATGATCAGTTAAATAAAATAAAGCAAGAACTAGAAAAAAAGTTAAAAGTGGCTATTCAAGAATTACAAGCAACAAGTCATAAAATGAATGCATATGAACAACTGACAAGTACTGCAAAGAAGCAGTCATTAGAAATACAAGGCTTGTACACTAAATGTCAAATGTATCATGACCTATTTAAAAAGTTAAAGAACAATAACAAGGAACTTTTATGTCGTCCTGTTATCATTAACAAGACGCGACTCACTCCTACTGCGACCCATCCTATGTATAAAAAGGGAAGCAAGTCAAGAAGAACAGTTAAAATGATTAGCGACAAAAAGGACGACAACAATAATCGTTATTGTGCTGAATTAATATTAACTACACATCATCCTTCTTGTACAAATATAGCCTTAACAAACATTGCTAAAAGGAATGTTTTGAACAATCCTAAATTCATAGGCCGTTTACAAAAGGGATTTATAAAATACAAGCAAATAAGGAATCAACCCTTTTTTTTATTAAACAAATTTAATACTAATGTCAGACAGCAGTTACAACAGTTATTCATTGATAATAGTACCCGTAAAAATATTCATTCCATGTGGGGTTTGTTTTGGTGCTGGATTAAAATTTCCATAATCATGTTGATTATACTTATTTCAACTGTTAAAAAGGCATGTAAAGCAAGATGATTTTCTTTCTTTTTTTTGTAGATATATAGATACATATATATATATATATATATATACTGTAGTAGTATTGGGAACATTGATTGAATATACCTTAATAAAAGCATCAAATATACTTTTGTTTGCAATTACGCACATGTGGAATTATGAAGTAAACTGTATTTTTACATGTTCATGCCTGCAACTTGTACAAAAGTATATTTTTTGACTGATTGATAATAATAAAGATGTTGTTTGCTTATTTTACTTTATTTTTTTTTAACTTTTTATACGATTGAATCTTGGATTATTTTCTTTGCTACATTCATAATCGCAATTTCTTTGTTCTGGAAATCCTAAAAAAGAAAAAATAAAAAGAAAAAATAAAAAAAGAAAAAAATAAAAAAAAGTGACACAAAAAAATAAAATGAAAAAAAAAATAAAATAAAACGAAATTATTAATGATTCCTAAATAGATTTGCCCTTTAATAGTCTAATATTTTTTTTTTCTATAATTAAATGCGAAGCATCTTAATTGGATTATTTGCGGCAAGTAGTATATACGCTATATCAGCACAAACTAGTAAGACATATAAATATATATATATATATATATATATATTTAAAGAGAGAGAGAGAGAGAGAGAAAATAACGTGTAGTTCAATTATTTACTTTCTATTACTATTATTCCTAGTCGATGATTACAAGATTACATCATTACCTGGAATTGATGTTGATGCACTGAATTTTACACAATATGCAGGGTATATTATATTTGATAACTAGTTTTATTTTCTTACGATACTAAGAAAAACTATTGTAGACACATTGAATTATCAGCTAAAAGTAACGCTAATATCTTTTTCTGGATGATCGAAAGAGAAATAAAGACAGAACCTGAGAAATTAGTAAGAAGGAATATTTTTTTTTAAAGAAGAAAAAAAAAAAGTTAAATCATAGTATAAACGTGTAATTTTATACAATTAGATAATTTGGTTGAATGGTGGACCTGGCTGTTCAAGGTTTTTATTATGATTTATTGTATGCGGGGTTAAGACTACTGACATTTTTTTTTTTAAAAAAAATATGTATAAAAAAAAAAAAAAAAAAAAAAAAGTATGGATGGCCTCTTTTTGGAGAATGGGCCATTTAGAGTGAAAAAAGATCTATCTTTAACTCTAAATGAAGGTGGTTGGCAAAACTATGCAACAAATATCTATGGTAAAGGAATTTGATATATCCATAATTTAACATTATTTACCCCTTTTTTTTTTGTTAGTCGATCAGCCTGTTGGTACTGGCTTTAGTTTTGCTAATACAGACAATTATATGCATAATATGAGTCAAGTAAAATATATATATATATATACTCGTAATATACATGGATAATGTTCACATACATATATTACTATCATTTATAGGCAACAGATCAATTTACTCTATTTCTAGATAAATTATTTATTCTATTTCCTAATCTTCGTCAACAAGATCTTTATATTGCTGGTGAGAGTTATGCTGGTACTTATATACCTTATTTTGCTTCTCGTTTATTAGAATTAAATAAAAAAAAGACTACAGAAGAAGAAAAGGTAAGAGAAGAAAAGAAAAAGAAAAAGGAGAAATTTTAAGTAAATAAACGAAAATATAGTATAACTTGCAGGGCATTGCTATTGGAAATGGTTGGATATCGAGTATACACCAATATAACGCCTATTATGATTATAGTGTGAAATACAATTTAATAGACCATGATCGTATAGTAAGTAAAACAATAAAGATAATGAATCCTTAGTCCCTAACTCATAATGAGATACTTATGTATAATATTTAGCCACTTGTATCTGCTCATCTTAAAACTTGCCAAGATGAAATTAAGCAAAACGAATTAATTCATATACCTTCTTGTGAAAAGGTTTTGACTGATGTTATGGACAATAGTATTCATGAGTAAATATAAAGAAATAGTGTTTTTTTTTATTTTATTTTATTTTATTGTTAATGAATTTCATTAGAGACAAAGATGGCATAAGGAAATGTCTTAATACATATGATATACGATTAACAGAAGAGACATATCCTAATTGTGGATTAACATGGCCCTATGAATTAGAAGAGGTGACAAAGTATTTACGTGTAAGGAACATATACATATATATATATATATATATATATATATGTATACTATTTTATGTACATGTAAATGGTCTCATGTTTCCTGTTGTAGCAAAGTGAAGTGAAAAAAGCAATTCATGCCGAAAAGCAAATCTTGGGATGGAAAGAATGTACTGCATTAGTATCAAGTGAATTTAATGGGGATCAAAGTAAACCTTCATATTATGTAAGTATATACAAATACAAATGTATATTCATATATATATATATGTGTGTGTGTGTGTGCGCATTTTCATTCGCATTTTAACGATTTTTGCTGGATAGTTATTACCTGATATTTTAAAGGAAATACAAGTTTTGTTGTTTAGTGGAGAATATGATTTGATTTGTAATTATATTGGTACAGAATATTTAATTGGTAATATGACTTGGAATGGATCAAGAGGTTTCAGTAATACGACCGTGAAAGAAAGTTGGAAGATAGACAATAGAATAGCAGGCTATTATACTCAAGAACGAAATTTGACTTATGTATTCATTAAAGATGGAAGTCATATGGTACCATATGATCGACCGATAGAGACACTTGACATGATCAATCGATTTATGAATGTAGGTGATGGTAAAGTTAAAGGTAAAAAGAGTCAAGTGGGTGAACAGGAAGCTGTGGTAAAGATACCTTCACCTCCTCCTCTTAAAGATGAAAAGCACGATAATAATACATCAACAAATCAGAACCAAAAAGAAGAAAGTGAGTCTTCTCCTCCTGTTTGGAATACAACGGTCTTCATAGGTGCTTTCTTGTTTGGCCTTTCTTTATGTTGTTTCTGCTGGATTCGTAATAATAATAATAAAAGATCATCGGGATCTGCAGCTGTAGAATTTGGGGGAGCTCCTCGGCGTCAACATGAAGGTGTTAAAAGACCTACTAAAAATACTATCTGGAGTTTTATTCGCCACGTGTTTAGTAAACATGCTGAGGAACGAAAAAATTTTCGCTTGGATGATAATGATGAATCCAATGAATTGTAAGGATTTAATACATTTATATTTTAAAAGGAGAAAAAAAAAAACTAATCATTATTTTTGGTTTTATTAGGGATGAATTGGTTATTGAAACACCTACTCTATTTGAAGCTGAATCGTTATCTGATAGCGATGATCAGCATGAGCCACTAGAGAATCAAACAAGACATCAACAAAGTCGTAGTAATAAAGCTTTAACGCAACATTTCTCACTTTCGGATGAAGAGGAAGATGATGATTTTACTGACTTTGACGATGAAGAAGTGTATGTAGCTAATAAGTAAATAGACTAGATATATAAAATGCATTTTATTATTAATATAATAATAAAATTTGATATAAAAGTTAAGATAAGAAAATTAGTTATTTAAACATGTTTCATGACTTTTCAGAAGTAGTTATTTTCTTGATCTTTGATATAAAAGAATTGAATTTTGAAAACAGAGGAGTAGTAGTAAAGAAGAGAGGATGATCAAGTGATTGCTTTTTGATACGAGCTTCGTCATTAGAAAGTAACATAGTAGACATGGCTTTGTCTTGTTCTTTTAACAATGGTGGAGACGGAGAATTAAAAGAGAATGGAGAAGACCTAGAAGAAAGATATTGTTCTATAATGAAGCTGTCTTCTTCTTCATCATCACTTGACATAATCGAAGTATTTCGTATTGATGAATGAAGGTGAGTTGATAGATCTCTAACATGAAAGGGAGATAGTAGTAGATCATTATCCTGAGGGCTTAACATTTCCTCCTGCCATGAATGAACAACGGGTAATTTCTTATTAGGTGCATTATAGAGTTTGGGTGTAGGTGAAGCAGAAGGGAAGACGACAGGAGAAGGAGAATTAAAAAACGATTTACAGGTTGATAATGATTCATTATTCAAAGAGGAAAGAAATGAAATGAAATGAAATGAAATGAAAGAAAAGGCATTTTCATTATTGAAGAGAAAAAGTCATTTGAGCATGTAGCAAGTAGTACATAAAAGATATTTGTATTACTCTGTTATGGAAGAGCATGTGTGTCCTTAAATTTATAAACGTCAATCATGTAACATACATCATTATTACTACAAAAAAATAGATGCATTTATAAATGTATATATTAAAGTAAAGATGCTATTACATAGTTGTTTAATTGAATAACATGTTATTTTTTTTAAAGAAAAAAAGTCTTTATACTACTACTAACTACTACTAACTACTACAAAAAAAAAGAAACCTTATCATGATGAGGTGCTATGCAATTAAATTCAAAATTAGTAAATAAAAGGAGATGCTGTGTAACTTTTATTAAAATCCTTGCATTTGTCTGCACAGACCTTTTTTATTTTATTTATAGTAACAATGATAATCAAATGAATTCTTACCTCCCTTTTGTATATCAAGTTTACTTCAGAAAATTTTATTAATATGAAAATATGAAACAAATATGACAAGTTTCATTTTATAGATATAAATAAATAATTAAATGAATTTATTATTCCATTATTATTGCTAACTTGAAAAAGAGAAAAGTCTGTTGATTTTAATCAAAAAAAAAAATCCTCTTTAGTTATCGTTATTATAAATATGAATGCTTGAAAGAAAGAAAAAAGAAAAAGACGGTGAGCGAATAAAAAAGGGACAGGGAGTAAAGAAAGGTAGCATAAAGTAGAGTATAATTATAGCCTAGTTGAGATTGCTTATAAATTTATAATTATAGCCTACTTGATTGCTTATAAATTTCTAATTATTTATTTTATTGTAACTAATATTCAGCTAAATAGAATTGCTGCCCACTTTTATATATAATAAATTGACTTTATTATTAATTATGTCAAACTTCCTTTGTTGTTGTCAAACTACTATCCAGTGTATAATTACATTCTTTTCCCCTCCCCCACTTCTCCCCGCGTATATTCCTTTCTTATTTTATTCATTTTTTAAAGGGAGAGTTTTTTTTTTTTTTCTTCTTTTTTTTTCTATTTTTTTCTTTTTTTTTTATTTTTATAAAAATGTATAACATTATACTTCTACTTTGTTATAACTTCGCGTTTAAATTAGCGATTTATTCTAGATTTTAACTTTAAACGCGATAAAAACTTGTTATCTATTCTCACGAATTTATAACGGACGGTAGTTTCTTTATATGCATGCATTCTATTTTATTGAAACAAACCCTTCTATTATAACTTATTTATGCATATGTATAATCTAAATAAAAGAAGGTATGTTTCAAGCGCTCACTTTAAGAAAGAAGGTAAAAAAAAAAAAAAAAAAAAAAAATTCCGCTAAAAAAAAATAAAGAAATTATCCTGTAGTTAAATACTCCAATAATCAACATGAATTTTATTACTCATAAAGGAAGTAACAAGGAAAACAAAAAGAAAAAGAAAAGAGGCAAATGGGTTCATACTTTCATTTTTAATAATAATGACTACTCATCTGGCTTAATAATTTTCATAGATTTTTCCAGATATATAATGCTTCTTTAATCAAGGAGATCTTATCTTCCTGCATATAAAATGTTAGTTATTTATACAAACTACTACTACTACTAACATAAAAATCAATCTAATATGTAACTTATCAAAACAAATATTTTTTCCCCTCTACTACATATAAAGTATTTAGTAAATAAATAAATACATATAATTTTTTTTAAATTATTTTAAGCTCTAATATTTATTGGCTACTCTCTTTGCCTGCCCTGCAAGCATATAAAAATATCGAATGTTAATAAAATAAAATTAATTCCGTTTAAAGACAAAACTATACTTGTTTATTAGAAAATGGAACAAGAAAGCAGTAAACTATTTCCTCATAAATTATTCAGTTTATCGATTTTTTTTCTTATAATTCATACAGCAAATGAAAAAAGAGAGAATTCGTTTTTAGAAAAAAAAATACTATTGTCCATTAATTAACTTTTGATTGAACGAAGTTACTTTAGATAGCAAATTAATTTCTCAGATTTGAAGTTTCATACACAGAGAGCCACCACCCTTTTCTTTTTCTTTTCTTTTCCTTTTTTTTATTTTACAGAAAATAAAATAAAAATAATCTGTCTTCAAAACTTCGAAAAAAAAGACTTATGCTATATAAATAATAGATCGCCATTCTATTATATAGAGTTTATTGTAATCAAACAGTAGCTACTTCTATTATCCTTTTTTTTTAAAAAAAAAACTCGTTAACTTGTTAAAATCATACATTCTCTTATGTTCATAATTACTAGCAGTAACTTTCTTTTTTTGACTAATATATAATTTTTTACCATTAAAAGAAGTATAAAAAAGCAAGTGACAGATAATTTGTCTCAGATTGAATATCAAACCAGGAAAATTCATGTAAAATTCATACTGATTGGATTTTATTCTATTCACGGGGATTGTAGTTGAGTTTTTTTTTTTTTTTTCTTACTAAAAAAAAGGAATTTTACTCATTTTTTTTTCGCTGAGTTTAATTCAATGTACTAAACATAAAATGATCTCTTAAACAAAAAACACTAAATTGAATATAAACTCTTCTGGTTACTTTTTAGTATTTATACACACCGTAGATATATTTTATATACACACACATACATATATATATATATATATATATATGTCTATATATATATGTAATTTTTTTTTTTCATTCTCTTTTCTTTTCTTTTTTTCTCTTTTCTTTTTTTTTTATATATCTGTTTTTTTATATTAGAATTGAATAGATTCCTCTTCACTAATTATTTGGATATATTATCTCTATTCATTCCATATTCTATACCTTTTAAACGAAAAAAATAAAAGAACAAGAAAACAAAAATTTATATATTTATATATACACACATATATACCTTATTCTATATATACAGAGAAAATGAATCCTTCTTCTGAAACAATATTAAACCAAAATACAGAGAATCAAAATATGAATCTCGAAAATCATCACTCATATGTAAGAAAGAGAACAAGAGCTACAGCTGAACAACTTGCAGTACTTGAAGATACATTTGCAGTCAATGTGAGTCCAAATAGTAAACTTAGAAAGCAACTCGCTGAACAATTGAATATGAGTGAAAGATCAATTCAAATTTGGTTCCAAAATAGACGCGCCAAAGTGAAACACATGCAAAAGAGAGCACAGATGCAAATGCAACAAGCTGCTATGAGAGCTCAATTATATCATTATCATCAACAACAACAACAACAACAACAACAATATAGTATGATGTCGGCTTATGGACCTCCTGCTCCTCCTCCTCCTCCTCCTATGCTTCCTTTACAACCTTCTCTTTATTCACCACATCATCCTCAACAACCTACACCTCAACAGCCCTTTTATTTCTCTCCTGCTTATCTTCGTCGAATTCCACCTTTACCTCGTGCTCAAAGTGTGGATGCAGTCGCGTATTATGGTAGTCCATCGGCCGATATCTCAGCTCGTTCCTCTTTTCCAACTACTGTACCTGAACCCTTTATGCCTCACGAAAGTCTTACACCTTCACCTCCTCATCTGAATCAGTCCTATTCCATCTCGAATGGTGCCCCTGGTACTTGGTCTGTACCACCACCTAACTATCATCTCTTTGACAACGCTTCTTCTCCTATTAAACTTTCAAGACAGAGTATGCCACCTTATAATCCATTATCACATACATTCATGGATGACGTGATGACTCCATCTGAATTTACTTCTTCACATCCTAATACCGAGAATTCTAATTCAAAGCAAATCTTATCCGAAGATTTCCCTGATTTCGTACACGGTCAAATCTCTCCTTCTCCTAGTCCTAATCACGATGATAATCCTCATTCTGCTTCTTATTTTTCTCCTACAAAGGATGATTCCCTTTCAAATTTAAATGTTAAATCAACAGAGGAGGAAGGTATGAAAGGTAGCGATGATTCATTTGATGATAAAAAAGTATCAGAAGACCCAACTGCTGCACTAACAGAAACAGATATGTGGATCTCTTCTCCAAGTATGTATTGTATTGTATTTTATTTTATTTAATTTATTCATCTATTTATATAATACTTATATATACATGTTTATATTTATACATATATAGATATCGAATCTCGTTCGGCTGAATCTATTGTAGATAATGTAACATCTTCATCTTCTATTCCTACTGTTGAAAATAAACCTTCTGAAGAAGAGCCTACTGTAAATCCATCCAACTTAATAATGACCACGACGACTACAGATAATTCTCCTACACTAGAAAATGAAGACATAACTCAAGAACAACACTTGAATGCGACAACACTCACCATTGGTACATGGCATCGACTTAAACTTCAATCTTCAGATTTAATTTGTCTCTATAAATTTGAACAAAGGACTTTATATGGTATATCGCAGAAGGTGGAAGTCGTTTTAAAGTAGAGGTGCCCATCTCGAATATCGTTAGTATCGAATTCACGCCATCCTCCTTGGCGGCGACTGGTGTTGGTGAGGCTATAACCTCTGATATTCATTTCTATATTACCCAACCTCCCCTCTTTTATATGGAAACTAGAAAAGAAAAGGATGAAAAAGAATGGATTCAATGCAGTGATTTTACAGAGAACAAACAAGCTTCAAGGTATCTTCGTCATACCTTGAAGGGTCCACAATTAAAGCAAGACTTGATACAATTAATGAATAAACGGGAAGAATTACGCAAGTTGATTCGTTTTTTGGATGAACAAACAACTACTGCAGCAACAGCAACAACAGCAGCATCCGCCTCAGCAACAACAGTGACACCACTTTTACCATCACAACAACAACAAGCAACAATGATTGTTCCTTCTGCTGCTGCCGCTGCTACTACTACCACTACTACTAATACTATCTCTACTACAACTAATTATTATCCTTATTATTATTATCCTTCAGGCTTAAATGTCACTACACCCATGTCACTTTCATTAAATGGTAATCCTTCTTCTATCATGGCTAATACTGAACAACCACCAGTACCATGTGGAGGATTTTATTCTTAAATAATTGTTATTTTTATATATGTATTCACTTTTTTTTTCTTTCTTCCTTAAAATAATAAACTGTAACTCATTATTATTATTATTATTGTTGTTGTTATTTCTCAAATAAAATAAAAAAAAAAGCTATGTGGCTTTTTTTTATTATTGATAGATCATATTTTCTTTCTTCTAAAATAATCATAAAATCCACCTTTCCGTTGCTGTAAATGATTTTATTGACAGATAAGGTTAAAATTCATTTAGACATTGGTTTCATATTTCGTAAGTTCAAAAAGAAAAAAAAAAAAAAAAAAGACATTGAAATGGAGCTATTATTGAAAAAAAAAAAAAAAAAAAAAAAAAAAAAGAAAAAACCATTCACAAGAGGTTATTATTATTGAAGAGTCTGTTTTATATAAACTACTCGATGTCAAAAAAAAAAAAAAAAAAGTCAATGAATATCTATTCATATTTGTTACTGATAAAGAAGATCTTTTTTTTTTATTTATTTATTTAAATATGTATCTTAAAAATAAACTTTGTTGAGAAACATCCTCTTGAAATTAGAAGCTGCAGTAGCTGCAGCAGCTGCAGCAGCCCTGTCTATTTTTTTTTTTTTTTTTTTTTTTTTTTTCGTTTTATACATGTGTATGTATAATAATGCCCTATACTATTACTAATGCCGCTAATAATAATGATAATAATAAAATTAACATTATTGTTCGTGTCTCTCTTATCCATACTATAGATAGAGATGTGCATTAGTAAGTTGGTGACTTTCTTAGTAAAATCTGCTTCTTTTAGTACAATTTGCCTTAACAAAAAAAAAAAAAAGTTCATACTTTTATCGTCTTGTTGGTCATGATTGAGCTCCCTTTTTTGTTTTTTTTTCACTATTGATATTATAATGCTTTATAATAATAATAATAATAAAATGTTTTTTTTTCTTTCTTTACTATTTCCACTTCCTAATTATGCTTTATACACATATTTACACCTTCCATCCCTTTGTTTTTTTTTCTAACTTTTCATCAATTCGTTCTTTATTATGTTGAATTTAATCATGCTTGACATTAAACTGAAGATCTTAATCCTAGTCTTTCTTTACAACGACAACAAAAGAAAATTATTTACATTGTTCAATAGAGATCTTTTATATATATCTATATGTATATAGATAAGTGTTGTTTGTATTTTATTTATAGCGAAAAAGAATTCTAAATTCTGAAAAGATTATGAAAATTTCTTCTTTCCTTATGAATAATGTTTTTTTTTTGTTAAAATGAGAAGAGAATATTAATTGGTATTAAATGCTATGTATACATATATATATATATATATATATATAGCTTGTTATATATCTTTAACCATGTATGCTAAATAGTTTACACTAGTAAAGCAATTTCTTGCATACAACTTGTGAAAATAAAAAAAAAAAAAAAAAAAAAAAAAACTTCAGGTCATTTTTTTGTTCAAAAATAAAGTCACGATGTACGTGTGTGTGTGTGTGTGTGTGTGTGTCTCTGACAATTATCTGCTGTTATTGTACGTTGAGTAGAGTGAATACTATTTCCTGCTGATTATTAGTACCGATATACAACTTTTTTTTTCCTTACCAACTATTATAAATACATATTATGTTATTTGATAAAGAAGATGAGAATGGTTCATTAAACAATAACTATTATAATCATACTTTACATCCAATGTATACTAATGGACCTACACCTTTTAATACCTCACCTGCATCGTCACCATCTGTTGGTAACTATGCAATGTCATTGTATGGAACTAACAATACCACTACCCATGGTAATTAATAATAATAATAATAATAATAATAATAACAATAACAATAATCGATACCCCACCCATTTACAACAACAACAGCAACAGCAACAACAACAACAATCTTTATCTAATGACTTGACCGTTGCTATTGCTCCATCTTCGACCACAGCTACTCCTCATCTAGCTCGACAATTAAGCTATGCTCAGATTTCTCGACAATCTTCATCACCTCACCATCATGCTCGTGCAGCAGCAGCTATGGCACGTAATACACCTGTTTCCTCTACCATTACCATTACGGATCCTAATGATCCTAACCGACCTGTTGCTACTAGAGGAGGGGGACAACATCATCTTATAAAGGGAACAGAAGAAGAAGAAGAAGAGGTAGAACATGTTTGGACCTCACTTGACCTGGGCGGGATGGGATTGAAGAATATTTCAAGTGCACTTTATACCTATCGTTTCCTCACTTGCCTCTATCTCAACCATAATAATTTAACCTATCTGATGCCTGAACTCTCTCAATTAACACAACTCAAGACCCTGGATGTCTCTGGCAACAACCTCACCCTCCTTCCACCTGAACTTGGACTTTTATATAATCTAAGGGAATTGCTCTTATTTGATAATCGGATCGTGACGTTACCTCATGAACTAGGTAACTTGTATCAATTAGAGACACTTGGATTAGAAGGCAATCCACTTCAAGCTGACTTGAAGACGATTTTAATCAAGGATGGAACTCAAGCTTTGATTCTATCACTTCGAGAAAATGCACCTGGTAAGTGAAAAGAAAGAAAGAAAGAAAGAGAGCATATCATCTAATTATTATTATTATTACTAGTTGGTATACCTCCTCCTCATAGAGAATGGTTATTAATAGAAGGAGATACGTTAGAAGATCCAGGTTAGGGAAATCTGATGATAACACACATTCACTTACTTACTTACTTACTTACTCATGCTGTATATAATAATAGATAAATTTACTGTCTTGTGTTACAATATTCTTTGCCAGAAATATGCAACAGCTCAAGCTTATGGTTACACACCATCATGGGCATTAAATTGGAATTATCGTAAAGAATTACTCGTATCCGAAATATTGAGTTACAACGCTGATGTCATTTGTCTTCAGGTAATTAGGAGAAAGAAGAAAGAAATGATAACAATAAAAAAAAAAAAAACCTATTATTATAATCTCTACTCTAGGAAATGGAAATGGGACAATATGAAGACTTTTTTAAGGAACATTTTAAAAGATGGGAGACTACGAGAGTGTGTTCTATCCAAAGACGAGAGCAAAGATTATGGTATCTGAAAGTGAAAGACGTGTAGTAGATGGATGTGCCACATTTTACAAGACAACAAAGTAAGTGAAGACTATAGTGTGTTTAAACAAAAAAAAAAAAGGGAATATACGAAAAGCATCTTTTTCTTTTTTTACATGTAAATATACATTCAGGTTTCGTTTAATTGAAAAGGAATTGATTGAATATAATCAAAAGGCACTTCAAAGACCAGACTTTAAAAAGGCACCGGATATTTATAATCGAGTCATGAATAAGGACAATATTGCTGTATTTACATTATTGGAAGATAAAGAAAGCAAAAAACGTATGATTGTAGCCAATTCACATATTCATTGGGATCCCTCAGATTCAGACGTCAAACTCGTTCAAGTAGGTATCCTTTTGGATGAACTACAGACGTTTACACACAAATATACGACAACGACACATACATTATTACCTACTGTTATTTGCGGAGATTTTAATTCTTCTACTGAATCAGGCGTTTATGAATTCTTTAGTAAAGGATCTATTCAACAAGATCATCAAGATTTTGGAAATTATTCATATGGCAAATATACCACAGAGGGGCTCTCTCATCCCTTTCAACTCAAGAGTGCATATAGTCACATAGGTGAATTACCTTTTACAAATTATACGCCTGGATTTAAAGGCGTTTTAGATTATATTTGGTATACAACCTATACATTAGATACTATTTCATTATTAGCTTCTATTGATCAAGATTATATCAGTAAAGTAGTTGGTTTCCCTAATCCTCACTTTCCTTCAGAGTAAGTATTGTGTGTGTGTGTGTTTATCAATTAGAATATCACTCTACTCACACCCTACTTTTATGTTTTTTTTTCTTTTAACCCCCCCTTTTATAGTCATATTCCTATTATGGTAGAATTAAAGTTTAAAACACAACAGAAAAAAGAAAGCATGAAAGCGACAACAGATTTCAGTTCAAAGATACTAAGGAACAATAGATTAAAATAACATCAAATAAACTTACCAAAAAAAAAAAAGAAAAGTGTGTACAACGATTTATTTAAGTCAAAAAAAAAAAAAGACAGCTTGTGTGTGTGAGAAAAGGGCTTTAAAAAATTATCCCTGATTTCTTCTTATCGTGGGAAAGGTCTTGATCTTGTATTTGTGTGTATATAAAAATAGTCTTTTTATTATTATTATTATTTGTTTCTTTTTTTTTTTCCTTCTTTTATCTTATCATGTTTAAGCTTACTCAACGTCTTGTTCGTTCTCCAACTGCTACTCATCTTATCCGTCAAGCTACTAAGCGGTAAATAGAGTCATGTATAAATATATCTATCTATCTATCTATCTATGTATATATATATATATTTATTTATTTATGATTTATACTTGAAAAATAAATACGCGATCTATCTATTAGTAATTATGCTGCTTTAACTTTTTCTGTTCCTACTGCACATGAAGCTCCTACTTCTTTACAATCCTTTACTGAAGAAGAATTGATGCTTAAGGATACTGGTATATATATATATATTTAGATAAAGAGCGAGAGTGTGTGTATATGTATGTCTTATTGATTTATTTATTTTATAGTTGCAAGATTTGCTCGTGAAGTAGTTCAACCTAAAGTTCGTGATATGGATGAAGCTGAAGTGATGGATAAAGATATCATTCAATCTATGTTTGACAATGGTGTAAAGTATATTATAATTTTTCTTAAAAAAAATCGAGTTAATAGATATTATATTAGTTAATGGGTCTTGAGACACCTAGTGAATATGGTGGCGCAGAATGTTCATTTACAGCTGCTATTTTAACTGTTGAAGAACTTGCTAAAATTGATCCTTCTATTAGTGCTTTATGTGATATTCATGTAAGTGTTGTTGTTGTTAAAGTTAAAAGTAATAGGGAAGGTGTAGCTGATACTGATAGTTATCATTAGAACACATTAACCAATACAGTCATTCGTAAATGGGCCTCTCCTGAACTCAAAGAAAAATACTTGACTCGTCTTGCTACTGATACTGTAGGTAGTTTCTGTATCTCTGAGGCAGGTGCTGGTTCTGATGCCTTTGCTCTTCAAACACGTGCTGAAGATAAAGGTGATCATTATGTATTAAATGGTGGAAAGATGTGGATTAGTAACTCTGCTGAAGCTGGTATCTTTGTTATCTTTGCTAATGTGTAAATGAAAAAAAAAAAAAAAAAAAAAAGTTGGGAGTCAGACTTGATCATCTTATTCTTTCATTTCTTTCTTTAAATGATAGTGATCCTTCAAAAGGTTATAAGGGTATTACAGCTTTTATCGTTGAAAAGGAATGGGGAGTTGAGATTGCAAGAAGGAAAAGAAGGTAAGTCGTGTTTATATTAACCATATACATGATAAATAAATTCTAAAACCAGCTACTTTTCTCTCTTTCTTTCAATAGCTCGGTATTCGATCTTCTTCTACATGTGTCTTAAACTTTGATGATGTCAAGATCCCTAAAGAAAATGTCCTTGGTAAAGTTGGAGAAGGATATAAGTACGCGATTGATTCGTTAAATGAAGGAAGAATTGGTATTGCTGCACAAATGATTGGTTGTGCTCAAGGCGCCTATGATATTGCTTTACCTTATATGATGGAACGTAAACAATTTGGTCAAGCCATCGGTTCCTTCCAAGCCATGCAACATCAATTTGCTGAAGTCGCGGTTCAAATTGAAGCTGCTAAACTCTTGACTTATAATGCAGCACGTTTAAAGGAAGAAGGTAAACCGTTTGTGATGGAAGCTGCTATGGCTAAATGGCTTGCTGCTAAGGTGGCTGAAAAGGCAAGTTCTTATGCCGTTGAATGGATGGGTGGTAATGGCTTTGTACGTGAAACGGGTGTTGAAAAATTCTATCGTGATGCTAAAATTGGTTCCATTTATGAGGGCACAAATAATATTCAACTCCAAACCATTGCTAAAATTATTAGTTCAAAATATAAATAAATAATAAAAATAATAGAAATAAATAAAAAAAATAAAAAAAAGGGGATTTATTTATTTATTTATTTAAATAATCTCAAGAGGATTTTATCTGTTTTAGAAACAATCACTTCTATTGATTCACCTTCTGTTGTCTTTTCATTCTTTAATTGTTCTTCTAAAGCAGGTTTTAATACAGCTGACAGATAGCCACGTTCAGTATTTGAATGTTCACCTAAAATAATCATTCAGTTTGTTTCAAGTAAAAAAAAAAAAAAAAAAAAAAAAAAAAAAAGCTCTGTATAAAATAACTATTCTTCTTACATAAAATAACACTTGTATTTTGTGCTAAAGCAGCTAATACATCATGATGTCCCATTTCACCTGTAAAATAAAGATCAGCTTTAACTGGTCCAAGAACAGAAGAACCTGAGCCGGCACAAATAGCTACTGTCTTGATTAATCTTTCCTTTTCAAGTGTGGCTAAACGTACTATAAATATAGGGAAATATGAATATAATACAGCTTTTATTCTATGACACACATATTATATACTTTACAGTAGGGTAAACCAATTAATTTTTTGACGCGCTCTACTATAGTCATTAATTGTGTGGGTTCATCAAAAGTAAATAAACGACCTGAACCTGAATCTTCTTGACCTTCAGGGGGGTCTAGAGCGGGTGTGATGGGTTTACAGTGACCTTTACCAAGACCACTTGCTAACCAATCATTGACTAAATAATATGTAAATCACATGTCTCTCTCTCTCTTATACTATTCAATAGACTAACTTCTATACCTCCATTAACACAATTGTCACATGCTGTATGAGGAGAATAAATTCCAACACCACGTGCAATAGCTTTCAAGACAATATCTTGTTTAACATCGTCTAAAGTTAATCGTTTCATAGCCCTAAAAATAGGTGGATGATAGGACACGATGGTACCAATCTAACATACAGGAGGTATTAGATGAGTATTTACATTATATAATATTAATGTATATTTTATAATAATAATAATAAAAAAAAAAAAAACCTTGGGATCAGCAAGTGCTTTCTTCCAAAACTTGAGGAGTTAAATCAATGGTTAATAAAACTTAATTTTGCTTGGTGAAGGAAAAGGAGGCTCTAGATTTATATACATGTATATATAAAAGAAATTATAGATTTGAATCGATCAATTTTTTTTTTTTTTTTTTTTTTTTGGTGAATTTACCAACCAAGACACCAACATTATCCAAGAAGTTTCTGCAAGCTCCAAAGGAGCAATAGTTCTCATACAGCGTGTAACTTTTGATAAAAGTGACATATAAACAGGTTTACTGGTTAAAAAAAAAGAAAGAAAGAGAAAGGTAGAGAGAGAGAGTGTGTGTGTGTGTGAAAAAAAAAAAAAAAAATTCAAATATAAAAATGCTGAAATTGAATTTTCTCTAATAAAGCATAATAGCATCGAACCTGTTTATTAGTTTCTATGGTGAATCATAGAACAAGATATTTCCAAGATATGTGATTTATTTAGGATAAAAAGGAGGTAATAATCAAATATAGTACTTGATTATTCATCCATTATAGACCGTCTATATATAAAGAGAACGTTGAGTCAAGAAAATATATATTCATATACACATATTCTTTTTATATATATATATATATATATCCGTTTTAACAAATAAAATGAAAGACGTTATTGTGATTACAAAAGTGGATACTTTACTTGGTTATGCTCTTGCTTATCGTTTCCTTGAAGAATGGAATCGTAAAAAGTTAACAAGTCATATCGCTACTGAATTTCGATTGCTATGTCAAAACCGAGAAGGTCTAGAAGAATTAGAAATATTAGGAGGAAAGATTATTGAAATAAAGGATGAAAAAGATGAAAACGAGCTTCGTCCGATTCTAAGACAAGTGGCCTTTCTTATGTATCTTCCTAGTGATCACGAAGAACGTTTAAAGATTGGAGAAATGGTGTTTCGTTGTGCTAAAGAAGAAGGTGTTCAATATGTGTCCATGTTTTCATTGTAAAGTATCACGAAAAAAAGAAGAAAAAAAATTTTTTTTTTTGAATCTATACTAAATCTATCTTTTTATATATAGTATTGGCTTGGATCATCTTTCAGATCTTGACGAAAAAAGTAATCCATTTCCAAACTTGAAACAATACTATATGCTTGAACAAATGATGCCTAAATACTTTAATAAAGATTGTTACTGTATCTTTCGTTCTACTTTATGGCATCAATTCTTTTATTATTATGGTCCAATGATAGAAGATGAAAACAAAATCAAGTTATCTGTGAATAAGGATAGTAAATGGGGGTCAATTAATTTAATGGATCTTGTTGATGCTGTCTATTATCTTTCTTCTTCCCCTTATAAGAAAGATACGACGAATTCTCAATTTGGACAGAATTGTATCCAAGAATTAAGAAAAAAGAACAAGACCCTATTCCAATTTACCCCTAATGATAAAACAACCACAGCGGATCGACTCGCTAAAGCCATTAGTGAAGGTTTACACGCCAAAGAAGACATTCGATATGAAAAGGTCAAGTCAGAAGAGATAATCGACTATTTAAAACGTATTCAAAGGGATAATCGTTTTCGACATAGACCTGCTTCAGAGTCAATCCTCTTACGTCGTTCTGATCATCCCAAAGAAAGATCTTATACTTTCCCCTTAGGAAAATATTTGAATGATAACGTAATCCATTACTTGATTGAATATTGGAAGTTTGCTGATGAAGGCTATACTGATATCATTACTGATGATTTAAATGAATCTCTTGATAGAGATCCGGAAACAATGAAAGGCTCTTTAAAAATAACCGAGATCAATTTCAACGTCTTCGTTCAATATAAACATACCATGTATAAACATTATATATGATAAATTATAATAATTGACATTTAATGTATAATTACGTAATTTTAGTACTTGTTAATAAATAACTTGTGGTCTATAAGCGATATATTTATATACTCAACATTAGATTATTATTGGATCAACTATTACATAATTTGATAAATTTATTTTTTTTTTTTAAGTTCTGCATTAAATAAACAAACCATGATCTGTAATATAATGAAATTGTCGATGGTCAATCTCAGCTGCCATACCCTTTATAGTAAATTCCTATTTTTTTTGTAGCCCAGACTCCTCGGGTGTTTCCAAATTTGTAACAAATGACGCTATATTACTTGGATAAAGACAAGTGAAAATCTCATTATTTTGGTCTAAAAAAAAAAAAAAAAAAAATAAAAAATAAAAATAAAAAAAATAAAAATAAAAAAAAAAAAAATACATTTATTAACTTTTTAGATAAATTCGGATTTATTATTATTGTTATTTCTTTTTCTCTTTTTTCTTTCTTTCTATTTTATTATTATTATTATTATTAACAATAAATTTTTGACATTAAGAAAAATGAGTATTACATTTGAATCGCCTACAAGATATTTAAGTGATAATGATTCGAATACATCAGCACATAATTCACCTTTTATTAATAATACAATAACATCAACGAATAACAATGGATTCCCAATTGCAGCAACAGCATCAGCAACAGCAGCAACAACATCAGCAACAGCAACAGCAACAGCAAATAGTAACACAATAAATACAGCAGCAAGTGAAGCTATTTCTCGAGAATTTATGAATGCACTTCAAACTCGTCAACTTCATACTTCTTCTACAGGCTGGTCTAAAAAGACATTACCTCCATCTTTTAGACTTTATCAATATATTCTCGAGGATTTAGCTCCTATAGAGAGTGATGCAGTCAATGAACTCTTGAAATCATCATTAAAATTATTGATCATTGATGTTAGATCATTTTCTTATTATTCAAAGTGTCGAATTCGTACTGCAATTAATATTTCTATTCCTTCTGTCTTGTTAAAACGACCTTCTTACACATTAGAAAAAATAGCGGAGTCTATTGTTTCAAGAGAGGCCGCTGATCGGTTCATGCAATTTCATAAGACTGCTACCCATATTATCTTTTATGATCATGCTTCTTCAAAACCTAGTGATTCTGGTAACTCTGCAACTGCTATTTTGTTGGGATCAAAATTACGACAAGCTGGCTACAAGGGTCCATTAAATTACTTGCAAGGTAATTGAAATCAATATTATATATATATATATATATCGTATTAAATAGGCTACAAAATAATATTATAGGTGGATTAGATACTTTTAGTCATTTATATACTGAGCAATGTGAATCTGCCCCTTTAGAATCAGAACGAAGTAAAAGGATCAAGTCAAATGAACTCGTTCCATCAAATAAAATCATGGCTCTTCCTCTTCCTCTTCCTCCTCCTACACATATCGTATTGCCTACATCGAATAAAACTACTGTCGTTAATCCATTCTTTACTAATATTCGTCAAAATTTGGAATTATCTCATGGTCCATTACAAGAACGTTTTCATATTCGATTACCTCCAGGTCTTCATCATAAAGACGGTGTCATTAAAAATAATCATCATCATCATCCAACTATCAATAGTAGTAGTCCTCCCTGTTATCATCCAAGGTATGGTTTGGCTGGTAGTACTGTAGATGCTCAAGGTAACTTTATTTTACCTATTTGGTTAAGAGAAATGATAAAGCTTGATAATGGTCCAAAAAAGTTAGCTGAAATGTACGAGGTAAAAAAAAAAAAAAAAAAAAAAAAAAAAAAAATAAAATAAATAAATAAATGTAAAAGTTTGAATATTTAATGTATCACTAACATGTATGACATCATGGTATTCTATTATATAGAAGTTGGAACGTATAGAGCAAACTCGGCTGTCAACTATCATGAAATATCATACTCAGCATAATGATCGACCCTTCCCTTTTAGTATAGCTTCAAGTATGGAAAAAGGTGCATTAAATCGATATACAAATATTTGGCCATACGGTATGACAAATAATAATAATAATAATATCACCTATTTTTATATTTATATAACTTGCACGCATGTATAGAATATTCAAGAGTTAAATTAAAAAATAATAAGGATGACTACATTAATGCCAATCGTATACAATTTGCTAGCATTAAACAAGATATTCGATCTTCCACTCCTAGTAGAAATAATAGTAAACAAGAACTTGAACTTGAACAAAAGGGGCTCTTAAGTGAGACCTCTGTTTATACCATGAATAATTCAGCAACAGCAACAGATTTAATTTGTCAACGTCCTTACATCTCTACTCAGGGACCGTTACCTACTACTTATAATGACTTTTGGCGAATGGTTTGGGATGAAAACTCATCCGTCATCGTCATGCTAACTCAAGAAATGGAAATGAATAAGGTAATGAATAATAATAATAATAAAATGAAATAAAAATAATGAATCATCATCATCATCATCTTGATTCACATTTCTATCATTGTAGATCAAATGTCATCGCTATTGGCCATCTACTCTGGGTATACCACAAACGTATGGTTCATTAACAGTGACTCTCTTATCTGAATCAAAACAAGCGGTTCATAATCTAAATGACAAACGAGTTCATGAAGATGAATGTATCATCATTCGAAAGTTAAGTCTGTCATCATCATCATTAACCAGAGAAATCACACAGCTTCAATATATGGGATGGACCGATTTTGGTACACCAGATAGACCTTTAGGTCTCCTTCAAGTCGTTCATTTAGCAGATAAAGCACATGAAACGGAGGGACCCATGATTGTTCATTGTTCTGCAGGTTGCGGTCGTTCAGGCACCTTTTGTGTGATTGATACGATGATTCAACGACTCTGGCATGAACGAGACATTTTCACAAATCAGACCTCCATGCATGACTTGATCTGGGAGACGGTCTGTCGCTTTAGAGAGCAACGAATGAGTATGGTTCAAACGCATCGTCAATTTGTCTTTTGTTATGAGGCTATCCTCTGGTGGTTACTCGGTCATGGTTATTTGCCCAAGGAAGAACAAAACAGGACAGCAGGAGGGTCTCCAGGTCCTGATAATAGTAGTAGTAATAATAGAGTTATTAAACCATTAAGTCGAAGTGTTTCTCCAATCATAAGAGCCCGCTCATGGTAGCAGGTAGTCATCATACTACTGATGATGAACAGGGCTCCTCTTCTGTTGGAAGTATGTTAGATGATTTTAAAGAATTATTGTAAATAATAAATATCATATAAATATGTATGTATACACACACATATATATATAAATCATAACTATATATTTATTAATATAAAATAAAGGATTAATTTGTTTATATATATATGAAACAGAAAAACACACACACACATAAAGGGAAAAGGAATCTATACACAAAGCAAGTAAAAGAAAATATACAAATTAATTTTAAAAACGAGGAGCAACGATATTTAATCGAGTAACTCGTCTCTTTGGCACTTTTTTATGTCGAAAGGAAGAGGTATTGTTAAGGGATTTCTATAGGGTAAACTACGGAAAGTAAAGTGTGAGATAGTGTCAGTTAAAGGAGATAAGGTATAATTCACTGTAGTTAATTGTGATAATTGTCGCACCATTCGATTTTCAAATGGTTTCAAAATAACTGTCTTTTCTTCTTCTGTGAAAAAATAATCAGTATCATTATTGTCTTGAGTATGAAAAGAGAACGATGTAAATTCCGAAATTTCTTCTTCTGCTATTGATGTTTCTTCATAATAACAAGGTGCCTCTAGTTGACTTATGCTGTCTTCTTGTGATGGTATAGAAACTGTATAGCCTAATTGAGGTGTTATAAACTGTCGATTATGTGTAAATAAATTAGCCACAGTTATTGGTGCTGTTGGCTTTTTATTCAATTCAGGATGATAATAACATAGATTATCTGTTGAAAAATCAGTTATTGTAGGAGTCATGATAGTAGAACTTGAGGATAAATAATCATCCATAAAATGAGTATCATAGCCATCATCTGTCATTAAACTTGGTGTATATAAACTACTTGTTTGACTAAAATCTAATTCTGGTAAACTAAGATCATTATGACTAGAAAATGTATTTGATCTAACTCGCATAAAAGACGATGATGAAACTGAAAAGGCACGACGTAAACAAGGTTCTGATAAACAGATAGAAGAAGGTCTCTCTTCTTGCTGTTGCAATAATTTTAATTGACGTTCTTCTTGCTCTTTCTTTCTCTTCTTTTCTTCTTCTAATTGAATATATTTTAAACTCAAGTTATGAATCATGACTGGTAAATCTTCTTGTAGCATATTCCTTAATTGTGCTTCAATTTGTCGTTGTAAAAAGTCACGCAGGATTGAGATAGAATCAAATGTAGAACTGATACGAATACTTTCAAGTGGATCATTTTTAAATACAAGTGTCACTCCTTTTGTCTTTGAAACAACCAATACCACAATACCTCGTAATTTAAGATCACTAATACGAAGGACCATAGGAACTACGAGTGGTTGATCAGCGGCCAATACGCTTGGCCTAGAATGGCGTGGTAGTTCAGATGTTTTTGCATGCATTGGATTTGCCTAGAGAGGAAAAGGATAAATTATGAGTCATGTTATGAAGATAAAAAAAAAATAAAGTCACTTTACTTGAACTTTTGTTTTTATCTCTATATAGGCATCACCAGCATATTTTAACTTGAAAATACCTCTGAATTTGTCATTCACAAGTTCTCCAATTTCTAATATTTCTAATTCTGGAGGCTAATAAAAACATTCATTAAGAGAGAACAAAAAAAAATTTTTTTCTTCATATATTTTTACAAAGATAATTTACCTTTGTGCCCATATGTAATTCTTTTACTGTAATATGATCAACAATTACAGAAGGTTTATTTCCTTTGTTCATGGCCGTTTCTAATTGTGATTTTGCTTCTTTATAAAATTCATTGTCAAATTCAGGCCAATTAAATCGGAATGCCATTGTTCTATTTCTTTTATTCTGTTATATGAGGCAGTTATATTATTTACAAGTAAAGCAGAGAGAGAGAGAAAAAAAACAAAAAAAAAAACACTATTCTACAAAAAGAAAAAAAAAATTAAAAAAAGGAAAGATTTGCGGGGGTAGTAACCAGACTTAGACTTTTTTTTTCTTTCTTTTTCGTCTGTAGTACAGGCTCCCTGAGTGCTTAGAATGAAATTTGAAAAAAAAAAAAAAAAAAAAAAAAAAAAAAAAAAAAAAAAAAAGCTTGTTATGTACTATTCCGTTATGGGCAGCTTCATGAGTTTTATTAGTTATTCAATCATTTTACTTTTAAAGTATTAGGCTAAACTTGTTATTATTATTAGTCACAAATTTCTTCTCCTTACTAAAAGCCCCGAAGAATCAATCACCTCATTAATAAAAGAAAATGGATGCTAAAATTTTCTTGCCGTTTTAGAAAATATTATGACTCAATTTTACTACTTGAAATGTCAAAGTATTTTAAATAGCTCGAATATGATGTGGGTAAAAATATCGAAATAATTTAATTTCCGCGTAGAATATACGTCATCAGTTCGGATATTGATTTTCACTCGTAAAAAATAATAATAAAAATAATAATAATAAAAAATATCGAGGGTGGGGCTGAAGGGAGGGGTAAAGTTATTGTACTGCCTATATACATTACTCTTGAAGCCCCGCATTTTATTCTTTTTTTTTGTTTTTTTTTAACTTATTATCTCCCCACTCTTATTTATTATATAATAACGAACATGGCCTCATTGTCACGTTCATTCGCATCTGCCATTGCTAACCGTTCTTATACAAATGTTCCTGCCTCTGCAACTGCATTGAAACGAGTTTTTAGCCTTTCTTCCAGCAAAGAAGATGAGCAACAAGAAGTTCACAACAGTCAACCCTTGTTCAGTACACCTATTAAGCATCGATCTGCTGGCGGTTTAGTTAATAGATCAACTGTTAATGGTATCTTATTATAAAAACGTATTATGCCATTGAAAAAAAAAAACAAACTAAGTTTTATAATTTATATATATATATATATAGTTGGAACTATTAATGATTTCCAATTACGTCGTAACCATACTACTTCCATTCCCGACTTCTCCAAATATAAAAAGGACAAGACAAGTGGAGAAGCTAGCCGTAACTTTTCATACATGATGATTGGTGCTACTGGCTTAATTTCTGCTGCTGGTGCACAAGCAACTGTATCTGATTTTTTGGCCAACATGTCTGCTTCTGCTGATGTCTTGGCCTTGGCTAAGGTCGAAGTTGATTTGGCCTCGATCCCTGAGGGAAAGAATGTGACGATTAAATGGAGAGGAAAGCCTGTTTTTATTCGTCATCGTACTCAATCTGAAATTTCTGAGGCTAATGAAGTTAACATTCAAGAACTGCGTGATCCTCAACAAGATGTTGAAAGAGTAAAGGATCCTGAATGGCTTGTTATGTTGGGTGTCTGTACCCATTTGTAAGTAAAGAGGAAGAAGAAGAGAGGAAAAAAAACAAAGAGATAGAGAGAGAGAATAGAAACTAAACTTACATTATATATTAGGGGTTGTGTACCTATTGGTGAAGCTGGTGATTATGGTGGATGGTACTGTCCTTGTCATGGTTCTCACTATGATATCTCTGGTCGTATTCGTAAGGGTCCTGCTCCACTCAACCTTGAAATTCCCGGTAAGTTTTATAATTAGTGATATTTGAATACTTGTAACTTAGTTTTTTTTTGTGTAATAAATTAGAATATAACTTCTCGGACAATAAGCTTATTATTGGTTAGATCTATTTATATTAAAGAAAATAAATTGGTTTTTGATTTGTTTATAATATATTATGTAATATTTAATAATAAGACATAGTATACATGTATTATTATTAAGTTGGTTATCAATAGCATACAGACGCATTATAATATCTAAAAGAAGGTCAGAACAGGGTTAGTTGTTGTGCGGAGATTCAAATTATAGTTTTAATTTATGGTTTCAAATGAAATTTCCCCTTCCTCCTTTTAATTCTTTTTATATATGTTTATATTGTATTAAATCTATTAATTACTACTATTCTTTCCTTTCATTATATATTATTAACACGTATACACATACATACATACATACATACATACATACATACATACATATCGTCATTGTAGTATTATATTAACATTTAAAAAGAGATCAAAAAAAAAATAATGGACACATTGTCTATTCAGTCATTTCCAACTCATGTACTTTTTAAACAATCTATTGTCATCATACATTATATATCTATGGTTATTGCATTTCTCGGCTGTCATCCTTTATTATTAACACAACAACTACGAAGACAGAAGATATACATTCAAAGTATCTTTATATTATTTGCTTTGATCGGATTTATTTCTGGATTTTTCATTATCACTTTGCGGCAACTACAAAAAGGCATCTTTATGATTGTCTTTGTTTCATTATTCTTTCTTGTATTCACTCAAATACTAGTTTCAATCTATCGATTTAAACGACGGATAATTTATTTTAAAAAAAATATACCAAAATGGGTTGATTTAGCATTGGCATGGCTTATTTTGTTGGCAGCCGTAAGTTATCTAAGTTATACTGCTCTTTTATTTACAGAGAGTTGCCCGAGTGATAGTCATGACGACAGCAGCTATCATCCAGCCTCATGTATCATGCCAGTTACTATGGGAACAGGTTTCCTTGTCTATGGAACCCTCATCTTACTACATCTGCTTTCTATTATCCATATACCGCGTCCTTCTACTCCAGAATATTATGAAGGCATCATTATCACCTTCTGGGGATTTATTAGTTTATTTTTGGCTGGTATATATATATATATTTGATCCTCATTCTTGACAATGATATGCTTACTTATTCTATTTTATATTTAGATACACCTATTATAGGATCGGAATGGCGGGCAATCTTTAGGTCTATTATGGTTTACAGGTGGTGTGTTTTCAATTAGTTTAAGTGTACAAACATGGATTCCAGCTCTTAGAGAAAGAACATAATAAATGCCTTTATTATATGTTTAACAGGCAGAGGTAGTCATATTTTTAGAAACTTATACATATATTGATATATATATATATTTTGTCTGCTATAATAGCTATTGTTAGAGGATTAACTCAAACAGATGATCCTTACTGCAGAAGTACACACTATGTTAGGTTATTTATTCATTATCGGAGCCATAGCTCGCTTATTCAAATTATATTTCGTAAATCACCAGCTGATAATTTACCCCATCGAATGTTTCAACCACATACAGATACAACTAATTTAATAGATGATGATGACGATGACAATGATAACACACTTTTATCAACACCAAGTCATTATCAAAGAAATGTAGACACAAGTTTATTTTCGCATCCATTACACTTGTTACAGGATTATTAGCATCTCTTTTATCGATTTGTGGAGGAATTTTATTGATGGGATCCAATGTGGGTTGGATTCGTTATATGCGATTTTATATTAAAGATCCGTCAACTTATGTCAATTTGATATTAGCAGCTGCATTTCTATGGTCTACTTATGTATTCTTACTCTGTACAATATATAAAAAGTTTAAAAGTAAGAAATGCAATTCATCATATGAATATATTGAGCTCAATAATAGTGAAGAGAGACAGCAGCACAGCAACATCAACAACAACAACAATGTCATCATCATCATTATCATCTTATTTCGAGGATGTTGAAAGGAAATCTTCTTCAGTAGACAGTATACCATCATTATCGTCTACTACTACTACTAATAATAATCATCATCCAATCACTTTATCTCCCACATTATTACCATCATCATCCAATACCTTACCATCTACAACAGTAACAATGCCATTATTTGAACAGCGATGATAATAATATGGAGAAAACAATCCGTCCATCAGAATATCGTGCTAAACGACGTTCGCTTCTCTTAACCCAGAATTCTACTGTGAATCATAATAATAATAGTAATAGTAATAGTAGTAATATTAATAATAAAAGAGTGAGACGACTATCGAATAATTATGGAGTAGGAGTATATTGCCTGATGATTGTGTGATATCACCAACAAGTAAACAATCATTCTATTACGCTGCTGCTGCTGTTGATAATAATAGACGTTCATGGAGGTCTTCTATGACGACTACTACAGGATCATTCTCTGTAGGTTTTTATTCAGAAGAAAACGAAGAAGAAGAAGAAGAAGGAAAGAAATGTATCCTCTATATCAGAGCAAAGGTCTTCTCCTTGTACATCTTCTCAGTTAGAACAATATAATATGGTGATAATGATAATGAAATAACATCTTATATGAGGAAGGTCAGTTGTGTTATAAAACAAAAAGTGGGAAACGAAAGGAAGAACAACTAACATCTCGTTATTCTAATATACTGAAGAAGAAGATTTTTATGTTAGTAGTAGTGGTTATCTTCAGGAGAAGCAAAGATGACCAAAATAAACAAACCAAAAAAAAAAGGATAAACACATACACAACACATACACATATATAAATAAATATGTATATACCACTCTTTTTATTTATTTATTTATTTTTTTTTTTAATCAATTATTATGCTTCTTGTTGTTGGTTTTAAACCTGTAATTTATGTCTGCGCTTTATTTTCCCCAATTAAAATAAAATTTCACATTCATAATAAGAAGCGAAACAAGATTGATTTAATGGATAAAATATATAAATACAACTATAAGATTCCATTTTGTTTATTTTTTTTAATCTTTTTTTTTTCTTTATATTTTTTTTTAATCTTTATATTATCTTATCTGATATGCAAATTCAAGTTTTATACAGACTCTTTAAGTTCGGATGATTCATTTGAGTGGAGCAGTGATTCTGTTCCAAAGACAAAGAGAAAAATAACAAGAAAAAGTAAACATATAAACATATTTTACTTCAATCGTATATTTCTAATAGAAGTTACTTTATTTTATACAGCAAAGACAATAAAAAAAAACCTACTTCAGCGGGTATTTAATTAACAAAAAACAAACAAAAATTAAAACCGAATTGCCCGATCTGTGATTTAAACTGAGCTTTTTTTTTTTTTTTTTCATAGCTTCTACCATTAAAAAACCAAAGAAACCTGGACGAAAGCCTATGGTGGAATCTTCTGATGTATGAGTATAATATCATCTTTTCAATATCTGAAACTTAACTTTTTTTTTTTTTTTTTTTTTTTTTTTTTTGTATAGGAGTTACCACTGACCCTAAATTAAAAAGAAAAGCACAGAACCGTGCAGCCCAAGAGCTTTTAGAGAACGTAAAAACAATTTGTAAATGAATTGCAGGCACAAATACAGAATTAAAGGCAGCTAAGGAAAAGCGTGAAAAGGAACTTTCAAGAGAGAATGCTCGTTTGAAAAAGGAAAATGAAAGATTAAAGGAAGAAAATTATATTCTGAAGGATGCAAAGTTTACATTTGAATTCCTCATAAAACGTTAGGGAATGACGTAAGAAGGAAATGTTTAAAACAGAGGAAGAGTTACAAGTAACGACGAATACAATGAATATACAACCTGTTATTCATGATGAGCAAGTGAACATAATATCACAAGAGGATATTTCTGAGTTATCATCCTCACCTTTATCTGAAGCTACTACCACTTTCTCTGTATCTGATACATGTGCTAATAATAACGATTGTTGTTGTCATTTTTCAGAGAGCTTGAGTTCAGCTATGTTTGACTCTGAATCCTCAAATACAGATTGCCTCACTTCAAACGCTGTAACAACAACAACGACAAACAACAACAACAACAACAGCAGCAGCAGCAGCAGCAACAGTAGCAACAACATCAACAATACCTAATTTTACTTTTGCAAGCCAAACACCCACATCTGACCTATTCCATGGCAAAGATAATAATTTATTCTTAACAGATTATCAGTTACCTTTATTAAATACAGCACCAATCGCCATGGATAATAGCTTTTCAATGATAAATGATTCATCATTTTCAGCATATTTGGAACAGATGGTTTGTTAGATACTACTATAATAACGTCTTGAACCCTTTCATACTACTGCCGACTTGGATCCATTATTTTCTGAGCAAATGCAAGCTCTCTTTGAACAACATCGTAATAGCAATGACCCCTTTTTGAAATGTGCACCGAGAATGAAAAACCATGTAAAAAAAAAGTGATTCATGTCTTAAAAAATGCTAAAGGGGCCAATCGACGAGTTTATCAAGTGAATCAAGACGTCAAGAGTTATTGCCCAAATATTGACTTGGATCAATTATGTGATGATTTAAAAAAAAAATTCGTTTGATTCAAACCATATTTTAACGGATGAAGATGTTTGATTTATATATTGAATGTATTCAACGTCGAGTCTAAAATTATATCATTATAACCCTTCTTCCCCCACTCCTCTCCTCTTCTCTCCTCTCACTTATACTTTCCCTTTTACTACTCTAATACTATTTATCATTATACATTTAGTTGCTTTGTTTGTCTTTATTTTTTATTTACTACTTATTATTTTATTTTATTTTATACATCTTAATTCAAATTAAATAAAAAATGAAAAAATAAAAAAAAAATAAAAAATCAGATAAGATGGTTTTTTAGATATTATAAAATGAAACACAAGACGATCATTTTTTTTATTTTATAATTACAGAATTTGATAGACAGCTACCAGCAGAAAGCTGAACTTGTAACCTGAGACAATTTGGAAATTCTTTTAGCGAAATGAATTTGAGGTTGAAATTCGTTGTTCTTTTTTTTTTTTTTTTTAAGATATTTTACCAACAGATAAATAATTTGATAAACAGAGTCTTATTCCTAATTATAATGACCTCTTAAATAATTTGTCGGCTCTATCTTTTTCTCTTTTAAGATAAGATAAGAGGTGAATATTATAGGAGTTTTTTTTTTTTTTTTTTTTTTTTTTCTTTAGCAGTTTCACCTTGTTCTTCATTCCCTTCCTTTCTTTTATTATTATCCATGTTCTTCAATTCTATTTTATTCTTCCATTAGCCAGACCGTTGTTATTATATTAATATTATGTTATGACAAGCTTTTACACTCGAAAAGAGCATTTTTTTTAGGTGTATTGATCTATAAAAATGATAACATTATACATTTGTTATTGTTCCTAATTTCAAAATTTAAAAGAAAAAAAAATATTTCCCCTCAATATTTTCTTACTAGCAAAATGATGAGTTTCTGTAGAATATAAATCAGAATAAATACATTTTATTGTATAAGAATAAAGTTTTTTTTTTTTTTTTTTTTTTTTTATCCGAATGTGTAACTCCTTAATCGAGATGACTACTATGTTATATAAAATATTTTATTTTTGATATTGAAGGCTTTCTTCTATACAGTGTTTCGCGTTTGGAAATACAAAAAAAATTAGAAGGTAAAAGTAAATCGGATAAAAGGTTACTGAAAATCGGGCTTTCTGATTTGCCTTTTTTTTCTGGGACTGATCACAGCACAAACAATGAATATATATCTCGATAAGATTAAAATCGACCAATTAGACGTTATTATTCAGTACAAACAGAATGATCAGATGAAACAAATCTGACGTATTTATTGTGTCAAAAAACTGAAGTAACAAGCATGTCAGTCCCAATATTCATTAAAATATAAAATTGTGTAGATCAGAAATTCATGTCAAGACTAATTCAACATCACACCTACGTATTTGATCGTTATATAATATATTGCCCGTTGCGCTAGTTATCGTAGTGAAAGAGTTTTTTTTTTTTTTTTTTTTTTTTAAATATTAATTTTGAACAGCAATTTGATATAAATAGCAATCGCACACATTTGTTGGAAATTAACTGTAAATACTAGACCAAATCTTGTATTTTATCTCATCTAACTTCTATCAAAGAGCACATGAAAGAAAAAAAAAATCCAATGAATCCACTTGTGGTACTAGCGTATTATATGACAAGCCGATCACAGCGTCTTGAGTCTCTGGTTTATAATACGATTAAATTATGGGTTTATTATTATTTTAATTTAAATTTTTTGGCAATGAGCATGAAGTAACGAAATAAATGCGCAATATTGCCAGAGCCAGTTATAGAGGGAAATAAGAATAAAAACCTTCCTAAAGGACAAGAAGGAAAAAAAAAAAGAGCATTATTTTGGAATTAAGAGAAAATATAAGGAGGAAAAAGCAAAAAAAAAGTGAGAAGAAACAATTTAAATACAAATAAGACCAAAGTGACCAGGAAGACACACACTATTACTTGGATAACCAATTTAACAGCTTGAGACCAGGATCGACAGGATCAGGAAGAAATTCATTACGGAAGTAGTAATCAAGTTCATGTATGGTTTATAATACGATTAAGAATTATTTTATTTATAACAAAAATTTAAACAACCCATGTGAGCACATAATACTGGCAGTATTGGATTGCCCGGATCAGTTCGAGAAAGGAAAAAAGTGTACTAAAAAACCTTTTGATAGGCAAAAGGGTAAAAAAGAAAGAGAAGGGAAGAGGAAAAGCAAGATATATCAATAGATACTAGATTCAGAATTACATAGCCAGTTTACAAGTTTTGTACCAAGGGTAGGGTATGTTTATAATACAGTGCTTTGGGTTTGGAAATAGGATTTTGGGAAAATAATAATAGACATTTTTGTTTGGCCAATATAAATGTTTGAGCTCAATAGAATTTTTGCAAGACTAGTAGAAATTTTTGATCATCAATAGAGAGATAATTGATTTTTATTATAATTCAGGAAAACTCAACAACGCAGCAAGAGTTTCTTCCTTTGGAACAGCTGTTAAACCAGAATTTTCCTTTTTCATTTCCATATCAACACGTTCTTCTTCTTTCAGGCATAAAAATAACGTAGCAATTAGTTCAAACATTTTTACCCAGTTAAAACGGTCACTCCAGTTTGTAGGGATAACTGCAGATCTCAATTCAACAAACTTCCATAATCGGTCTTCTTTCAAGTTCATTTTGGAGAGAGTGACTGTATCTTTGATTACTTGAACACCAAAAGTTGATTTTTTCAAGGCTGTTTTGAATCGGCTATTCTTAAAATGACGAAGGATGTAACAAAGTGCACCATTGCATTCGACTAAGAGCTTTAAGGTGTCTTCAAGAGTATGACTAATATTCTCTTGTAGTAAACCACTGGAAGATTCAATAAACAGAACTTCGGAGTTATTGGCTTTTCCAAGACCATCAGCATATTTCGCATCTGTACTTCTTGATTCATAATCAACTTCAGAGATTTGTGCGTATTTTTGAGTTTGAACTAGCTTTTCACACCACGAGAAATCAAGCATACCGGTTTCTTTAGATAGGTATTTAAACATGGGTATGACATATTCAACAAATGGAGTTCTCTCATGGTTGCTGTTGAGGACCATTGGCTGTTTACAATTACAATGAAAGTCTGTTAAAGTGTATGATATAATATTGGCAAGATATTTAGTGTTGGTATCTATTGACTTGTGAATCAAATGGCTCCAAATTCTACATGGGAATTCAGTAAAGTCATAGTTCAGGACGTCATCCAGAAAATCCAGGATATTATTGATTTTTGACAATGATTTGTTTTCCTCCTGCATTTTACAGTTTTCCTTAAATTCCTTCATTGTATCTGTATCCTTATAGTTATCATCATTCTCGAGAGACTCGATCCCTAAAGAACATAAATCAGCTATGGTTTTTCTATCTACTTTTTGAATTTTGGGTTTGTGCGGTGTTGATAAGCATGATAATGTTGAATTTAAAATAAATCTTTTTTGGTTCTTTTCCATAATTATGCATTTTGCACTAGGTTCGTGTAATTCATATTGAGTACTTGATAAACTTGTTTTGTGTGAACTACGTGATGTAGCTTGCTCACTTTGTCTGGCATTGGAGATATCAATTAATACTTCTGACCTATACTGTTTGATAGAAGTGTGTGTCATGTCTACACCTAAAAGTTCGGCTTCTTGCGCTGTTCTCTTCTTTGCTTTTTTTATCTTGATGTTATTTAAATACTCTTCATTCTCTTTTAAAACAGTATTCGCTTTTAGAATTAATTTCTTTTGAAAAGGTTTTTTGGAACAGTATTTATAAACTTCTTTGAGATATTCCTTGGTAACTTGATTTAAATCAATATCATTTTTGTGTCTAGTGGCTAGCGAATATAACCCTTGAATCAAGTTATTGTAAAAGTGCTTAAGATCAAGTTCAGAAAGAGTTTTGACAGGGATTGTATTAACGTGTTCCAATGGGTCACAGATTTTACCTATGGGACCGTTAAGAATATAGGGCTCAAACTCTAGCTCATGTCTTATCGCCTCTGGTATCACATAATTTCTTGAAATGGTACGCGGTAGTTTTGGCTTGGTCATTGTTCAAGGTTTATTAATTAAAAAATAGAAATCCAAAGACGCAACAAGCTCTCAAAAAAAAAAAAAAAAAAAAAAAAGTATGTACCTGAATGCTATAGTTCTAAGCGATCATTAAATAAAACATATGACGTAGTAGGGTAACACTGCAAATAATTGCAAATATCACCATACATTCCCCTTGGTAGAAGTACTAAAATTCCCCATGTGAAAGTACTACTTTTACCACAACTTTTTGGAAAATGAACTTTTTATAATTATTTTTACACCATTCGAAATTGCTCAATTTCCTCATTTTAAAACTATTTTTTTTTTGTTAGATTTGGTCAAGAATTCATGGAGATATTAACGTTTAAAGTTCTTTTTGTTTATTTTGTACATTACATTCCACAATTTTTGGTAAATTTTTTGCACGATAATTTTTAAATAACGAAATTTCTACAGTTTAATTAATTTAACTGGCTAAATTCGATTCTTCCTTTTTTTTTTTTTTTTTTTTTTTTTTTTTTTTTTTTTTTTTTTTTGCAAGTAATTAATATTACCAAAATAAGCAATGTAAAATTACGATCATCATCATCATCATCATCATCATCATCGTCATCGTCATCAGCAGCAGCAGCAGCAGCATTAATACCATCTTCACCACCACCTTCGTCACCATTTGATTTTTTAAACATTGTATACCGTTAAAATTAAATATTATAAAAAGTGTTATATGAAAAAAAAAATAATATAATTCCAGGAGGTTAAATATTGTAAACAAAATAATTTAATAAAGCCCTTAATATAAGCTGCTGCTTAGCAAAGACAGCCTTTTATTAATTAATTTATTATTTATTATATTTTGTTTTTTGAAACATAAAGCTAGAATGCTAACAAATCACCTGATGACAATTCATACAATGCAATATTAATGAATAAGAAATGGCAATTGTTAACCTTGCAATTATGCTTATACAATTATATATAATTTATTGAAAGAATAATAGTTTAATAAATATCTGTTTCTGTCAGTTTTGAATTGTTTTGTATTTATTTTGTTCTTTATACATATTCGACTATCTATTTTCTGTTGCTTTTTAAGTTTTAGTTAATAAATAGTCTAATAATTATTACGTTGTTAAATTCATAAAGCTTTTATTAAGCATTTATTAAAAAAAAATAATAATCTAAAGAAATTTCATTTATTGAAAAAATTAATCTAACGTTTTTGGGAATAAATCAAGCTCTATTGCCATCTGAATTTCAAAGAGGCATGAAATATATTATAAACACAACAAATAAAGAAGTGTTGAATTTAAATAAATGACCCATAAAAGGATATAAACGATGCTCATATACTAAAAATATAAAGGATCAAGCCAATAAATGCTCTATCCGTAAATTAAAAAGTGGTAAAGTAGGTCTATACCATGGTAAATGTTGTAATTTCATCATAGATTCACCATGGTGAGAGTTATAATAATATAAATTCCCCATGGTAAAGATGGTTAATTTAACCATGGGAATTTATGGTAAAGATGGTTAATTTGACAATTGTCAATTTTTGGTAGCATTACTACTCCGATTATAGGGAATTTGTGGAAAAAGCACTAAAATCCCTATAATTTCACCATGGTGAAATTAGGTAATTATCTCCAGTGCCTGCAACAAGCTCTCAAAAAAAAAAATATGTACCTGAATGCTACAGCTCTAAGCGATCATTAAATAAAACATATGACGTAGTAGGGTAAAAAAATTACGATTTAATTAAATAAAACCCCTGCAACAAGCTCTCAAAAAAAAAAAAGTATGTACCTGAATGCTATAACTCTAAGCGGTCATTAAATAAAACATATGACGTAGTGGGGTAAAAAAATTGCGATTTATTTAAATAAAATCCCTACGTGTGTGTTTTTTTTTTCTTTTCATTACCAAGCCTATAAATCCAAAGGGAAACACCCTCTTCAGTCCTTGTTAAACCAGACAAAAGCCAGTCCTGGAAGGGAGGGGGAGGTCTCTGTAACTTTTGGTTGGTATGCAGAATCATCTAGCGTTTGTGACGTGACGGTGGGGCTCGCCGATGTTCTGTGGTAATGAGTTTTGCTAGTAATTAAAAGCCTATAAATCCAAGGGGAAACACCCTCTCAGTCCTTGTTAAACCAGACAAAAGCCAGTCCTGGAAGGGAGGGGGAGGTCTCTGTAACTTTTGGTTGGTATGCAGAATCATCTAGCGTTTGTGACGTGACGGTGGGGCTCGCCGATGTTCTGTTTAATTGACCTAGCAACTTTTCTGATTAAGAACATGTAATAAGGCAAGTTGCATTTTTTTTTTTTTTTTTTTTTTTTTGTAATCCTATATGTCAATTCTAATTATATTAATTTTATACTCTTTTACATTTTCCGAGTTCCTACAAAGCTTTTTTTTTCGCACTGAATCTGTAGTAAAGAATAAAAAGTCAATAGAAGCTCTTAGTCGAATGCAATGGTTTTGTTACATCCTTCGTCATTTTAAGAATAGCCGATTCAAAACAGCCTTGAAAAAAAACTTTTGGTGTTCAAGTAATCAAAGATACAGTCACTCTCTCCAAAATGAACTTGAAAGAAGACCGATTATGGAAGTTTGTTGAATTGAGATCTGCAGTTATCCCTACAAACTGGAGTGACCGTTTTAACTGGGTAAAAATGTTTGAACTAATTGCTACGTTATTTTTATGCCTGAAAGAAGAAGAACGTGTTGATATGGAAATGAAAAAGGAAAATTCTGGTTTAACAGCTGTTCCAAAGGAAGAAACTCTTGCTGCGTTGTTGAGTTTTCCTGAATTATAATAAAAATCAATTATCTCTCTATTGATGATCAAAAATTTCTACTAGTCTTGCAAAAATTCTATTGAGTTCAACCCTTTCATTTAGTTTAGAGCTAGAGATAATCAAAGCTGTTGGCAAGAGATTTTTTCTATTTCATAAACCAAAATACAGTATCGAATAATTTTTAATATTGAAGCTTGGCTAATTTCGTTTTGAATAGTAATAACTTCTGGCGCGTATCTTTTATCATTTTCATTCTGTGAGGAACAATATATAATAAATAATCCTTTAGCATCAGCTCAATCAAACTAATAATTCTCTGAAACGTGTCTACATATAAAAAAATTAAATTCTTCGATAAAACAGCATATATTTTTTTTATGAGAAACCAAACACAAATACCAAGCAAGTGAATTGATTAATTAGATTTATGTTTTTTTTTTAATATTTAATAAAAGCTTGTTTGCAAGATCCTCATCCGACTTCTAGTTCAAATGTAAAGTAAAAGTATCCAATTCTTCATCTATAAGTAAATAAATTATATAAACAGTTTTACCGCTGAATAGAACTAAAGTCAAATTGCAAATTATCATTGACCTCCTCAGATATTTTTTTGCACAATTTGGTTTTTTAGTCTAATTGGTTCGATTATTAGCTCTGATCAGTCCAGAAAAAAAAAAAAAAGAAACCGAATTTCAGTAACCTTCTAATTTTTTTTCTTTTTATTTTCAAACGCGAAACACTGTATGTTCTAATCTATCAATCTACGATAAATTAATCACTTTTAAGTTTATTTTTTTTTTCGATTTATGCAAAAGGAGACTTTCTATATTACTGAAATATATGTAATTTGATACCATTTAAATATTTATCAACTTGGAATATAGTTTACACTATACTCAAATTTAATATAATATTAGTTTTTTTCTCATTTCAACATTATGTAATCATCTAGACATAAGTGCTACTATTACTACTACTACTACTACAAGTAAATATTACAAGTTACACAAATATTCCCCGACCAAGATATAATATAAGAACAATCACTATCAGAAGAACAGCAGAATTTAACTGGATCAAACTATATATTTGACTATCTTTAATTAATAAGAACCTGTATAAATATCTATTGTATTGTTTGGATGGTATTGTGTATCAAAAACTAAGCTTTGATTCGTGCTCTTAATTACTTTTATAGTAACTCAACAAATCGCATTTTAAATAATAATAATAATACTTGTACAATAAGCTTTTAAAGAGAAAGCTGGAATTGGTTTCTAACTATTTTTGAATAATAGTCAATATCTTATAGTGTTTTTTTTATTGCAGAGTATGCATCAATAAAGGTTGTAACTGGTCTTAAATTAGAAGCTTTTTTTTAAAAAAATAAAATAAAATAAAGGCAGTAGTCCCTGAACTAAATTTTGCTGACCAGAACTTGTATATGCTGCATTATAATAAACAGCACTATAATAAGAAGCATTATTATTACACATAAATTATGCACAATTATCCTTTCTATAAAACTCAACAGTCATCTTATTTAGTGATATATTGTAAAATATATTAGTAGGACACGGTAGTGCTAATATAATAAGCTGATCTGAATTGCTTTTATATATAAAAAAGAAGAATAAAATAAATAAAAAGCTACCCTTGATATCCTTTTTTTTTAAATTTATTTTTGTGCACAGATATAACTATTTTGTTAATATACCTTCCACATATATTAGAGAAATCAATGTACAACGTTTAACTAATGTAAAATACAGACATGATTTGTATTTCTGGCAAAGTAGCTTTTTTTCTCAATAGCAAAAAGCAAGTAAGAATAATGCCATAAAAATACAATAAAAAGTCGGAAGATTTGGTATGCATGTTTTGAAATTGATTATAAATGTCAAGGTCATCTTTAATAAGCGCATTATGACAGGAATTTATCTTTATAATGGACAATGCAACTCTTTATTTCGATATTTGTAATTATAGATATGATTTTCCATAATTTTATAATACTCGTTATTTGTTGATCTAATCGAACCATTCTAGTCGAAATTTAAGATCGATATATGTATATACATATATATAAAATAGGAATATCTTACCATAGAGCATAATATTAACCTGTTGCTGGTAGCATTCAAGGATTGCCATAAATAGGTTAAGCATCATGTATTTCCCTTTTTTTATAATTGTGTTGCCCATAAACGCATGCGTAAAATAATCAATTGTTATACGCAACCTAAACAATTTCAACACGCAATCTCTAATTATTTTTATACAAGTAAAAGCGAATATTAGAACATGTAATTACTAACGTTCCAAATATCCTCAAATCAATTAATAGGCGAACATATTAAAGGAATACATTGAAAAAAATTAGTCCTTTTAGCAAACATAATTCCTCATAGATTTGATATATAGCATAGCATGATTATTATTGAAACATCATTATTATTATTGGTTACCAATATACTAGCTTATAATATATGCATTTCCTTTTTATACTTTCTATCTTTACATTTTTTTTGGTCCTATATGCCCGAAAGGAAGAGAGGAGTTGTTTTTCTACTTTCTATATTATGAACTAGTCTGAGTGAATTTAGTGGTTAAAACAGCTTGCGCTCAATTGGACTTTACAAAATTAAATAAGGTTTACTTTTTTTTTTATTTTTTTTGTAAAGAAAAATTAAAACTGGTGCACAAAAACTAAAAATAACATGCAAAAAATAAAAGATAGATATTTGTATATTTGTGCTGCGAAAAAAAAACCAATAATCAGTGTAAGTTTGTGTAATAGATAAGCGTTTTTTTTTATATGAATGGGTACTTTTTTTTTTCTATACTGTTATACACGGATATTGAAATAGATTTATTGATTTTCAGATCCATAATAGACATATTTAGGTTTAATATATAAGATGCCTTTGTTTACTGATAGAAAAGTCTATTACTCTTAATCAAGAATATAATAGTAAACGAGATTCATGTTATTATAATAAATAAAGCCTAATAAACTTAATTTTCCTTTTTTTTTTCTTTGGGTTTGCAACCAGCAAATTATTGGTTACATGGAGAAGAAAAGTTCCAATCATTTAACAGATCAGCTTTAACTCATATTCTGTGTAATGTTCATCAGTTAACTAGATACCTTCTGAGTCTAGAAAACAAAATTGCTATCACAAAGAAATACTGATATATTATGTAATTAGAAAAAGAGAAAATTGTATGCGTGTGTGAAGGAGAGAGAGAGATAAAGTATGACTTTCTTCTTCACTTTCTATAATAAAAATCTATCCAAAATAAAAAAAAGAAAGATATTACTGTCTATAGCAATTTTTACTATTTCTTTTTTTTTTTTCATACACATATTAAGGAACGAAAAGAAGATGAAGAATTTTAAGCGTACGACTCTCTGTTTTTTATTTATTTTATTTTTTTTTAAGGAAATTTTTTAGTCCTACATAATATAAACACATTTATTCATGCTCATTATTATTACATTAGAGATAGTTATAGTAAGTAATATAGTATCTTTAATCATTTAGATTTAAGAGAAACAAAATAAAGGGCATTATTATATCTGTATCGATATTTACATATATTGATTGAAAAAAAAAAAATAACTATTGTTAAAACTATGATCTGGTAATCAATGCTAAAGTCCAAAATTAGTAATCAAAACGAAATGAAAAAAAAAGAGGCAAATGACATTAAATTTAAAGACTATCTTTTTTAGGGAAGAATTTCCCGATTAAGGGCAAAGTATGTCAAACCAGAGATGATATTAAGTTTTTTATGCTTGCCTTTTAGAGAAAAATTCACGGGAAAAAAAAAAGAAGCAAGTCCCTTTTCATAGTTGTACCAGCTTATATCGTGCGAAATATGGGCCAATCTTTATCATTACAATAATAATTTAAGAATCATATGAGGATGCAACAGTAATTGTATATCATTAAAATATCAATTAGAACGAGTTATAAATAAAATAAAATAAAATAATCGTTTTATCACATTTTACTCTTCTTTTTTCTTTTTCATTTTCTTCTTCTTTAAAGATATTTTAATTTAAATATATATACATATATAAGTATATATACATACAGGCATACATTTATACATACATACATATTCCTTTAATCAACTATAGTATTTATATATACGTGTTTACTTGTTAACGTAAAATAAAACAACTACAAAAGAGTATATACAAAACATATTATGACAACGCCTGCTGTCGTTAATGAAAAATTCGAATTGGATTCTCCAACGACATCATCATTTAGAGACGAAAAGAAAGATTATATTAGAGATGGAGATAGTATAGACAATCAAGCTCATGAAAAGTCTTCATTCAACCGTGTTACTGAGGAATTTCATTTCACTTGGCGTGCTTCTATTGTCGGTTCCTTACTTGGTTGTTTAGTTGGTATTAAGCGCGTTCCATATCATAAATACATATATATATATATATATATATATGAAAGCAAATGTAAAGAAAAATACTAATATATCATCTTTCTATTTAAATTAGCTGCATCTAACACATATCTCGGTTTGAAGATTGGTTGGACATTTGGTGCATCACTCTTTGGTGCCATTTTTTCTTTTGCTATTTTAAAGCCCTTATCAAGAATACTTCCTCCTAAATGGGGTGGTGGTTATTTTGGTCCAAAAGAAAACTGTTCTGCGCAATCAGCAGCAACAACCGCTGGCGGTCTTGCTGCTGGTTTTGTTTCTGGTATTCCTGCCATGTATAAGCTTGGTCTCATGACAACGCCTAGAGATGATGCTGTTGCTCTTCTTCTTTTCACAATCTCTTGTGCATTCTATGGTTTATTCTTTGCTGTTCCTCTTCGTAATCACTTTGTTGTTAAACAAGATTTAACTTTCCCTACTCCTCGTGCCGCTGCTATCACCATTCTTTCCCTTCATGATACTATGGAAGGTGAGAAAAAAGCAATGCAGAAAGCTCGTTGGATGGGTTTTTGGTTCCTTCTTTCATTCTTTTGGAAGCTTATTTCCTTCTGGCTTCCTTTCTTAGATATACGTAAGTATATATGTATATATATATATAGTCAACCTTAGATTCATATCATATATAAATATATTTACACAATTTTTTTTTATTAGTTCATATCTTCTATTATATTGGTAATGCTGCTAATTACACCCCTTTGATGAGTGCTGATCTTGATTGGGGATGGTATTTCTGTTGGGATTTTCCATTCTTTGGAGCAGGCTTAATGACACCTGGTTCTACTGTTCTTTCCTTCTTTATTTCATCAGTTGTTATCTATGGTATTATTGGTCCTCTTCTTGTCCAAAATGGTACCTTTATTGCACCTTTGGGCTTCAATGCTGCTGGTGACACAACAAATCGTTTCTTTTTATGGCCTGGTATTGCCCTCATGGCACTTTCAGCCTTCACTGAACTTTTCCTTCATTACGATTCTCTTTGGCGTGGCGTGAAGGGTGGTGTTGAAGAGCTTCGACTTGCGTTTATGCGTGGTGTTAACTATTTCCGTCGCATCGTTCTCCGTTCAACATTAACAGATGAACAAAATAACCGTTACAATTCACAGGTAGATGAAAATGAAATCTTTGCTCCGGACCAATTAGTGCCTGCCTCCTGGTGGGTATCGGGTACATTTGTCTCTATCGTCTTTACTTGTGCTATTATGGGTAGATACTTTGGTATGCCCGTCTATCAATCGCTGATTGCCGTTATTTTAGGTTTTATTCTTTCATTTGTTGGTATTCAAGCCTCCGGTGAAACAGATATCAACCCTGTTGGATCTATCGGTAAGATGTCCCAATTGGTATTTGCAAAGATGCCTGCAGAAAATCAAAATGCAGTCATGAAGAATAACTTGATGGCTGGTAACATCTCCGCTTCAGCTGCCTCTCAAGCTGTCGACATGGTAGGTGACTTGAAGACAGGTCAACTTGTAGGTGCCTCACCACGATCTCAATTCCTTGCTCAATTGGTTGCCTCCTTTTTCGCTATTGCCGTTGCTGTCGGTTTCTTTATCTTATTCGCTGAAGCTTATCCTTGTATCATTGACCCTGATATTGAAGCCTCTGACTGTGAATTTGGTTTAGTCGCTGTCACTGCATGGAAAAACGTGACATTATTGTTGACTGGTAATGGTGATCCTCTTAGTAAAGGATCTATTATTGCTACTATTGTTTGTGCTGTCGCTGCTGTTGTCTTACCCCTCTGTCGTCAGTTCCTCTTACCTCAAAAGTATCATCGTTACTTCCCCTCCATTAGTGCTATCGGTATCTCCATGATTAACCCTCAACCTGAGGTTCCCTTTTCTATGTTCCTTGGTTGGTTAGGTGGTAAGATCTGGAAACGTGTGGATCCAGAAGCCCATGAGGACTTGATGTTCAGTGCAGCTGGTGGTTTAATCGCTGGTCAAGGTATTGCTGCTATTCTTCAAGCTGTCTTTAAGATCTCTAATATTAAAGGCAATGTGGTTGTAGCTACTTGTATTGGACAACTTGCAGATAACTGCCCATAAAAAAAAGGCATAATAATAGTAATAATAGTAATAATATTAATAATAATAATAATAATAATAATAATAGTATTTTTTTTTTTTACCCTCTTTCTTCCCTCTCCATTTTTTTCTTCTTTCTATATCTTATTAAATAATAACACGTTTAATCTCTATTTATATCTTAAGCCTAATAATGTACGGTTAAACAAATTTATTAATAAATTTAATGATGATTTTTTTTTGTGAGCACTTTTAATAATATATCGAGCCTATGTCCAAGTTAGATTAATAAAGATAAAGCAGAAAGAGACAGACAGAGACAGACAGAGAGAGAGAGAGAAGAAGAAGAGAGGAAGAGGTACATGATGTGTATTACAGGATAATTAATTGATATTTAGGAACTTGAATGATAATAAAGGTACTTTGCTATAAAGCGTAATATATCAAAAAAGAAGAACATAATATCGTTTTCAGGATAGTTATTGCAGCATTTTAAAGTGACCAAGTTATAGCTTGTATATAAAGTATTTTTTTTTCTTCTCTTCCCAAGACGACTTGTTTATTATTTAAGAATCTAATATATTATTTCCGAGTGATTTCTTCTTTGTTCTGAAGCCATGTACTAGTTTAAAATCGTTACTTTATAATAACTATGACTATTGAAGAATGTCTTTTTTTTTTATTAGTCTAATTTTGACAGACCAAATAATAACAATACATACTACATTAAAGAACATATTTTTAGATTTATTGTAATGAATACAATTGACTACTGCTGTTTTAAGTAGAATATTATTATTATTATTTTACTCTATTCGTATATCCTAGCATAGATACATAATACATGTATATTTTTTTTTCCACAAAGTATGTTACTATTTCACCATTGCTGGTATCCTTTTAACATGGTCTTTCGCGTTACTTTCCCCGTCCTCCCTTTCTTTTTACGATACTTTTGTTTATTTTTAAATAAGTGTATTTTTAAGCTATTCTTTTCTTTTTTTTTTTTTTTTTCTTTTTTTTTTTAGATTTATTTTATTATTATTTTACTCAATTTTAAACAATTAAATTAAAAGATAATGACCGTTACAAAGAATTTCATTATTTCATAAAAGCAATACATAAAGTGGAGAGAGGAAAAAAAATATATAAATATATAAATATATAAATATATATATATCTCTCTCTTCTATCTTTATTTTACCAATATTCATTCATTTAACATTATAATACTCTTTTATAAGATATGCCATTTATGTACCGTCATGAACCCTCTTTCATTGTCATCTCCTTACCGCAACGCAAGCGATACACAAGTTCCTTACAGGACAATGCAGCAGCAAGCAGCAAAAGAAAAAAGTCAGGTTGTATAAAAAGGAAAAAAGAGAAGACGACAGAGGATGACGGCTGTATCAAGATACTTTATTCCGAATTACATAGCTTAAATAAATAAATAAATAAATAAAAGAGAGAGAGAGACAGAGAGTCGTCGTTGTGTTATAAAGCGGCTCTTTAATTGGGCGACGTGGCAGTAGTAATCATCATCGCGTTAAATGATATATGCACCATTTTTTATTTTCCTCCCTTCTCCTCCTCCTCCCTTTATTTTTTATTCTTTAAAAAATGACCCAAACAATAACTAAAGGTACATTTAAATTACCAAGATAGAATCATTTGTTTTAAATTATTTAAAATTCATTTAGAAGAAGCACTTGACCCAGTTGAAGTAACTAATAAATATGATGCTACTCAATTAAGGAATGCTGTTGATGATGAGCTTTCTCGTGTAAAATATTAGACACATGAAAATATTTTATTCTTAAAAAAAAAAAAAAAAAAAAGAGGAGAAGGGGAGGGGTGAGAGTAGAAAGGATAAAGAAATTCGAGTAATTAAATGATTCCCTTTTAAATAGTATTATTCAAAAGAACAACACTTTACTCAATCTCATGTGCATACTGATTTCAAGTTAATTCTTGGATTTATATCTTGCTTTATTGCAGGAGGCGCATTCTTGAATGAGTATAAAACAAGTTTTAATGAGGCACTTCATGTAACTACAATGTGTGTTATTGTTTATTGGATCCTTCAATCAATATTGCTTGTATATACATATTTTGTTGAAAAAGGGGAAATCTTTGTTGGTCATCAAAAAGTAGATGGAAAGGTAAATTAAGAAAAAAAAAAAAAAAAAAAAGAAAGAGAAAGAAAAATGTATTCTGACTATATGATTAGGTTACAGGCACATTGAAAATATCATCAGAATTTGATAAAACCTCACCTTTGTATAAGCTTACAATGGTTTATAGTGATCGAGTAAAAGGAAAGACCGTTCAATCTGTAGTTAATCCAAACATGACAACATGGTTTAATGAAAAGGGAGTTTTGATTAGAGAAGTTATGGATAAAGATTTAAATAATTATTTATTATCACTTAAACAAAACTACATGAAAAATAATATAAAGACAGTTTTATAGTTCCTTGAAAAGGAATGAATGCTTCTCTGATTGCTTGTTATAAGACTTGTAGCATCACGTGTTGCAATAAAAGGACATTAGTGTAATAAACATAATGGATTTATTCCATAAATATTATTTATATTTCTATACTAGCAATGTATAATCTTATTTTCACTTTATAATTGTAATAATTTAAATAAGCATTTTTTTTAATGTATAATTATATCGCATAGTAACCTGTTATATGGAAACAAAAAAAAAGAATAATGAGTCCAATAAGGCTTTAAATAAATATATATTTTTTTTTAAACAAAATTCTTACCAATTCTTCAGCAGATGTTGGATGAATAGCAACACAATTATCAAAATCAGCCTTAGTTGCACCCATACGAATAGCTACACCAAAACCTTGAAGGATTTCATCACTTCCTCTACCAATGATGTGAAGACCCACTACCTTTTCTTCGGGTCCAGTTACGATAATCTTATAGGCAGTAGGTTCCTTTTCATCAAGGACACTGAAATACATGTTACCAAATCGAGATGTATAGACCTTAATATTGTCATCACCAAACTTCTTACGAGCTTCTTCTTCAGTGTAACCAATGGTACCTGATGTAGGATGAGAAAAACGACAGTAGGGATATTTACATAATCCAATTTAGCTTTCTCAAACTTGGGACACCAAAGAGACGATCACTCAATTTACGAGAAGCAGCAATTGCAACTAGATATTAAAAAAATATAATATGTATATAAAATAAGTATTTATCTCACCTCATGGCTAATGTGTTGTGTATATTTCTATTTCTATTTCTTATATTACCTGGAGTCAATTCAGCTTTTCCAATAACATCACCAAGGGCATAAATATTTTCTGCAGTTGTATTTTGATATTCATCAACAATAATTTGTTTCTTTTCATTCAATTTCACACCAACGGCATCTAAATTTAATCCATCTGTAGAAGCAGCACGACCCACAGCCCAAAGAACACAATCAACTTCAAGTTGACCCTTTTCACCATCAGATTCAAATTCAACAGTGATCCCTGTATCTGTCTTTCTCAAGGCAGTGACCTTAGAATCAAATGTAAACTGAACACCTACTTTCTGCATGTGGTCCAATAAAGTATCCTTAATAATCGTATCAAACTTTCTCAAGATTTGTTTTGTACGGGAAAAGACAGTAACGTTTGATCCAAGGGAATGGAAAATACCAGCTAACTCAATACCAATGTAGCCTGTACCTACCACAGCCACACGTTTAGGTTGATGTTCTAACTCAAAGAATCCATCTGACGTGATACCAAGCTCAGCCCCAGGGATATTAGGTACAATAGCATGACTACCCGTAGCAATCAAAAATTTTTTCCCCTTGATTTCAAAAGTAGAATGATCGTTATCGCGACTCTCGACACGAAGGGTGTTGTTATCAACAAAGGAGGCATAACCATGGAAATGCTCTACATTTTCTCTTTCAGCATTTCTATCATAGATACCATTTAAACGTTGAATATAAGCATCTCGTTTTTGTTTAATTGTATTCCAATCAAATTTAACGTCGCTAAACTCATAACCATAACCTTTAGCCTGACGTAAAGTTTCAAAGATGGAGGCTGTATTCCACATTACTTTTTTAGGGACACAACCCACATTCACACAGGTTCCACCGAGAACACTGTGTTTTTCAATCATAGCAACACTGGCACCATGAACACCCGCTGCTCTTCTAGCGCCTGCCATACCGCCAGAACCAGCACCAATCACAATATAATCATATTCTTTCTTTGTAGGTTTAGGAAGTGGTGGCATCTTTTTTATGGATGTATGTATTTGTCGAAGTCGTTGAATAGCTGAAATAAAAAAAAAAAAAAAAAAAAAAAAAGGAAGAAAAAAGGTTAAAAAAAGATACGAAAAAAAAAAAAAATAGAGTATTTATCACTTTTATGTTTGATTATTAATAATTATGTTTTTAATTTGCATTACCAGACATTTCCGTCGTGACTCGCTATTGACAATTTTTTTTTTTTTTTTTTTTTGAAGAAAAAAAAACAACACAAAAATAAAAAAAAAAAAAAAAGAAATAAAATTAACATTGTTTATTTTATAAAATAACTTTAACCAATCAAAATATATGCTTGAATTATTAATATCCATGCTTATGATCTATGACGTTAAATTAGAACAAAAAAAAAAAAAAAAAAAGCTTTAATAATTTATCAGATTTTATTATTAATCCAAAATAATATTTTTTTTCAGTGTTAAATTATAACACGTATTTTGATAAGGAAATTTTTGAAAAATAAATTAGGAACTAGTTTTACTACTGTCTTTGTAAATCGTTTAAATGAATTTGATACATTTATCATCTTGTGTCTACCCTGAAGTAACTCATCAACATTTATAAATATTTATTTTTTTTTTGTAACTGAGTTTATTTTCTTTGTTTGTTAAAAAAGCTTCTACAATACAAATAATGTTCGAGAAAGCTATTAGAATCCTGCCCCTTTTATTTTAGAGGAAAAAAAAAAAAAAAAAAAAAAAAAAAAAAAAAAAAAAAAAAAAAAAAACTCGGATTTCATTTAATAATTGTCATAGTAACACTATGTAAAAGAATTAAAGCTTATCATTTCTCTTTGTTACTTTAATACTGCATAATGCTTACTTTATACATAAAACTTACTTGGATTCAAGTCAAATTAGTTAAGAAAATAATTTACAATCAACACGTACATATATACATACATATATAAAGCTTTTGATAACAATTATATATATACTTGAAAAAAAAAAGAAAAGATGTTTATACTGAAATGATATTCCAAGTTACAAAAAAAAAAAAAAAAAAAAAAAAAGAGTATATATTCCCACCCCTTAAGGCACATAATAAATGAGCCACTTGTTCTTTTTTTTTTCTTCTTCTTATTTTTATTTTTTTTATTTTTTTTTTTTAATGTCGATCGGTACATTTCACGAACAAACATCTAATTCTAGCTTTATCTATACAATGACAATCGACATAATGATGAAGCGACAACCGATCAACAACTATTTATTTCGAATCAACAAGTGACAGAGAAAGAGGACTGGAAAAACCAAAAGGCGGAAGAATTTCATAACCAGTGTATCAATCCATCTTCTTCTTTTACGACTCCTTCTTCCATGATTATTCCGAACGATCAATACCTATTTCGTCCCAACAACTTTACAATAAGGTACCACCCTTACTAGTCGATCCTACTTCCTCTTCTTCTTCTTCTTCTTCTTCATTCTATTATGAACAAAAATTACTTCCATCTTATCACCTTACTTATTCTGCCGCAGCGGAAGCAGCAGCACTTGAATCTCTTTCATTTAATACCAATAACGACCCAGTGAAGCAGCCTAAGATGATGAAGAAGAATTATGGTGAAATACCTGAAAAAATCAAACGGCCACCTAATGCTTATTTATTATTTAATCGTGACATGAGACGTCATAACGTAAATCGAGGATTAAGTTCAGGTGAAATAAGTAAATCCATTAGTCAACGTTGGAAAGAACTACCACCGGTAATAACAAAAAAAAAAAAAAGGCACTCACCCACTCACAATTTTTATTATATATTATTTATTGTTGAATTAGGAACAAAAGGACCATTATTTTAAAGAAGAATCAAAATTAAAAGAAAAACATAATAATGCCAACATTATTTATACAAGACGTTCAAAAGCAGAAATGAAGGAAGCACATACAAAACGAGCTTCTTATCTGAATACCAATTCTAATATAACAATGATAATAGTAAGAAATCAACGACTGCGATAGCATCAAAGCCTTCACATCATCATCATCATCAGTATGTACGTGACCCAAGAGGACGAAAGAAGAATAATGGCTTATTACCAAAGCATCCCATGTCTGGCTACTTGCATTTGCAAAAGAAATGAGACCTACTTTAAAAAGGGAGTCCCCAGAGGCTAGACTTGTAGAGATTAGTCGAGAAATTGGTGTGCGGTGGCGGTCATTAACAGATCAGGAACGACAGCCTTGGATCGAGTTGGCAAATCAAGATAAAGAGCGATATGCAAGAGAGATGAAAACACATCTTGGTCAATCTTTATTTATGAATGATTTAAATTTAACGACAAAGAAAGGAGGAATATATGAGTTGGATGAATTGGATAGTGAAGTTATTGCCACTGTTTCACAAATGGTAAATCCTTCTTCTCATCACATATAAAAAATCTTATTTATTAAGGAATATGTACGCAATTATAATATTTATAACAATAATAACAATAATAATAATAATAAAAAAAAGGGGGGGAGGAGGGATAGGGAGGAAGGGAAAATATCCTTTTTTTTTTTTTTTTTTATAATAAAGAAAATAACTAATTATTATCAAGTATCATGTAATTAATAAAAGTGAAAGAAATAGGGTATCATTTTCTATATGTGATATAAATAAAGGGATTTGTTTTCTTCTTCTTAACAAGTGTAGACTCTTTGCACACTTTGAATAGATTTTCTGCATACTGCACATTCTGTTAATTTAGAAGCACAAGGTTGACAATAGGCTAAAATAGATATATATACAAAAAAAAAAAATTAAGTCGACTAGTAAAAATCACAATAAATAATACTTACCAAAATGAAAACAAGGTAATAAAATATACTCAATATTTCGATTAAAACAAACTTTACATTTCGTTCGTTCATCCTCTGTACTTAATTTTTTATTCTCTTCACGACAAAGATATAATTCTTCTTTTAATTTTTCATTTTCATTCATCCAATGAACGACTTCTAATTCAATATTTGATAAGCGTTCTTGACAATTCATTCTTAGTATCACTTCCTCATCATTTTCATTTTTATTACGATAAAGTATTGTTTGAAATTCTGCAAGCTTGTCCTTGTGTCGTTGCAGCTTATTTGTTAAGTCTTGAATGAATTCATCTTTCTGGTTGTTATCTCTTAGGGATTGTTCATGTTCTGATCTAAGCTTGATGTTATCTTGTAGGACTTGTTCTACTTGGATCTTAACTGTCTCTAGTTCTTTACGTAGAGCAATGATCTCGTCATGATGGTCTATGGCTGATGTAAGGTTAACATGTTCAGTTACAGGTGAAGTTACAGTAGATGAATGGAGAGAAGGTGAGGCTGAGGAGGAGGAGGATAACGAAGGAGAAGAAGTAGGGGAAACAAATTTATAGGAGACTTGTTTCTCTTTTTCTTGTTGCTCTCGCTTTTTCTTTTTAACCATAACACAGGTGGGTACAATCAAAGACTTTATAGGCGGTAGTTGTTTCATTTGGTTTTGTTCGTCTTTAATCGATGAAGAAGCAGACAAGGCAGCTAATAAATCAAATTTATGTTGCTCTTTCATTGTTTTAACTGGATGAGGTGTAGAAGAACTAGTAGATGAAGTAGAAGGTTTTTCTGTAATGATGTCTGATTGTCTAGTATTTGATAAAGACTTTTTCTTTTCTTGTTTCTGATCAAGATAGATATCTTGACTTACACGAGTATGAATGCGATGTTGAGGACGAGGGAAGGCAACTTCATTAGCAGGCAAAATCCAGCTGCATTTACGAGCACCGTCTACACTGATGTTTTTACAAACAAATTGAATAAGATTATTTTTGAATCGCATAACAACAGGTCGTTGACAAAAGCAATCAGGCAACTTGGTAGGTGGTTCTAAAAGATAAGAATTTGTCAAGTGAAAGACGGTGCAATAAGTAAAGTTATAAAGTGGGCATGTACGAAGTTCAGAAAATTCTGAGTTGACTGTATGGCCCTTTTTAAGCTGTTCACGAAATTCATTCCATGATCGTTCATGGACATGAAAGCCACAAATGAATTTACTTTTAATACTGGTAATTGAATCGGTAATGGTAGAAGGATCCTAAGTTATAACTGTACATTCAAGGATAGGCCATATTCTAACGTAAAACTTCTATGAGCAGGCTTTCCACAAAAACAAGTAGAGGATCAGGAAGGATGAGATCTAGTTGCTTTGTGTGGGCATTACTTGAAGCGATTCACGTTGAGATGGGGCTTGTTTATTATCATTATTATCAGCATCAATAGATGTTTTATAACTATGTCTCTTATGTAAAATGTCGTCATTGAAATCAGAGAGAGATGAACCAACTTCTGAATGAACAAAAGTTAGCCATTCATTATTTGCTGTTTCATTCATTGAATTACAATTAGGTGTGAATTTCGAATCAGGTGAAAATCTATTATTATTGAATAACGGTATTTCTTGAATACATAAAAAAAAAGAAATAATTAAAAAAAAAAAAAAAAAAAAAAAAAAAAAAAAAAAAAAAAAAAAAAAATTTAAAAAAATGCTTAAAATAACGAATTACTATTTATTCTATTATGAAACAAATAAAAAAAAAAAAGTTTATTTTCTTTATTTTCTAATGTTTCTTGGAGAATCACGTTGATTATAGTAAGCCTCAATTTCATATTGTAATTCTTTAATTCTTTCATTCTGGGCTTCTAATTCTTTATGTAAACGGTCTCTTTCAGATAGGAGCTTTTATATATACATTAGATGAGTAAATTATACTTTTTTTTTTCTCCTTTTTCTTAGATTATTTACCTGTTGTTCCCAGAGACGGAAACGAGTTTCTTCAGCTTTAACTTTATCAGTAAAAGTAATTCTAAGAGCCTCTTCCTCTTCAGCAAATTTAGCATTTTCATCCTTTTCAATACTATTTAATTGATATTAATATTTACTGTTATTTTATTTTATTTTTTTTTTTAAAAAAAAAATCCTTCCTTCTTACCGTGGATCACCAAATTTACGAGTCTCCATTTGCATTTGACGATAATTTTTCATAATGAGTTTCTTCTGTAGTTGTAATTAAATCCAGCATATGTGTACGAATCAATAAACTTCTTAGTTTTTTAAAGTCGCAATGTTCATCGTTTTCTACTTCAGCGACTCCCCATGAATATGCACGTCCTTTGGCTATGCGACCATTAGGCAATTTTATATCTTGTGTAGAGCCAATGACAGCAAAAAGGCATAGCTGCCATAATATTAATATTACGCTTCATTGTCGCTTCATCATCACTTTCAATAGGGGCAGAGTAACATTGAATATTTTGAGCAGCAATCACGTCTCTAACCTATAAAGGAGAAAGATGTTAAGGAGGAGAAAAAAAAAGAAAATATGTAAAGGAGAATTATTTACGTTTTGCTTAAATTTGGCTAAATCAGAAGGTGTTAAAGTATCTGCTTTAGCGATAACCGGAATTAAATTAACACGCGAACCCAACCTTTTCATCATCTCAACATCTAAAGGTGATAAACTATGTAGAATATTATTATTTAAACAAGCCCCTTTTCACTCAAGAATAAATAGCTTACGTGTGACCAGTAGGCTTTATAAAATAAAGACAGCAATGAACCCGCATATCCATAACACCTTTACGACAAGGCTGTTGTTCTTGTCTCATATAATTTTCATGCTGATCGTCAATAAAATCGATTATCGGAATCCAACTATGACGATTATTTACATAGTCACCAAATCCAGGAGTATCAATTACAGTTAATTTGACCTTGAACATTTTTTCTTCTAGTTCTATTAGGATGCGTACTTATTAGGAGGCAGGCATAAAAGACGACATACCTGCAATATATATATACACACACACACATACCTGATTTAGTGATTTGAATTTGAACAGTCTTTGAAGGCGTCTTATTTATACGTCTTTTATTTAAATTCTTCGGTTCTTTAATGGTTGTTGTAAAAAGCGTATTAACAAATGTTGTTTTACCAACCCCTGATTCACCTATCATTTTATATCAATATCTATTTATCTATTTATCTATTTATATCTCTTACCACAAACCATTAAAGTAAAGTTAGCACCATTCTTGGCTACTATCTTGTGACGTTGATTAGGTAAATTAGCAATACCTGTACCAGGTACTGGAACAGACTCAATAGAAGGTTGAAGGGTAACCATCGTCATGCTTAATAAAAACAAAGGAAGAAAGAGGAAAGAGACAATGAAAGAAAAAAAAAAGAAAAAAAAAAGAACGAGTATATACGTATATATTTAAAAATCCAAAAGGAGAGACATAATAGGGAGGTGTATTTTTATACTTAATTTTTAAGGAGGAAGGGAAAAAAGGAGACAAAACAGATATTTTTATTGTAGTATGCATCTAATATTTTATGATTCTTGTTGACTGATAATTGCATGATAGTTTTCTGAATTTCTTTTTAATATTTCATGAACTGAACCTAAAAGTCGTGTAAATGCTTTTTTACTTAATGTTGCGCACTTTAATTTTCCTTTAGCAATTACTGTAGCTGCTCTTGGGCTATCATTTAATAGAGCCAACTCTATTATACATTCCATTACATATAAAAATTGTCAAGGTATTGATTATCACCAAAAAATAAATATAAATAAATAAATAACTATTTTACCTCCAAAATAAGCACCTCTTTCTAACTGATTCACTTCTTTTTGTTCGACTTCTTTTTGTTCATTTTCATTATTTTTATATACAATAGCAATACCGGATTCAATAATGTAGAATTGATCTCCACTGTTACCTTCTAAAATCACATTCTCTCCATCGTTAAAATAGACTGACTCTAAAGCATCTGCAATCTTATGTCTTTCATAAGATACTAATGATTTTAACAAGGGTACCTCTTCTAAAAATATTTCATACATCTTTCTTTTTCGGCATGTATTTTCCATCAAAATTGTTCTAAACGTAACACGATCTAGGGCCCATAATACGCAGTCTGTGATAGCTTTAATCGTAGCCGCGCGTGGAGCGTTATACATGAGAGCTAACTCTCCAAAGCTTCCACCAGCATGATACGAGGTTATTTGTTGATGATCAATCCAGCATTCTAAAAGTCCCTCTTCAACCACATAAAAATAGTCACCCGTCGCTCCTTGTTCAATCACAACTGTACCTGATTCAACTTGCTTTTCAACCATCACATTCATAACGTCTTCATAATGCTCTTCATCTAGATTTTTAAAAAGGAAGTTATGACGGACACTTTCTTGAATGGCGTGTAATTGGGAATCCGTTTTAGGAATCCATTTTTTTTTAGTCATCATAGTATCAGTAGCAGTAAAAGAAGGTGTGATGGATTCAGCACTGACTGACGTTCGACGGCCTCGATTTGTATATTTAGAAATAGTTGAAAGTGGAGTCACTGCCGAGAAATAATCATTCTCTTCATCATTATCATTATCACCTTCCTCTTCTTCTTCTTCTTCAAACGATAGATAGTCATTATCAGAATTGTCATCCATATCTTTTGTAAAACTGTCGTTTTGTTTATTTACTAGAGGATGTTGTTCTATTTCTGTATATAAGCAAAAAAAAAAAAAAAAAAAAAAAAAAAAAAAAAAAAGATATATATACGTTCACATATATTTGCAGTACTTTATATTATTATTACCAAATAAATCATACTGTTCACGAAAATGTAAACCCCTTTGCTCTTCTAGTTTTTTATGAAAGAAATTGGCACAGTATTGTAATACATCATCAGGTTGATCTTTATAAAAGGCTTCATGTAATTCAGTCAAGACTTGAGTATATTCGTCAATATAAGGAGCAAATTGCTGTTCAAAGGTCATATCTAATACAAATTATGATAATAATAAAAAGAAAACAAGACTTCTTTTCTCAAATACATACAAACATACATACATCTATGTATTTATATAAATATTAAAAAAAAAAGCTTTTTTTTTTTTGTGTAATCTTAAATAAAAACCACGTTCTCCCCCACATTAAGAAACATATGATCATGCATTTTCTTTATTTAAATTCCCATTGAACAAAACAATAAAGTAGTAAAAGTATCATCTGCTTTTTTCACTTCGTTTTCTGGTCGACGTTTAGCAATAAAGACATAAAGCTGATCTTCTGCTCCTAAACAATCACCAATCTCTTCCCTTATTTCATTATTATCTTCTCCTTCTTCTTCTTTTACTACTCTCTTTTCTATCTTACGCACTGGCTCATATTCAAAATATCTTCCAAAGTAATCCTGCCAAAAGCCAACTTCCTTCTCTAATGATCGTGTCTTATAACCAATCACAATTTTCGTCTCACTTCCGCAAACATCTAATAAAGTCTCTAATAACATGCCAAATAATTCTGGGAAATAGACACAGTCACTCACGACAATCAAATCAAAATGGCCACCTGCCCTTTGAAGTAAGCGTTGAGCATCTTGATGATTCCCCCAATGAAGACGATCAACAATGATTTCTGCCGCGGAGGATGTGTTATACTGTTGTTGTGAATAATAATGAATGTGAACATTATCTTGTATTAAGGGTACTACTTTTTCTAAATCTGTAATATAGACTTGAGCTGGCTTTTGAAGCTGTTGAGCTAAAGCGATACCTACATAACCTGTACCTGCTCCAAGTTCTAAAATACGATAGGCCTTTTCTGGTGTAGTAGAAAGTGATGACGACTTGTAATAAGATGATGGAATAGGATTACTAGGTTCTGTTTTTATAACTTTATCTGAAGAAAACAGAGCTTGCAACATGTAAGCACTATTATCATCATCATCATTAGCATCTCTGGTTTGTGTGCTGTTTATAATATTAATACGCCTACTACTTTCTTTACCTCTGCCATATTTTACCAGCTAATCCAAATTGTTCAATATCTTGTTTCAAGTCAAGTGAATTTGTATGCAAATGGCTGGGTGCTCCTGTGGATTCAGTTACATTCAAACCTTCAGGTAAATTGCCAATTTCAAAATCTCGGTCATCTTGACTTGTTGACATGAGGTTAAAAAAAAAAAAAAAAAAAAAAAATAACACAGAAAAAAAAATTTTTTTTTTCTTTCCTACAACATGTATTTATAAGATAACATGTATACTGTTATCATCATCACACCAAGCTTCTTCTAAAAGAACTTGTAAACACTTTTTTTTTTTTTTTTTTTTTTTTTTTTTTTCATGGCTAATATATTCTAAACAAACTAGAATTTATGATTTATGTAAAGTGTATCTATTAAATGCTGTTCAAAAGTATATTTAACACTAAAACAAAAAGTATGCATTTGCATTCATTTTATGAAATATTCCTTTTCCTATGAATATACATAAAATATGATATAAAAGCATCATGTTATTTCACTCATAACATTGTGTATTTCTATTACTCCAAAAAAAACACCCTCCCCCTTCTTTTTTCTTCATGTATAAAAGTCCTCAATAATTTCTATATTTTGTTTTGCAAATTTACTGCGTTTATTTCCTAATAATTCAAACCAAAAAAAAGAAAGGCTTGCTTAAAAATTGTTCATATTTAACAATATGATTGCCAAAAACAAGAGAATCATTTGAAAGTTCGACAAATTTAAGCCTTGTTAGCAGCCTATTTTTTTTATTGAATAAATAAAGAATATCAGTCAATTTTTTTTTCATTCCCGTTAAGATGATGTATTATTGTTAGTATACCTTTTGGAATCTGAATCTAGGAGGAGGAAGACGGTTGCGACGGTCGACAGCGGAACGAACACGAACAACACGAGCGTGGATAGCGCAAGAAACACAGTAATGAAGCTTGACATACAACTTGGGAATGGTGTATTCCTCATAGACAGAGGCTTCTTGGAGATCACGGACGGCAGCAGCTTCAACCATGTTACGAATGGTGAAACGCTTGATGGCCTTATCCTTAGGACAACAACGGTAACAGTTGATGCAACGAACAAACTTGGTGTGACCGCGACCGTGCTTGTTACGTCCGTTATTTCTTCTCTTGCAAGTCTGTCATGGTAAAATGTTATACATGTGTATATATATATTTTTTTAAAGAAAAAAAAAAGTTAGTTATAAACAAGTATAGTAACAAAAAAAAGACAAAAAAAAAGAAGCCGAGAGATAGAGGGAAAAGAAGGAAAAAAAAGGACAATTTTAATGCTGATGTATTCAATTTTAAATTATAAGACATCATCATCTCTATTTCACACACGCTCTACAAAATAAATCCATCCATCGAATTATAATATCATATCCATTTATTAATACTGATTATCTATTGTCCTTTTCTCCTTTTCCCCTCTTCTACTTTTTTTTTCTTTCTTTCTGTAAGCTATGATGCAACGTACCATATTGATGAATGAACAAAGAAGTTGAGAGAAAGTTCTTTGATTGTATTGACATTTGTTACTTTTACGCTACTCTCGCTCTCTCCTTTGTCTCTGCTGGGGGGTGGGGTGGGGTGCGCTTTGTCACCTCTCTCATACGCCAGTGTTTAATCATTATTTTTAAATTACCGAATATCGACTCGGAATTTAATATTAAAATAGAGGTAGTTGTCCGAGCGTTATACTGTATATCCAATATGATTGGCTTCTAAAAAAACTAAACAAAAAAAAAAAAAAAATAAGGCATTTTAGGACATTGTGTGTTTTCTTTATTCTACAAAACAAAACAAAGAAATAAAAGTTTGATCAGTCCATTGTGCCTGATCTATAATTATACATCAGCATAGCAACACTTTTTTTTCCTTAAGGGAGAAGCCTAAAAAAAAATGAATAAACAGCCACAATTTATTGTTGTTAATACAGGGAAAAAGAAAAGGGCAGTTATGCCTACACTATCATCAACTAGTAGTAATCAATTATCTGAAGAACAAGATAATTGGCCTCCTTCATTAAAGTAACATCTAAAACATGACCCTAAATGGCGTTCTTGTGTGTTAATTATTATTATTATTATTGCATATATTAGAGAATACGTTGCTCATGCTTTTGAAAACTGTTTGCCTAATAATAAAAAAAAACTGGAAAAGCAACTAAAGATGATTATTCAACAAGCAGAAAAAACAAATATGCTCAATGTTATTGATTGGAATGAACGCGATTTGCCTTTGTAAAGTGATATAAGAATGTATATATACAAATATATTTCTTAGATATACATCTATGTATATTTTATTATCTTACTATTTAGAGCGTGTATTGATATTAAAAATCCTAATTCAAGTCAACTCTTTCATAAAAAGTAAAAGTAAAAAAAAAAAAAAAAAAAAAAAAAAAAAAAAAAAAAAAAAGAAGCTTATCGAATTTTTTTTTCTTACTTTTATAATATGTATTTACTTGATGTTAATTTTAGGGCAGCCACAACCATTGTTTCAAAAATGGGTAATATCGAGTTAACACCTGCAGAAGAGAAGAAGAGACAGTTAAGAGCTATGCGTTTTCAAGCAACTAAAATGGGGTCACCTACACCTATGGATATAGATAATGAATTAACGCCCTCTATGAATGATGTGATTGTTGGCACAAGTAACGCCTTAGAAAAACCTTATTTTAGACTGACCTCAGTAAATAATTTTATGATAAACAATGACTCTCTTTCTATACTTATTTTGTTCTCTTTCTCTCACTCTCCCTTTTTTTTTTCTTTTCGGTTAGGCAGTAGATCCTACGATAGTTCGCCCGTTAAAAGTATTAAAAAAAGCATTTAAAATGCTTCGAAGAAAATGGAAAGAGGAAAGTAATTATTCATATATTTGTGAACAATTTAAATCAATGAGACAAGATTTAACTGTAAGAAATAATAATAATAAAAAAAAAAGAAAAGGAAAGGAAAAAGAGAAAGAAGATATAAATAAGCAGTATACATAGGTACAGAGAATTCAAAACGAATTTACAGTCAGAGTTTATGAAACACATGCTAGAATAGCTTTGGAGAAAGGAGATATTGGAGAATATAATCAATGTCAAACACAATTAAAATATCTATATAAAAAGGATATTCCTGGTTGTGAAGATGAATTCTTGGCTTATCGTATTCTATATTTAATATTTTCACAAAATCAATCAGGTACACAATTTAGTAAAAGAAAAGAAAGCAACTCTTATACTGAATAATGGTAATTTTTAGAAATAAACGCCATGTTGGAAGAGATGTGTGATATTGGATTAAATAATCATGCTGACTGTATTCAACATGCATTATTAGTGAGATCATGTTTAGCTAAAGGAGATTATCACAAGTTTTTTAGATTATATGAAGACGCGCCTAATATGAGTGGTTACTTGATGGATCAATTCGTTGAAAGAATAAGAATCGATGCTCTTATTGTTATGTGTAAAGCGTAAAGTAGAATAGAATAGATCCCACCTATGGCATGTATCTTCTTCTTCTAACTTCTTTATTTGATAATATAGTTATAAAATGGGTCTTCCATTCTCTTTTATTTCAAAGGAATTATCATTTGACAGTATTAAGTTATTATTCAAGTTCTTTAAGGAACATGGTATTCATATTCAAAATAAGAATATACTGGATACCAAATCTGCTTTACCTATTTTACTAGCGCAGAGTAAAAATTACAATAAAATTGATATTAAGGGTCAAATTTAAACACTACTCTATCCTGATATACCAACAGACTACAATGCATTTAATTTTCATTTCTTCATTAAAACAGTCACAATAAAAGAAACAGCGAGGTTATCTATTCCTTTTTTTTTTTTATATTCTTTTTTTCCTTTTCTACCCCTTTTTTTTTATTTTTTTTTTTTTCTTGTATATATTAATAGAGAAGAAAAAAAAAGGAACCTTTTGATTCTATTTTTATATAAAACTTTGTATTATATAATATGACAACAACAATAAATGAAGAAGACAAGTCGACGTCTAATCTTAAGACGATAACTAAGAAAACAGAAGAAGTAACTACTTTACTAGATGAACCTATTTGTAAGTATTATTTTTTTTTTAAAAAAAAAAGAAAATATATAGATATTTGTATACAAATATAAATACATATATGTATACATGTGTATGTATTTTACTCAACACATGGGGGAGAAAGATAAAGAAATAAGATCGGAGTATGTTTACGAATAAGGTGACTTTAGTAACTTTTTTTTTTTTTTTTCTTCCCGGTATTAGTTCATCCTCATACGTTAACGGCTTTAGTTGTCTTGCTGGCCTTAATGTTTTATGCAGCAACAAGATCCAATTATGAAAATACAGCAGATAATATTAAGTTAGGAATCGTTGCTGCTATTGCTTGTTTTGTCTTTATTGGCATGCTTCAATTCCCTAACGGCCCTTTTGTTCGTCCTAGTAAACCTATTTGGAGAGCTGTACTTAGTTTAAGTGTACTTTATCAACTATTCTTGGTCTTTTTATTATTTTTGGTAAGATTTATTTATTCTTTCTTTTCCTTCCTTCTCTCTTACCGCTCTCCCTTTTTTTTTTCTTTTTTTTTTAAAAAATAGAATAAAGATGATGCTCGGTATTTTATGACATTTTTTGATTCAAAGTTAGGCATTGAATTACCAGAAAGATCATATGCTGATGCTTGTGAAGTAACATGGGATAATATTAAGGTATAATGAATGACAATGTGATATACACATACACATGTATATATATCATGTAATATTAAAAGTAAAGAGGTCATTTGTTAAGAATGGTATGGATATATTCGTAGTTGCACATACATTAGGTTGGTTTGGCAAAGCTTTGATTCTTAGAGATTATTATTTTTGCTGGATTATTTCAATTGCTTTCGAATTATGCGAATATTCTTTAGAGCATCAATTAAATAATTTTGCTGAATGTTGGTGGGATCATGTAAATGAAATAGGCTTTATAATCCTATTTAAAATTGGTATATAAAATTAACTCAATTATGCTTATTTTGTAGTGGATTCTTGATGTATTAATTTGCAATTGGCTTGGTATTTATATTGGTATGAAATTCTGTCAATATTTCTCGGTCAAGGTAAATGAATGTCTACTATGTCATATATATATATATATTTTTTTTAGCCGCCTATATTTATATTCGTTTATAGCAATATTCTTGGGTTGGTTTTAGACAAATAAAGACACTTCGAGGTAAAGCAAAGCGAGCTGTGCAACAATTTATTCCAAGAGAATGGACAAGATATGAATGGAAGACGACAAGTTCACCAAAAATTATTTTGGTACAGTTCTCTTATTAATTATTGTAAGTATTAGTTTTTCTGAAGATATATATGTATATGTATATATAAAGGGAGAGGGAGAGAAAGAGAGGATGGTCATGTTATTTACTATTATTTTTAGTTCTTACAATGTGAGTTGAATTGTTTCTATCTTAAATATCTTTTATGGGTTCCTCCTGAACATCCTTTAAACACGTATCGTTTAATTCTCTTGTTTTTGTTTGCTTTACCTGGTGCAAGAGAAGCTTATCAATATATTTCAGATAGCAATACGCAACGAATGGGAGCACATGCTTGGTTATTAATCTTTAACATTATGACAGAAACATTAATTTGTTTAAAATTCTCGGAAAATGAATTTCATCAACCTGCTCCTATAGTCGTTAAAATGGGCTGGTCAATCGCGTTTGCTATCTTGTTTATTATCTTCCCTTTGTGGAGATTTGTCATTCATCCAGTGAAGAAGATTGAAGGCGAACAAATTATTAGTAAAAAGGACGTGTAACAAAAAGATTATTAAATAGTCAATTGATTATATTTGACGATCTTTTAATGATAAATGATAATAAAATAAGAATGACAAAGAAACAACAACAAAACCAAAGCTATCACCCATGTACCCATAGAATGTATTTACTCTCTTTTGTAAGGGCAAATAAAAGTTATACTTTTCAATATTAATAGAGGCTACTTTTGATTAAAGATACCGTTTAAGGTGGGTTCATAAATACCAGATACGCCTTGACTAACGCATCTAAATAATGTAAACCCATTTTCAACTGCACGAATGATATTAGTTTGTTCATGATAAGTTCCTGTAGGTCCTATTAATATATAATAGCATAAGAAAAGCGATTGCATACTATGTATGTATATATTTTATACCCCATGTCCAGCTTGGTTGAAGCATAATATCTATATTATGTGTACTAGCTTGACTAATAAAGCTTGGAAAGTTAAAATCAAAACAAATAGCGCCTCCAATTCTACCAAATTCTTCAGTATCAATATATTGAAGTACATTTGGACCAGCGGGTTGAGTTTCCTACATTATAAAAAAAATATATATATATATAAAAGGGAATGAATAAGGCTTGTATTATTTATACATAGTACAGTATATATTAGTATATATGTATACACATGTATTTACAATTCCAGGTACAGGATGCGCTTTATTGAAATCAAAGCCAATTTCACCTTGTTTTGTAATGAAAACCAACTTGTTTTGATTTACTGTACCATAGCTAATACCCAAGTAGATTTGATAAGTTCGTGCTAAATCTTTTGCCTTTCCAATAAGTATTTTCTCTTCTTCTAAATCATTGACGAATGCTGTTAATTCAGACCATAAAACAAGTTTTGCACCAGACTACATATACATATATTATATGAAAAACAACACATATTATATTATGATTTACGACATTACCTCTGCCAGCTCTCTTGTCATATTTAGCCATATATCTTGCTGTGTTTGTAATTGAGGAGAATCAGAACCACCGGGACCTACGACACAACCCACTTGTTCTGTCTTTGGAACATAATCAGGATAATTCACTTGATAAAATGAATTAGAATGAATATTAACACGAGCACCACCATAGACTAGGATAAGAGCCATCAGGATACTAGATAAAACAGCCAAACGACGCCGTCCTGATGAAGGAATAGTCTCTTCTTCTTCTTCTTCCTCTTGGTCTTCATTCTTTTCTTCTTTTGTTGGAAATATGAATTCAACCAAGATTGTTCCAAATAAAACCATTAAAAAATCTAAAAGAGATCGACCTCCAATGGAAGCAATTTGACCAAACTCGGGCCAGATGACTAAACTAGTAGATAATGAAATAAAATCGCCCAAGGGCCCATAACGTGTCATGAGACACCAAATAGAGGTCCATAAACAAGGAAAGAATACAATACGTATAAGGTGTGCTCTTTTATGTCCTTGATATCTTTGAATAGTAAATTTTTCAGCAAACAGGGCAACTACCAAGAGTAAATGAATAGCAAAGGAGCACACTATGAAATATATATATAGATAGATGGTTTATTATTATTACTAATAACACCTATATATCCTGCTTTATAAAAAGTACATACAAATAACTACCCAAAATAAAGGGAATCGGGGCCCCTTATCATTAATTGAAACAGTATTAAAGTTGCCTAAATAACCAAGACTAAATCCAATACTACTGACAAGGTAAGTAAAAAAAATGGTTTGATAGTCTTGTTGATTACGATTGTAAGATAAGATGGTTGGAATATATAACCAAGTAAATAAAGGAATAGTTTGATAACCAAATCCAAATGTACTTTTTTTTTTATATATTATAAAGAAGAGAGAGAGAGTGAGAGAGATTATTAATATTATTTATATATTTAACTTCAAGTAATAATAACTATACGTGGTGATGAATAAAGGTAGAAGAAGCCAATGCTTAGTTAATATTGATTGAATACGCTCCTTTATGTCCATGTGAATTTACTTGAAACGAAAATAAAAAGGAAATATGTATACAATCTTTTTTTTTTTTTTTTTTAAGAAATAATTTGTTGTATTCCCTTAGAAAAATGATCACAATTAGTTGAGATACATTTCTTGAGCTAAATGCTCCTATTACTAGATTTTCATCAAAATTGAAACCCCTTTAAATCGAATGAAACATCGAGCCTTGAATAGTAATATAGTAGTTTGTTAAAGTCGTCTAAAGCCTGCTAAACTCTTACAATAGTTTCCACTAGCATGTTTTATTCTAACAACCTTCAGCAATATATTGAATTGCATAATTGCATACTTGGGTTAAGATATGTTTAATACAATTGAAAATCTCTTTTACAGACTGATTATCATCACTTGTTTTATAATGAGTATTCAACCTTCTTGATATTATTCATCTTGAAGCAGGAATGATACTCATTTGAATAGCTTGACGTCATACCCCCACAAAGTAGCGGTTATTCAAATAGCCCACCCCTCCTACTTTAAAACCAAAAATTATTGTCTACAAAAAAAAAAATATAGAAATATACATATTTGATTATCTTTAATTATAATAAGCACCCAACTCAATCGCTTTCAGATCAAATCCTCTAATTTATTTATTTTTCCCTTGGAAAAAAAAAAAAAAAAAAGTAAATAGCCCCTCTGTTTTTTTTTGATTTTATTATATAATTAGTAGTATTGAAAAGTGGTAAATGAAGATAATGAAGATCTTATTCTATAAAGCTATTAACTAATAAATAAATAGTAACTTATTTATTTATTATAAAATTACGACATGTTGAGAGCATCCAAGTTATATAATAATGGAGCTGTTCGTTCGGGGTTAAAAATCAGTCATAATCAACGTCTTGGAGTTAAGGTATTTAAGGTGAAAAAAAAAAAAAAGCATACCATTTCCTCCATGATCGTTATTATTAATTTTTTTTTATTTTTTCCTGTCATTAGCATTGTGAAAGCACATTGGCAGAGGAACCAAAAAAGCCTTCTAGATCTCTATTTACAAAGTTTCTCGGTTTAACATTTGTTTTAGGAGCCTCTTATGGAGGAGCAGCGTATTATGCTTTACATGAACCAGCTTTCCATAAACATTTCAGACATTATGTACCTGGCGGAGAACAGACATTACGATTCCTGGAAGATCTTCAAAACAACAACGATACTTTTCTTCAAAAAGCAACCAACTTAAAGGAACAAGCCAAATCATACAGTACAAAGATTCAGCAATCATCTCAGGATGCAATGGATTACGCAGCTGAAGCTTACCAAACCCTAACAGGTCCTAAATTACCTGATAACAACAAAATTCAGACATTTACAAAAAAAGAACAAGATGTATCAATCTCGGTTCCTGTCACTCCTAAGCCAACTACAAATAGTACACTTCAACTATCAACAGATAAAGCGGCTCAACCTGCTATTGTGAATGTAGCTATCGAGAAGCCTGAACCTATTATTGTCAAACAAGTTGCATCAGATAATCCATATGTTCGTGAACTTTCTCAACTTGTGACCGAACTTGCTACTATTTTGAATGAGACAGGCCTTTCTGGATTAGGTCGCACTATTATTCGAGATGCTGAAGAGGCACTCGAGAAATTGAATGATCGAATTCAAACTCTCAATAACGACCAAACTGCAATCCTTCAATCTCTTCAATCTCTTCGTTCTCAAGGCGATAAGCTCGAAGGGTCACTTGAGCGATTTCATATACAAGCCAAACAAGACCTTGAACTGACTCAGATAGAATCAGCTGCCAAGATTGTAGCCCGTGAAGCTCAATTGAAGAACGCATTTGAACAGACACGTGCAGAAATGGAAACTTCTTTTGCTCAACAGTTGGCGGCTGATTTAGAGCCCAACAGAAGCAGTTAGAGCGCAATCGACAAGAGGCTCTTAAGCAACAAAGTGAGGAATTACAACGCCGATTTGTTAAAGAGGTCAAGTTATTGGTTGAGCAAGAAAGAGCAGGTCGACTGGCTAAGCTGGACGTGATTGATAAACGATTCAAGGCACTAGAAAAATATGCTCTTCAAAATGCTCAACAATTGGATGCATCACGTCAACGCCACGTCATTCATGTCGCCTTAGATGCTCTTTGGAATATACTGGAGCAATCACCTCATCAGCAATCTTTTAATGATGAATTACAAGCTTTAAACCATAATACAAAGGAAGATGCTCTTATTCAGACCGTTTTAAGTGTTGTTCCTGATTCTATCGCCAAGGAAGGTGTTAACACCATAAGTGAACTCTTTCATCGTTTTGAAATTGTTTCTAATGAAATTCGTCGAGTAGCGCTTGTGCCTGAAGATGGCGGATTTGGATCACATATTATCAGTTGGGTCATGTCCTTTTTGATGTTTAAGAAGGAAGGCTTGGTAGAAGGGGATGATATAGAATCGATTTTGGCACGTACAAATTATTATTTGAAGAGGGATAATTTGGATTATGCTACGCGAGAAATGAATCAATTGACTGGCTGGCCAAAAGATTAGCCCAAGACTGGATTCAATCAGCTAGACGTCATTTGGAAGTGAAACAAGCATTAGAGGTAAAAAAAATAAAATAAAAATTATAGTAAAAGGCATTATGTTTTTATGCTCATGGGTTTTTGATTTTTTTTTTTTAGGTTGCGGAAACAGAGGCTGTTTTATTAAGCCTTTTAGAAGCTTGAAGACTTTATGATAAAAATCCCATCCCCCCTCCATATACAGACTTTGTTCATAAATAAAAAAAAAAGGAGATTAACAAAAAGAAAGTTATATTATGTAATCGTGATGCCTTTTTTTTCCCGCATTTTTCACTATTTTATTGGACGGTTGTTGAAGTATGATATAAGATTTATATAAGTTACTAAACATAAAGCAAAAGAAAAAGAAAAAAAAACTAAATCTATCAGTTTATTTTATTTTATTTTTCTTTTCTATATTCTAATTCTTCTCTGAATATACAATGGTTAATTCATCTATACAGAAAATCAAACAAGGCATTGATGAGCGTATGAAAGGTGGTGTTACGATCATCTATTAGGGGCCTCAGGTGATTTAGCGAAAAGAAGACATTTCCAGCTCTTTATGCTCTCTTCAATACCCACTTTATGCCTGAAAAGCTTCATATTGTCGGATATGCACGTACTAAAATGAGTCGTAAAGAATTTCATGAACGCATTAGTACCTCTTTGAAAAACGATGAGCACGAAGGTAATGAAAATATTAGTCAATTTTTGGATATCTGTCATTATGTGTCAGGTCAATATGATGAAGATGACTCCTTTAAGAACTTGGACAAGTTTGTGACGGATTTAGAGGAGAAAGCAGAGATGAAGAAGGAACAGAGAAATCGTATCTTTTATATGGCCTTGCCACCTGGTGTCTTTGTCGCAGTGCTACTGGCTTAGAAAGTTTGTATCATCAAATAAGGATGCAATAACGTCCTTGGTTGTTGAAAAACCATTTGGTAAAGATTTGGAGTCTTCAAATTCCCTTTCTACTGAAATTGGAAAACTTTATGAACCAGAACAAGTATATCGTATTGATCATTATTTGGGGAAAGAATTGGCAAGAACTTGATGTATGTTCGTTTTGCAAATCGTATCTTTAGCTCTCTTTGGAATGCTTCTCATATTGATTCTGTACAGATTACAATGAAAGAAGCCATTAGTACTGAAGGTCGTGGTGGTTATTTTGATGAATATGGCATTATTCGTGATGTTATGCAAAATCGTAAGTAATAATAATAATAATAAATAATAAATGCATACATAAAAAAAAAAGAAAAGAAGAGAAAAGAGAAAAAAACCCCTCTTCCTAAACTAATTTAACGAAATTATATATGTATATAGACTTGTTACAATTGTTTTGTATGGTTGCTATGGAACGTCCTATTGCACGAGATGCAGAAGCCATTCGTGATGAAAAAGTAAAAGTCTTACGATGTGTAAAACCTGTTAAACTTGAAGACACTTTATTAGGTCAATATGTAAGTAACGGTAAAGTGCCCGGTTATCGAGAAGACGAGTCTGTCCCCGACGATAGTCTCACAGCCACTTTTGCTACCATGGTCCTCTGGATCGATAACGAACGTTGGGATAATGTCCCTTTTATCCTTAAAGCGGGTAAAGCAATGGACAGCGGTAAAGCAGAAATTCGTATTCAGTTTAAAAATTACCTGGAAGTTTGTTTAATGATGTCCCTCGTAACGAACTTGTCTTCAGAGTCCAACCTGGGAGGCCATGTATATGAAATTTAACAACAAGGTACCTGGATTTTCCTATGATACTATGATCACTGAACTTGATTTGACATACAAGAATCGTTATAAAAACTTGAATATACCTGAAGCTTATGAAAATATGATATTAGACGTTATGCGTGGAGATCATTCAACATTTGTACGTGACGACGAACTTAAAGCAGCATGGCGAATCTTTACACCTCTTTTACATCAAATTGAAGAGCAAAAGATAAAGCCTGAACCCTATCCATACGGAACACGTGGACCTAAAAAATTGGATGAATTTGTAAAAAGATATGGTGTTGAACGATTGGAACATGAAAACTATCAGTGGCCCTTACATCAACTTGATTAAATAGCAAAAGATTTGAAGTTCAACTCCAGAAAATAAAATAAAATAAAATAATAACCTTTTTTTTTTCTCCATTCCATTTCTTTTTTAAAAAATGTACATTAACATTGTTAATGTTAATTCATCAACTCAACTAAACAACTAAATAATTCATTATAAATTTGACTTTTTATTTTTATTTTTTTTTTTTCTTTTTAAATTTACATTTGCCATATAAATAAATATATATTTTTTCAATATATATCATATACATATATACATATTATAATCTGCTAATGGCAAACGATTGGATTACAATCTTTGACAATACACAAGAAGCAAGAGTAGTTTATGTCTCAGAAAGCATCACGGATTACACTGGTTGGGAGCCTGAAGATGTAATCGGCAGAGAAGCCTATGAACTCTTTCACCCTGGTGACCACAATAGTCTTCGTAAGGTTCATTTAGTTAATGTCTACAATGAAAAATGTCTTCCATGGTTTGCTATCGTTTTTTAAAGAAGGACGGTTCCTATATTAAGATCGAAACTATCGTTCACTACTGTCATGACGTCATTATTGGTTGTAATTTTCTGTACGATAGTGATAGTTTGGATCACAAAGCACGAGTAAACTCAGTAGATGAAATCTTTATTTGTCATCCTGATGGTTCACTTCAATTGGCGGGGGCCTGGAACAACCGTCAAGAGGATATTTCGTTATCCCTAGAAAAGGTTTGGAATAGAAAGAATCATCAAATTATTTTGAATCAGGAACGCCGGTTTTGTCTGATCTTGAATAGATTTGCGGAGGCTCTTAATATTGTTTTATGCTTCCAAGTTAGCAACTGAATTAGTGTCATTAGACCGTCAATAAGACCATTGGAACACCCCTTTTAAATTTTGTACAGGAGAATGATTTACCATCACTTTTGACTCAAACTAATTAGTACGTGAATATGATATGGTGGTTAGGCTTAGGTTTGATTGGATCATTGATAAAGAAAAGGGACTCTCGGAACCTGTAGAAGCAATTGTAAGTAGTACATCTGATGGCTTAGTGATGGTTCTTCGATTAGCACCGAGATTCTTTATGGGATAAGAATGTGATAACCCTTTATTTTTAATATCTTTATTGCATAATTGTACATATATTGTATGTTTATAGAGAAATTGTATTTATATAATCATACATAATAAATCCCCTTTTTTTCTTTTCTTTTCTTTTCTCATTCTTGTATTTAAAACGAATAAACAGATTATCAATAATGACAGATGAGGAACAAATAGAGATAGATGGAAAATCCTCAGTTGAACATCAAATAGAGCTTTATATACATGATCTCTTCAATATCTCTAAAATGACACTTGTCGAAATTCTAGAGAACCTCGACTACCTTATGCAGACACGTATCAAACGACATCACCATCATCTCAACCCAGACCTAATGGAACGTCTCATGAAGGCTCTCCTTATCAATGCAGGACATACCACCATTCACTCTGGCTTTATCCGAAAGGGGACTACATTGGGCGCCGATTTAGCCTTCTTTTTGATAGGTGACTTTATGGAACACGTAGTTGAATTTCGTGAAGCCATTCATCGTGTTTCAGCTCACGAACTACGCAATTGTTTAAAGATACATTATCGTTGTCAAAGTTATTCAACAGATATACAAAAGAGGGCTGCCGTGGTCATGATTCGTCTCTTCCAGATCCTCTTCCCGCATTTGTATGGTGGTCATGATGATTGGCGTGATTTGGTAAGGCGAGGTGAACAAGAGGCTATGAGGGAGTTACTTGAAGATGGTGGTAGTCATTCACAACAGCAGTTAGGTATGCCTAGATCATATCATTCAATTCCATCTTTAGTCTCCTCCTCTTTATTACCACCACAGGCTCTTTACTTTGACCGTTCTATTGATAAACTCATTAAAATGTATCCACAAAGCGTAAATTGCGTTGGTTTAGCAAGTGACAAAATTTCCTTTTTGCATACATATTATGGTTATAATATGTTACCATCACCTATTCAACAAAATATGTTGAAGATGTTATTTTATCAATTGACTGATTTTATGATCTTGATTTTAATTATGGCTGCTGTTATTGAAGCTGCTCAGAAGGACTTTCATAGTATGTCTGTCCTTCTCGCCGTTATTGTTTTGAATACCTTGATTGGGTTTAGTCAAGAATGGAAAGCAAGTAAGACGCTGAATACCCTAATGGATTTGTCTGTTCCAAAAGTAAGTATTACATATATTATTTATTTATTTTATTTTATTTTATTTTTAACACTATGAAAACATAATAAAGGCTTGTGTTATTCGTGATGGAAAACAAAAGACAATCTCTTCAGATGATCTGGTTCCAGGAGATATTGTTATAATAGAAGAAGGAGATGTTGTACCTGCAGATCTTCGTTTAATCAATGTTTCACAGCTTCATGTCGTTGAAAGTGTCTTGACAGGCGAAAGCTTACCTGTTGAAAAAGATGTAAATCCCATTAAAATCAAGGTAAGTCTTTTATTATATATATATATATACCTACGAATAGTATTAATAAATATTGTATTTTTACAAAATAAAATAAAATAAAATAAAATAAAATAAAATAAAAAAAAAAGACAAGATGCATCTCTATTAATGAATGTAAAGGAAATGTATTCATGTCAACTACAGTAACTCGTGGACGTGCAGTCGGTATTGTCGTACGTATTGGCGAAAATACAGAGGTAAAAATTATTTAATTTTTTTTTTAAGTTGTTAATATTGGCTTAGATTGGTAAAATTAGTACAGCTATTCAACAAGGTTTCAAACATAAAATGAAAACGCCAATTCAAAAGAAATTGGATAAGCTAGGAAAATATTTAGTTTTCCTGGCAATTGTTTTATGTATATTAGTTGTTATTATTGGTTTAGTATGGAAAAAAAGATGTTAATCAAATGCTAAATGTTGGGTTAAGGTACAAACGACTACATATATACATATATAACTATTATACTCACAATGAATTATACTTGTGGAAACCTTTTTGTAATGTATAGTTTGGCTGTGTCTGTTATCCCTGAAGGCCTAGTAGCAGTAACTACCGTCACAATGGCTATTGGTGTACGTAGAATGGCTGAAAAGTAAGAGTTTATTATTACATAAAAAGAAAAAAAAAACTAAACTTGACCATATTATTATAGTAATTGTATTGTTCGAAAATTATCTGCAGTAGAAGCATTAGGAAGTATAACAGTTATTTGTTCTGATAAGGTATATACGTATATATATATATGTATATTCATGTATAAATAAAACTATTCTGTTTTAATTTATTTATGCTAGACTGGTACATTGACTGAAGGGAAAACGGGGACATACAAGTTATGGACAGGTGATGGATTACACTACCAGTTTACGAACCCTACATCATTTAATGAAGGACATATTTTACTCTCTTCTTGCTACCGAGAAGAAGATGATTCTATTAAATCACAGGCAACTTGTGTGAAAGCTTTAATAAAGAAAACTCCCAAACGAATAATCTTCTAAAAGATGATGATGAGGAGGAGTCAGAATCAATTTAAGATATAATACAACAATGCTTGATACACAAAATATAGAAAATTTGACTTTCAATTTTAAGAAAGCTATCATGATAATTGCTCTCTGTAATAATGCTTCACTCATGTTTGATAAGGAAAATCAGGTATGGAAAGCTATGGAGATCCTACCGAAATTGCCCTTGTCGCATGCTCACAAAAGGTAGGGATAGGGAAGGATTATTGGGACCAGCAAGGATACAGTCGTATTCATGAATATGCATTTGATTCAGAACGTAAACTTATGAGTGTTGTTTATTTAAACAAAAATGAAATGATTTTGCTTTGCAAAGGTGCACCTGAAGAACTAGTGAGAAAATGCTCACACTATATTGGACCTCAAGAAGAGTTATTGATTTTAAATGATGTATCCTCCATGAATACAAGGATTGCTAAGGAAAGTTCAAGAATGGCGGGTCAGGGACTACGTGTATTGGGCCTTGGGTATAAGAAATTAACCATAAATCCAGATGGTAGTCATCCTGAATACTCTGAGACAGGCTTAACATTTGTAGGTTTAATTGGTACCATTGATCCACCAAAGAAGGGTGTTCAAGAGACAATCCAACGATTCCAGGAGGCAGGAATAAGAGTTATGATGATTACAGGTGATCATATTAAAACTGCCATAGCTATTGCAACTCAACTGGGTATTTTTCATCCTGATCAATCAAATAAGGTTGTTTATTTTTTATTTTTTTTATTAAGAATATATTAACTTTCTACTCCCCCCCTCCTCCCTTCACATATATCCTTTCTTTATATTGACTGCTATTATTGTTTAAAGAACATTGCAATTCTAGGTCAGGAACTCGATTTTCTTTCAGACGATGCTATTTTAGAGCTTGATCCATTTCCTTGTGTATTTGCACGAGTAAGTCCTGACAATAAATTAAAAATAGTAAAGGCCTTACAGCAACGTGGAGAACTAGTAGCTATGACAGGTGATGGTGTGAATGGTATAAATATATATACATATGTATATACATATATATATTCATATGGAACCCATAAAATGTATATGTAATTTCTCTCTCTCTCTTTGTATGAGTGTAGATGCACCAGCAATCAAATGCGCAGATGTAGGTATTGCTATGGGTAAAGTGGGTACAGATATCACTAAACAGGCAGCTGATATTGTTTTACTCGATGATGATTTTACTACTATTGTGAGTGCAGTAGAGGAAGGACGTCATGCATTCGATAATATACTTAAATTTATTATTTATCTTTTGAGCTGTAATGGAGCAGAAATATTTCTGATGTTAATATGTGCTATTGTTAACTTGGAGATGCCTTTAACAGTTATGATGATCTTGTATGCCAATATTATAGCAGATATTCCACCTGCCATGGCATTAGGTGTAGAGCCAAAGGAAGTTGGATTGATGAAAAGACAACCAAGAGATCCAAATCAACCTATCTTAACTAAAATCACTTGGGTCATGATAATTACACAGTCTATCTTAATAGCTATTTTAACTCTTGCTATTTATATTATTAACTTGAAATATTTAAACTATCCAATTGAAGAAGCTCAATCTACAGTAATAATTTATAAAATTGTTTCACAAAAATATTAAAACAATTATAAATGTATATAATAGGCATTTGCAGCAATAACCACATTTCACTATTGCATTCTCATTTTTATAACAGATCTATTTTACAATCCATTTTTATTAAGAATATATTTAGAATATATGGATGACTATAGCAGTTCTTGTTTCTTTTTGCTTTCATGCTGTTGGGCATTTATACTCCAGGTACAAACAAACAAACAAACAAAAAAGTTTTAATAATATAATACATGTATATATTTGAGTAACAATACTTTTTTATAGGCATTTTCTTCCTGGCTTAAATTATCATTTGTGAATGGCACATCATGGCTAATGATATTCATATGTTGTATTTTACAAATATGTATGTTGAACTACAAAAATTATTATTCGAAAATATCACGGAAAAGTTTAAAAAAATAAAATAAAAGCGTGTGTGTGTGTGTATATATATATATGTATATGCGTTATATATTATTTTACTGTTTAGTTAAACAGACTTTGATGATATTGCTGCTGCTGCTTCTGCTACTGATGATGATGATATTATTGCCATATCACTCATCCAGTGGTTCATTCTAGTTATATCCATTGATTTGCAGCTAGAGGTTTATTGATTAGTTGTGCTCGATCAGCTGGGGAAATACATCCACCATTTCGTTTAAGTGATTTTCCTAATCGATGGACACGTAGATGCCGTCTCATATTACTTTGTACACTAAACTTACGATTACAACCTTCCTCAATACATTCAAAAGGTCTTTCGCCTGTATGTGAATAGATATGAATACGTAATGAAGATGGTCGCGAAAATCCTTTAGTACAATAGGAGCAAATGTATTTATTATGCTGCTTTGGTGTTATTAATTTCGCTTTATATGTTGAAGTAGAGTGATTTAATTTGCTTTTGCTATCAGATACCTGATGCATTAATTTATGAGATTCATCAAAAGAAAAAGAAGAGGATGAAGATGATGAAGAAGAATGAGATAAAGAGAGAGAAGGTGGGTTCTGTTGTATTTGATGAAAATTTATAGTACTTGTCGAGTAGGCGCGTCTATGGTTTGTATGAGAAGTATTATTATTAATACTAACAGGATAAGGATGAGTATAATCTGAATACGAACGACTATGATAAAAGTTATTCCTAGTTGTTGAGGTTTTATTACTTGTTAAATCATCTATTTTTGGTTCAAGTGGCTTTGGTAAAAAGTGGTTTAATGATATACTATATTCCGAAGCGTGACGACGATGATTATTCATAGTTAAGGAAGACTGTCCCTTATTTTCTTTTTCTTTTTCTTTTTCTTTTTCTTTTTCTTTTTCTTTTTCTTTTTCTTTTTCTTTTTCTTTTTCTTTTTCTTTTTCTTTTCTTTTTTTTTTTTTTTCAATAAAAGAAAATGTTAAATAAGCATAATATGTATTTATAAGATATAGTATTACCATTGCTGATAGTAATACCTTCAAGCATAGATTGAATTGAAGGTAATTTTGGTAGTTGCTGTTATATTCATAAATGGAGAATATGTTGAAAAAAAAAAATAATAATAGAAAAAAAAAAAAAAAAAAAAAAAAAAAGAAAGAAATGCTGACTCCTATAAATAAATAAATGAAAAGACGATCAAATACATGATACAGTGCTCGTGGTACCAATTTGCGCGATTTTAAAACTTTTATTTTTTAAAGTTGAGTTTTATTGAATAAAAATCCAAATGAGCACAAGCATTTTATATACTAAAATTGCCCGAACCAGTTCAAAAATGCATATAGGGAAAAAAAACCTTCATGGGCTGAAGGAAAAAGGATAAAAAATAGGAAGAAGGGGAGGGAAGTCTATACATGCTGACTAAGCCAGAGAAGAAAAGGGGAGTCTAAAGACAGAGTAGGCAGGACTAAAGCATTGTAGGGAGCACCATACTGCATCATGTTAACTTTATTAGAGGAATTTTTGGATGACAATCCAATGTATTTGCCAGTAGGCCTGTGTATGAAGTGGCTTGGGTAGTCTAGAGGGAAGTCAAGTGAGAAGACACGAGATGGTGTCATCCATGTCTTGCAATATATATAATTGAGGATGGATGCGTAGGCAATGGATGCTGTGTTTCTTTGTTAGATTGTGTAATCCGCATTGACAAGATTTAGAAATACCACCAGGTAGCCAGCCCAGCCACCATCTAATGAGTCGACTATGTTCGATTGGGAGCATAGGTAACCACAGGATGAGATCCAAGGACAAAGAAGGACGGCAGATGGACACTAATTTGCTGTACCTTTGCTGGAGAGTAAGTTGAAAGTTCCTTGCAAGAAAATCATGGCAATGTCAACGAAGGGTGGAGGTGTTCAGGCTATCAAGAGGCTCAGGTAAGGCCTTAACAAGAGCTGTATTGTTAAGTTTACGCCATTGACTGGATCGTAGGGTGTTAATACAGGGTAGGAGACAGGTGAGTAGTGCATCAGTCGGGAGTGAGCATGATCGGACGATGTATTTGGCTTGCAATATGTGGCTATGCTCTTTCATAAAGGGAAGTTTCAAACCTTTTTGCGCACTTTGGAATTTCAATTTACGTAAATTTAATTGGCCAATTTGCGTTGATCTAGCAAGTCAATTCGCGTTTTTTCACATTCTCAATTCACGCAAAAACCCAAGTAGAGCTAATCGTCATGGCTGTAAGATTTGTAACTTAATTCAATAAGATAAATAATCATAATAGAATATATAATGCATCTTTATGTTAATTCTGTCTATACGCATATTTTAAGTATATTTACTCTTGTATAAAAAAATAAAAAATGAAAAAGTCTTACATCTAAAAATGTTTCTTTTTTTTTATTAATTCTCTGCTGAATATGAATTTATATAAAACAACTTTATAAGTTAAACTAAGAACAATGCAAATACGCGTAATAATTGATTTTACTAAAAGTACGTGTATTAGCTGTATACATACAAAAGACATAATGATTCTAATTAAACCGTTATTCTCTTCCATAATTACGTTATCATATAGAATTTATTATATTATTACTCATCATCTTTATTCACAAAATACATAAATACTCTCACATTATTAACCTCTATTTTGTACTAATGGATATATAACTTAACTTTTATCTCCAATAAGAGCATTATTAACAAGTCTCAATATACTTTCTTTGTCCCTTTTTTGTATTACTTCTTTTTTTTTTAATTTTTTATTTCTATTTTATCGTATTTTATCTGTAAATCACAAACACTGATTACCAATAAATGTATTTTTGCTTGCTTCTTCGTTATTTGATCAGTACAAACGGTACTTGCCTGGCTTTCCGTATATGCGATTAGTACATTGGAGAAGAGGGCAACGGGAATTGATAATATAGCAGATTTCCACTTCCTCCATTTCCTCTATTCTTTCTAGACACTTTTCGACATTAACTTTGGTATATTTTTGGCAACAAAAGATGCATGCAGCTTCTCCTTTTGTAATAGTTATCATTTTTAATGAAAGAGAAAGGGATTTCCTTTTTTTTTTTTAGACTGGTCTGTTATAGAACAAGCTCCAGACATAAGCCTAAGTAAAATTATAAACGACGAATTAAATAATGCAGGATAAACTATAAACCTGAACATATAATAAAGGTCATCATATCTTACTGTATATAACATCTTGTAAATAATATAATATTTATTGACATCTAATCATCTAAATATGTCAACTAAATAAGATATCGTGTCAGTTCTAAGCTTGATGAAGGATTCAGGTTGTCTTTGATTCAGGACTCATTAGTATAAATACAAGCAGTTGTGTAGACATAAAATCATCTTCTTTTTGTTATATTTTTCTTTACATTGAATAAACGGTCTCAAACTATATTTCTTTTTTGTTTTCTTCCTTTCTTTTTCTTCTTGTTTTTTTATTTTTTTTCTATATACACATATATGTCATACCATCACAGTAACTACTAAAAATGAGCGATTTTTTTGTTATTTATAAAATTAAAGTACGCTCAATAGACTTAACCTTTTTTGTATCTATTTTCTCGTGGTAGGTTATTTAAAGAAAGAAAAAGTAGTACCATTTTTTTTTTACCCCTTAATTATGTAACGTAAATCCTTTGTTAAGATTCTTAGATAGTTAACAAATTAAGATAATGTAGCAAAAAGAATGATGGCTATAAATTTAACTGAAGAATGAAAGAGAATACAGGATGCCTAGGAATTAGTGGCAGATTTTTTTATTTTTTGTTAATCTTTCCACACTTAAACTGTTGTCCTTTATTTTTTTTACTAAGACGGACAAAGGAAAATATGTGACCAAAGTGGAAATGATGCTATGGTTGTAGAAGAAGATGTTAACACATACCATCTGGAAACCTTAAGTAACATTAGAGGTTATTGCGAATCACAGGGACCAGAACAAGAGTCGCTTATTAAAGGTCTAGATACTTGAATGGAAGATATGACAAATCTTGTAGGAACAGTAAATAAGTAGCAACCGTCTTATAATGACTATAGCAGTGAACAGAAGCTTCTTTTTCTATATTATAACTCAGTGAAGCTTTACAACGTTGCGAAATTTCTCAAAATAGCAGGTGTAATTGCCAGACAGACAGCACAAAAGTGGGCGGAGGGATAAATATTGGAATATTCTTGAAAAAAAAACAAGCAAAGTGAGTAGGAAAGCAAGTCAATTTCAAAAAGGGCGTAAAATTCACTTGATCAACTTTTATAATGAGCATCCTTAAGCATGAAGTAAGTGCTGCAGTTGCGACTCTTGATTGAGAAATTTTCGAATTTCTCACTAAAGACTTCCAACATTTAAGTCGTCTTGAATAATGAGTGCAATTTTTCTTTCAAAAGAATAGCCTGTCGTTTTGAAGTGAGAAATATTGAATTAAAACTCGCGAATAGAAAGAATCATAAGTTTAAGAAATGAGTAAAACGGATATGAGCTTTCTTGAGAACTGTACTTTTATAGGTGAATCAAGATTCGACATTGATGTGAAACCGCCTGAAGGTTGGTCAGAGAGGGGCACGCATGTCATAGTTACTTCTCCCTCTACCAGAGCAATGCTGCATACTATCTTGGGAGCAATCAGCGCTAAGTTTGCCATAGCTATGAAGCTCAGAAACTTCCAAATATCCAAAGGAATAAAAATTGGAGGTGCATAGAGAGATGATGTAGATGCCCTTTTTATTGCATTGATAAAAGCTATTACTTCTGTCGTAATGATAGTGCTTCACTTGTTCCATTTTACATATAGCCTTAAATAGAATGAAAAGAAAAGAGAAATAGAGAAAAGTTAATTTAAAGAAAAGCAAATGATATATATATCATCTACTATAAAATATGACTATATAATCGTTAAATATCTTAATAATAGCACTATGAATCAATAAACTTAATGGTTGGTAAAATAGCCCATTTAATAAAGTGCAAATCATTAATAAAGTCTGAGTTCATACTGTATTTAGCGATTGATAAGACAATGATGATAATTCAATAAATGCAATTGTTAATAAAGAAATAGCAGGTTCATGAAAATGAGGTTAAGTAACTACAATTTAAATCCACAGTTCTGAAAAAAAAAATTAAAGAATATAAACAAGGAAAACTAACAGAGAAGATTGTAATACAGTCAATTGTAATCCCATTGACAAAATAAAGAGGTAAAAATGCTTCTATTGTATTTATTATTGCAAAATCTGTTATTAACGGGTTTGTTCAATAAAGGATTATTATATGTTTTATATGAAAATGAAAGATAGAAGAAGAAAAAGAAAAAATAAACACACACGCCGTCTACTTGATTCTATATTAAAAAAAAACCGTCACTTATATGTAACATGATTTTGCATTAAAGCAAGCTTTTTTTTTCTTTTTTTTTTAAGTTTTTTTTTCATGTCAAATGTGAGGATAAGAACTGAGGAAATCCATATAATTTACATGCAATATATGCCTTCTCTCTTTTAAGTCTCTTATCTTTATGTTTATCAGGCAACATAAGACCGCAATATTATTAGATATTAATTTCCCGTCTTTTTTTTTTTTTTTTTTTTTATTAAATATTTGTTTCATTTTTTTTTTCTTCTTTTTCCTTCTCTTTCTTACACATTCATATTATGGCCGGTTTTATTAAATTAACTAAAGAATCAAAACAATTTGCTGATTCACTTCCTAAATTTGATATTTCATCAATAAATATCGAAACACTTCGTTCCAAACCTGATAACGAGGTACCATTGGCTATTTCTAGACCTGATGTTGATTTAGAAGATATGACTGTAATTAGCTCTTCTGGCTTAGTCAAAATTCGTGTTTATCGTCCTAGTGGTTCTCATGATAAAATCTTACCAGCTATTATCTACATGTAAGTAAATTATACACACATACACACACATATATATATATGTATATATCGAATATATTCATTCATGCTGATTTTGTTACACAGGCACGGTGGTGGTTGGTGTGTTGACCAAAAGGCTTCTTACGCTTATATTTGTTCAAAGGTATATAAAGTGAAGTGATATGCATAAAGATATATGTTATTAATTACATAAGGGATTCATTTTTAGCTTGCAGGAGAAGCAAACTGCGCTGTCATCTTTGTTCATTATTCTCTTAGTCCTGAAGCTCGTTTCCCAACTGCTGTTGAAGAATGTTATGCTGTCTTGGCTTGGGCTACAAACCCTGCTAATGTTAACTTTTTGAAGATTGATCCTACTTCTGTCTCTGTAGGTGGTGATTCCTCAGGCGCTAACTTGGCCATAGCAATCACATGTATGTTTAGTCGCCTCTCCCCTCCCCTCCCAAAAAAAAAAGGATTACTAATATATTATATATAGTGCTTGCTAAGCAACGCCAATTAGAGAACAAGATTAAACATCAATTGTTATTTTATCCCGTCACTAATACTGAATTCAACACAAGTTCATACTATGAATTCAGTAATGATTATGCATTGACGCGTGATCTTATGAAATTCTTTTGGGATCAATATGTACCAGAAAAGTCAGATCGTGAAAATATTATTGCTTGTCCTGGTAAGGCTACTGTAGAAGACTTGAAGGATTTACCTCCAGCTTTAATCATTATTGCTGAAGCCGATGTCGTAAGAGATGAAGGTGAAGATTATGGTCGCAAATTGTTGGCTGCTGGTGTCCCTGCTACTACAACTCGTGTCGTAGGAGTCCTACACGGATTTGTTAGTAAACCAAACTTATTTTCTCAAGAAACTTTATTTGCATTAGACATGGCAGCTGCTGCCCTTCGTAGAGCTTTTTATAATAAATAATATAAATACATTTATTTTTTTTTAATATTTTTTTTGTAGTCAATGTGCATGTGTAAATGTATGACATGTTCATTATTGTATTTTTTTTTTTCATTATGATTACTTTTATTTTGACAGGATATACAAATGTTGTAATTTAATTTGATTAATGTTGATTTCCACCCCGAGCACCAATGACAATATTACCACTACTGCTAGTTTTATTGTTGTTGCTACTACTATTATTATTACTACTACCACACGTCCACTGTTAGCACTGCCACCACGATTTTGTCCACGTCCACGATTACCACCTCTATTATTATAATGTCCTCTTCCACTACCACCACGTCCACCTCTATTGGCCATTTGTCTTTGTTTGCTCTCTTCTTCTTTTACCATATCAACAATCTCTTCTGGAACGTTTAAATATTTTATAGTATTGCCTCTAATATAGCATTCAGGTAATCTCCAAAATTTGTCACCATCTGGTGATGTTTGAATCACTTCACGTAAAGTCAAATTCATCCAATTATCACAGTTAACCAAGTGGCCGTTAAAGGTCTCACCACTTTTTAGTTCTACAAGCATGGGGTGACCAGCTGCTGTATGTAAGAGTGCGAGTGGAAGCATGTTGTACTAGTTGAATTATATTTATGTATTTGTGTATATTAAAAAAAAAAAAAAAAAAAAAAAAATTAAGAAACAGAAAAAAGTTTATCAAGAATATATTTATTTTTTTAAAAAAAAAAAATCTTACGTCACAATAAGACACAACATTTTATATACAAATATATTATACAAGATGTATTTATATTTTTTTTTTTATTAATTATAAATTAAAAAGGTTGCTGTTCATTTTGATTATTACTATTATATGATTGAGGACCATATATATGTATTTTGCGATAATAATGGGCTCTTCGGATTATACAATGAAGTATTATTTTCTTCTGATGAAAAGTATTGTCTAGGACTAGCTGGTTGTGATAAAGCTGATTGATAGGTGGAAGGTGATAATGAAGGGGATTTCTGTTGATAGGAAAGTACGTTTAAGTTTTTGAGTTTGTATAGTAAGTTGAGGTAAATTGTCTGTAGGATCTAATTGAGGGGAGGATAAAGGTGAATTCGATGAGCTTGTTGGAGAAGGATGATGATTAGCAGTATTTAAATAAAATTGGTGTTGTTGTTGTTGTTGATGATGTTGATTATCAGCAGAAGTGATAAAAATAGGCGGTGGGGGCCTATCTGCACCTTGTTTATCAGAATCAAATATATCTAGAGTTTGTAAAGGTACTAAAAAAAAAAAAAAAAAAGATAAAATATGGATTAAAACCTATCTGAATATTGCATATATCACGTACATGTAGATCCATATTGCTTTGTCATAAAGTCTATCATATCTTTAATCATTTGTTGTTGTAATTGTTGTTTTTTCTTTGTTTCTGACAACTCATTCATAACTTGACTTAAATTAGACTGTAAATGAGAAATTTGTTGCATCATATCTGATTGTGACATTTGCATCATTGTTAAGTGTGATGTAATGTCAGTATTATCTCTTCGAACAGAGTCTGATTCTAAAGCTTTTCGTTTAATTTCGTCTAATAAATCAGGTCTATTTCTCAAAAACTTTGGATGTGAAAATTCCCAAATCTGATTCTCTGCCAAAGTTCGATGTCCTCTGGGTGATTTATTTACTTTATGAAATCCATACCTATAATATTCATCAATAAATATGTATACATATACATCTATAATATATTCATAGTTAAAACTTACATATTTAGCTGCCTCACAAAGCTACTAAAGTTATTGTGCTTAAAATGTTTGGGTAATACATCCCTTGAGAATTCTGTAATGTTACAAACAATAAATGAAGTGCCGGTATAAGTCCAAGCAATTAAATGTTGATATTGCTTATCTACAACCATACTATATATATATAATATTTAGTATATGAAAGGGGAAAAAAAAATCAAAAATCAAAAATCAAAATTAATCTATAGTTCTTTACTTGTATAACTTATGTACAAAAGTATTTCCACCACCTGGTTTTGTTGAATTAGACTGAGAACGTGAAGGTGGTTGAAGTGACATTTGTTGTATGAATTGACTATGTAATTGATCCCAAACAGGATTATCATAAGAAGGCGATCCTGCTCCAGGTGATATTAAAGGTGAATTTAGTGGTGAACCACCTGAAGAAACCGAGCTTCCACTAAAATTTGTATTAATTCCAAGAGATGCCGCTGATGGTGTATGTCCATCATTCATGTTGTTCATAAAGAAAAAAAAAAATATGTGTGTATAAAAATATATACAAAATAGAAGAGCGATATAAAAAGATTACTGAAACTCCAAGTAGCTCATTTGACCAATCACGTGTAATATTTCCATGTATTTGTTCAGCTCCGAAGACAGCAAAAATATACTTCATTTAAACAATTTAAAAATACCTAAAATTGGGCACAAAATATGAACTATATTAAAATTGCCCGGACAGGTCATGAATGATAAAAAGATATTAAAGAAACCCTTCCCTTATAGGAGCAAGGGTAAAAAAGAAAAAAGAAGTTTAAAAGGAACAAAATGTAGTGATGGCATTATTATCAAGAGAGAGAGAGAGAGAAAGGGGGCTAATTAAGGAATTTTAGACCACCAAATAGTTATGATAGTGAAGGCGGTCTTTTTTTTTTTTTTCTGTTGTGATGGAAGAGGTAATCAAGTTTGTGAAAAATTTAACAAATAACTGATTAATAATGAACAACTTAAAGGGAAGGTATTAAAACAAGTACGCGGTTGGCATGTAAGAAGCTTATTTGCAAGAAACAAGAGAGAATCCTCGTGCTTTTACGCATTTGAAGGCAGTAGATATTATGCTACTTTGTCAAAAGCACTGTAGGATGCTTTGTGCAGTAATTTGAATAATCACCAGGCAACCATCCAAGACACCAACGAAGAACAGCATAGGAAACCAAAGGGATAATGATCTAATTATATAAACAGTCATCATTGTGTTAATAATTTTGATTTGTTAAAATGATTTATATACAGGTCTCGATTATCTTACCGACAAAATTTAATTTATTGTTCGAGTTTTTTTTTTTTTTTTTTTTTTTTTTTTTTTTTTTTTTCTGAACTGGATTAGTCGGTGATAGTTTTGATCATAGAGATCTAGTTGTAGAGTCTTACAGAAGTAGTAATAAAAGAGCATTTGGGTAAACTTAAGGAACATAACAAAAACTGAGCTTGCAGAATATGTAATCTTTCACGTATAAATGACGGATGCTCATGTCAAAAATTACGATCTGTTTCGCCTAAATAAAAATTAATAATTTCTAAAAGTAAAACCTATTGATATGTTTAATTTATTTTGGAGACAAGATGACAAATGCAAATATCATTCTCGGGCTAGTGGATAGTAGTTATTGGGGATTGTAAAAGGAGGCTAGCTGTCATTACTTTTTTTTTTTTTTGATCTACAAAATAACGAGCAGTATTTCTTTTTATGAAGATGGATAAAATAACCTTTACAATAAACATAGATAAAAAGTTTATAATTCAATAGAAGACACTTGACTTAAATGTTGCGCTATAATATTATTCTCCAAACAATAATATAATACGCAGAGAGAATTATAGAAAAGCTATATAAACACTTGAAAGATATCATCATAATAAAATCGAAGATGAATAGTAGTCGAAAAAATTGATATTGCTACTAAATATGAAGAATATATAAACGTTTAACTGATTAAGGTTTTTAATTCTTTGTTGAAGACGACATTATATAAAACGCGACTAAGAAATTTAAAAAGTTTCCTATCTCAAAATCGCTGCTTAATCACTATTTGAAAAAAAACATGCATATCACTAAATAAATAAATAAAAATAATGCTTTGTAAATTGGTGAAGTCTCTCGCCTCGAATCTTATGTATGGTAAAATTTGTAGAAGTCATTTATCAAGCTACAAATTAGGATCATTTCATACAATTGTGTTATTAGAAGAACAAACGAAAATAGTGATTGCTATTTGCTTTTAAAAAAACGAAGCAAGAAGAATAAGAGCTAAACCATTAAAGTCTAATAGAACCCACCAGTAACAAGATGTATCTGTGATAAAAGAAGGTTTAAGCCAGATCCAGCAGATAAAGTTTAATTTTATGCAAAACAAAGTTAAAAGATCAAATGACTTGAACACTATTATATCTTGTCATCTTAAATGTTACTCTTATGACTTGAATGAATAAGCTCATATTAATAAATACTATAATCCATTCTATATTTCTTTTTTCTAGACATTTAAATAAAAATATTAAATACGCTCCTGAAATTGACAAAGCAAGAAACTTGGAATCAGCGTAAATGTTTTGAAACTAGGTAGTAGTAGACTATTAAAAAAAAAGATATATTTTATATTGAGCCCTTTAGATCAAATAAGCAAATTATTGCCGTCCTTTATTATACCAAGGTTTAAAAATTTAATAAAAACTAATGATATATAGTCAATTATCAAAACTAAATCTCTCGCAAGAATACCCATGATTATTTGCGAAAATATTAGTCAATATGCTGCATATTAATAGAGACTAGTGATGCAGTAAGTACATGTTCCAATTATTTCTTCATCAAAAATATCTTCCAGTTGTATTAATAAATAACAGAAACACTAAAGTTTTCTCACTATTAGGCTTATATAAAAGTAAAGTCACTAATCCAAAGAAGTATAACTGAATGAAAAGAATTGTTCAAGTGATGTTCTGAATCTGAATAATATCAGTTCTAACGATGATTTTATGCAACGTTATACATTCATTAAAGTAGCTTATCTTGTACTTCCAAACTAAACTATAATGAACAATGTTACTCTGTACAGCCAGTACGATAGATATTGTCGCCAATTAACAAATATTTGTCGGCAGTTGAGAAACAATTGTCGTAGTATTTTCCTCTTCCTGAGCTCTTATTTTTGTTTAATACTGTGATATTTCTTCTAAAATATCAAATAAAAAATATTAGAAAATAAAAAATAATATTAAGACAAAAGAAATCAATAAGTTCGAATAATAGTTCTAAAGTCAATGATTTTATTTAATGAATTTAAATTGATAGGGTATTTATAAGAATTGTTAAAGAGGTCTGAGGATAAGATGTGAATCAGAAAAGTGATAGTTACGACCGAATAAGGTATTTTGTTGACAATGAAGTGTTAGTGATTTTAATATTATTAGATGGAGCGATCAAGAGAGATTCAGGATAGAATTTCTTAAATAAATTTATGATCCGCATGTTTAATCATGAAACATGATATTATAAGTCAGCTCATGACACCTCCCTTATATTTATATATATTTACCGTAGATATGTATATTATGTATCTTGGTATCATTATGGCCCTTAAGCTATAGAAGAAAAATAGGGTGTCTAAAAAGCCTTATTTTATGCCTATACAGATACAAATCTATAGTTGTTATGTTTGATCTTAATTACAAGTAAGCGTAATATACAGACTCTTTTAATTGATTAACATCAAGCTTCTCTAGCTAATACTATACATTATGTTATGGCTTACTTAGGAACAAAGACTATAAAAAAAAAGCTCTACCAAGAATATTGTAATAACAATCAATATCTATCTATAAACTAGTGTAAAGAAGAATGTTCTCGATTACTTCAAAAAAGAAGATATTGACAAATATAACAATTCTATCACTGTAACAGTAATAAATGCAAGGATATTTCTTTTCTGACAATATTCAACTTTTTTTTTCTCCTTTATTTTACTGAAACTTTATCTGGATATTGTATAAACAAAATGAATAATCTTAACTTTTCCTTTATCCAATTTTATATTTAAAGTTCATATTTTGCCTCATCAAAAAAAAAAAGTTGAAATGAATTACCTAATAAATCCCTTGTTCTATGTAGTATATTGTCATATATTTGTCAATGCCTACAAACTTGAAGGCTAAAAGAGGTTAAGAATTATATTTCAAAAGCCGTAAATTATACAGAAAAGATAGCTCTAATAAAAAGACAGTAGTAATACGAACATTATTGCTATAGAGTATATATACATGTATATATATTTTTAGGGAAAATAGGTATCATCAGAACTAATTATTCTCATTATTATCTTCATTACAAAAGGAGATATTCCAGAGCTAAAATGTAGCAACAGTAGAGATTTGAAAAAAGGAATACATTTCCTCCTTTATATTTGGTATATAGTAACATGTTGTCTATCATTCTTCTTGTCTCCCTTTTAGTCTTTATAAGAGTTCTTTACAGTCATTGTAATCATTGGAATAGAGCCGATTCATTTTAATGTACGTTAAAAATTTATTATCACGTGCTGACTTATAATGTCATGTTTCTTGATTAAACATACGGATCAAGGAATATATTATCTATAACATGTCTTCGTATTTAAAAGGGATGTAGGAAAGATTACTGTGAATGCAAATCAAAGATACTTAAACTGGTTTTCATAGCATACGTCAAAGAAGCTAAAATCGTTAATATTTACAATCATTTTGGCAAACAATGCATGTGGTAAAAGAATGATTTTAAGCACAACATAAGGGAGACTAAATGAGATGCATATTAGTTGCCTAATTAGGAAAAAGAAAGTTTATGAGAATATAAACAAAAAAGTGAAAAAAAAAGACATTTATTTTATTTACTTTTCTTTTCTTTAACATAAACATTTCATATAGTCATAAAGAAGATATAAAATTGACAACATTTTACTATTCTACACATTGTTACTTTTTATAAGAAAGAAAGAAAATTAAATAATGTAACTGTGTGTGTGTGTGTATTAAATGTGGGGTAACACATATTCTTATCGATTTCATATGATTGTGACTGTAATTTACAACAACGACCTCCTTATTCTTATAAAAAAGTAGATATTCAAAGTTATTTTTTCTTCTTTTTTCTTCTTATTATTACTATTTCTTCTATAGGTAAGTCATTAAATAATACTATTTTATTCTTCTTCTTCTTCCCTGCCCTAGGAGGAAATTCTTTTTCTCATGGTTACCACTTATGTACCGGGCTCTTGATGAGGAAGACACCCTATCTTGCCCTCCTTGAATTAGGAGGACATTGTAGGGTATCTTGTTGATTCAGAGGGCGTTACATATTGTGATCGCTATGGTTTTTCTAACCTCCTAGTAAAAATAAAAAATACAAGAACAAAGAAGGTGCAACGAATCCTAGCCTCCACGCGGCCACCTTTGGACTGCAGTAATTATTACTGTTGACGAATTGGGGATTCACTTTTTTATATGAAATAAAAATGAAAATAAAAATAAAATAAATATTTCTTTTCTTACGCGTCTTTTAATAATCTTGTGCCTTCTTTAACTATTGTTTGTATAATAAAATATCTTTTTGCTCCAAATTGACTTTAAGAAGTATAAAAACAAGTAATTGACTTAAAAAATACAGGAAATATAGGATATGGTGTAGTGGTGATTATGTAAACTATTGACTAATATCTTATCAGAGAAACTATCATGATTACTATTCCTCCTTTACAATCAGATTATTTTTCTTTAAAATTAACTAAGATAAGTACAATATTTTAAAGATATTGTGTACTTATTCATCGCTTTTCTAATTTTTATATTTCTTTTATGTATGCATATTTCCTTTTTTTTTCCGTTTAATGTATAAAAAAAATTGAACTTGTCACTAAGAGTACGTTTTGTTCCATTTTCTTTATATTTAGAAACGAAATAGCTGGAATATTCACTGTGAATTAATATTAACATAAGCAGGATTATTCGGAAACAATATTGATGTATAATGCTTTATTATACCAGTATTTATTTATTCATACCACTTACCTTGCGAAAATATATAAATAGCCCTTGTCGTTTTTCCATATCATTTTTTTTTCTTAATAAACTATACAGAGTTTTCACATACTTGTCTTTTCTATTTTCTCTTTCCTTATCTTTTGCATTTAAAACACTGTCTTTATTTGTGAAATGGTAGCCATAACAGTTGAAGCTGTCATAGATCAACTTTGCCAAAAAAAAAAAAGAAAAGAAAAAGATGTCATATCACTTGTAAAACGTATTATCCCGCGATATTTTGCACGAGATAGTGAGGAAAATATCAATCAGCCTTACTCATTTAATACTTTTGTACCTCAACTACGACGACCCTACTAATATTACTGTTCTTACAGGCGTGATTATAACTTTTACAATGGATCAATTTTAATAATTCATTATCAATTCAATTTCCAAGTGATTTACGTACACCTTATGTAATTTCTATTATTCGACCCTTTTTTCGAGCAACCATCTATCAATGTCATCATATGATAGCAAGAAATATGAGCCGGTTTAATATCTGAAGTCTCTTACTCGTAATCCTCTTTATTGATTCACTAATTGACTTGTAGTAGTCTTACATTTCAAAATTGACACTATTTGGACGGTTTCTTTATTATTATCAGTATTAGTATTAGCAAGGTAAGGTAAGGATAAGGTTACAAATGAAATTAACATTTTTATTTGGGGGCTACTAAACTTGAATTGTATTTCTTTCGGTTTATCAACCGTTATACTTTAAGATTCATTGTCCCAAAAGAGTGAGGGAAAAAAAGGCGTTATTACCGATTCATTATCAAGTTGTATAGAGTCTCCTGGATCTTCAGCAGATAAGCCATTATTAAGTATGTCATGTACTATTCGATAGTAACACTGGATTATAAGCACCTTCTTATTAGAGGTCGTGGATTGTACTCTTTGGCTTTTTTACTCTACTAAAAAAAAAGGATATAAATTCCTAAAAAGAGTAATGTTATAATAGTAATTAACTATACTTTCTATAGTCAACGACGACACAATCTGCCAGGGAAATAGTTTAATTGCTGAATAAAACTTGGCGATCTGCCTTTTTTTTTTTTCTTTTTTATGAAAATTTTTAGAAGAAGTCTATTTTAGTGTAATTTAAGGTGAATAAGATAATAATAAGAAAATCTACTCTATATTATAAGTAAAAAAAAAAGAAAAAAACAGTCGAGTATTGTAGAAGGGTTCAAGTTAGCGATAAATAGTGAGTGCATCAACATATGAATTATGAAAAGAAGTCATCTAATAGCAAGATGCATCGTACATAATAAAAGATAGCAGTAGTTTCTTATTAAATGTATGTTCACATCATGTGCATTAACTTTAGTTAATTTATAGATTTTCCTTTAATTAATCCATATAAGGAGACAAATTTACTGAAGGAGCAATTACCCTTTATATTCTTTATGAAGTCAATGCTCATCCAAGAGCAATATGTAACTGGCAAAAACCTCAAAACAATGATGACCTTCATTAATACCTCAATAAAAGACTTTATCTAACAGTATCGTTTCCCAAAAACGTGTTATTACATTTTTACAGGTGATGTCAAATGGAAATCTTTTTTTGTTTTCATGATAGACTTCAATAATACGTTTCTTGTATTAAGTGACATTATAACATCCGTAGATACGTTACTGAGGAGTAAAGGGAATTGTCTTTGTAGAAAATTTTGTAATAAAAAAAATCCTTTGCAAAGGCTGAGATATTTCAACAACTTCTTTTCGATGAATTCGGTCAAGCCTCCCTTCAGTCTTTATATATATAACTACTCAATAATCAATACCCAAAGAAAATTTTCTTGGAAAAATTGTGTTGAAAAAAAAAATCACTAGTTGGAAAACCAAAGTTAGTTTATTTCCAGTTTAAATAATGGATATTTATGATGGCAAGGCTTGAAACAACTTCAAGTTATACCCTAAAGATGAACAGTCTTTTGTACAGCAATCAGATTATGAATGCTCATTATGAATGTTGGCTAGTTTTAGTCTTATTCTGACAATGTACATTCTAGTGATGCTGAATTTATTTAACACATAACTTACCTTGAGAGGAAAGAAATCTTAGGGAAAATATACAATAATCTTTTTAATATTTATACACTGTGCTGTTATAGTCTTTCACCACTTTTGTTATAAAAAAAAAGAATAATACGCTTAATTATTAAATATTATTAGAGAAGCAACTTTATTGTAGAACGATTTTTATTAAATTAGTTTTTTTTTTTTTTCATTTTTATTGATATTATAAAAAAAAGGATGCTTTTCTTAGTTCTCAAATCTCTTTAAAAGAGACTTGATACTAACAGGATTAACCACGAGAAGGTGAAAGCATATCTAATCCCAAAATAAGTTCTATAAACCAATACCCATGTTGGGCTTTTTTTTTCTTCTTCTCCCTCTAAATTTCTACTTGAAAGATAAACGTCCAATTTCAACTAGTAGACACTTGGCAAAGTCCAACCTGGCCCAAGCCTTGCTAGAAGAAAAGATAGGATTCCTCACCCCATAACCCAATAAAAAAATACAGTTGGATGTAAGTTTCATTGGAAGCCGGGCTAAACATTCTGACCTGTAGCGTGGCGAAGTGGAAGGAATCCAGATACATGAAGTGCACGACCTGACTATTGTTTACCTGAGAATGTCCCTTCTTTGACCCCTAGCATCTACTTTTGACTTAACAGTAAATACAAGCTGGGATTCTTCACCTAAATGAATAGATGAAAAAACCACGGTCAGAAACGTAAGCTGTGCATCCTTATCTATTTTATTTTATAAACAGCAACTAGATAAAATAAAAAGAAGGAAAAACCTCCAAAAAGAAAAACAGAAAAACTAAACCTTGAGATAAGCCCTTTCAATGGTGCAGACAAAGAGTACGCTAATCTCCCTAAAAAGGAACAGGTTTACAATTTCCAACCCCAAGTATCCTTTTTATTTCCCTCCTCCTTTGGAAATAAATCAAACTTGAGCAGTCAAAATTCGATAAGGTCCATCAATTATCTAAGGTTGCAATAACCAAGGTGAAGGCGGATATGCATGTAGTAACCAAAAGAGAGTCTAGGCCCTCTCCTTTAGCCATGTTATAAACGGACAGTTCTACAAACTCAAGTAAGCCAAGCTATGTGACTTGAGCACACTTCATAACCCTGACAATGTCTACCCATAGTTTCAAGTAAAAATAAAGAAGAATAGGAAAAATAAAAAAAAGCTAAAGAAAAAAGAAAAAAAAAAGGGAAATAAAATGAAAAATGTACCTTTTTTTTTATAGTAAAATTCAGGAGAAAAAAAAATAAACGAAAAGAAGGAGAAGTTATTAAAGTTTAATCTTAGCGTATTTTTTTTGTTTTTAATTTACTTTGCGTTAAATCTTCTCTCCTGCCTTTCTCCTTTCTTTTTTTTTCTCTTTTCTTTTTAATACTTTAGAGATAAGTTTTGCCTTTTATTTGAATGTAGTAAAGCATTACTATCTTCTTTGAAAGTAAGCAAGAAAGTAAGAAAGTAAGAAAAAGAAAACAAGTTTGTTATATGTATTCATGTGAATATGAGCATTCTTGTAAAATAATTAAGCTAAAACTAGTTAAATGCAGTTACACGACAGAGCATGATATTCATACATTCTCCAAAAGAATAAGAGTAAATAAATAAGCTATCAATAATATAAAAAATGTCATTTTATACAGCAGTTTTTTTTCAATTGTACAAGATATTTTGGCAGTTTATGCATTTTAAATAGTTAGGCTGTAAGCTTTCTTATTACTGTATTATGGCAATTGAGCTCTTTTTTATGATGATCATGATAACAAGGCTCTTTAGGTTTTGATCAGTTTGAAAGGAATAATGGCTTTAAAGAGAAGAAAGAGATAGAGTTTCAAAGAGTGTACAAAAAATATGTTATCTTTTATTATTATATGTTCAGGTTTATAGTTTGTCCTGTATTATGTAATCCATCTTTTATAATATTACTTGTGCTTATATCCAGAGCTTGTTCTATAACAAAATTATCAAATGTATATATAAAGAACCTCTCTAAAAGAAATTTTAATACAATTACGATAATACGCTTTTCCTAAAACGAAATTTCTTTTGCGACAATTATTTGTTAATTGGCGACAATGTCCATCGTACTGGCCGTACAGAGTAAAATGCTTTAATAAAAAAAAAAATCTTTAAATTTGTTCAGTATAGTCCCAGATTCGCGTTCATGTCCTATATTCTCTTATGTGTCCCATTTTCATATTGGTATCCCAATTTTACAACCCTGTCCCGATTTATTTTGGAAATGGCCAAAAATTTTTTTATTGACCCAACCTAGTTTCTTCGACTGCAATGATAATAAAAATAAAAAATAAAAATAAAAATGCTTCAAGGATTAGAAAATTAAATGCTGTCACAATTTGAATATAACAAACATGAAAGGGTACATGTATTTTTTTTTCCCCTCCTTTTTTTTTTTTTTTTTTTCTTACATTTATTTTAAATATGAAAAATACACCAAGAAGTGTTTTGTTAGGATGGTAATTTCAACTGAAATTATATGAATGGTCTCTTTTTTTTTGTTTTAATTGATTGAAATGAGAACTTTAGGACTGCATTAGCTGTTTGTAAATATTTAAAATAATTCATGTGCTATTATTATTATTAAATATACAGTATTGCATAGCTGCTTTATGTGCCTATACAATGGGTAAAAATTATACTTTGAATAGGTTAAAGGAATATACAAAGGACAATTCAGTTACTTCAAGTGGTGGACATGACTCAGTAGAAGCACCAAAAGAAGGCGAACCTTTAAAACGTTCCGTCAATAGAAGATTATAAAATAAAGACAACAACAATAAAAAAAAGAGTCCAATTTTTATTTATTGTTGACATAGGAGACATTCAAAAAAAAAAAAAAAAAAAAAAAAAAAAACGTGTTCTTTATAAATATATTCTCCTAATAAGTAAGAAGGTCCTTTTGTTCGCTTTATATAAGATATATTTATTTTAGCTTTTTTTTTTTTTCTTACTTTATTTTATAATTCTAATGAAATTATTTATCTTTGTATTTTTATTAATGTCTACTGCTTCCTCATCACTATTATCAAACACCCTTTTTGTAAATAGTAACGTAGTATTACCTGTTAAATTTCCTATCGTTAAGATTTCAACAGAAAGGTTTCGTCATGAAAGGAGGTTTGATACTAATAATCATGTCCCATTAATCAACGATATTTTTATGAATGAAGTTGCTATTAAGGTTAATATCGGCACACCGTCTCAAGAATATACGTTATTATTTGATACTGGCAGTTCTGATATTTGGGTCCCCTCTTTTACTTGTTCACCAGAAACAGGTTGTCCTGAATTTTTACATCGTTATGACCCTAAAAACTCGAGTACCTATCATGCATTTAATGATACGCAAACTATTCATCTCAATTATACGATTGGTCGAGCAGAGGGTGAATACTTTGAAGACCTTCTTTCTCTTCAAGGTCTTACCATTTTACATCAAGTGATGGGTATGATGAATAAAATAGAAGGTCCCATTTCAGATCAAATGAAAACGAAGGACAGAAATCATTCGTCAACTATTATTATGGATGGTATCTTTGGAGCAGGATTCTCATCCGGTACCATGAGAGCTATAAACGATAACTTACCTTATGAACCCTTTATTCCTGCTCTTTACAAATCTGGAAAGATACCAGGTCCCCTCTTTTCTGTCCTTTTACCACCTCATAGTGCAGAGGAGGGAAGCATTGTATTAGGTGGTATACATGATTTTGTAAAGACAATACTCTATACATCCGTTGTAGGACACAGTTTAGAAAATGGCGATAAACAATATACTCATTGGCTTGTAGAAATGAAGGGTATACAATACCAAACGGCTAATACCTCTAAAAATTTTCATTTTTTGAACGACCCATCTCATTCGGAGTAGATACAGGCTCTAATTTCATGTATTTACCCAAGACTTTAGCTTATGAGCTTGCTACAAGCATTACTAATAACACGTATTATTATTCTACGAATCATGCACCTGATATGTTTAAAGTAGACTGTCATCTATTTGAAAGCCCTAATCGAGTCAATTTCTATTTCCCGTCCTCTTTTGATCGACAAGAAAAAGAGATAAAAGTTCCTATAGCAATCAAGGATTTAATAGCGAAAAGAGAATCGGATCATCAATGCTTCTTGTTAATTTTACCGTCCCCAGATAATCGTAATTTTATATTAGGAAATATGTTTTTAAGACATTTTGTTACAGTTTTTGATTTCAAGAAAATCAACCACGAATTGGATTTTCTCCTTTAAGAGACTTTTAAAACTAATAAAATTGTAAAGGAAAAAAAAAAGAACGAAAATTGTTGTGTATTCCTACTACTACTACTGCTATTACATAATAAACTTTTATTGAAAGCATAAATACAATGAAGCATTTTCTTCCTATTGCTAATTATAGTATTAAATGGCTACATTAAGAAGAAATATATTGTATTTTTATTTAAAAGATTGTCACCCTCATCTTCAAGTTGTTTGAGTCAAGTTTTTTTTTTTCTACTGAATTATACTTCTTTGGTATTTTTTTCTAACAATCACTTTTACTGTTAGACTCTGATAATAGGTGCCTAAATGTATATTCATAGTATATGTGGAGGATTATTTTACGCTATTATTATTATAAGAGTATTCTATAACAGGCTGTCCTTTTAGTTATATAAAATAAAAGGTTTGCAGCATTTAGGATTGCTTATTACTTTAAACAGCCTATTTCATCATATACTTGGAAGTAATGGCAAAGAAATGTGAGGCATATTAATTATGTCAAAGGAGTACGATACTACTAAATAGTAAGCTAATGAATACGACTACTTCTTTTTTTTCAAATAATCTATAATAAAGCTTAATAAATGACTTTACGTTTGAATATATGTAATATATTTAGTTGGATAATCTTTTTCTTTTTTTTTATATAAGAAAAATAAAATAAAGGTAACTTACGCTTGTCAAACACTGTAGAGACTAGTAGCTAACTTGAAGACCACAAAGGACGAGGATTCTATTCAAGGACCGCAGCAAAAAAAAAAAGGATCATTAAGGTAGAAATCAGCATAAATGTTAATTATTTACTTATTTGTAAAATTATTTAGCGGTTATGTCATAGGAGTGGTGTTTGTGATTGAGTTGATAAATTCATATATGTATATGTATAACCACACACACACATATATATATATACCCACCATACAACACACACACACCAACACATGTATTTGATTCCAATCATGTTATAATGTCATTTTACTTATAAAATTTCTGGCGGGATTTTATACTAGGGTGGCGGAGAAGAAGGAAAATAACTGCATTAAAATAGATTGATTTCTTATAACCAATAAAAGTCTAAATTTATATAAGAAGCTTCATCCTACTTTCTCTCTCTTTTCGTTGTATATATTTCTTTCATTTTTTTTCTTTATAAAAATGAATAGTATTGTAAATACATTTGAAGCTAATTCTTCATTTGTTCAACAAATTCGGATTCCGTTATAATGGACATAAAGTCATCAATGATCCCATTCATGTATGTAGACAGTATTATTTTATATAATAATAATACTTAATTTTATCATCTACTTTAACACTTAGGGACATATTACATTGAATGACTATACAGTTGAATTTATTGATACTCCTCAGTTTCAGCGTTTAAGAGGTTTGAAGCAGGTACTTGAAGATATATGTGACATCTTTTTTTTTTTTTTTTTGACATATAATATAAGCTAGGAGTACTTTATTTTGTTTTTCCCGGTGCAAGTCATAATAGATTTGAACATTCAATAGGTAATGAAAAATATATAGGCATATACATATATATATTGATGTGTATAATAATCATATTTCAGGTGTATCACATCTTTCTGGAACACTTATTGAAAGATTTGCAAGAGATCAGCCAGAATTGGATATTCGTAATGATGAAATTCGATGTATTAAATTAGCAGGGTAAATATGATATGATGAACATAGTATAGTATAGTATAGATATTCATTTTTTTTTCAACGTGTAATACATATATGGATAAATGCTATATAGACTATGTCATGATTTGGGTAAAGAAAAGGGAGGGAGGGAGTGAGGGCGTGATTTGGGGTTTATTAATAGCATATTGATATCATATCGTAAAATGTGTGTGTATATAGGGCACGGACCATTTAGCCATGTATTTGATAATGTATTTATGCCTCAGGCAAAGCCCGGTTTGAATTGGTCTCATGAACAAGGTTCAGAAATGATGCTTGATTATTTAGTTGATGATAATCATATTGATATTGAAAAACAAGATATTCAATTTATGAAGGACTTAATTATGGGCGAACCTACAAGTTCATTTAGTCAAAAATATGCTGATCGTAGATTCTTATTTGATATTGTTGCTAATAAAAAGAATAGTGTAGATGTAGACAAGTTTGATTATATTGAAAGAGATGCTTATAATATGGGATTACGTAGTTCTTATGATGCGAAAAGACTGTTAGTTTATAGCCGAGTCATTCATGATGAAATTTGTTATCATCATAAAGAAGTTTATAATATGTATGAAATGTTTCATACACGGTATAGTTATTCAAGCAAATTTATAATCATCGTGTCGGTAAAGCAATTGAATTAATGATTGTGGATGCACTTTTATCTGCAGGTAATATTCACTTTATATTAGCAAATAATACTAAATAATAATAATAAATAGATAGTTATTTAAAGATCTCAGATGCAGTCAATAAGCCAGAAGAATATCTTTATCTAAATGATATTATTCATACTATCGAAAAGATCCAAATGTCCTGAATTAAAAGAGGCTCGTGAGATTATCAAGAATCTTAGAACACGTAACTTGTATAAATTTGTAGATGAATACTTGATCCCACCTGAATTAGAATTATTTTTAAATAAGGTATGCATGGATACATGTCTAGTATATATAAACGTTGTAATGAAGCATTTTCAATATGTATGTATGTATGTATGTATTATGTTATAGGACAGAGTGACTCCTCAAGATATTGTTAATCATCAAACAGATAATGCTGGATTAGTACAAGAAGATATCATTGTTGATTTTTCTAAAGTCAATTATTCTATGAATGACAGTAACCCTGTCGATTCAATTCGTTTCTTTTCAAAGTTTAATCAAGAAGGCAAGTAAATTATACAAAACACACACACACATATATATAACATGTATTCATGATTTTATAAATAGAATCTTTTAAAATTCCACAAGAAAAGGTCTCTTATATGATTCCTAATAAATTTCAAGACATAAATATTCGTATCTATACTCGAAATCCATATAAGATGCAAGCAGTTCAAAAGGCTTTCCGTCGTTACCTTGCAAATATTACACATACTGAGACTTTAATGGATCCCTCTATCACTGTTCCTGCTGATTATGAGAATTTTGTCATCGCAAAGAAGCGACGTATATCATCAATAGAAGATAAAGGAAAATAGATTATTTTAAATGTTGATGTTATAAAAAGTATATATCGAATAAGCTACTATTATGTATAATAATAATAAATAGATGAGTTATAAGTGAATATATCATTCATTTAATTGCAGGAAAGAGTGAGATGATCTGAAAAGTATATATATTCCAAAAAGGCAGTAATTTACATTTGTGTATTTTTAAGGAAAATAATATAGTTTGTGTTTGTAAAAGATAGTATTTTCATGCTGATATGTATACAAAAGATATTTATCTGAATACATAGAAATCATCATCATATTTTTTTATTTTTTTTCTTCCAAATTCTACTATTTATTTCTGCCCCTATACAATTTATATATATATCATGTTTATAGATGCTGTATTGTTCTTTTCTCCTTTAATCGCTTTATTTTTTTTTTAAAAAAAAAAAAAAAGAACACACATACACACATACTCTCTCTCCTATATCTCCTTCCTCTCCCTGTCAAGAAGCCAATAGGAATATTTATAAACTTAAAGGATAATAAAAAAGAGAATTTTAATTAAGTTTTACACGAAATAAAGTTTTCTTTTTAGTTGGTCTTTGCTTTAGATTACTTTGTAGCACTTGCATATAGATTATTGTCTGTAGCACAAGCTCTTCATATGATGAGAAGGTCAGATGAAATATGGAAAAAATATGTTTAAAGCGCCCTCGTTTAATCAAATTCTTAAATAAATAGAGTTTATAAAAGTCGAACAAAAAATAGGAGAAAAAGCATCTGTTCTCTCTTTCTTTATTCTAGGATTGTATAACTTGGAAGATACAATATGTTGAATGTAGTGCTTATTACATAATCTAACATGCACACACACATACACACATACATACATACCTATTGTGTATAACCTAACATAAAAAGTAAAACCCTTTTTCTTTTGTGTTTATTTTATAATTCCTTATTTGGAATAGTAGACCACTTTACTAATGCACACCATCTGATAGTTACTTACTAATTTAAGAAAATAGAACTATATAGGTATGACTGCACTATATAATGATTATGTTTCCTTTTTTTTTTTTTTCTTTAGAAAAAAAAAGATTACAATTGAGTATTTATTCTCACCAACATTTGTATATTGTATATATAACATTAGAAATTACATAATATTGAACTTGATTACTAAATCGTAGTTTATTTTTTCCTTAAAATGAGCTGTGTCTTCTTTTATGATTAGCATACAAGAAATCGTCTTTTTACAATTATGCACTCGAAATCTCGGTATATTATCATTAGTAGTTTTGAACATAAAGTTAATATGCAATGATTTCAGAAGTCAATGCCCCCTATACTTTATAGAGAGTTAGATAACCTACTTGCACAAAAGCAAAGGAAATAAAAGGAGCGGTCAGGAGGACAATACTTATGATTCAATTCAATGTTGATATTCGCATAATTCAATATTTACACTTTTATCTTTGACGATTATCCTCAATGGAATCATTCTATTTACTGCAACAGTTATTGGTAAACTAAGCTGAACATTCATGACTTATTCAATTTGGAAAATAATATGCTGTAAACATTTACATCTCGTTGCTATAATCTCTAATACTATGAGAATACTCCTCATTTGTTAATTCTAGATTATTTGTATTGCCCTATAAACATGTATTGCAGATCATATATATATATATATTTCATAATGACATTCCATTTGCTTTACTGTGTAGGAAACAGTGCAAAGAGACTCTACTATTGGTATTTGAAATTCATAAGCATCTACTGTAAATGCATTTATATGGCAATCCTTTTGTTGTAACTTTCTATAAAGGATATTTACTATACCACTCATTCTCATTTTAATGGGTAACATGGTATTTCTTTTGTAAACCATCACTTAAAATAATCAGAAAGACTGAGTATGAGGGGTGAAAACTTGGCAGTTACAACAATTAGATTCTTTTCCCTTCATTGCGAGATACGAATAGTATACTTTAGTGGCAGAATTATTTAATCATTTTAAAATCATCACTATGTTGTCTTTAATCTCTCTACTCCAAATCTTTTCTTGTGTTTGCGCGTGTTTTTTTTATCGCTTTAATCTTATTATACATTCTTTTGATGTCAGAAAGAATATTAGCAACTTACTAATCTGTCCTATACAATGGCTTTCATTTTTCGATAGACATACTATCCATCTATAAAAAATAAATAAAAATAAAACTTTAAAGTGCTAATCTTTCTGTCTATTTACTATATCTGTAATTGCATTTATGACTTGATTTTTTTTGTCATTATACTCTTCTCTTTGTTATTTATGTTTCTCTCTCTCAATATTAATATCTTTAATTTTTTAAAAAAAAAAATCTTTAGCATATTTACTTTTACATTACTGTATAAATAATTGTACGAATGAGAGAAACGATTTACTTTACTGTGCAAATTTGTTTCAGGAAATCTGTAAAAATAAACTTTCATCGTATATTTATAGGAAACAAGAACAATGGTCTTAAATCTAAAAAAGGGGGGATTTTTCAGGTACCGCATTTTTTTTTTTTTTTTTCCTTGAGACACAACAGATAGTTAGGATTTCATAGAAAGATCTAAATTGTTGCCTTAAATATAAATTAGTTGTAGTTAATCATGGCCGCCCTTTGAATCTCATCATTGGGAAAAAAATAAAAAGGGAAATTGCTTCTTTTTTTTTTTTGTATCTCCTTTTTTTTTTACATACATTTATATATAAAAATATAAATATACATATTCATATATTTGTATAGTCTTACTCTTCTATCATCTCCTCTTTACTCTATATTGTATTTAACTAATAAAAGATGTTATCACCTACAGCGATAAAGCAAGTTGAGGAACACTACAATCATATGAATCGAAATATGCAAAGAATGCAACTTCAAAAATATATCAGAAATAATGAACTTTATAACGATGAGCAAAACGAAATATAATAATAATCCAAAGGCGAATATATTAAGTTTAATGCAACATGTATCAGATGAAGAGTTACGACAAGCTATTCAGATTGAATTAAAAGAATTGTTACTGATTATGATCGACTTATTTCAGTACTTCAACAAAGATCAGATGTTATTGAGCAAGAATATGAAAATTTACAAGCCATAGAAAACAATTATCAACGACGATATGAGAAAGCAGTTCGAGAGATGCAATTCTTTAAAAAGAAATATGAAAAGGCTGCAGAATTAAATAAACAATTTTGAGTCATAATCGACCTCGAAGTCCATCTATGGATTCTAATTCATCTTCATTATTGGAAAATAATAGAATCATGACGAGTGCTAATTATAATCAACTTGTTGCTGGAACAACGAGTGTACCAATAAGCCCTCCACCTTCTTCTTCTCAATCTGGTTTTTCTGAGGGGGGATGCCTTATTCTTATTCTTCTCTTCTTCTCCATATCCTTTACTACTCCTCTTCCTTCTTTAATCAATCATCAACCACTTTCAGAATCTACAAAGAGTAAACATCTATCTCGATCTTCTTCCTCTTCTACAAGTTCATCAACTACATCAGGTTCACCTTATTGGATAAATGGTTATCCGTCTGAACAACAGACACCTGTGCCACGTCTTCGTCAAAACTCAAATGCTACTACCACAACGGGTGGTTTTGCAGGTAGTATTCATTCAAGCAGTACAGAAGGAGGAGATAATATGATAAAGTATACACAAGGAAGAAAAGGATCTTGGCAAAACAATACAAGTAGTAGTCCTTTAATAATATCTTCATCACAAGCTCCTCTTCCTTCTTCTTCTTCTTCTTCTCCACCACTACCACCTCCTTCTACTCTTCCACCTCCTTTTACTACTCTTCCTCCTCATCCCTCAGTGAGTCGTTCAATGACGAATGCAAGTCAGCAAACAGGATACATAAATACCTCCATCATTCAACAACGTAAAGTAGATCCACTTCCTTTGGTGGCTCAGATGCATTTGGGAAACAATTGCGAAAAGTAAAGATACAGATATTAATTCACCGATAGAAAAAATGATTAGGTAAAGTATATAAATTATAATAGAGTAGAGATTTAAAAAAAAAAAATTAATGGTGGGATGCATATACACATATAGCAATTTTTAAGACGTGGTGGTTCACCAAATACAGCAAAACAATCCTCAAGCCACAAAATAGTAAAATATGGATATGGATTAATTCATACTGCGATTATTATGAAGCTATGAGTACATTAGAATTATTACTTCAACATGGGGCTAATCCGAATGCGATGACCCTCAGTCATGTAGAAGAAGATAAAGTCACGCCAGGTTATTTGGCAGCAAGTATGGGCTGGCTCCCTGGCTTGCAGCCTTAACAGAAGCAGGTGCTGACCTCACGATCTCAAGAGGTTCTGGGTTAAAAATAAAACAGCACTTCATATTGCAGCTGAACATTGTCATACCACTGTAGTTGATATATTGTATCACTTACCCCATCCAAATATCATTTTCAAGTCGATAGCATGGGTAATAAAAAAAATAAAAATAAAAATAAATAAAAAAAAAAAAAATAAAAAAAAAAAAAAAAAAAAAAAAAAAAAAAAAACTGAGCTTATTAATTTTTATTGATTATTAAATTTATTAAATTTATAAATTTATTAGGTGCAAATACACTTCATTTGCTTGTGCTTCAGGTCATACAGATCTTGTAGCTTATTTATACAAACTGTCAATTACCTATAGATCAAACAGATATCCGAGGTGAAACTCCTTTACATTGGGCTTCTCGTCAAGGACATTTAGAGGTTGCTTCTTTCTTAATTGAACGATGTGGTTGTAACTTTAATTCCTATATTCCACGTAAATTGGAACACCATATGATTTCGCTAAATCAGGTGGTCATAAACGGCTACTCGAATATTATAAGAAAGTAGGAGCTTAGCATCAAGAAATTAGATAAAAAGAGAGAAGAAGAATAGCACAGAATGTACCTATTCATTAGAATCAGCTTAGCAAGAAATGGACTATTTAATATCTAAAAAAATAAAATGATAAAAAAGTTGGATCTAATATTATTATAAGCTATAATAGTATTTTACATAACTCGTGAAGAATAAGAATTTATTCCTGGATTTTTTATTTATTTTAAGTTAATAACCGCATAAATCAGTAACTGATTATATGCATCAATGTCTAGTAACTAGTATTTACCAAGTTTCTTAGAAACTAGCTTCCTTAAAAGATAATTCAGGTTAAGAAAAAAAAAAGACTATTTGCTATAGTAAGCACTTTTTCTTTCCTCCCTCTTTTATTTGTATGTTGTTTTTTTTTTTTACAGCTAAAATGACAAAATTTGACTTTATAATGTTACTTTATGAATTCTCTCTCCTTTAATTCTGTACTCGCTTTTAACTTGATTTATACACCTCTTTTTGTAATACAAGTCAGTTTTACATTATTATTGCTTGGTATACAGGTTTCACATCTATTTATTTCTTTTTTTTTTTTTTTATCATTTATTTTAGTTCCCTTTCTCTTTGTCTTTATTTAATCTCTTTTATTTTTATTTCGTTTTATTATTATTATTATTTTGCTTTTTTTTTTCTTGGCTTTACATAACCATGGTCTTGAATCCTTTTCGATCAAACAAGAAATGGAGACACAAGTCAACTACAGTAGAAATGAGAGATGAACAAGACAATTCTATTGTCAATTCAAGTCATTTACCGTCTAACTATAAACATTCACTACTTTGCCACCACCACAACAGCAACAACAACAACAACAACAAAAAATTGGATTGACTCCTTTATCACAAGAGCAAACTTGATAAGAAAAACCAGACACTAACAGCAGCAGCGGGAGTTGCAGCAGCGCCTTTTAATTCAGATAGTTTATTAAATGGTATAGGAGATTACATTTTTCATTCTCCACTTGGTGTTGGTAAATTCAGTAAAGTCATGTTGGCTTATCATTATTTAACTGGTGAAAAAGTTGCTATAAAGGTAAAAAAAAAAAAAAAAAAAAAAAAAAAAAAAAAAAAAAAAAAAAAAAAAACCTTTTTTCATTCTTTATTCATTTAATTATTTATTTTTATTTTCATTTATTTACAGGTGATTAATAAAAGAGCTCATGCTTATCGTATTATATATAGACTTGTAAGGGAAATAGAGTTGATGCAAATATTAGATCATGAAAATATAGTCAAACTGTATGAAACATATGAAACAGCAGATGCCCTTTATTTGATCATGGAATATGTTGAAGGTTATAATTTGGAAGAATATTTAAAGAAAATAAAAAAAGGAATTATGTCTGAAGATGAGCTCGTGATATATTTCGTCAGGTGGTAAAGGCTATAAATCATTGCCATTCTAGGTGGGTTATTCATAGAGATTTAAAGGTATATTACATACATACATACACACATATATACGTACATTCATGTATACTCATTATTTTGTTTAGACGCCTAATATTTTACTGACTTCAGCGACAAACCAAGTTAAATTAGCTGATTTTGGCTTAGGAAATAGATTTGGTTTACAAAGATTAAAAACTGTTTGTGGTATTGTATATACATACATTTATACATTCATATCTATTTTAATTGATAATAAGGTAATTTAATATAACTAATGATAGGATCAATGTTATATTATAGTCCAGAAATCAGTACAGCAAAATCTTATATTGGTCCTGAAATAGATACTTGGTGTTTAGGTGTTATGCTGTTTAGAATGACAGCTGGTCGTGAGCTTTTCTCTCATGCAAAGTGTAAATATAACTCTATCTATATATATACATATATATATACCTATGTTTATTATGTATTTTTCTTTTCTTTTCTAAAAACAATAGTATCTACATGTAGCTCCTTCAGAATTAAAAAAGTATATCATCAGTCAAAATTATACACTTCCTTCACATATAAGTCAAGAACTTGGACATACAATACAAAAATGCTTATCTATGAATAGATATGATAGATTAAGTCTCAAGACATTTTTAAGCAATGATCCATGGTTTAATAATTTTGGTGCCTTGGAAGATATCTTTGAAGAGCATGCATCTAATTGTAACTATAATGCTCTGGAAGCTACTGAATCGCTTGCACTTTCTACAAAAACAGATGACACGAATCAAATTTATTCAAGCGCACAAAACTATAAAAAGCAATGTAAACAAGATCTTCAAGTAGAGAAACAGAAATTATTCAAGATACCTAAAACTATTATTTATCACATCCTTCATCCCTCTACTTATTTTACGAGTTCGTCAGCAAATCATTCATCAAAGCATCCTATCGATCTGAAATCTCAATTTGAAACTATTCATGAGCTCAATAAAAATCTCTTGGATATTTTAAAACAAGTTCAACTTTGTAGTATACAAGACAATAGTTCTGATTTAAAATCACCTATTAGCCATCTATTTCGTAAACAGAAAAAAAAAGAGGATCTTCCAATTGAGTGTAGTGTCATGTTGGAACAGAACAAGAAGCAGCTTTTAAAATCATTTTCAGCATTAAACTTATCTCAACTATATCAACGAGTAACTAAAGATCATATTAGTTACTTTACAATCCAATGTAATTCTATTCATACTGGATCTTCAACTACAGTTATTTCAAATTGTTCAGCCTCATCCTCTACTTTTGTATCTGAGAAGAAATCTCATCATCATAGACCCTCTTTCTCTATGAATAACCTTTCAAATACTCTACCTGACATGACCACTCGAGGAAATTTGAACCATGAACTACAAGATACAAATCAACTAGAGATGATAAAAATACTTCGTTTAGCTTGTGAAATTCTTGGAATTACTTTTTATCAAGCAACCAGTACAAAACTTGTTTGTTTATTAACGATACGAAATGATTATACAACATATATAAAGGACAAAAGATTATCTCATTCAAATCTTTACCCTCCTTATCGACGATTTTCCATATTAGATGAAGAGGATACCGTCCCTTATCCAAGGCATTGTTCGACAATTAGTGCATATAGTTCACAGCAAAGTTCCGAAGGTTGGTGGAGTCGACAGAAACGTCGATTATCAGCCCCTTTTTTACTACAACAACAGCAACAACAACAACAACAATCGAGTTCATCATTAGGTCTTTCATCTACACCGGGACTTGTTTTGGGGAACAGTAGTCATCATGATCTTTTATCTATGGGTCGAGCAGCACAAGAAAAAATATTTGAATGTTCTGAAAATGAAGATCGTGAAACAAGCAGTTTTGTCTTGTTAACAATGGATGTTGTATCTTTATCTAAAAGAAGATGTAATAAATCGCCAGATGAAAATAATAATGAGAGTGCTCACATAGTTGCAGTCAAGTATTCCAAAATAAAGGGATCTAATAAGATTTTCAAGTTGGTTAAAAGTTGGATGCAAATGATTTTAACTCAAAACAGAATGGCCTAAAGGGAAAAAAAATCTCCACACTTTACTCCTCTCTTCCCTCTCTCCTCATCTCTCTCTCTCTCTCTTTCTCTCTCTCTTCTCTCTCTCTTTCTCTCTCTCTTTCTCTCTCTCTTTCTCTCTCTATTTTTTTTAGGGGAGGAGGAAAGAAGGAAGATAGTAAAAAAAAAAAAAAAAAAGATACCAATATGTAATTGTATTATATCCTTTTTCTAAAGTCTATTGTATATCTTGTCTTTAAGTAACTGTAATAAACATTTGTTCCCCTTAATAAGTTAAAAATCTATTTATTGCATGGATGTCATTCATATACATATAATGTCAAATAATAAGATGATAAGCAATCGTAGTGATCCATCCTGACTTACTTCTCTCTTTACTTATTTATTTCATCTTTTATACTGCAAGACTGAGGATTTGCTGTAAAGCATTTTTTAGTTTATTTTTTATCGAATAATATCTTTTAAAGCAGTTAATTGAAGAAGAAGAAAAAAAAACCAACACTAGTATGTAGTATAGATGAACAGTCTTCATTTATTTTTTCAATATACAGTTATATAATTTGAATTAAATAATAAGAGGATTTCCCTGTACGTAAAACTAATACTTTCCCATCAATAAGGTCATTTTCTTCAATTACGTGCTTAACATTGGTTATTTTTTGATTATTTAAATAAAATCCACCTGCTTTAATTTTCTTTTGTGCATCAGCTAAAGATGATCAATGTTAGTGTCATATATATAATTAAACAAGGATGACTTACATTTAGATTTAGCAGCATTTGTAACAGAAGCAATGATATCAATACTAGATCCGATTACAGCTGAACGATCAAGTTTTATAAACCGATTTCTATCTGTCTTGAAAGCTTCAATAATTTGATCTCCAGATAAAGTACTTAGATCTTCACCAAAAAGCACTTGAGTTGCTGTCTTTGCCTTACGTAAACCATCAACTAATTCAAAGTTACTATTGATTTCCATATTGTCATATTTATATAAATAAACAGATTACTTACTTCCATGAACGAGTTCAGTTGTTTCATCTGCAAGTTTTTTTTGTGCAAATCTTTTTTCTGGATATTTCTTTTTTTTTTTTTTAATATAAACACACCTTTTTTTTTTTTTTTTTTGTTATTTTACTTACTTGATGTTCAGCCATAATTTCAGAGACATGTTCTTCTTTTAACAAAGTAAACATACTCAAGTATTTTCCAACATCTTCGTCTGTAGTTTTCATTAAAAACTATACTTGTATATGAATATATAAATGTTTGATTCGTATATATACATTGGCTTGATTTTACCTGATAGAAATCAAATACACTTGTCATATATTCATCTAACCAAATTGCATTACCAGCAGATTTACCAAATTTTTCACCCGTTGAAGTTAATAAAAGTGGAATTGTAATCCCAAAAACCTTGGACTCTGACTCTGACTCTGTATCGTCCTTCTTTTTCTTCTTTCTTGCAATCAAATCAATGCCAGCTGTAATATTACCCCATTGATCATTCCCTCCCAACTAATATAAAGACGATAAGAAAATAGAATAGATTTACATAAGCATTCCCTTTACTCACTTGGATTCTACAATCATGATGATGATGAAGATACCAAAAATCATAAGCTTGTAAAAGTTGATAGGAGAATTCTGTAAAACTAATACCTTGTGTTGTTTCTAATCGAGACTTTACACTTTCCTTTGCCAGCATACTGTTGACTCTAGCATATCTTCCAATTGAACTTAAAAAGTCAAGCGCTGACATATTGCTAAACCAATCAAAGTTGTTCAATACTTTTGGTTCTCTTGTATCTAGGGTGGAATCATTAAATCCTCTTCTATTAGCGTAACTTGCACCGTTTTTAAAGAATCTATGTATCTGTCTTTCAATGCCTGCTACGTTTTCCCTAAGTATATCTTGTGATAATGGTACACGTTCTGATTTTCTTCCAGATGGGTCACCAATAGACCCTGTTGCTCCTCCAACAAGGGCAATTGTCTGGTGTCCTCGAATATGAAAATGTAATAAGCCCATTAGTGTTACAAGATTGCCTAAATGAAGACTTTTGGCAGTTGGATCTACTCCACAATAAATGGTTGTAGGTTTGTTTGTCTTTTCGATTATTTCAGGACTTTAGTCAACAGGTACATATGAAAAAAATAAAAATAAAAAGTGGTGGTGTTAGTAGTAGAGGAAGTTGTAAATATAAATATGTGTCCCTCTCTTTTTTTTTTTTTTTTTTTCTTCTTCTACAAACTATACCTTGTTATATTTGAAACAAGACCCCTTTGAGTCATGTCTTTAACAACATTAGAATAAGTGCTTATAAAACATGTATTGATTTTTAGTACATGGGTCCAATTGAGTTTTTGACTTTGTCGAAAAATGTTCATGATTCTTTTGCTTTCATTGAACTATCCCCCTCCCCCCCCCCTTTCTTTTTTAATAATATAATAACAAAAAAAAAAAAAGGGCATGCAATTTCAACATAGCTGTGTGACTTTCATCATCTTTATTATTATTACAACAGTGGGCGGCACAGGAAATTCATATTCCCGGTAATAAATTTTCAATAAGCAGCAGTAAGACAATTTGTGTGCTCTCAAAAAGAAAAAAGAGAGAGTTTCGAATTCGTATAATTCTTTTTGTGCTTTCGAGAAAAAAAAAATGTAATGATAGACAAAATGAATATCCAATATGATCAATGAGATTGAAAGTATCATTGATTCATAAATTGAAATAAATAAATAAAGAAAAGTGAGTTCTATTCTTTAACTTGATTATACACAAAATAAGATTTTTTTTTTTTTTGTATTTTTTGATTAAACACGAAAGGATAGAATCAAAATGATCATGTATATGCTGGTTTGATTTATATGATAAAACTACATAATAATATATTTATGAATAATAATAATAATAAAAAAAAAGGATGGGAAGTAATGAAGATTGACTCTACTACGGTATATCTTGTGTATATTATATAAACATTATAATAGTTATAACTTTATTTATGTAACAGTATAAAGAAAGGGTATCTACAAAAGAAAAGAAGAAGAAGAAGAAAAAAGGGGGGGAGACTTCAGTGATGAACACAAATAACAGACTTGGACTGCTCTTTTGGTAAACATTGAGTCCAACATCGCGTTGAACAAAACCTTACACGTCGTACAACTGCTGGATGACCTCCATAACTTTTGATCTGTACTGATGTGACCCATTCATTTACAAAGGGACCTGAGCAATATGAGCATATCTTCTTATGCCCTCCTCCCATAATATCCTGTGATAAATGATACGGAAGTAATTCAAATGGTATTTTCTTTATTAAATTTTGTTGCAAGATGGTTCGTGTGGCTATTTCTCGTAAGGAAAGTAAAAGAGCTGTTTCGCTTGGTAGATAAGGTGAATCGTGTGGGAAATCAACTAGAACACAAGAGTTATTATGGGTTGAATGATCTTGTACAAATTTTGATCTTGAATGCGTTGCTGTTAAACCTGCTAATGTTGGATAAGATGAACTAGAAAGGATGGATTGAGATTTATTAATGTTTAATTGTTGAGCATGAAAAGCAAGTTCTTTATCAATTGTGGCATCTTCATCATCATATGGGGAATGAGAAGTTGACGCTGCTATTTCTGCTGCTGCTGCTGAAGAAGAAGAAGAAGAAGAAGCAGAAGAAGATTCAGGTAATAAACAGCCCATACCATAAGGGCCACATTCTTCTTGTTTAGATGCTTTCTTGTTTATGAAAGTGGATGATCGAGCAACAGAAGGTGAATGAAGAATGGGTGATGATGCTCCAGAAGAAGAAGAACGAGGAACACCACGTTGCATCATTTGTCTTAAAATACGAGAATAAGCATCTCCACTATCTACTGATTGTTGATCGCAATGTCCCGGCCTTGTAAGAGGATTACCTGTGATTAATAAGGTTGTTGACTGCATTCTTTCTAATATTTCAGCAGGCATAATACACAAAAGATTCTCGCTGATATCCAATAATTCAAGTCGCTGAAGATGCATTAAATCAGCTGGCAAAGTTGTTAAGTGATTTTGAGATAGATTGAGCGACCTTAATTGATAACACCTTGTAATGGATTTAGGAATGCATTCTAATTGGTTATGAGAGGCGTTTAAGATTTGTAGGCTTTGTAACAAGTGTAGGTCAGGTGGTAATCTTCGGAGTTGATTATAAGAGACATCAAGTTCTTCGAGCACAGGCATCTCTGTGAGACTATCAGGAAGTTGAATTAATTTGTTTCCTCCATAAACAGAACCGAGCTGCAAATGGCGTAACTTTTGCCAGTAGTTTAATCGCTTAGGTAGGCTCTCGATCAAATTAGCTGCAATACGAAAAGTCACTAGATTAGGTAAAAGACGGGGCATGTCTTCAGGGATAAATGTGATTTGATTTTGTGAAAGTGATAGAACCTCTAATTCCTTTAAAGCAAAGAGTTCTGAAGGTATCTCGGTAATTTGATTTGAGGTAGCATTTAAGATTCGTAAATGAATGAGTTCACTTATTTGAGACGGTAAACTATCTAAACGATTTCTTGAAATATCGAGTTCTAAAATAGTTGTATACTGATTATGGTAAGGTAGTTTTAAGAAAGAATTTAACGAAGGTAAAAGTAAATTATTTAATTCTTCGGCTAACTGACTGGTTTCTAATCCTCTTCTTCTTAGCATAACAGTATTGCTTGATGTTCTACTTAAAGAAAGTCTTCTTTGTTCATGTTTTCTGGAATCTGTAATCTGTACTTGCCCTTCTTTAGACGTAATACTTGTATTCTTTTTTATTTTTTTCCCTTTCTTGACATGAATGCCTAATGGAGCTAATGAAGGGTCATCTATGCAAGATTCTATGTCAACTAATATAGGCTGACTATATTTTGATAAAAAATTTTGAGGTGGAGGCTGTTTATCAGGTGGTAAAACACCTGTTAATATTTTTCCGTCTAATAAATTGGGTATATTATTGCGTGGCATAAAGGAATAAAGAAAGATAAATTTTTTATCAGATTAAAAGAAAATGAGACGGAAGAAAACTTTTTTTTTTTTAACATTATTATGCTTAATTGTATCCCCGCCGTCCCCCCCTTCCCAAAAAAATAAAATAAAAAAAGACTCCCTGCTAAAACCTAAAAAAGATTATCACCAAATACTTAAAATCAGATAATCAATTACAACTGTTTTTTAATTTGAGATTGAGGCTGTTATCAAAAAAAAAAAGTCATTTCCTAAAAGTGTCTTTATTGGAAAGTGAACACACTCCACATTTCACTTTTATAAACCGAATAATTTTTATGCTGTAATGAATAAAGAAAATACTATTTCAATCATGACTACAGCATTATTAAAAGATCAAAATATAAAGAGTAAAAATCATTTTCCATGCATAAGTAATATAAGTATTCTTTATATTTTCTGATTATATATTTAAGTAAGAACACAATCTAAATAATATTGTAAATAGTTGGATAAAGTTTTTTTTTTTTTTTTTTTTATTCTAGAGATTAAAATAATTGATATAATTGAAAAGAGAAACTACCACATAAACTTTAGTGGAATACATGTGGCTTCTTCTTCATTTTCTTCATAATTTGTTTCCTCGATTCTTTCTTCATCATTTGGAATTATTTCTATTTTACTTTTGTCATTATTTAAAGTCGTATTCGAATCGTGAATGACATTTTGATTATTATCATCATCATTCAAAGCTTCATTCGTGGTTGATTGATCAGCGTTATCAACTGACTTTATTTCACCTTCAATTTCTTCGAAAACCGATTTTGTATATTCAAAACTACGTATCCAATCAGAAGTAGCAGCTGAATTCTCAGGTAAAAGATACATACGATATCCAGAAACCATTTATCTTCTGATTTCTTTAAGAATTGAAGTACGATACCATTTGATCCGATATCATAACCGAGTTCTTCTTCACTTAATTGTGACGAATTATATATGTTTAATAGCTTGTTCAAAAGAATGACATAAGTTGGTGGTCGACTCTACAAATGATAAACAGAAGAAGGGGAATGTCAGCTGGAAAATTCAATTTATATATTATCATTAAACCTCTTTATATTCAAAATCATATAATTCGAAATAAGCGCCTCGCAAAACCCCCCAAAATCTTTCCCATCGCTATATAAAGATGAATTAAAATAAGAGTAATAAATAAAAAGGAAAAAAAAAAAAAAAAGAAATTACTAAAAATGTATACCGCGAATGTATCATCATGAGTATGCATAGTGATAAAGTCTTTATGAAGAACAGTATTATTTAACAATGCTGAGCTCGTTTGCTAACATAAGTGCCATAGACTACTAGTAATTGAAGGTTTAATTCTTGACTAGAAGAGTCTGGATCACTGTTCAAATTGATTCGTTCTGCTTTTTTAGTTTTAGGATTCAAAGTGATCATTATTGATTTTTGACCTAGTAAAACTTCTTCTACTTGGTTTTTGCGATGACGAAAAAATGATTACCCCTATTTTGAGTATATACTTGAATAGTAGCGGTTGTTTCATCAGCAACGTCTCTATAAATAAGGCTATAGATTAAAATCAACTTATAATTCCAAGCAATACATACACTAAGAATGTCTCATCAAACTGTGCAAAGAGCCATGTCTTCCCCTTTTTCCACTAACAACGTATGAACTTTGAAAGATATCATGATTCACTTTAACATCACAACGGTAAACTTTGTCTAGAATAAGTTTTGTAAGAAAAATTATTACAAGTATTTTTTTTTTTTTTTTGCATTATTACTACTTTTTGATGTATCGGTTGTAATCACTTGAAGTACTATTGATATACATGTATATTATATTATTCACTATTATTATTTACCTATTCTCTTTACAAATATGTATTCAACTTACTTCTTAAATAAAACATTCCCTTGGGTTTCTTTTGCTCTTTATCAAAACTATGATTTTTTTTTTTTTTTTTTTTTTTAGATATATTTACATCTATAGTCATTATATAATGTTGTATATATACTTTACAACGTCTGAAAACGAAAACAAGGCTTACATAAAACAATCGATTCATCATAATTAGTCAAAGGATTTTCTAAGGAAAAACGAGTGTCATCATCATTTTTAATCCAATCTAATTTCTCTTTGGGCAGTTGCTCTAGTGTATTACAGACACCATTGTAATAGACAATCGGCTCCTTCTCTTCATTAAGACTGGGTTGTCTGATATCTGAAATTGACATAAGCCTTCTAATGCTTATATTATTTTCAGTAATTGATTTTGGCATGATTGGTTTATCGTCGTCAGCTACTAAAGGCATTATTCGTTTGCCAGAGTTCAAACGAAGTGTTGAGCCAGCACTAGAAATTTGATGCATTGTTTGACTCATAAGACCACGAATAGAGGCAGTAGAGATAGAAGAAGTAAGAGTAGCAGCAGTTGATATTGTTAAGTTACTAAATAGTTTTAACTTCATAAACTCACGACGTTTGGGTCGAGCAGGAGGGCTTGGTAGTAATGGATTTCTAATTGTAGGATAACCTGACATTGTATGTTTATTTTATTTTTTTTATCCAACAAAAAAAAAAAAAAAATTAAATAGAGGGAAAAAGAAAAAATAAATAAATTAAAAAAAATAATAATAATAATAATAATGTTCAAGAATGTATCGTTTTTTATACGTATTCTAAAGAAAACTAATAATAATGTAAAAAAGCATAATCGTTCTGGGTCGATCTGAGATTTAAAATTAGACGAATGTGCATAGTAGAAAAGACAAGTACAAAATCTCTTATCTCTCTACTACATTTACCATAAGACCTGCTATAGGGCTTTATTGAAAAAAAAAAGACAAAATAGGTATTGCTGATATAACAAATGAGTTTGAAATATGGAGAAATGAATAAGTACGATCGTTTTATGATCTGTTTCCAGCCCCTGAATGTAGACAAACTCACTACTAATAGTGTAATGCATTTATTTGTTGGCTTAAGCCAGTTTTCAGTCTTTTTTGCGGGTAAATATGATAAGATATTACATACTCTATAAACATATTAAATACCGTATCTATTTTTTTCAATAAATGATTTCTCAAATAGACCTGTAACATGAGTAAGTAGAGATATCTTTTCTTTTATTATTATTATTATGGTATATATATACGATACAATGAAAGGACTTAATATTTACAAGTAGAATCAGGGCAAAATTAATAACATGCCATAACAACTTTGCAAATTATATAAACATATCTCTACATCTCTGCTTACTCTGAGTATTACCTGTTCTTTTAAATACGTTAAAATTCATTTGAAACACGATAACAAACAAATAAAAAGGGCAGAAGAAGAGTCAGTTTTTGAGATTTAACTTACAAATAAAATTCAAGTGATATAAAATCCAATGAAATATCCCCAAGATCCATTTCTATATTTTTGTTTAAGAATCTACTTCTCCTAAAATTAAAGTGTATAGAAAAATAAATATACATGTATATAATGTTTTGGAAGTCATTCGTTTATTATAGAATAGTAATAAAAAATTATTTTTATTGTTTGTTGCTATTTCTCTTCTTTTGGGGTCAGTTAAGACAGACCAAGTCATATGAATGCATGTATCAATAAGTAGATTCTCAAGCTTATAATAGCAATGAGTACAAAAAGTCTCATTACTTTAAAATAACATATTATTGAACTATATTCTTGTAATATGTTATACCATAAAAGTCCAATATGTATCTATAATCTTATTTTTTATGCATTTATTTTAATAGTATCAACCACACTAGAGTGGCCAAGCTTATTTAACTTTAAATCTCAGATCACAAAAAAAAATGAAATAATTATAATATTTTTTTTATTTTTATTTTTATTTTTTTTTGATTCGAGTTGGACTGTGCTTTCCACTTATCATATTATGAAAAACGGTCGTGGCAATGTCTATGATGACTATGATGATAAGTATGATAAGTTAGATCAGAAACGGGTAGGAATAAGTATTCATTTATTTCTTGACGATTACATTATAACAAAAAAAAAAAACTAATGTAGAATCTATTTCTCTAGTCTTTCAAGACTATAAATAGATTAATAATTCTTGGCACAAGTATTTTATCAATTTGTATTTTATACTATTTTATATACAAAAAGGAGATGTATCAATAACAAAGGATTTGGACACAACAATAATTGAGCATGAGACTACTTCCAATGTACCCATCTATCCTGATGAAATTAGATCAAATGATGAAATCATTTTTGAAAAATTAGATCAAGCAACTGAGAAACCTTTAGCGACAACAAATCCTATCTTATTTACTCAATATCCACCACCAAATCTTTGATACCTCAGGATCAGATAACAGCATCAAGACAAAGCAAATTGTTGATGCTTTTCGACATGCCTGGAAGGGATACTCTCAAGATGCTTTTGGTAAAGATGAATATCAGCCACTTACACATTCAGGTCGTAACTGGATACCTGGAGGAATTGGACTAATGATGATTGATTCGTTGGATACACTCATGTTGATGAATCTTACTAAAGAATATAAAGAAGTACGTTCATGGATTGCAACTCAGTTGGATTTTAATAAAGATCAAGATGTGAATGTATTTGAAACAACTATTCGTGTTCTAGGAGGTTTATTATCAGCCTATCATCTCTCTAACCACGATTCACTTTATCTGGAAAAGGCAGTCGACTTAGGTGATAGACTATTACAAGCCTTTAATACAGACTCAGGAATCCCCTATTCTGGAATTAAATTATCAAGTGGTAAGCCAATAGGAGTTGGTCCGAGTAGTACAGCAGAAGCAACCACGATCCAATTAGAATTTAAATATCTTAGCCATTTAACAGGTGATATGAAATATTGGAAAGCAGCAGAGAAAGTAATGGAGCGTATACATGAGCTTGTTGAAGGAAAAGGCACAGGTGTAATTGATGGTTTAGTTCCTATTTATATTGATGCTGTATCGGGTAATTTTGTTAGTGGACAAATTCGATTAGGATCACGTGGTGATAGTTACTATGGTAAGTTACAAAAAATAAATAAACAAATAAACAAATATACCATTTATTAAAATATATAAAATGTAGAATATCTTTTAAAGCAATACCTTCAAACAAATAAAACAGAAATTAAATATCGTGAAAGATATGATCACGCGATAGATGGAATTAAGAAACATTTAATCCAATACAGTTATCCAAATCAATATTTATACATAGCTGAATTATTGGATAGTTCAAAGCCTAAAGAAATATATCCTAAAATGGATCATTTAGTTTGCTTTATGGGAGGTAGTTTTGTATTAGGTGCAACAGAAGGCAAATCACTTTACGACTTGGATCTCTTAACTAATAAAAGAGACAGAGAAGACTTTCAATTAGGACAAGGGATAACGAAAACATGCTATCATATGTATAATATGACTGCTACTGGATTAGCAAGTGAAATTGTTTATTTTAATACAAATCCAAATAGTGAATCAAAAGAAGATATTGGAATTCATAAAAGAGATACACATAATCTTTTACGTCCTGAAACAGTTGAAAGTTTATTTCTATTATACAGAATTACAGGAGATGAAAAATATCGGTAAAATATGAAAAAAAAAAAAATTGAGAAATTTTGTTATTAAACATGCTATTTTAGTGAATGGGGATGGAACATATTTGAGTCCTTTGAAAAGCATACAAAATTACCTGAAGGTGGTTATGCGGCCTTAAAAGATGTTACTCATATCCCAGCTCCAATGTATAATAGAATGGACACGTTTTATTTAGTAAATAGAGATATTTGATAATTTTAACAATAATAGTTGCTTACTTTTTTTTTTCTTAGGCTGAAACATTGAAATACTTATATTTATTATTTAGTCCAAATGATATTATACCATTAGGTCAATATGTGTTCAACACAGAAGCACATCCATTACCTATCTTTACACCATAAATTATATTAAAATAACGTAGCTTCTTCTCTATTTTCCCACGACTGCTTAATTCTTCTTTTTTTGCGGGGTAAACGTTAATTATAACAATATTTTATATGTTTATTTTTTTTTTCGTTTTGTATTATTTTGTCTTTTTTGCTTTTCCCTTACATTAATATATTTATACATATATATATATATATATATATACATATATTGAATGCAAGCAAATACTAAAGCCTCAATAAAACAAAATACTACTGCAAGCTTTATCAATAATAATAAGAGCAGTACTCATGTTGCATATCATAAAAATGAACAAAGTTTAGATTATATAATTCGATCAGGGCTTGCAGGAGGTTTAGCAGGCTGTATGGTAATATAGATGATTATGTAAGAATATTAGTATGATTGATTGACTCTATTATTTTTGATTAAAGGGTAAGACGGTAATTGCACCTCTCGATCGGGTTAAAATACTTTTTCAAGCTAGAAATCCATTATTTGAAAAATATTCAGGCAGATTCAGTGGTGTATTTAAGGCAGGAAAAGAAATATTTAAAAGAGATGGAATAAAAGGATTATTTCAGGGACACTCGGTTACATTGATTAGAATATTTCCTTATGCTTCTATTAAGTTTGTTGCTTATGAACAACTAAGAGCTATTTTAATACCTCCTAATAAAAATAGTAGTGCTCGACAATTTATAGCAGGTTCATTAGCAGGTACTCTATTATTATAATAATAGTGAGTTGGATTCATTACTAACCCCAAATGATATAAGGTATAACATCTGTTATATTTACTTATCCACTAGACCTTATTAGAGTTAGAATGGCTTATGATAACAAACCAAAAGCAATTGATATTTGCAAAATAATATATAATGAGCCTGCAGCAGCAAAACATATTCAGATATTGAACTTTTACCGAGGATTTTTACCTACTGTAGCTGGTATGACACCTTATGCGGGTGTTTCGTTTTGGTTTTATCATATTATGACCCAATTTTGTCGATATCATCCCTATGCTACATCTTATACACTCGTGCCTAATGTTAATATGGATGACCAAAAACCGCTACCACGGCTTAAAACCTGGGCTGAGCTATTATGTGGTGGTTTAGCAGGTTTAGTTGCTCAAACCAGCAGTTATCCTTTAGAAGTAAGAACGAAAAAAAAAATTATATATATATGTATATATGTACATACTAAAATCATTTATTATAGGTAATTCGTAGAAGAATGCAAATTAGTGGGTTATTGAAGCCCGATAGATTTATTAGTTTTAAAGAGACCGTAAAAGATATTTATAAGTGAAAGGCTTTAGAGGATTCTATGTTGGATTAACAATTGGCTATATTAAAGTGATACCTATGGTAGCTATTGGATTTTTAACTTATGAACGCATGAAACAATTATTAGATATTTAAATTATGTACACTTGTATACTTTCTTTTTATTGTTATTTATTTTGTACATATATCATTTTACTTTACTTTATCCTTTTTTTTTTATAAATAAAACTTGCCACTTTATAGTTAATATAATATTTCCCAGACTTTAGCATTATTTAAACATTCAAGTATCAAATAGACATTATCATTCATTTCACACTCTTTTAAAACTAATTTTGATAGCTTTGGGCAACTCTTGGTTAAATAGAGACATAAATCTGCTGGTATTGTCGCATTCATGATGGTTAAACTAGTCAAAGTGGGATGCATTATTCTAGAGTTTCATACTGATTTGACATTCCTACTGAAATATAATAGTTGGATGAAAAAAATAATTTCAAGATGATCAAGATGCTTAAAAAAGTTTAAAAGGAGATCAAGACTAAGGCGGCAGTTATTTAATTTATGTGTATTTGAATAGTTATAATCAGTATATATTTCATATGTAAGTTGTTTTATGTGTATATTGCTTAGTTCTATAAACGTTTTGTCATATATAATTGTTTGGCCTTTGTCTAGTATATCATTGGCAGAACTATAGTAAAAAATCTTAAAAATATTTTTCACGTATTTTTTACCATTCACTATATCGATACTTGTTGTTGGCGCCAAATGATAATATAAATAAAGTCGTTGTCTATCATAGATATGATGCTTCATATTAATAGTAGTTGACGTATTGCTATTTATGTACAATCTATTATATTTATTTACAAGTCTAGAAATATAATTCACAACAAAGCCCTTATCACAACCCTTGGAAAAATTTACTACAAGTTGCTGAATATGTATACGCTGGATTAAATCAACCAGTTTATCTATAAGCTGAATTTGATCCTGAATTGAATCCCTCTGTACTCTTATCGAAAGCCTATTCAAGTGACTATAGTTGAATTTGATGATTTGAAACCAACCAAAACTAAAATTGTTAATATGGAAATATAAGCTTTGAAGTCTGTTAGGATATATGGTCCGCTTGTTGCTTTCATTAAATGACCATTGTATATCACCAACGATTTGAAGATGTTGAAGTAACGGTGCTATTTTGTGTAATTTTAATAACCATTTTTCTTCAAGAAGCAAACCATTCGAAACCCCTAATATCTAAATGCAATAAATGAGGCATAGGTGATTGTATTATGTTGTACATTGCATCAGTATCATTAATGAGTACAACAGTTAATTCTTTAAGCTTTGCTCGAAGGAGATAAAAAGTTGTGCGTTCATATATGCAACTATATTTAATCCATGGAATTTTACATAAAGAACGCAAATATCGATTAAAATTTATTTGACTCAATAATTTCCAAATATTATTTTCATGAAAAGACAGTTCCTGTACATTATGACAAGAAGTAGCTAATAAATTTAGCTCAATTTCATCAGAAACAAATCTTTCTATTGATATTATTGTAGTATATTGACCTACTGGATATTTGTGATGTACTACTGTATCAAGAAACAGTCTTAACGTGAGTGGCGAATCAATAATTACGTCGTTGTAAAGTGACCCGAGTGCAGGTTGATACCAGTTCTTGTTAACTAAAATACAAGCTGTTATATCTTTATAACTTTTGATATAGTCGAATAT